AAGGGCGGGTTCATGCATGTTGATGCGTCTTAACATGCACCCCGCAGGTGCAAGTGGTACCCACCCTGCCCCAACCCTAACACCGGCCTCACAACGCTGGGTGTATATGGACGCATCGACAGGTGAGGCCCAATCCAATACAATTTATGCAACTTGCTTATTTCCGTTTGTATAGTCGCATGTACAGACTGCAGTAGCAAGGGGTATTGTTAGCTCATGGTATACCCATTGAGGGCGACAAAGGAAAGACGCGAGAGAGTGAGGGCGACAAAGGAAAGGCGCGAGAGAGCGAGTGTGTCGTACCGTACAACACGGCGAAGTATCACGCATGTATGCTTGCAGGTACAATCCCGTCACTGACACCTGGGACCAAACCAACCCGGGCATGGCCATTCCACGTCACGGGGCATACCCAGTGGTGGGTCCGGCGCCCAAGGGGGCTGGGGGCAAGAACGTCATTTACGTATGCGGCGGCGGCATCAAACAGGGTCTGGATGACCAGCGGTTCTGCGACTACATGACCGTCCTGTGATTGATGGCACTATGCCTTTTAAAAGCATCCATTGCTGCAGAAACGTTCGTTATGTTGAGCGAAGCTGCAGCCCCCTGCACACACAATTTGCACGCACTGGCGGTGGGTCACCACTGCCACGCATGAACAGCAGGATCCTTGGCGTTTGCAGTCGGATGCAGGAAGTATGGTAGTCGTATAGCATGCCGCTAACGTGATCAGATAGTTGCGGTATTGGCAGTGGTGTGAGGTGTGTGTATTATAGCATCTTATTACTTCCTCGTCGGCACATCCATGCGCGGGATTGCAAGTCACATTTCTGCCGTACGCTGTACAAACTACCACGCACTAAGCCGTAATGATCAAGTAGATCATACCCGTGTTCACGTTTTATCTGTTTCCATGCTTCAGACATGCACAATGCAGGTCGTTTGGCGATTCCAAGCCCCATTCCATGGTAAAGGTAGACCAGCTCATTCCTATTTATGATATTGTTTGCTTATATTAAGGTTTAATGTCTCTGGCGCTCGTACAGTCGTCATCCTAAAGACCGATTAGTTTGCCAATGTACCCATTATGCCAACCGAACCTTCCTTGTAAACGCAGCCTCTGTTTCTCGGCGGCACATTTCACCAACAAACATGCTGTGTTCTTAACAGCTACGTTAGTTATTGTTCCCCTTACACGCCCTCTCCCAACCCTTGTTATCCGGTCAGCTAGCAATTTTACCAGTTTCCTAACCGAAAGCAAAAAACAATCACCCAAGCATTTAAACCATACCCAAGTCTGTGACATGCATACCGGTACCTTTGCTCCTGCACGAGTTGGGCGTCTAAGATGCAGGCTACATTTCCGGGTGCTAGGTCTTGCTTGACCATCGAGGTAAACCAAACTGGAAAAGGCGTTTGGCATGCATTGTGACGTGAGCTACAGGTACCTGCTCCAGCTGTCCCATGGGTCGCCTGAGGTGGGGACGGGTCGTCGCTTGAGTTTGCATTCTACGATCAGTCAATCACACTACATTTCCGATTACCAACCGATCAGGTACCGGTATCATTCAACCGCCCGCACTTTCCAATCGTAGTTGGCAACAATTCGCTCGGCACAAAAGCCTAAATCCTAAGGAGAAAGCATTGCAGGCTCATGCTACGGGGAGACATAGCCTCCAATGGTACTGGTTTTCTTCAAACTGCCTTCCATAGATATGGCATGAAAACAAGGTTCTTGCGGTAAGCGCATTCCGTACCAGGCTCCGGTCCAAGGAATACAGTAAAACTGCTAGTTTTGAAGCGGATCATAGCTTGCAATTAAATGGCCAATGCGGGAAACCTCCACGGAAGCGAATGCCATGTGGGCTTTTGCATTTTTCCTCAATGTGATGGTGACAATTCATTAATTGTGGGCTGCCGCCGGGAGATCGCCCACCTGGCCTGGCCATGCGCTCTAGGTAGGATAATCCCGGATCTGCCACCAGTTGTTGCACGCAAACACGTCACATATGACTATCGGTTGTAACTTTCCGCAATGTTACGGACGCAGTGTTGCATATACGTATGATATTAAAAATCTTTTAAAAGCAAGGGCTTCCGGGTTTGTTCCTTTGGCCTCCACAGGACGTACGGCCAAGTGAACATGAAAAATATGTTGGTGTTGGCGAACATGCATGCGTCCGAAAGGGCAAAACAACCTAACGGGACCAAACTAAACCTTGCAGATGCAGGTAAAGTAAAAATAAATCAGTAAAGGCTTTTTTTAGGCGCGCCATTAAAAGGAACCATCGCAGGCATATTGGTTACCGCTTCAGCTTATCGCTTAACCGGTACCATAACTACTGTGTTTGTAAAAGGTTAACAGCGGCTTGCGAGGCTTGCGATAAATTGATCAACAAGGAAAGTCGGCGGGTCCACGCTTGCATTCACTCTGGCCAGACCCGTGCCGATAGGCCAATACCGTCGGACGGTTGCGTGGAATGATAACATAATGCCTAGTAACTACACCGAGAACGTGCACCTGGTGGATATCTGTTCCGTGCGACATTGCACTATATCGCTCCACGGCGAAACGGATGCCGTGCCTGTTAATTCCAATTGGGCAAGACGCTGTTGTTGGCTCACCTGAAGACGCATTTGCCACACCATTTATATGCTTCGTGTCATTGAAAAGGGGTGTCAGCGTCGAGCCTCCTGTGCAACCCGCATTTTCCAAAAACAACATTTGTAACTTATCCCAAGAACTTATGCATTAGTTGGCGATATGTTTCGGCCTCTCTGCAGATATTAGAAGGGCATAGAATTACGACGACAGGTAACTTCCCATAACGGACACGTCCGAGATTTGATCGTAAGCAGTGATTACGTGATCATGGCAAACACCGAACCAACCTTGGTCTATTCAGTTTAGGTACACGGGACCCCTTCTTGGGATGTACCACACAACAGTCGTACATACGACTAACAAACAGGATTGTATAAAACGTCAGCAAGCAGCAGCTGTTATCAACAAAACAGAAACCAGCGTTCGCTCTGGCTGCAAAATCCCAGCAACAGACCCGCCCACGGGCAGGACTTCCACAGCCTATCGTCCCTACCTATCTACTGCCTACCTCGGCCTGTCCCATCGCGAATCCTAAACCGAGACATGTCTCAATCGCCTGCTTCAGCCGCTAGGGCTCCCCGAATGGTAGCAGCGGTCCTGCTGCTGCTGCAGGCTCTTGCCTGGGCGCCAGTACGCTTCGTTGCCGCGCAAACGGACATCACTTGGACAAACATAAACATGCCGCCCTACCCCATGGGCGAGTCAACCGCCGGTATTGTCAAGGTAGGTTGACTATGCAGAACGTAGGCACGTAGCCAGGAGCACAACCAAACGACATTATTGCATCCATGGATGTACGATGCAACTGACTAACGAACACCGATGAAAGTCGCGCAGCTCTCTAGGCCCTTTTTGAAGCATGCATGCAGCTACCCCGCCCTTACCCATTCCATCATCTGCCTTTCAGGACGCGATTGGCAACCCGCTGCTGATCCTTGTGGGTCACTCGGACACCAAGGCCCACAGCGGTGCAACCCAGGTGCTTGACATCAATTCCGGCAAATGGTCCATGTGAGTTGTTGGATGTGTATGTATGTATGTGCAGGGCGGGCGACATGTAGCTGTAAGGCTGACTTTATTTTTCATACTGCCTTCAGAGCGAAGGGAATCAGTGCATGTATACTGCATGAGCCGCCCGACATAATGCTAAAGTTACATGATGTCACTTTATCGTTTCGTTCAAGCACGCACTGACACAATAGCGTTCCTACATATGCTGCCCATTTCCAAATTCTTAAATAATTCACAATCGAATTGCCACGGCGCTACATACTACCCCGCAGCAAATCCCCCCGGCTGCACGTCTCCCACCACATGGCGGGAGCCACAGCGGGCAATAAATTCTATCTGATTGGAGGATACGAGGATGGCGCACCAGGTGGGGAGGACGATGATCAGCAGATTTGATTCACCACAAAAGTTTATATGAACGGACCATTAGGGCTACTTGGGGCGGGCGAAAAATCCCAAGTAGAAGAAGGCACTGTACCTCAGACACCAGTTCGGTAAACACTACCGGCAACACCATGCTATCTTTACCCCCCACCCCTCCTCACCATCTCCAGGCAAGGTTCAGATTTACGACCCTATCAAGGACAAGTGGACGCATGGCCCCAACTGCCCCGTTGTGAGCGGTGCGGGCTGCGGTACGGCACTCGGCAACTCCATCTACTACTGCGGCGGGCTCAGCAACGGCGACCAGAAGAAGGGTGTGCCCATAACCAGCTGCGCGTGAGTACACCAGCGCGCATGTTTGGGTTGAGCCTTACCTGGTTTAATTCTGTCGATGTTTATCTTCCTGCACGCTGTCCTCTGCGCCTTCACGTGTCCTTCACATGCCCGTAAATGTATGCTGGTATCTATTTCGTAACCGCTGCTATGGGTACACTTGATTCTCCATGCAAATTCATGTACGGCCCCACAGGCGGTTTGACGTGGACAAGAACACGTGGACCCGCATTGCCTCAATGCCCAACGCCGTACACCACCCCGTGATGGCGACCGATGGCAAGAAGATCTACGTCTTTGGCGGTCGCAACAGTATCGCTAACAATGCCAAGAAACCGGTCAACTTCGTCCAAATCTACGACCCGGCCACAAACGTAAGGTTTAAAGCCCAATGCTAGCCTTGCGTGCGGACCTAGTAGTGTGGGTATCGTTTGGACGTGCTTGCAATGGCTAGGAGTCCCCTCTTATACCCACAAGCAATCGTTCGCAGACATGGTCTCAATTGCATGCTCTCATGATAGATGCAACCTGATAATTGGAGATACCGCCTCGCCCAGACAATATGCGCCTGCTTCTTTACTGAACCATGCACCGCTCATTCCCTTCACATGGCTTAACGGCAGATACGACAACCAGTTTGTTTCGAACATTTCACCTTCCGTATGCAGTCCTGGATTGCCAGCACCCAGAAGGGCGGCCCCAAGCCCCTGCCAGTGGGCCGCGGCGGTATGAGCAATGCGGTGTACCTTGATGGCCACTTCTACATCATCGGCGGAGAGACCAAGTAAGCATGCGTTGTAATTACGCCGTCAAGTAGTCCTTAAAATCATGAATGTTGGTCCGCTTTGTTTGTATATCATGCCCTGCTTACACTCTCCTACAGTAAACTGCTGGGCATAGACGCAAGCAAGGTCAAAGGCATAACGTTTCCCCTATGCGTGGTGTTTAGGTTTCCCAGATGTATTTGCCAGCTTTGTTTTACAACTATTATCACGTACGTACGGCACCCACAGGTGCAAGTACTACGGCCCCTGCCCCAACCCCAAGACCGGTCTCACTAAGAAGGGTGTCTACAGCCGCATCGACAGGTGAGTCATTCGTACGAATGGATGCATGTGCGCCACAGCATCATGAACAGAACGCATGTTTCATGTGCTGACGTACAACAAACACGGCTTGCAATATTGCTAGCGTACAAAGCCAGCAGTTCGGAGGCCAACGGCGACGTCTCTAAATTTCCCTCCGTTTTGCAAACATCTGGGACTACCTAAACGTATGCCCGCATGTATGCTTGCAGGTACAATCCCGTCACTGACACCTGGTACCGAACCAACCCCGGCATGGCCATTCCACGTCACGGGGCATACCCAGTGGTGGGTCCGGCGCCCAAGGGAGCTGGGGGCAAGAACGTCATTTACGTATGCGGCGGCGGCATCGTACAGGGCCTTGACGACCAGCGGTTCAGCGACTACATGACCGTCCTGTGATTGATGCCAGTAGCAGCAGCAGCACAGCGCCTTAATTAGGCAGCAGCGGCTTGATCGTGCATGCAGCATGCATGAAGATTGGCGAGATGTGCAGCCATGCATTGTTATCATAGTCACCATTATGTGCTGCGTTTGCTTGCTATGGATTCCCATCGCATACAGTCATAGGAGCAGCACCGGCACAGCATAGGTCAATGCCATATCTGTAGATTTGTTATGAGGATACGTGGCTTTTCCTGACATTCGTGTATATTTTAGTAATTATTAGCCAAGAGTGGCAATGTGCGCAACCTGACATGATGTTCAACTTTTAGCGAATGGCGTAGAGAGAATTTGCAGTTGACCATCATCGTCGTTCCTAGCCCTTTGCTGTTTCCTTGCTAAGGATTTGCCTTGCATGCCAAAACCCGTGCGGGCCTGCATATAGATGAGGGGCCCTATATGGTACAATCATGTAGATCCAATTTTAAATTTTAATTGGTTCCTGGGTAATACCCTGGGTAAAGGTTTCCAGTATAGCATAGCAGGACAAAGATGTGGAAGCTGAACTGGCCAGGGGTGTGTTAGAAGGGACAGACGAGGATGTGTGTATACGTAAGCAAGGCGCAGTCAGGCGCAATTAGGTCGATGTGTTAAAACTGATCGCTAGTAGTGCGTTGGTGGTCCTTCTTTGGGGGATAGTAGCCGCAACGATCTTGGTTGCGTATAGGGAAATGGGCATGAACAGGATGCTGTACCATATAACCACTTGTAACACATTCAGGCGGCTCAGTTATGTCAGACATTAACGAACAGCGGGACGTGATCACAGCACGCAAGACCTCCTTCCTGGCATTAAAATGTTGCAATTGTTACCGGTTTCCTTAGCCTCCCACCCACCAAAAATGACCGACCCGGCCGACCCATGGGTCTGCTGACTAGCAGTGTACTGAGTAAGTCTAAAATAAAACCGTAAAGACGTGCGGCATGGCACCTTGGCCACGGACACATAGTAGCAGAACACCCATGACGGCATTCCAATCCACTGTACCTAACCAGCCACCTGGTACCTGCTTACAGGATGCCAGGATGTTTCGGCACTGCACAGCCCGGCAGGGTACAAGATAAACCGCAAGATAAACCTGCACCCTTTTCACGAGTCTCTCCCATCCCTCCCTCCGTGTGATGTGAAGCTCCAGAAACCTAACCTTCTTTACCAGCTGTACTACAGATTCGTGCATGTTAGTAGTGCATGGGGGTGCATAACTTTGAAAGCCTTGCTCCAACCCCCCTCGCCCCGTCGCTGCCCTGCCCCGCGGCTGCATCGTCCCGCTCCCCGCCCCTCGCCCTCACCCTCACGACCCACGGTACAGCTCAAGCTTGGATTCGAAGTTGTATATCCCCACACTGGCCGCTGCCTTCTCGCAGTAGTCGCTCCACTCGCCCTCGTTAAGGTCAACGTTGTCAAATTTGGTGCCGCCGCTGCTGACCACCCGCCAATCGCCCTGTAGGAACGAAGAGGGGGAGCGGTAAAGGGTTAATGGGCGGGGGAAGCGGTAAAGGTCAGTGTAGGTGGGTGGTGGTATAAGTCAGTGTAGTTGTGTTAGTCCAAATCCTACCGATAGGAGTTACTACACCAAGGCAGACACACCACTATACATCTTCCCTACCCAATCCCACCTCCGGATGGAATGCGATGGGGTCCAGTCCGCGACATTCGAAGGCGATGATTGGAACGAACTTGCCGTCATCGTCCGCTGCATGGGTAGTTGATGTGCAGTTGGTGAGATGCAGCGTGTACGGCAGGTCGAAGGATGTGTATGGGAAGCGGTAAGAGCTGTATGCATGGCAGGATGCACGTTTGCCGCTGCCCTGGCCAGGGTACGCGGCGCTGTATACTGATGATAAACCATTCCCATGATGAGGGATGCACGCATGCGCAACCCGTGTACGTACGACGTCGCACCCTCGGTACGCGTCCCCGATGTACAACCCTTCCCTCCCCTTTTCAAGCGTCGAGGGTTCGCCAGTGTTTACCTGTGTACGCTCGCGTGACGCCCTTAATCTCCTGGACGTTCACGCTCGCCTCCTTTTTACTCCCCTTCGCGAACTTCATGACGAGGTTAGCCGTGCCCTTGCTCCCAGACAGCTCATGCTCCTCCGTGGATGTTACATACACGCCCTTCTTCTCCTCCGAACCAGCGCTCTCTTTTACCTGACGGAAACGAAGGCCATACAATTTATTAATTCCACGTGTAGATTAAGATCCAAGTGTTGAAGCCGTCGCAATGGGCTGCACGCGATGGCTATCCAGCACGCGTGATCAACCTAATAGCAAGGTAACTCACGTCCAAGCACCAATGTGTTGTTGAAGGTATAGACAGACTCTCAACATTCTCTAGCTCCGCCCGGATGCTTAGTAGGAACACCTGAACGCAAGCAGTTCAATTACACGAGTTAACGCATTTATTGCTGCATATACCTCATATAGAACTTAATCAAAGTAGTTGATTACTTGCCGGCATTCTGGCGTATCACCGGTAGTCTAGCGTGCGCTTTCTCTCGTCGATGCGTCTAGCGGCTTAATGCTATAACATCAGCGTAAATATTATCAGCGTTATACCACTGCATTTGAATATGGCTTAGTCATAGGAAACGCGTTATCCGTACACCAAGGGACCCATGGTACGGTATGCTGCCAAACGCTAGGCCGCTAGGCGATATGCGACATTACCGCTTAGCTTCCCCCACACCACCAAGGCGCAACAAGCCAACGCATACACTGGGATCCCCTTAAGCCTCTTCGCATCGTGCCAGATACCGGTACGGGGCAGCCAGCGGCTTTTCCCAGCCTTTCACGCATCCATGCCAAAGGACAACGGTCGGTGCTGTGAGGATCCTCGTTAAACGCCACCACCGGATACCCGCTACTCCTTAACCTCCACACAACACATCTGAGTACTCCCAACACTGCTCCGTCCAACTATTAACTCCAAAGCAAGCCCTTAGCCAGCCGCAGCCGCAGGGGCGGCAGCCCCTGCAGCAGAAGCAGAAGCACAAGCAGCAGCGGTTGCAGCGCGTTCTTGCAACGCCTCCGTCTCCTCCCGGCGACGAATGTGCTCCGTCCATCTGCGCGACAACAAAACACGGACTGAGACAAGGAATGGTAGCCTACGCTTGAGCTGTGCCATCCCGCCCCCTTACAGCGCTCACCCGCCGGCAACAACAGTTCCAAGCACCCCACACACACACTCCCTGCTTGGCTATACACACCAAAACTTGGCGCAGCCTTGTCACTTGGTCAATTCCTACCCCTTCACCCATCCTCCCACCCACCCTCCCACCCACCCACAACCCGCCCCACCCATCCCCCCTTGCCACACGATCAGTTACCGGTAGTTGTTTCCTCTTCACCCACCCACCTCGCAACCAGCCAAAAGTCCGCACACGTCTGCGCCAGGTGGCTGAACACCGCCGTCACCGCGGCGCACCCCGCCGCCTCCGCCCCCACCGCCGGCCCCAGCCGAGCCAGCACCGCCAGCGCCACCGGCAGCGTCTTCTGGCTGGCCACCACGATGAGGGCGCGGCGGGTGGGGGCGGCGACCCGCTGGTCGGTGCCGCCCAGCTGGAAAAGCTGCAGGGCGGCGGAGGGGCGGTGGTGGGTGTTGGCGGTAAGCCATGGTGTTTCACATTTTCTGCCCCATCCTACCCTTACCTGCCCCAACCTCCCCCTAGGCCCCCCGCCCTCTTAGCCTCCTTGCCTCTCAGTTTCCTTATCCTTGCCCCCTTGGCCCCCCCTGCATGTCCCCAGCCTCCCACCTGCACCGCCGCCACATTGAGCGCCAGGTATGCCGCATGGAAAACCAGCGACCAGCCCACTGCCGCAGCCAGGGAGGCGGGAGCCACCACCACTCCCTGAGCCAGCGCCTTGCTGACCTGGGCCCGAGGGAATGCCATCAGAATGCCATCAGATGCGATTGGGAAAGTGGCATACAGTATCGTACGTTGAATAATGGCAGGAGAGAGGGGGGGCAGGGGGGCGGGTGGGTTGGAAGGGAAGGGGAAAGGAAGGGGTGGTGGTGTGTAGGGGGTAACCGGCAGGGGCAGTTGCGTATTGGGGGAGAGTGTGTGTCCTCGACAGCCCCGACACCCCCCTGGCCGCCATGTTAGCTGCCTGACAGCTGACTGGCGGACTACCGGTAACAGCAACCAACCGGCTACCGGTGACAACCCTGCACTATAACTCCCCCTTCCTCTCCGCCCCACCCTGCCCCCCTTGTCACATGATCAGTTCGTTGCCTCCTCCCCCCACCTCCCCCCCCCACCTCCCCCCCCACCTGCATCCAGGGCACCAGCGACAGCAGCGCGCCGCTCACCACACTCAGGGTGCGCCGGTTGGCATCCACCCAGGTGCGCAGGTCTGGAGGGGGGGGGAGCGGGAGAAGAAGGAGAAGGTGGGCGGACGGTGGGTTGGTCTGGGGGTCACAGACCAAAGTACAGGAAACCACGGATTAGGGCAGGTCTGGGGCGAACAGGAGTGGGAAGGAGAAGAAGGTTGTTAGGGGGAGTTGTAAGGTGGCTTCCCGCTAGGGCACCAGCAGAGCGGTACGGCATACCTTCCCCCAACCCATTCCCTGTGGATTTCCTCCGTACCTACCCCACACGGCATACCCCCCCCCCCGCCCCCTCACCCGCACTAAGACCCCGCATCCCCGCCCCTAACAGCGTGGGAAGCAGGATGCACTGAACCAACTGAATCAGCAACGGTATGGGATCCAACCGTACGGCAGTTACGGCGGTCGTTACGGCGGTAGTTACGGCGGTTGCAGCGGAAGTTGAAGCGGCGGCAGCAGTCGACGTAATGCTGGTGCTGCCGAAGCCGCCTATGGCTGCAGTTGCCTGCAGTACAGTACGTGCCGTAGAGGGTTAGATGACTGTGAAGGTTTACACAGCAAGGACAAGAATACTCAAAGGGCGCTCTGTTAGGTAGCACCGATGGTGTATCAGTTACTTTTCAGTTGCCTCAACCTAGTCGTCACCCTTCCCCCTAGTACCTAGCGGGATTGGTATTCAAAGTGCGCCATTTTTACTGGTATCCCTTACCCCTACATTGCCTCTCACGGTGCTTACAATGCTTCGAACCCTGGGTGACGCCGCCATCCCCCGGTATACCACGGCTAGGGTCAGTAGGGTCTCGCGGCTCACTTTATCTAGTCTAATTTCCTCCCCCTAGCACCTGGGTTGACCCCCCCCTAGCCCCTAGGCTTACCTTGAGCGCCAGCGGCAGTGTGAGCGGCAGTGTGAAGACGGCTGCCAGGTTGGAGCAGATGGTGAGCAGCAGCGCCAGCGCCGTGTTGCCGCCCACCACCTGTTTGTAGGGGTCGGGGTCGGGGGCGAGGGGAAGGGAAAGGGGAGGGGAAAGGGTGAGGTGTGTTTTGGTGAGGCACGGGAAGCAGATGGTGAGGGCGGTGTTGCTGTTTGGGATTGGTAACATAAATAGGGGGAAGAGGAGGAGAAAAGATTGAAAAGACCAAGTTGGCAATACAGAGGAAGTGAGAGGGAAGGGGAGGGGAAAAAGAAGAAGAAGAAGAAGAAGGAATGCCATGCCGTGATCCACGGGGGCATCCAGTTGTGCAAGCCCCAATGGTAAATGGATGGTCATTTCTTCCTCCCCTGCTGCCGTCCCTTCCCCTCCCCTCCCTGCCCCCCCACCCCCCCACACCCACCTGCGTCAAAGCTACCCCGCTAGAGAGGGTGGTGGGCATGCATGCGAACACAAGCAGGCCTGGGGGGGGGTGGCAGGAGGGACCGGGGAAAGGGGGTATTATGAAACTGGGTTATTAACGAGTACATGTGCGGGTAGGGGGAACAACGGGAGCAGCATTGGGGGCAGTGGTACGGCAGCAACAGCAACAGCCCTAATGCAGAGACACACTTGAACCCCGACCCCGCTCCCAAACCCCCGCCCCAAACCTCTCCGCCCCCCCACCGCTCACCCAGCGCCAGTCCCGGTGGTTTCAGCGGCAGCGCCCCCGCCAGTGGAGCTGCGAGGGGGGTGATGGCCAGGATGGCTAGCAGACCCCACAGGATGGAGCCTGGGGGGAGTTAGGTGGGGGGGGGTACGGCAGGAGGGGGGGGATTGGAGGAGCGGGGATGCAAGCACAGCGGTGCTGACCAGGGTGCGAAGTAGGCGGAGCTGCCAGGAGGGGTGAGTGGCAGGGGGCTAGCCGGCGTCACAGGATGGAGCCTTTGGAGAGAGGGAGAGGTCAAAGGCCATACCAAGCCACAGGAAACCCCAGGTTAGGGCAAAGCGTTGGGGATACGGTGTGCGAGGGGTACGGCGGGAGGGGCAGGCGTGCGGTTCGGGCATGCACCGAAGACGCTACACAGCGGAGGAGCTTCATCCACCCCAGGCCCTACCCGTGGCTCCTAGCGCCTTCTCCGCCTCGCCCCGTCGCAACATGACACCCTGCAGCCAGGCAGGCAGGCAGGCAGGAAGGATGAGGGGTAGGCAGGGAGGCAATCAGGCAGCCAGGCAGGCAAGCAGCCAGGCAGGCAGGCAGGTAAGTGCAGAAAGGTGCTTATGAGTTGCCACATGCGACCGCATTAGACGGTTCGTATTCTCCTATTCACATTTTCCTGTCACATGGTGACCGGTTGATGGCAAGGCAATGCGAAACCACGAAGCTACTGTACGATGCAAAGGGCAAGGCAGCACTGTATACTCTCTGAAGTAATGTTCGCCACAGTCAATCTAGCAGTCAACCACACCTACAGTCTTTGCAATGTAGGTTGTATACCTGAAGTACGAATATGGCGAAGGTGACGGCTGACAGAAGGTTGGTGCGGGAAGCAGCTAGGCCCCAGGAGGGCTGTACGGAAGGGGAGGAGAGGGAAGGGAGGGAAGGGAGGGAAGAGGAGGGCAGGGGAGGGAAGGGGAGGGATGTAAACATGTAATGGGAGGTGAGGGCTGGGGGGGAGGTTAAGGGGACTGCTTAGGAACGGTGACGCGGAGAACCGTGCCGTGTGACAATCCTGGGTTTACGGAACAGTGGATGCTTGAACTCCGAGACGTTTTGGAGATGAGGGGTTAATGGACGTGGCCATGGAAGCTATGGGGTGGAGGAACCCGATCCGTACGACAGAATCAACCAACCTGTACGGCAGCCGCCAGCAGCGCACTGAGCAGCATCACTGGCAGGTACTGCTCCCGTACCACCCGCCACAACCACGTAAGGATGCCGGTCTTGCTGCCAGAAGCAGGAGCAGGGGTATCGGTGGGTTCTTTGGAAGTGGCAGCTGCGGTGGTTGAGGTCTGGGGCTGAGGCGAGTTGGCATGTCCTTGGGAAGAGGTTGAAAGTGCGATTTGAGAGTCGGGTTCGCTGATCGTGGCACCGCTGGTGCTGTCCGGTATGAGTCCATGTGTGGGGCCATCGACATCACGGCTACTGCTGATGCTGCCAGCGCCGCTAATTTCGACAGACGGACCACTGCTACTAGACGAGTTGCATGTGTTGGTTATAGCTCCAGTATGGCGTCGTCCTGGTGTTGCTAAAGGGACAGCGAAGCCATTAGTCGCGACGACAGTTGTGCCATGTCGACGAAAGACTGACGCCAGATGCGAGGAGCAATGTCGTGAAGTAAGACGACGTTTCGAGTGACCGTCTAGGTTACGCGCGCCGCCTCCATGCGGCAATTGACAGCCGGTCGCCAACTGCATGTGCCGATGGGTCCCGATTGTTGGCGCTCTAAGCTCAAACGCGCTCGACATTTGCGTAGAATAATGCAACAAATACTAATACGTTCGTGGCCAAGCCAGCCCTGGGGCTTCGAGCAAGGGCTATCTTGATGGCATAGAGCTGGCTTAATGGAAACAATCGCCAACGGGCTTCTTCTCTAGTTTGCACTGAATCATTAAGCTCGAGTTGAACATCATTAACCACACATGATGGCCATTTTTCTGTATGTGATACTGCTCACCGTACGGCGTAGCTCGATGGAGTTGTTCACTGCTATGCCGCTTACTCCCTGGCGCGATCACACGCGCTACACCCCCTGAGCCTGCTTGTCTTGCCAAACTGACGAGGCACAACACGCCACAAGGCACCAGCACACAACACCGTACCGTGCACCTCATAAGGCCCCGTCTCCCCTCTCACCCCGTCTCACCCCTCCGTGCCTCACCCCTCTCCCAGTGAGCCCCCGCCCGGATTATGTCGTACACACCACACCCTTGGTGTCGTACATACTGCACGCCATGAACCCACTGGCAGTATCCAACTGCTAACAACGCACCTGCTAACACAAGAGCAGCAGGTGCATACGATATGCTCCCAGCCACAGCCATGAATCCATGATGCAGCCGCCATTCCCCTTCCCCTCTCGCTCATGGCAACCCCCCTGCCTGAACCTCCTGCCCGTCGAGTCTCTTACCACTCCCCCATTCCCTCACAAGTCACAACATGATGCGAACCCCACATGCGAAAGGATAGAACACCGTTAATAATGCGCAGTAAGTATGCACATGCGATGCACCCCAACAGTAGCATTTCCCCTCGCAGCTTTTCCAAAACACCCGGCAAATGCAAGGAATAACAATGCCGGTATGGTGTTAACGCTCACAGACTCCCTCTTCCTGGCCAGACCCAGCCACACAACCCCCCTCTCACATTCCACTCCCAGCCGATGGCTTTTTAAGCCTGGAAGCACGCACATCGGCAATGCGATCCCGGTTGGCGTCTCACACTAACAGCTGACGAGCAAGCCACCCCAGCTGCTGTGGCGGTGGCAGACCGGTAGCGGTTGCGGCCCCGGAAGAGGACGTCCGCTCACACGCTCAGCCGTACCATCACCGCTCCGTCCTGCCGTACAACCACGGGGTACACAGGTAGCGGTACGGGTTGTACGGCCGCTTTGAGGGTACGTAGCAGGCCGCGAAGGAGGGAGCCGTCGGAGGGGCACCAGCGGAGGACCTTGCCTGGAGGGCAGGATGGAAGCAAGGAGGGACAGGTGGGAGATGAGAGAAGGGAATGCGTCTGTGAAAGTCAGCAAGGAGGTGCAGAGGGGAAGCTACATGCAAGGGGTTGGGTGGGATATGGGCGAGCGATGAGGTCGGATGAATATGTGACAGGATGCAATGAAATGTAAGGTTTTTGGCTGCTGTTAGGAGCCCCTCCTAAGCGCACCGCATAGGATTAAAGATAGCAGAGCATGAAGCATAAAAGTGTTATGAGGTACCGGTTAGTTTTATCGCAACAGGTCATGGTAGCGGAATATACAGATGCAAAAAGGACCCGCATTGACCCATGGGTCACTTGAACTCGCCTGTCCTCAGGTCGTACACGGTTCCGTCAAGCGGAGTTGTGATGGTGGGTCCCTCGGGGCCCTCCGCTAACTCGCCGTCCAGGAGCGGGTATTGGTCTGGGAGGGGGGCGGGAGGGAGGAAGCGGGGCAAGGTTAGGGCTGGGGAAGAAGGGGAGTCGCGGTTAAGAAGAGAGGGGAAGGGAAGCGCTGGAGAGATGGAGCAAGTAGAGAAGGTCAGGCCAGGTCAGGCCGAAGCGTGGGTAGCGACTGGAGGGGCAATAAATGCCCGATGCGTTGAGAAGGTGAGAGTCGGCAAAGATGAGTATGGAGGAAAAGGGTAAAGGTAAAGGGTTTGGGGGCGGGAGGCAAGGGTCGGGACTTGATGACAGGACGTAAGGGGTGGGGATACATGAGCACATGAGGCACAGAGGGCGTATAATCTTCACTGCCTGTAGCTAAAACACGGCAAGCACTTACAGGCTGTCGAGTAGGCATCCATGGCGTACACGGTGTCCTGGAACTTGTGAAGGACGACCAGCTTCTTGTTTCCCTGTTGACAACACCAATATCACAAACGTTCAGGAGTCAGTCGTAGGCATACGGTTGATCCGCTTTTCTTACTGGTGTCTTGGTGCCTGCCTTTGCTGGTCAATCAGCAATTCATTGCAGTTACACTTGACAGGACCACGCTAAATCTTTACCACAGTAGTCCGCTGTGAATATGATGCTATTAAAATGCCTTGAGGCGGGACCCTTGTGAAGCAAGCAAGCAGCGATGCTAGCCATGCAACAACCCGACGGATTTGCTTGCCTTCAACTCGCACAGCTTTCGCCTCTTGTCACCAGCGAGCTCATCTATGTTCGCCAGCTGAAACCAATTCCCCTTCGAAAGATCTTTGTCTGGATCCACGCTTTTATTGTCCACGGGCGTCACATTGCGCAACTCGGCAAGCTCCTCCGCCAGGTTCCCGCGTCTCTTTGTTCGTGGCGCTGTATTTAAGCCGGACTCCTCAGTCTTTATCAAATTCTTCTTCCCCTGAGTCTTGCCAAAGCCTGTCCCTGCTAGGCACCATGTGCATCGTCGACCAGGCCTAAGCGCTATCGACGGGCTGTGCACCGAATTATGCAAAGAGGAGAGCCTCATTGTTGCTATTGAACGCGACTTCCAGCAGATAGCCCTTGGAAAGTGTGAGACAGCAGCAAAGGCTTATCCTGTGGTCATCAGCGCGTCACTTTGTCGCGCCACGCATCGCACAGGCCGTACGACACCGCACACAGCAGTTCCCATCATACCAATCTTACTGGTATTAAGACCACGTTTTTTTCTGTCGTTTTCCGACAGAGCTGCACAGATGCGTGTACCATTAGTCATGTCCATACCGTATCCACATACCTGCCAGCCACGCCCCGACCCAACAGCTAAACCCCCGCTCCTGACCACACGGCGTGGTGCGTGGTTCCTATCACCAACACCAAACACGACCTCCTGCCCCACTTTGCCTGCTTCCCCCAAACCCCCATTCCTCCTTACTCCTCCCCTCGCCTCTTTCCTTCTCCCCCTCACCCCCTTCCTCCATTTCTCCGTTCAAACCGTCCCCCCAGCCCCTCCCTCCTCCCTCCTCACCAGTCCTTCTCCATTGCTAGCAGCTCCTCCTCACTCAGCCCCAACAAGTGCGCATCCGGGTCATCAGGGGAGGCCACACGAACCCACTCCTCCCCCTCCTCCTCCCCCTCCTCCTCCCCCTCTTCCTCACCCTCAACATCCCCCTCACCTCCGCCATCCCGCCTCAACCACGCCTCAACACCCCCCTCCTCCCCACCAGCCCCATCCTCCTCCTCCTCCTCCTGCCGCCGTACCTCCTCAAGTACGGCAGCCAACGTTTCCTCATCCAACGACGACAGCTCCACCCACTCGTCCTCGTCGCCCTCACCCGCCTCACCCCCGGCCTCCTCCTCCTCCTCCTCCTGCTCACCACCAACTCCTTCCATGCCCACCTCCACATCCACCTCTGCCGCCGCCGCCCTAGCAGCAACAGCGGCGGCGTCCGCGCCTGCCGTAACGCCACCACCCGTCACCGCCCCCTCCGCCGTCGCCGCCGCCATCATTGCCGCCAGGGCCAGCGTGTCCGGGGCGGGTCGTACGACATCGGGTTCGGCAATGTGTCGTACACGTAGGGCCCGCTGCAGCGCCGCTGCGAGCTCACGTAGACCCTCTCCTGTGTGTGGGGGGGAGGGGGGGGGCGGCGACGGTAGGGTTAGGCGGGTGCGAGGGTGTGTGGGGCGGAACGCGAAAGAGTGAGGAGGAGGAGGAGGAGCGTCGGCAGGACAAGAATACCGGTATAAGTATTAAAGTCGTGCGGAGGGGTGTGAGACGCAGTACTTCGTCACTTTCAAACACGCCAACCCCCTTCATATCCCCCCTCCCCATGCGCCTCCCCACCTGTAGCCGCACTACACGCCACCACCGCCACCGGCCCCACAGGCGCCGGCTCCTCGCCTCCCGCCGCCGCATGCTCCGCGGCTTGCCGTACGGCAGCTTCACGGATGGCGGCGATCTGCTGGTTCCGTCGTACAGTTGTATAGCGGGGCGGCGTGACCGGGCATGGCAAGGGGGGGGGGACGTGGTCAAGCGGGGGGCGGGTGGAGAGGAGACGACCATCGACCAGCAGGACAAAAAAAGGCAACCCAGGAGCAACCAATTGCAAAGCCAGGCGGGCAAAAAGACACCAGGTTCATACATCCTGCTAGCTTGAAGAGCTACCGGTACCGTATTAAGAGCTCATCTAACGCTGCCTGCAAAGAGGTCGAGGAGACGACACCAGCCAAGCAACCCACCAGCGCTTTAACCTCCTCCTGCCGCCCTTGCCGCCCTTGCTGCTGCCCTCCTTGCGGCGGCTGCCCGCCTTCTTCAGATGCTCCTTGCTCGCTGCTCCCACCTTCCCCACTGCTGCCCCCACTGCCCCTGCTGCTGCCGCTCCCCACCGCCGCCATCACCCCCAGCAGGTCGGTCTTGTTGAGCGCCACCACGTGGGGTCGGGCGCAGTAGGCGGGGTTGTACATGCGCAGTTCCTCACGGACTGGGGGGGGAGGAAGGGAGGGAGGGTTAAAATAAGGAAAACTGACGAACTGAATGACGGGGAGGGGGGGAAGGGAAGAGATACGGAGGAGGGAAGGAGGGAAGGCAAGTTGGGTATAAGAGGCATCGGTTGGAGAAAAGGAGGAGAGGTCGTGCGTTGGACAGGCATTCGCACCGCCACATGTGCCCCCACCTGCGTAGTAGTCCGTGGCCGGGTCCGCTGCCGCCGCATCCACCACGTGTAGCAGCGCGCGAGTGCGGCGCAGGTGACGCAGAAAGTTGCGACCCAGGCCCCGACCCTTGTGCGCGCCTGCATGCGGGAGGGAAGAGGGGAAATACCGTGCATGAGAGGGGGGCGGAGGGTAGATGGGTGGGAGGGGGACATGGCATGAGGTAGTGGGAAAACAGAAAGGTCCAGCTAGCACCGACCAGGGCGCAGCCAGGCCGTGCATTATGCACTTTGTGAGCATTGTAAACTAACGTAATCCTGCAAACGCACACGCGGCCAGTTTCCTTATCACACGCGGCCCACCCGCCCTCCCCCCCACCCTCAATCACACTTATCATTGATTTCTCCCCCACCCTCAATCAGGCCGGCCAGGTCCGTCAGCACCGCCCTAACCCCTCCACACACCCCGGGTTTAAAACGCCCCAAACCCTAACCCAAACCCTAACCCAAACCCATCCCACACGCCCCCCCCCACACACACACCACACATTGGAAGTCTTTCTTTTCCCCTCACCCTCAATCAGCCCAGGCAGGTCCGCCAGCACTGCCTTGGCCGCCCCCCCTCCCGCACTCATGACCCCCAGGTTGGGGGTGAGGGTGGTGAAGGGGTAGGGCGCGATGGTGGGGGAGGCGCGGGTCAGGGACTGCAGGGGGGGGAGGGGGGTCAATTTTTGGACCAATTAAAACCATAGAAAAACCAAAAAAGGGGATAGCGGAGGGGGGGAGGGGGAGGGCGGGGAGGGAGCCGGGAAGGTAAGTTTGCTGTTACGCCCTTCTGGCAGTAGGGCATTAGCCAGTACGGTACATGGAACCATCCAACAAGTAGCGCCCTGACTACATACCAGCCAAGCCTACCAGCCCTGAGCCCCCCTCTCGCAAATCCCTTCATCACCTCCACCTCCAGCTCAAGTTGTTTCCTCTTTACACCCCACCCCCCACCCCTACCTTTAGCAGCGAGCTCTTCCCCGCATTTGGGAATCCCACCAGACCAACATCCGCCACCACCCGCAGCAGCAGGCTCAGCCCCAGCTGCTGCCCCGCCTGCCCCCGACTGTCGGAGCGCCAACCCGCGTCCTCCACCTCCACCACCTCCACACCCTTGGCCTGAGGCAGGGCGGGGTGGGGAGGGGAAAGGAAGAGTACCCAAGGGCAGGGTGGGGCGGGGAGGGCAGGGGACAGAGAGGGAGGGGAAGTGGTGAGTGGGGAGGGAGGTGGGAGGAGAGGGGCACAGGGAAAACAAACAACAACGGCCGGAATCATGACTAGCCAGGAAGACCAAGGGAAGGAAGGAGGCAAGGGGCAAGTTCAGTTACAACGCCCCTCTCCGCCCCCCCCTCAATGTTTCCTCGCCGCGGCTCTCAGCTTATGTACCCCCTCCCCCCCACTCCCGCCTCACCTTCGCCTCCCGCTCCGCCCGGCTCATCCTGTCCCTGCGCTGCTCCCGAGAGGGTGCCACCACTCCCCGCCCGCCCGCACCGCCGCGAGCCACCGTCAGACGCTGACCTGGGGGGGGGGGGGGGCAGGGGGCAGGGGGCAGGGGGGCAGGAGAGCAGGAGGGCAGGAGGGCAGGGGTGGGCAGGAGGGCATGGGGGTTAGGGTGTTCAGGCCGCGAGTAGGAACGTACGGAGTTACAAGGAATGTGTGACCCCTCAGCTCAATGCTCAGTTGAGCTTTCCTCCCCCATGTGTGTAGTTGAGTAGGACAAGAGCAAGCAATTGGGAGAGGTTTCCTCCCCCATGTGTGTATCAACGAACCAAAACCCTGCCTTCCCGCCGTCCACCCTTCCATCCCCTCCCCGATCCTCCCCCCCTCCCCCCCCACCCGGCTGCAGCAGCTCCCCTATCAGTGCGCCGCTGCCCCGCCGCTTCACCACCGTGCCGGGGGGCACCGGGATCTCGAGGCAGGGGGTGCGCGCCTTCTTGATCTGGGGGGGGGGAGGGTGTGTGGAGGGGGGAAGGAGGGAGGAGACGGGGGGAAGGGAGGGCGAGAGGTTGGGAAGAGATGTGCGGAGATGGACGACTGGTAAGGGGCATGGCTGGTTGTGTATGTGTGCGTTTGGCGTCCTTCCTTACCCCACACCCCCATCCCCTCCTCCCACCCCATCCCCACCCTGGGATTCCAACGCTTCCTTCTTACCCTGTCACCCCACCCCACCCCTCACCTTCACCCCACCCCACCCCTCACCTTCACCCCACCCCACCCCTCACCTTCACCCCACCCCTCACCTCCAACCCACCCCACCCCTCACCTCCACCCCACCCCTCACCTCCACCCCACCCCTCACCTCCACCCCTCACCTCCACCCCTCACCTCCACCCCTCACCTCCACCCCACCCCTCCACCCCACCCCTCACCTCCACCCCTCACCTCCACCCCACCCCTCACCTCCACCCCACCCCTCACCTCCACCCCACCCCTCACCTCCACCCCACCCCACCCCTCACCTCCACCCCACCCCTCACCTCCACCCCTCACCTCCACCCCACCCCTCACCTCCACCCCACCCCTCACCTCCACCCCTCACCTCCACCTCTCACCTCCACCCCACCCCTCACCTCCACCCCACCCCTCACCTCCACCCCTCACCTCCACCCCACCCCTCACCCCACCCCTCACCTCCACCTCACCCCTCACCTCCACCCCACCCCTCACCCCTCACCTCCACCCCACCCCTCACCTCCACCCCTCACCTCCACCCCACCCCTCACCCCTCACCTCCACCCCTCACCTCCACCCCTCACCTCCACCCCTCACCTCCACCCCACCCCTCACCTCCACCCCTCACCCCTCACCTCCACCCCACCCCTCACCTCCACCTCCACCCCACCCCTCACCTCCACCCCTCACCTCCACCCCACCCCTCACCCCTCACCTCCACCTCACCCCTCACCTCCACCCCTCACCCCTGACCTCCACCCCACCCCTCACCCCACCCCTCACCTCCACCCCACCCCTCACCTCCACCCCACCCCTCACCTCCACCCCACCCCTCACCCCACCCCTCACCCCACCCCTCACCTCCACCTCACCCCTCACCTCCACCCCTCACCCCTCACCTCCACCCCACCCCTCACCTCCACCCCACCCCTCACCTCCACCCCACCCCTCACCTCCACCCCACCCCTCACCTCCACCCCTCACCCCTCACCTCCACCCCACCCCTCACCTCCACCTCCACCCCACCCCTCACCTCCACCCCTCACCTCCACCCCACCCCTCACCCCTCACCTCCACCTCACCCCTCACCTCCACCCCTCACCCCTGACCTCCACCCCACCCCTCACCCCACCCCTCACCTCCACCCCACCCCTCACCTCCACCCCACCCCTCACCTCCACCCCACCCCTCACCCCACCCCTCACCCCACCCCTCACCTCCACCTCACCCCTCACCTCCACCCCTCACCCCTCACCTCCACCCCACCCCTCACCTCCACCCCACCCCTCACCTCCACCCCACCCCTCACCTCCACCCCACCCCTCACCCCACCCCTCACCTCCACCCCTCACCCCACCCCTCACCACCACCTCCACCCCTCACCTCCACCCCACCCCTCACCCCTCACCTCTGCGTTCCTCTTGGGTCCCCCACTGCCTGTGTTGGGGTTGGCGTTGGAGCCGTCGGGCGCACAAAACATGGCCGCCTCGCTGGCACTGCGCCTGCCACCTGCCTTGCCACCTGCCTTGCCACCTGCCTTGCCGCCTGCCTTGCCGCCTGCCTTGCCGCCTCCACCGCCTCCGCCGGCGTTCCTGCAAGCGTGGAGATGGTAGGCAGCAATGAGGATGAGAAGAAGAAGCGTGTAGGAACGAAGTGAAAGCGGGAATGAGGAGGAAAGCGAGGCCGAGGCCGAGGCGCGAGGGCTGAAGGTGAAAGTCTAACTAGCACTTCCCTCTCCACCCAAACCCTCATCCTCACAGTCCCCACCCCCCCGGGGCCCCCACCAGCTCCTGCTAGTTTCTTCCTCCTTCGCCCCCTCATCCTCGCCTCACCCCTTCTTGTTCGGTTGTGGCTGTTGCAGGTGCAGCAGGGAGTCCAGCGCGGGGTCGCACACGAGCACCACATCGCCCCCGTCGGCCCCGTCACCCGGCTCGCCTGCAGGGGGGGAGGGGGATTATTTTGGCCATAATAACAGGGATACACATTCCGCGTTAGGCTGGAGGTGGGGGGAGGGGGAAAGCATCATCTTTTTTCCGATAGAAGATTAGAATAGGATTAGGGCTAGCAAGAAGGATGATACCTAACTCTACCGTATCCCTCCCTCCCCGTCCCCACTCACTTGGCTCACGCTTGATTCCACCAGGGATTGTCAGCAACTTGTATCATTATCACACCACACTTTGGAATTTCTTTTTCCCCACTCACTTGCGTGCAGCCATATCTTTTCCTACCGCGGGCAACCACATCTTTTCCCACCGCTAACCAACCCACTTGAGCTTTCCCATGGTTTGGTTTCCCTCTGGCCCCGTCCCCACTCTCACTTGCGGGCAGCCATATCTGCTTGCGCATGCTGCGCCCCGGCTGGTACTTGAGGTTGGTGACCCAGCGACCCTGACCCGCGGGGACCACCTCGCCATTGCCGCCGCGACCACTCCTGGGGGGAGTGAGGGATTGGCGGTGAGGGATTGGTGGTGAGGGATTGGGCGCGTGAGGAAGCGGCGTAAGGAGGAAGAAACGTGACCGTGGGCGGGACATGTGTATTGGTAAGGGGCAGAGGGGGGCCAGGGAGGCGGAAAGGAAGGAGGAGGGAGGCGGGAAGGGCCCAAGGACGCAAGCGCGCAGCGTCCCGTTCCAAAACAAGGGCGAAACGAAGATTCCTTCCCTTGCCTTAGTTGTCTCCTCTTTACCTCCCCCCCTCTCACTTGACTACAATGACCGCCTCATCAAACACCTTGTGAGCCTCCGGAATAGCATCTAGTACGAAGGGAAACGGTGGTTGGATTAGAGAGGGAATGGGGAGGGAACTAGGGCGGGGAACGTTTGTAATGCCGTACGCGTGTCATACCGTACTGCAGCGCAGTAGCCGTACCTGGGTCGCCCCTGACCGGGATGCGTCTGGGCTTGAGCTCGGGAAGTGCCTCTGATGAAGGGAGAGGAGGAGGAAGTGTTTGGAGGAGAGAGGGGTTGGGATAGCAACAGGGCAAGGGGAAGATGAAGAGCCAGGGGCCCGAGGCGAGTAACATGGATTGGATAACAGCTTCTGTTTGGGAAGTGCAATTTTGAAGGGGAACATGGCAGCGTGAAAGCCTGCCTTCAGTCTACCCTCCAGTCCCGGGCGTTCTTCTACTGGTAATGGCAAATCGGGTGGTAAGGGGTTTGGATGCCCCCAGCTGCACTTCTCCACCCACCTTCCACGGCCCGCACGACTACTGCTTGACGGGGGCTGCTCGCCTTGCTCAAGGGATAGCTGCCGCTAAAATCATCGCCATGCCTGGTGTTACTGCCGCTAAAGGGTGTTTGACGTCCGTGTTGGGGTAATTGCAGCCGTACGGTAGGAACTCCAGTTGTTGTGGAGTGCAGCCAAGGGCTTGTGCCGCGTTGTGGGCCGCCCAAGAGCTGGCGCGAACTCATGTCGACCGCAATTTCGGTCGAGACGGTCTTCTAAGCTAGCGCCGTGTCCGACGGCAAGCACTTCAATAAGAACAGGTATAGGTTATACCCACCGTAAGATTGCGCCTACGCTGATAGTGCCGTAAGGAATTGTGTTAAGCGGTCGACGGCAAGGTTGCGGCCCAAATGCAGGATAGGCAAAATAGTGAAGTACTGATCCTTGGGTGCCCCAATTACGCACCCGACACACCAATTGTGCTGTTCTGGGTCAAGGAGTTCCGTACTGCGCGAAACGTTCTAACGGCCACTGGATCCTATGGTGTTCACTTCGAGGCGGATAAGGATTCGAGTTGTGCCAGTCAAACACGTCAACTTGGTACTTCCTGATGTTTTCATAAGTCTCTATACTGGTACCCTTGCCAAGTGGGTTGTAATCGCTCGTGCATTATTCACAGGTGCAGGGACTTGGACAGATTCCGTCGCCCCGATTAGACCTCAAGTATTGCTGATTAGCTACAACTCCTCAACCCATGGGCCGAATCTTTCCTAGGAGTCCATCCTAGCTATTTGCCGGTGCTGCGGAAGAGCGCGCGCTGCCCATGCAAGCCGCTTACTCCAGCAGAGCTTTCAGCGCCTCACATGCAAGGTCGTCAGGATGGGCGTGGGCAAGCGCGGTCGTGCCATCGACCGATCGAACCATGTGCATCCGCGATAGGACTAGTCGCAGCGGTCTTGTGCTTACCTGCGCGCTTGGGAAGGCTGCCGATGGCAACGGAGCCTCCAGAAGAAAGGTGCGCTGACTATGTGCGCTCAATTTAACTTGCTCCTTTTTTTCCAAGCATGCTTGCGTGCCCGTTCTCCCTCCACCTACCGCCCTGCCCTTTGGCATTTTTTCACTCCCCTGCCGTCCTTGCCGTTCCTAAGCCCCCTTTTGATCTGCGTCTTCCTGCATCCATTCTCTTTCCCCTCCTCGCTCCTCTTCCATGTCCCATGCCGCTGCTCCGCTGCCCTGCTACCTGCACCCACCTCCCTCAATCCCTCCGCCTCCCCACTTCCCTTCAGCCCGCTGGCGCCACCAACGCTGCCCCAGCAAGCGGCCCGGATTCCAATCCCGGCGAGCCCTTGGTATTGAAGAAGAGTGGCCAGGAGGAGCAGCAGCCCTCAGCGGCGCCTCTCAAGCGCACGGCCTACCGACGTCCCCGCCAATCAGCTGAGGAGCGGCGGCAGCAGCGGGAGCAGCGAAAGGTACGGCGCGCGTCGTTGGCCCCGCCTAGCTCTACAACCCTTCCCACCAGTTATAGGCAATGCCCTGCCCCTGCCCCTGCCCTGCCCGCAGCACTCTCTATGTCACCGGTGAACAGCCATCACGTGGTGACCTGCCATTGGGCAGGTCCTTTCCCGCGGCATCTTTGTTGCTCCTGTGCTGGTCGGTGCGTTCGTGCGCCATGCATGAACCCACCTCCCTTCTCCCTTCTCCCTCTCTCCTCTCTTCCCTCCTCATGGGCCCTCTTCTCCTGTTCCTTCCCTTCCCTTGTCCCTTCCCTCCTCGCCGCCTCCCCCGACCCCAGGCGGAGCTTGCTGCCCTGCGGCGGCAGGAAGCCAACAGGTGGGGTGGGGTAAAGAGGAAACAACTGGGGGTGGGGGGCGGAGATCGAGGGGGTGGGGTGCAACACATAAACAGATACACAGCCAGGTTGATGACACAAAGCCGTTTTCTTACCTAGTCGCATGCTGCAGGTTCTGCCCACCCCAATCTTCGCAGCAGTCCTTCTAGTTAATTTCATCACCCGTATCACCCCTCCTCGCCCCCCGCGCATGTCCCATCCATGCACACACAGGGAATTCCTCGCCCGCCCCGCCGGCCCTTCCTCCTCATCTTCTGCCGCCGCTGCCGCTGCCGCTGCCGGGCTCAAGGTAGCTCTGGTCGACGGTTACAACCTCATCTGGGCGGATAAGGAGCTAACATGTACGGCACAATACACCCTGGAGGTTAGTTTGTACTACCTGTGCCGTACGGCGGATCGTTGTACGGCACCGTTGCTGGGGTATTCAACAATGCTGAGCGGTACTGCTGCTGTCCTTGCTGATGTGTGCAGGGCGCACGGGACGCGCTAAATCGGATGGCCGATGCTTTTGGAGCCGCGAATGGGGTTAGGTGAGCGCGCGGGGGGGGGATGCAGTCTTCTCTCGCTTTATGCGGGGGTTCCTTGAAGTGCGAGAAAGGAGGAGATGATGCGACTTGCGTTACCAGACGGCAGCATTTTACAGCATTCCAGATGCTTTAAACAAGGTTTCTAGGTCCTTTTCACTTATGTGTTATGTCCAACAACGGCTATGTAACATTGGCGAGCATCCTCTGTGTTGTCCTCCTGAGTCTTGTCCACCCGGACGCACCGCCGCGCCCGCCACAGGGTCTACGTGGTGTACGACGCCATGGGCAACAGCCGTGCCGTACAACAGCGAGTGTACGGCGGAAGCGCTGGTGCCGTACAGCAACGAGTGGGAGCCCATGCCGTACAGGTCTTCTCCATGGGCAGCGAGGCTGACTCCTACCTGGGGAAGGCGGCGGGCTATTGGAAGCGCAGGGGAGCTGACAAGGTGGGCGTCAGGGTTTGAGGGAGGAAGGGGAAAGGAGGCGGCCTAAGCACACATTGCATAAGAGGGGCTTCCTATAGGCCTTGCTATAGGCAAGGATAAAGGGGTTCAAGGCGACTGGCGACTGGGAGGGTTATCATCCTGCCTTTCCTTGGTCATGGCAAACACCCGCTTCCAATTTTATATGCACATTACATAATATACTCCCTCAGACAAGGCCGAGCTATCGCACCTTGGCCTTTTCTACCTCTACAGCACTTGCTTTTAAGCCGTCGCTTACTTATGAACCCCGTAAAAACACTGCCTTCCTCCTTGTTCTTTCATCCCCACACCCCCCTTTCCGATCAGGTCATGGTGGTATCCAACGACCGTTACGTGCGGGACCTAGCCCTGGATGCGGACTTCACCGTGTTTCCACTGGACCCAGCCACCTGGTTGCAACAGGCGCATGCGGCACTAGCAGGCAGGGGGAGGAGTGGCAGCAGCGGGAGGGGGAGCGGGAGGAACGGGAGTGGGAAGGGGTTAGAGGGGATGGGTGTTGCGTATTGGGGGGAGAGGAGCGGGAGCGGTGGCAGCAGCAGTAGCGCCGGTGCGAGGGGGGCTAAGAGGCGGAGGGTGGCGGTGGGGTCGGGGAAGGAGGGGAGGGTGCAGGGGAGGGGTGGGGGAGGGGGAGGGGATGGGGACATGTTATTGGCGAGTGCGGATCTGGAGGCGGCGTTAGAGCGGTTGGTGGGGGCGGGGCCGGGAGGGCATCAGCAGGAGGAGGAGGAGGAGGGGCAGGAGGAGGGATGGGAAGACGAGGAGCAGGAGGAGGAGGAGGAGAGGAGGCACGAAGGCGGGCGAGCCCTCACTCCCGGTCTGACGCGGCGAAGAGCCTGCAGCGCGCTAGGACGCCGTCGGGGGCGGTTGCGGTTACAATGGCGGCAACGGTTTCGGTTGTTTCGGCATCAACCGCCGTCGTCGTCACAGTCACGTGAGTCACCGTCACCAGCCTCTCAACCACCCCCAGAGGCATCTACGCCGGCACCGCAGCCTGCGCCATCCTTGGTTGCACCATCTCCATCTTCGCCACATTCGGGTGCACTGGGGCGTGCAGGGGCGCGCATCAGGACTCCTTCGCTAACGAGTTCGCTCGCTGGATCTGGCTCCGAAACCGTCGCTGGCCCTAGAGCAGACATCGGATCTGGGTCGGTTTCTGGATCTGGATCAATTTCCCGATCGGGGTCGGATTCAGGTTCACGGTTGAGTGGGTTGCTGGGTCGGGGGGCGAAGGCTCGACTGAGCGGACTGATTAAGAGTGCGTTGCTAGATGAGTGAGGGGTGTTTGGTGTACGGGCCCCCAACTTGATATGAGAGGCGTGTGGGTGAGGCTTCAGTTGTTGTTGTGGCTGGGTGAAAAGGGTAAAGGGCGGGGAAATGACGAGGAAAAGGCTGAAAGTGCCTGTTCAGGCGCGTGCACTACCGTACAGCATGGTGGTATAGCGCATGGGACATTGTTATGGTAGGGGTGCAAGGGGAGGGAAGGGAGTGTGTCGTTTGTGGATTGAGGAGCTGGCTGGTCTCGGTTACCGACCCAGGTGCAAAAATCGACCGCGGATACTCATTCCTGTGTGTACGGCATGTCGTATGGTTTGAGCATGCGTGTGGAAAGGGTGCGAGCGCTTTCGTAATTGCATTACAGTTGATGTACCCTAAAGCTGACCGAATGTGAGCGGCATGGGCAAAATGAGTGGAGTGCGCTTCATTTCATCTGTTTAGTTTACCGCCCGTCGTTGCTGCGCGTGCTTGTGTCTACTGTCTACGGGAATGCGCAGATAATGGTGTGTGGGTCTGCAACCCCCAAGCGGGATGCAACCTTTAAAAGGAGAGCGATACAAGACACGATATCTGACCCAATTTCGGGTAAGGCATTGATGATTGCACACTGTACTGCACGCACTCTAGGCGTGGTGAGGCAGTAACAGGAACATGGCATGTGGGGGAACTTCAAACTGGTACTGGGCGGGCGAAGGGTGGCGCCGAGATGCTGCTGTTAGGGAGTTGTAAGTATCCCCCTTAGCACGTGCAAGGGTATTGGCGAGCAGCGCAGTCATCCATGTCGGTCGACCCTGATTCTTTGCCAGTTGTAGGGTAGCAGGCGGGTGGATGGGTTGTGGAGATGAAAAGGGCAGTGAGCTTTCTAGTCTTTAAAGGTCCCCAACTCATCTATAACTTATCTGAACCCTTGCGAAGGTAGCTCAACAACCCAATACACTTCTTAGCAAAAAACAGCTGTGACAAACAGTTAAGAGATACACTTGCAAGAGGTTAAGCTCAGATCTTTGTCGCGGCGAAAGCAGCTAATCGGCCTCAATTCAAATGCGTCTCATGAGACTTTGCAATGGCACCTTTTACAAGGGCAAGCAGCTTTACATGTTACATTCTTATGCCGGCGTTGCCGTACAATGGTCGCAGCCGTCCTCGCGCACCGAGCTAGGCCCGTAAAAGGAAGCCCGGCCTCGTTAGCAGCGTGCAATAGGTTTGGGTTTACTTCAGACCCTCCTAGCCAGCGCGTGCCGTTATCATCACGCACCAAAATGGCCGCGCAGCTGCTAGGTCGTGCTTTTGAGAAGTACTTCTACGACTTTAGCCTCTATGACACCTACTTCAACAAGTTCATCAAGAGCCGGGGCCAGTACATTGCCCTGTAAGTTGGATGGAGCCGTCACGGCGCAGTCTCGGTCAGGACCACCCCAACCCTCTTAACGTGTCGCCGACATGAGTCTTGACTATCATGGTTCCATGCACTTACCTCCTTGCTTGGGCTTGCCTGCGCAGGCGCCACGTTGCCTTCGTGATGGTGAGGGAATGGGGCGCCCTTGCCCTTTGCTGGATACTTCAGGGTTGCCAGCGTGCAGCTTATTGTTGATATCGAGAATGCAGCCTTAGCAACCTTTCGTGTTGGTGCGTAGGTGGGCGTGAACCTGCTCATCGACGTGAACTTCCCGTTCAACCCACCCTTCCCCACCATCGGTAAGACATTTGTAGTATATGTTTTGCTTCTACCGATATTACTGATTGACAACGACTCAATTGATTTTGGCCTTTCCCTATTGCAGGCATGTGCCCCTCCGGTAAGCTCCGACATAGCGCTTGGAAGGCAATAGGTTTCGCGCAGGGATCAGGTATGGGGAAATGTTTATTGTTGTGGAAAACTGACCGCGCGCGTTTGCTTGCGGTTGGCGGGTACGTGCAGGGTGGAAGGGCACCTGGGTGTGCGAGACGGACAAGCACAAGGCTCTGGAGGTGAGGGGTGTCGGGGTTTGCCCATAGGGAAAAGGATGCTGGGGGATTCGTTGGGTTTCCGCTATGGACTGAGCTATCATGTCGCGACGCATGGGGTTTGCCACACCTGCCTGCATCCCATTCGAAAAGCGCTGAGCACGCGATGGGCATTAGCTTTTGCCCTAGCCTTCTTGCTGGTTGCTGAGTGCTTAGTAACTTCATACCTTTTACCTTTCACCCGTACGCAGATGTACAAGGAGTGGAAGTCGGGCAAGAAGGCCGTGGAGGCTCACCACTAAGAGCGCGGCTCGTGCAGCTAGCTGCGGCAGCGGCGGTGGAGGCGTCCATGGCAGCCCGTCGGTGTCGTGTCCGAAGGGCACGGCGCCTCAGGCAGTTTCCGCGCCAGTCATTGGGTTGTGGCCCTCAGCTTGCGCTTCAACGTAGCTGTATAAAAGTGCAGCATAGGAAGGCATTGCTGCATGACAGGCGCTGCTTTGGAGCCTAACGCCGCTGCTCGTGCTGCTGGCTATTGGCTTGGCAACGTGAGATACGTCGGGCTGGGGTTGGTGCGGTGAAGGGGTCCGTGGAGCGGCATGGCAGCTGTGCTGACCCAGATCGGAAGCTTTGCTGCTCGTGTCCGCTGGGCGGCATCTAGAGAGTAGATGAGCGGGAGTTTCCTGGCCTCATTGTGCGGCATGGAGACGTTTTGCCCCAGCTGACCTGGAGCGCATTTCGGATCGGGTCTGGGTGATGGAGGCCGAATGTTGGCCTTCGTGCTTGGTCCGAGGTATTGTGTCGTTTGTAAGTCTCTGGGAGTTTACGCCTTGTCTTCCGACTGGAGTGTTGGCCGGCTACAGCCAGGCTTCAACTCAGCTTGGGTAATCAACTATCAGAAGGAGGTGCGCTAGCAGCGCAAGGAAGTCGGCATACCCTACTGGTACGCCATGCGCTGCCGTTTTACAGACGGCTAGTCCGCATATAAAATAAAGACATGCAACAGTCTTGGGTCGCGGAGACATTGTCAGCAAGTGTGCGGCAGCAGCACAACACCACCAAGGCCTCACGTGGCCTACCGCATTCACAGCGTTTGCTTTATCCAGACTCGAGTCCGTATAGCAACACTGTCCGCCAAGTGGCCACCTTGACAGTTGGGAAAAAGTTTGACACCCTCCAATGGAGCCTTATTCCTGCCGCCTAGGCCACGCGTTCCAGACGCACAGATTTGGGGGAATTCCGCATTAGATACGCCAGTTAAGACATAAGAAGTACTTAAACAGTCTTGTTGGTACTAGCTATCAGTGTATACATTACTTGTGCGGCATAGCTGCTAGTGCAATCCTGCTGCTGCTGCTGCAACCTGCACCGCACGCTCGCCACCGCCCGCCCGCCCCGATACCATGTTTTCCCTAACCTGCTCCAACTGCAGCATTGCCACTCGTATTGCCTAATCCGTTTCTAGGAAAGTGCTGTAACCTGCTGCCGCCACTGCTACGACTACTGCTGCTGCTGCATAATGTTTTGCTTCATCTTCTGCGCCAGCGCCTCTCGCAACGCCGCACGCTTGGCCTCGTCCTGGCTGGCGGCGGCACCGGCACCCCCCGCAGCCTTGCCCTGCGGGTACGGTACGGCAACATCCCAAACGTGTTGTACGGCAGTTAGTTGCGATCTCCGTACGGTAGACATCATTCGCCCACGTACTACGCCCACGAAGCGACTGTCCCGCACTTAGTTCAGATCCTTATCTGATCCCCCCTTGCATGCAACTTAACCACAAGCCGCCCATGCACAACCAACCCACGCAACCATCTCTCACCCTAACCTGCTTACACTTTGGAATCCCCCCCCTTTACACCTTCTTTCTCTTTGGCCCCCTACCTTGCCCGCCGCCGCCGATGCCTTGTACGCCTCAATCTCCTGCTCGCGGTCCGCCTGCTTCTGCGCGACGAGCTTCTTCTTGGCCTCCTGCAGCCAGCGACTGGCCTCGTCGTTCACGTCGCCCTTGCCGATCAGCTTCTGCGGGGCGGGACGTGGTGGACGGGGAGTGGTGGGTGGGAGGAAGGGGAGAGCAGGAGGGGTATCCAAAGGAGAGCGGCATCGCATTAGTCATCTGCACTAGTCGGCCAAAGCTTTCTTGTTACCCCACGAACCCCTCCCTACACGCTGGCACTGTAGCACGTGCACAGTGTGTGTTCCGACTCGCGGCCGTTTTCAGGTAAAACAAGCCCACCTTCTGCGACTCTGCCGCCTGCTGCGCCGCCTTGCGGATGGCCTCCAGGTCCACTCCCGCTCCGTCGCTCTTGTAGCCGGCACCCCGCCCGCGAGCCCTGCCGGCGCCTGTCACGGGGCCGAAAGATTGGAAGGGAGTTATCACCTTAGGGTGTTTGGAAGGCCAAACGCGATGAGAGGGATGTTCATGTTCCAGTGTTTGGGTTGGAAGGGAGGAAGGAAGTGCGTGGTCTAGAGCGAAGCCTGCATGGTGGAACCCTCTGGTAGAACCCTCTGACCGCGAAAGCGTCAGCAGGCTTGCAGAAGTGCTCAGGTGTCTTCCGTAGAGCGGAGCGCCTGCTCTCGGCTTCACCCTTTTTCCAAGCCTCCCAACACCGAAGACACATACGTACAGGCACGAATCACATAGTCCACTTACGGCACCGAAACCCACCCGAACTGCTCACCTGATCCCGTGGGCGCGTCAATGGGTGCCGGCACGAAGCGCTGCGAGGTCCGCCCGACCTCCGCTGAAGCGGCAGCGGGGGCGGCAGCAGCAGGTGGGGGCGGTGCGGCTCCCGAGGAGGGCGCTCCCTTGACGGGCGGCAGCGGCCCTGTGGTGGAAGCGGCGGCCGGGGCAGCCTGGCGGGGGACGACAGGGGACGGGAGGAGGAGGGAGGGTGAGCACTGAGCAGGGCTGTCATGCAAAGGCGCGAAACGGCAAAAAGAGGTAATGCGTTATGACCGGCCGTACACACACACGCACCCGTTTGTCCTTTCCCCTCCTACCTCTTGCTCCGCCAGTCGCCGGCGCTCCTCCTCCAGGGCCAGAGACAGCGCGATGGCCTGAGGGAGGGATAGGAATGTAGGCAACAATGAGCGGTAAAAGGAGTAGCAGCAGCTTAGGTCCCTCTCCGTCCCATCCAATCCCGTCCACACCACTCGGCCAGGTTTCTGAACACACCGCTCGCCACCAGTCTCCTTAACACACTCATCTGCCGTACCTGCTGTATGTCTGCCAGTTCGCTGTCGTACCGCGCCATCTCCCGCAATGAGGCCGCTATAGCGGCCGGCAGCGCCGTCTCTTCGTCTTCCATCTGCAGCGCCCGCATGGCTCGCTGCAGCGCGTCCTCCTCAGCCCATGCGGAGTGAAGCCGCGAGGAGAGCTCCATAACCTTTTGGAGGGAGGGGTGGTGGTGTGAGGGCGGGGGGAGACCAAAGGTGGAGGAAGCGTTGGAAAGAGACCGATCAAGCTTTGGGCGACAGCGGCAGCAGACAGGGGGGTGGGGAATGTGGTGCGGAGTTGTTGCTCGGCCCTCCTCTTCTTTCCCTCACCTCCTTCAGCGCTTGCTCCTCCGCACTGGTAGCTGCCGCCTGGGAGGTGATGCTGGGAGCGGAGGCAGCCACTCCCTCCTCCCCCTCCCCCCCGGCAGCAGCACCGGCACCCGCTGCAGCTGCCGCCTGCAGCTGGGCCTCTAGCTGCTCATAGGCCTGTAGCACCTGCGGAGAGGCGGGGAGAGTGGGGAAAGGAAAGGAAGGATGGCGAGGGAAAGATCACGGGGCTAAGATAGGTAGCCGGCAGGATAATATGGGGCGGTGTCACCAGTTTTTAGATGCTGTTCTGCCCATGGTCTCAAGCCTCCCGCACCAACCTGCCCCGCAACGATGCGCTCACCTGGTTTGTGAGGTCAATGTTGCGCTTCACCATCATGGCTTTGAACATGAGGAAGTCGTCAACGGTGAGGATGGTCTGAACCACGAAGTTGGTGAGCTGGTCGGAGTCCTGGGCGGCAGCCACGATCTGGGTCGGGGTTGGAAAAAGTGGGGAAGTGGAGGAGGGGGTTCAGGAACGCGGTGGAGTACTCTTTCCTAACTTGTACGGCAACAGGTGGAAGGGGATGGCTTGCCGGTACCGTGCCCGGCACCGGCACTCCGTCTGAGCAGCACATTCAGTCCAGCCACACGTGCATGCAGCAACCAACCGAGCCCCATGTGCGGCCATAAGTTATAACATGTCGCAGCGGCCGGGTCGACAGCTTCTCATACCCAACCAACCACCCAGGGTACGGCACGCCGTACGGCATAACGTTTCAACGAGTAAACAGTTCACAACCGCACCGGCATCATTGGAAAGCCTATGCAAAGGACTATCCATGGATAGCTTGGCTGCCACATGCGGCAATGTCTAGGGCGGTTCGTGACGCGGACCGCCCTAGACGTTGCCGCATGTGACGGCCAAGCTATCCCTGGATAGCTCTTTGCATAGGCTATCCAATGATGCAGATGCGGTAGTGAACTGTCGAGTCATTGAAAAGTTATGCCGTACGGCGTGCCGTACCCTGGATGGTTGGTTGGGGGCGGTTCGTGACGCGGAGGCCCACATCTGGCCCTTCCCTTTACTGTTCCTTGCCCAGGTTACGGGCACGGCTTCCTTATAGAGTCCTCATTAATGTAGCAAGGTTGCATGTGTGTGCGAGTGAGGATTACATGCACATGCGGGGCGAAATGTGTGACACCGATTGTGGACGTTGGTGCTACGGCCTCATGAGGGTGCCGGACGGAAATGGGCGCGGTATGGCCTAGACGTTGCCGCGGTTGTTCTGTTTGCACCCTTCGAGTTTCCTTAGCACCTTGACCAGCTGACAACTCCCGGATGCCTACCTCATAGAACTGCTCGGCACCCACACCCAGATCCTCCAAGAAATCCGTCAACAACCGATCAACAAGCTCCTTAAAGTCGTTGTGGATCTGGGGGGAAAGGAAAGATGTGTATTTGGCAGGCAAGTTAACTGCCATGTGCCAGAAAGAGAATACGTTGCCTTCCTTACAAGGTATAACAATGCTCATCTCGCAGTCATAATCTTCAAGCAGCGCCTTCCCCAAGCCCATACCATATTCTGCACCATCCCGCTCACCGTCGTGTATTCCAGCTTGTTCTCCTCTTCCGGGGTAAAGATCATGCATCTTTCATCGATAAAAGACATTAATGGGTTTATGTAAAGAGGCCCCTACATGCAGAGGAGTCGTTAGAAATGGGAATCGACGACATGCACTTGCCGTTTGGGGCTCACCTTCAAGAACTCAACAACAGCCTCTGCAAGCCATGTGGCATCAGCCATTTCCACTTCTATGCCAGATCACGATATAGCTTTGGTTGTGTATAGCCTGATTATCGCGTCAGTGGAATGGCCAGGTTTCGATCGCTACTCCGAGTCGTGTACGCTTATGTCTACTGGGCGGCACATATAAAATGGATGAGGAAAGCAATTGTTTTTCCTTGAAGGATCTCAGGAGGCTTCTAGGTTGGCCCTGTACGGACAGCTGCTTCAATGGCGCCTCTACGGTTGCCGACACAGTTGGAATGGTACAAACTCCCACGTATAACTTACACGTATCGCGGGACCCCTAAAAGGGATGAAAGGGGACGGGATAAACTACAGCGCCAGTGCGCATATCGCTATCTTATGCTCCGTCTCCCGCGGGTCGATCCAACAGCCAGACACACAAGGTTCCAAGATCCAAAGGCTCACATACCAATGCATCGGTCTCTGCAAAGCACCCTTTTGGGTGCGTCACCTGTGCGCTTATGTTGGCGTTATATAGCCCAATAAGTCAATTCCTTCGCCGTCACGAAGGCCGTACGAACGCCGTAATCCTGCTTGAAAATCAGCACCCAACTGACGCTCCTCTGGTCAACGCTATTTCCGCTCACACCTGAACAAAAAGGACCCCCGAAACAGATGGCATCTACCTCGTACCGGTATCAATCCCTCCCCACTTCCCATTTCCTCTGTCCAAAGGGTTCACCCGGCTCCAATGCACACCTGCACGCGCATGGTTGCGACTCTTCTGGAATGCACGGGTCAGCTACCGCGCCCAGTCTCCTACTTGTGCTCGTACCACACCGGCACCTCCGCCCGTCTAACCCAACGCGTCGACAGTACCGTAAAAGCAACGGCAGCGCAGCGACGGCGTCGACAGCAGAAGCGGCGCTGGTGGGTGGCTCCTGCCTCTACCGCGAGGGCCGCATCTCTCACCGCCCGCTGCTAGGCCCTGCCCCCGCCCCCGCGTCCCCATCCCCAGCCTCTCCGTCGCCATCAGCCGCTGATGCTGCTGTCTTCCGTTCCAGGCCGTCGTAAAGCTGCGAAGCAAGAGGCGTAACGGATGATAAGCGTTAAGGGTGACCAAACGCAGCTGCAGATATGGTTACAGCATCGCATAACAAGACAGCTAGAAACCGCTTGGTGTACTTTGTCTTTTGCACCTGTTAGCGCAGCAAGCCCTTTCCTTTCTCCGACCCGTGACCCATGGGTCCTTCCCAGCTTCCTCCTGCCTCCTACCGTGTCCATGAGGCGTGTGACGCCCTGCACGCCAATCTCCGAGTGCGCCGCCTCGCCCCAGGTGAGCACGGAGGAACCATCGGCTGCAGGTTTGTGAAGGCAAGTGGTGAGAGGGTACGTTCGGGCCTGGGCCCGCACTGCGCAGGTGCGCGTGAAGCTGCACATTACGAGCCTCCGTCCTAACTCCACCCCCTCGTATAGGGCTTGTCAGCTACATGTACCATTATCAAACATTTCTTTTGTCCCCTTGTATACGGTATACCAGTATCATTCCACCACACGCGGTGTTCCTCTCTTCCGCCTCTTCTGACCTGCCCGCTTGTCCGCCAGCACATATCGCTGCTCCTGCCAGCGCTTGAGCGCCTCCTCCAGCCCGCCCAGCCGCGGATGCGCCTCGCCGCAGTCGGGAGCCCAGCCCAGCTGCACCAGCAGCCGCCGCAGCATGTCTGCGAGCGAGATAGACGGTAGAGGGGCAGAGGAAAACACAAGGCCCACTTAACTTCAAATTGCAAGGGAGGGATGAGTGGAACAGGGAGGGAAATTCTCTGCGTCATGGCAAGGAGGTACGCGGTGGGGTCACATCGCGACCTGTTATCACCTTCTGCGGATCAGCCCACGCACCTACCTTCATCCATCTTGCCGCCATTTGACAGTATGAGCGCCAGCACCACCACCAGCAGCCCCTCGCCTTCACCCTCCGTATCCGACCCAACGAACTCCAACCGCAATGCCGTTGGCAGTGCCGTACGCAACAGAAAGTACTGCGACCCCTCCGCCACAGCTGCGGAGGCCGCCGCAGCCGCTGCTGCAGAGGATGCACCGGCGGCGGCTGCGGAGGAGGGTCCGGCGGCCGCCCCTGCGGCTGCTGCTGCTGCGGCGGCGGCTGCCGGGTCGAGGGCTCCGGGTTTGGGTCGGTTTACTTCGGCTATGTCGTACCCTAGCTTGCTGATGGCCATGTATCGGGCCCAGGGAAGCCACACGGGGCCAAGCCTGCGGGTGGTGGGGGTTGCGAGGGTAGAGCAGCGATGTGGATTTGGATGAGGAAACCGAGCCGGAGGAGGGGTGTGGCTGGGATGGCTGCATGCATGGGATGGCTTAAAAGCAGGTGGATGCTGCCACTGGTATACCAGGCTGGGCCTGTGTGTCAGCATCATAAGGGCACCAGCGCACGTCCTGCCCCAACCCCGCAACCCACATCAGCAGCACCCCGCAAGCACCATCGTCACCCCCGTCCCAGGCACCCACTTGCGATAGTGCTTGTTATTTGCCATCGCTTTCTTGAAGGCCTCCGTCAGCTTGGCCCTAGCAACCGGCTGGCGGGGCCGAGCGCGCGCGGCGAACAGCATGTAGCGCACCACCACCCGCGCCATCTCCTCCTGGTCCTGCATGGGGAGGTACGGAAGAGGAAGGAGCGAGTTGCCCGTATCTCTGATGCCCCGCTGAGTGGAGTAGGGAGGAAGCCTGTACAAGCGTTTGTACCGGTATCAGGCCCGACGAACAACAATATCATTCCATCGAGCGCCCTGCTCCGCTCCCATGCACTCCATAGCACACCCGTTTTGCAGCCCATCGAGAGTAACCCCATGATGCCATGAACATTACCCCCTCCCCGTCCTCACCGCATCCGAGAGGCTGTCCCATACGTCGCACCGCTCCCTGGCCGCCTCCCACTCATCTCGGTAGCGCTTGATCTGGGCAGGGCCGGGAAGGGGAGGATTGGGGAGTGGGAGAAACGGGGAGTGGGGACGCAACTGGGATGGGGCACGCATGGCAGTTGGGGAGCAGAAGGAGCATGGAGCGAAGATGCATGGAACGTCACCATGCTCTCTCCGCTCCCCCGCTCCCGCTGCGCCCGGCAGACGCTCCCCGCCACCTCACCAGCCTACGCATGCTCGCCAACTCCTCCGCATTAACCGTCAGCGGCACCGGTGGTGGCACGTACGACCGCCGCCGTCGTACCGGCTCCGCCGCCGCCGCAGCAGCAGCGTCGCCTCCGCCACCCAAGCTGCCCCCTGGCATCCCCGCGCCCTCCTCGCCGCCTCCGTCAGCGTTCTCGTAATCACCATCTTGCTCCGGAGGCTGGCTGGCGGCGCCGCCTCCGAAACCCCGGCCCCTGCCACGGCCCCGACCTCGGCCGCTGCTGCCTCCACCCCGCCCGCGCCCACCGGCGCCGCCACCGTTGCTGGTACGAGCAGCCTGGGAGTTGGGGACTTGGGAGTTGGGTGCCTGGGTGTTGGGGGCCTGCATGGGACCACGCAGGGGCGGGGCATGCGGTTAGGGAGTCCAAAACCAAAGAAAGCCGGGCTAGGGGGCGTGCATTCAAAAGAAGCCAAGCAGCGGTGTAAGCAGTGCCCCATGGACGCGCCCCTCCCTCTGGTGCTGTCAAGAAGTCTTGCATCATTGCTTCATGGTCGCTAGGTCGCTCTGGTGGATCCTGCCCGGCACCCCGCTGTGTCCCTCGCTGTGTTCTCCGCAACCACCCCTCTCCAGCTCCGACCACTGCCGTACCTGGGCTCCAGCACTGTCATCGCTGTCTGAGATGACAATCACCTCGCTATCGCTGCTGCCCTCGTCCGCTGCAGGGGCTGCTGCTGCTGCGCCACCGCCCCGGCCGCGGCCCCGGCCTCGCCGACTGCTGCCTGCGTTGACGCCGCGGCCGCCCCGGCCGCGGCTGGCAGCACCCCTGGCAGCGCTTTTCCCACGGTGCCTTGCACCATCGTCCTCATCGTCAGAATCCCCGATGAAATCGTCGTCATTTTCCTCATCCATGGCGTCTTGGTGGTCATCGTCTTCGTCGGTTTCCTCTCTACCTGGCTCCCTTTTAACCTGAACAGCGCGGCGTGGTCGTTTGTTTGATGCTGCGGGGCCCTGGCTTGGACCAGCGGTGTGACCGCGGGCGGGCTGGGAACGGCCTAGTCGGCCGTCTCCATCGTCTTCACCCAGCTGCTGGGACGGCATCCGCAGGGCAATGGACAAGAGGGGATGCACTTCCTCAACGAGCTGTGCGTTGTTGCTTTTTGGTAGATTCCATCGTGCTACAAGGCGCTTGCACAAGACGGGTACGCCAAGGGGCAATGAGCGGCTACTCGACGAATACGCAGGCACAACATGCTGACCTCGTCATAGGGGTCCAGGTTCTCCGAATTTTCGTCATAATACTGGCGCTGGGCGCGGTCTCTCTTCGGGCGCTGGCTCATGGCGCCCCTGGGTCCCGGCTTTTTCCGTTAGTACTATGTCAGTACCAGCATGAGCGCGACGGTATCAATTTGTATAGAATAAGCTCGTAGGTCCTTAACTGCTAGGTAAAAGGGCTAAGTTCGAGGGGAGGAAGGGCAGGTAAGAACGCCTAAGGCGGAAGGGAAGCTGTGCGGCAAACTCCTAACATAAAGGAGTTCGGCTAGACTAGGTAGGGGTTCTGAGAATCGATCATCTGTCGTTCCCGCCAAGGCGTACGGCTAAGATACGGGAATGGCCCGAGGGTCCAGCAAAAATTACCGCGGTTGCCCTTGTAGATGCCATAGCATCTTACGCCACTAGTACCTGCAAATGCTTCTGTAGGCTAGACACCTCGGGTGCAATGTCACGCAAGCATGCACTCCAGCGCCTTCTTGAGCTGCTATCGCAGCGGCAAGGCTTACAATTAGATGACGTCTTACGCGAGGTTGCAAACTTTCCATCATCTTTGATCGAGCCCGTCGCAAAGCTTGCGGCCGTGTTGCGCATCCCGCCGTTGGTCCTCTGGTTCGCCATCGCAACGCTCATGGGAAGTGCGGTCATAGCAGTCAGCTGGATTCTGACTGCCCTCATCCTGACTTTGACGCGAAGCCAGACATCCGAACCCAGCGCTTACCGTGGCGAAAGCCCCAACCAAGATGATGGCGACGAACAGTCTAGCGACGAGGTTAGCGACGAGCAACGCTTGGTCACTCCACCTCCAGGCCCTAATAGGCCGTTGCAGCCTTCCCAGCAAAAATCGCACCAGCTAGCCAACGCGCCACCGCTGCCACCGCTGCCAATGACATGGACACCATTCCTCGATGCCCACAGTGCAGCGGAAGTTACCCGCCTTATCCGCTACTATGCCTCCGCCATCCCTGCCACACCCATAGAGGCAGCCCGCATGTGTGACGCCGTCTTCGGGTTGCAGCTAGATGCCGGCGGATACAGCAGGCTGCTGCAAACCGAGTTGCTCTCATCATCATCAGCAGCAGCAGCAGTGTCACCGCAACCCCAATCAGCTGCAACCGAAGAAAGTCAAGCGAGGCCAAGCGCTAGCAGCAGTGGTGAAGGAGGCAGTGTTGGAAGAGGTGCCGATGAGGGTCTTGCAGCGCTAGGCCTGGTGACACTGGAGGCCCTCATGGTACGGTACATGTACGGCGTGTACGGCGGCAGTGCGTACGGCAGCACCGCCGCTGACGACGGCAGCCTTGAAGGGGCCGCCGCTGGAGTGGATACCCGTACTTCGAGGGGAAGCTGCTCCTACCGGCGGGGGGATGTGCCGGCAGTGTCAGCGGTGATGGCCCGCGCATCGGCCCTCACCCGGGGTCCTGTGCTAGAAGCTCTGGCTCGGCGCATGCGTTTAGAGCTGTTGCTGCCGCAGGAAGCCGCAGCAGCAGCAGCAGCAACCACAGCTGTGGCCCCCATGTCTGCTGCAGGCCAGGCAACTGGCAGCAGCCGCAGGGCAGCAGGGAAGGGCGGTGGGGTAGCCGTTAGGAAGGAGCAGGAGCAGCAGCAGGAGGAGGAGGGGAGCGTGCAGCTGGGTGTGCGGCTGCTGCTGCGGCTGGTGTGGGAGGCGCAGGTGGCCGACCCGGGGGTCACTGCGTGGCGGGCGGTGTGCGTGCTGGGGGGCCTTGCACGGGAGCTGCGGCTGCTGGGGTAGGGACCGTACAGTACGGAAGTTGTGGCTGGGCTAGGGTAGGAAATGTGGCGTTACCCTGCTGGTTAGCGCGTCGCATGTTTCGCTTTTGTTTCGCGACTACTGGAACAAGATGGTTACGTGTCTCACACAGGTGAAATCGTTTAGGCTGCAAAACTGCGTTAGGTGGATTGTGTGGACAGTGGGAAAGGTCTGTGTCATGCACTGCTCTGGCAATTGTCGTAGTAAGCAGGCTGTGCCCACTGGGTGCGCCCAGAGTGCTGGATGACAAGATGAGTGAGGGTCCAGGTTAAGAAACACGGGTTACCGGTATAACCTCGGCCCCATCTTTCTCCTTTTGGCTTAACCAACACCTGTACCAGTCCAGATGGTCTGCAGAGGTGTGCCTAGGCAGTACAACTGCAGACAATAGTGCACTCAGCCGCTACTCAGGGCACAAAACTGACTCAGTCGCACCTTTCTCACAGCCCCCGCACCCTGGATTGCGGTACCACCCCCGTGCCGCCCCCCCCCTTCATGTCCTCTTCCCGCCCTTCCTCGGCGTATCCTTCCGTACAACAACCATCCCCCGCAGCCGCCGCAAACTGGGTTGTCGTACCCAGGGCGGCAACTGCCTCATGGCTCCAGGGAAGCCCCAAAGCCACCTCAGCTCGTCCACAACGTCATGCGCCCACCAGACTCGCTGCTCCGAAACCGCCGCCGCGAGACCCACATGGACCCGTGGGTCGGTGATCTCGCATGGCAGGGGAAGCTGAAAGGCCGCGGCGGCTTCATCACTGGCTGTTGTGTTTGTGGTTGCGGATGATGCAGTTGAAGATGACGAGGCGGCAGCATGATGGAGGTTGTAGCTTTGCCGCCGAGGAGAGAGTGATCCATGGTGGCGCAGCAGATTCAGCGGATCTAGGGCGTCGTTGCCGTGCCCATTGTACGACGATGAAGATGAGTCAGCCCAGTTTGGATCCAGGATGTACGGCGATGAGGAAGAACTCGAACTCCCGCCTCGGAGTGCCCCATGTAGACTGGCGTCTGCGTCCTCCTCCTCCTCCTCCTCCTCCGCCTCCTCTTCCTGCGTCTCACCGCTGCTGCTGTGGCGCTTGCCGCCGACGCGCCGCCATCTGCTGTTGACCTCCGCAGCTTCCCCACCCTCTGCCTCCCACTCCCCGTCATCTTCGCCTTCCTCCTCCCATCCCCCTTCTCCCTCCAACCTCCACTCCTCCTCCTCCTCCTCCTCGTCCCACTCCTCAGGCTGTTCAGGACCAGCGTCCTCCTCCTCCTCTTCCGCCTCCTCCTCGCCGTCATAGTAATCACCCTCGTAGCCATCCGTCCTTCTGCCGTACATCTCGTCCTCCTCCTCATCCGTCTCATTGCCGTACAGCCCTCCTACTCCTCCTCGTCCCTCCTCCCTCGCCGCCGCTGCGGATGCCCGAAGCGATGCCTCCAACGCGCTGCCTTTGCTCCTCTGCCGCTGCGCCCCGCCACTGCTGACGGCGCCAGACCCACCACCGCCGCCGCCACTGCTGCCGTACAGCTCACCGCTGCCGCCGCCGCCGCCGCCGCCGCCGTCGCCTGCCGCGGGGGTTGCGGCGGTCGTTGCCGCCACTGCTGCGGCGCTTCGGAGCCTCAGCGGTGAGGGCCCCAGGCAGCCGCCTGCCGCGGCTCTGAGGGCGGCGGGTATGAGTGCGGCGTGGGGCGGGCGAGGTAGCCGCAGCCGCAGGGCCTTGGCTAGCTGCCGCTGCCACTGCAGGGGGGGTTCCTGGGGTGGGGGTTGGGGGAAGAGGAGGCGGGCGGGGTTGAGGAGAACATCCCGCTTACTGAGATCACCCCGCTTACTGAGATCAACACGCTTACTGACAACAACCCGCTTACTGACAACAACCCGCTACCCTGCTTACAGGACGCCCTCCTCCGCTACCCAGGGGTCTCCAAACTCGATCACCCCTCCCCCCAACCCATCGCAGTTTCCCCAATTTGCGCCCTAACCTCTGGCCTCCAGCGGTTTGGTCTCCCCCCCCTCCCCCCCACCCCAAACCCACCATGTCCGGGGGTAGCATGTCAGCCACGGCGCAGTACAACAGTACGGCACCCCGGGCGCTACAGCTGTCCCACTTGGAACCCGTCTCCCTGGGAAGGACGGGAGAAGGGGGGGTGGTGTGAAGGGATGGAGAAGGAGGGGGAGAGGAGGGACATGAGGCAGGAGCAAGTGAAGAGCGGCCAGGTCGAAGGTATCCCGGTACGTAAGGCACCGTATACGAGGTATACCACACGCCGGGCATGCGCCCCCACCTGAGCACCGTGTTCCAGAAGCGGCGGCTGTCCGTACTCCAGCCGTACTGGCTGAGCCCCCACAGCAGCAGTGCCAGCCCCTCGCCGCTGGTAGCCGGCATGCGCAGATAGCCGCAGGCAGCCAGGTCCTGAGGGGGGGTGAAGGGGTGGAGGGGTGAAGGGATGGAAATTATTTAAGTGAAACAACGAGTCTCAATCGACTCATGGGTGGAGGGGTGGGGTGGAGGGCAAGAACTGAAGGAGTGAAGGCGTGAGGATAAGAAGTGAAGGGGTGAAGGGGAAATGTGTGCGGGGCTGCTGGAAACCCTATACAGGGGCGAAGGGGTGGGGTGAGGGTGGGATGACAGTACACAACCCGTGACGATATAAGCCCCCACTTTGAATGGTACTGCAAGGTACGGTTCTGCAAGGGGACAAAGCCGACCAGAGGCAGGAAAAGCAGCAAACAAGCTGTGTACGGCAAGTGTTGTGTGTACGGCACCTTGATCCAGTCCTCCTCAAGCGGCCAGCCCAGTACGGCAAGTCCGTAGGCGATGAGGCCGTGATCTTCGTTAGCGGCGGTTGGAGATCCCAACCGCCGCCTGGCCTCCGCGGCGAACAAGGTCATCCAGGCGTCGGAAGGCCTGTGGGGAAGAGGGTGGGGGGCAAAAAGGAGAAAATGACAAGGATGGGGGGAACAAGGTGCGAGGTTGGCGTGCGCGGGATGTCAGAAGGTTTCGTGCTGCTGTTAGCCGGCTCTGCGGACCCCAACTAGGCGTGCCTACACGGAAAGGAAGCTGACATATGTCGTACGGTATGCCATGCATGTCTTACGACACATGCCGTAACAAATCCTACATGTCGTACATGACACATATTTCATACACGTCGTACCTGTACTGCAGATCCGCAAGTGCTGCGATGAGTGTCGACAGCTCCGCCGCACTTGCGGAGCGCTTCACCTCGGTCATCCGTGACAGAAGCGCCGCTAGCAGCGGAGCAGGCGGCACTCCGGCATGACCCAAATGGACAGCATGGACCGCATGACCTGAAGAACTGCCGTTGGCATCCCCAGCACCACCGCCACCCACTCCGCTCGCACCGCTACTGCTGCAGCTGCCAGCGTTGTCGTCGTTAGAGTCGTTACTGTTGCTGTTTCCGTACATGGGGAGATCTTGGTTGCTCTTGGAAGATGAAGTCATGGATTCATCTAGCTGCAGAAGGAGCTTCAGTTGCGAAGCGGCCCAGAGTGACTGGGAAATGCAGGTGGCGGAAAAGGTCCCGATGACCCGTGGGTCACTCGCAGCCTGCCACCAGGCTTCTAACCACTCTGACACCGACACGGCTACCACCCTTGGCTGCACCGCCGCGGCTGCTGTCGCTGCTGCTGTTTCTCTACTTCCAGCAGATGTGGCAGGAGAGCTAGCAGTCGAGGAAGAGGGAGGAGAAGACAGAGGGGGCTGAAGAGAATGTAAAGAAGGTAGTCGCGTGTGAGTTGTATGCGGGTGCAGTTGTAGTTGTTGGCGCAAGGCGGGGCGCAGCAGCAGCAGCACTGCAAGCGACCAGAGCGCCATACTGAGATCCGACCCGTCCACGGTTCCGGAGCGCATGCCGTACAGCACCTTTCATCATCATATAGTGTACGACGAGAACGGGTCCGTAACGTGATATATACAGTTGCGGGAGGAAAGGGAAAGATGGGAAGAAGGGAGGAAGGCGAGGGTGTTGGTGGTGAAGGAACTGTTAGGAGTTGTGTTATGACAGTTGTGCAGCCTGCATGGGTATGCATGAGGTCAGTAAGACCCATCAAATCTCTCCTACTTTTGTGTTTTTGGTGAACCCTTATGATTAAACCAGCTTGCACAGGTAAACAGGCAACACCAGTAAACCACACAGGTTAGCGGACATACTCACCCTCGTCAGAAGACCCTCCAGCAACTGCGGTGTCAGTGAGTCTCCGGCTGCAGCCAGCGGGGCTGCCGCAGCAGCAGCACTGCCGCCGGTGTTGCTGCTGCCGCCCCCACTGCCACGAGCATCACCACCCCCCAGCCCCAACCCGCACCCATACCCAGTACTCCTAGCCCACGACCACAACAACCGACTCGCCTCCCGCGCCCCCAAACCCGCACCCGCCCCCAAACCCCCCGTCCCCGACCCCCCCAATTGTACTGCATGAACTACAGCACCACCATTGCACGACATCCCTGCCGCCGCCGCCGCCGACAGGTGAATGTACGGCATAACGCACGACGCGAGCGAACGCATGAATGCGCCGCCGGGCGTCGGCCGCCAGCGTTGGAAGGAGGCGGCGGCGGTAGCGAGCGTGGCTAGCTGTGTAGGGCCCAGCAGCGGCATGAGGCGTGTTGCGGCAGCATGCATGCTGGATCCAACCTCGGGGCGAGGCGAGTAGCGCAGGCGAGCGAGGGAGGCGAAGAGGGAGAGCAGCTGGGCGGGGGAGAGGTGACGCAGGCGGTTGTGTAGCTGCGGGGCGGGTGGGAGGGGCGGGGGTTACAATTTACTTTTAGATTACAAGTTATGTAAGAAACGTAGGAGAGCGATTGAATTGGAGTTGGGGGGTGGAGTTGGGTAGGGGCGAGGGATGCCAGGCGAGGGATGTCACCGGGCCTCACCTGACCCACGAGTGCTCGCAGCCACAGGCGCTCAGGTACATAGTCCAGCGATGCGAGCGACCAGGCCACTCGGACCAGACCCTGCGGTTGGATTTACCGGCGAGACGAGGCGAGGCGAGGAGAGGCAGGGCAGGTCAAGCAAGCCGAGTAAGTTGGGCGCTGGCAAGGCGGACCACAGGCTAGAAACTGCAGTCCTAGACATACAGAACAACGGATTAACTGAATAACCGTCACCGTCTGCTAAGCCTATGGGCCTTTGGTCGCCCAACCTAAGACACTTCAAAGGTCATGATAAACCCCAACCATCCAACTCTTGTCATGTAGGACTGGTGTCCGCCGGTACGCTCACCTCGGATGAGAAAGCGCTCAGGTTGTCGTACACTCGCTCCAGGAAGGGCCGCATCCACTCCTCGGGCGGTACGTACGACATGCGAGCTAACGACCACAACATACCCCACAACTGCTCCGTACTTTTAGTAGTAGTACGGCAATCGCCGGCACCGCCGCTACTGCTGCCACCACTACTAGTGCTGTTACTCCCGGCAGCAGCAGCAGCAGGCCCGCTACCACCTCCTGCTGACATCAGATTTGAATTCGAAGCTGGATTCGAAGCCGGATCCAGGCCTCGTACGACATCGAGGCTGACGTGGCAAAACGCGGCAAACCAGGCCTTGTCAGGGCGAGGCAGTGGCTGAGTTGGAAGCGGAGGATATTTCGTCGTGTTGACGACTGTCCCAAGGCTGCTACTGCTACTGCCACTACTGCTACTGCCACTACTGCTACTGCTACTGCCAGCAAACGCAGTCGCCACACCCCAAATCAAACTCGTCAGGTCTGCCGCCGACCAAGGTTCAGGCGGCGGAGGCGCCACTGTCGTACGATCCGCCCGCCGCCCGCCTTGTCTTTGCTCCTGCTGCTGCTGCTGCTGCCGCTGCTCATGCCGCTGTCCCTGCCCCTGCCGTTCCCTCGCTACACTCGCCCCCGTCACCGCCGTCACCGCCATCTCCATCATCTGGGAAATCTCAGATAAGGCACGCGGCGCTCGGCTGATGACGTCACTGCCGCCGCCGCCGCCGTCAGCGTGAGCAGCGCCGTCATCGGACCCAAGTTGTTGCCGCCGCCGCCATTGCCGTACATTCCTGACGTCATAGCTCCCTGCCGTACGGAGTTCCGACGCCGCCGCTGCGGTGGCGGCGGCGGCGGCGGTTCGCCGCGCCGCCAGGGCTCGTAGGTGGCGGCCGGATTCCCGAAGTACGGCGTCGTACAGAGGTCGAGATGTGAGCTGGAGCATACCCATGCTGTACGCGATCTGAAACATTTTGCCGTACGAAGGGTTTAAAAGAAAGGACCAATGAATAGGAATGCAGAAGCTTAGGGCGATGCGAAGCGCTAGGGAGGCAGGGTATGATGGAAAGAAAGCATGCAACAATAGCCCCAACGAATAGCTCAATGCTGCCTAGTTCAGAAGCATGTGCCCTTTGCATGTATAGCCCCCTCGCATGTACAGATCCCTTTGCATACGAAGTCTATTCCAACAGCAATAGCGCTCCTTGACACAATTCCCGCTCGATACCCTCCTTTCCTTTGCCGCATACCTGCGCTATTTCCCTTCCGCTGCATCCTCCTCCGCCTCCTCCTCCGTCAGCCTCCTCCCCCGGCCTCCCACACAATGCCGCCACGCCCGCCTCCGACAGTCGCTCGCAAAAGGCCCGGAACGCCGACGCCTCCGCCGGACCGCGAGTGTACGGCGGCGGCGGCGACGCCAGCCCATCAACCGCCGCCGTTGGCGGTGGTAGTTGAGAACCAACCGCCGCCGCCGCCGCCGTCACAGGAGCTGTGTTGTACGGCAGGGGGCTGTCTTGAAGGGCACCGTTGGGGCCGCTGGAAGCCCCTTGGGTTGCCTCCGCATGAATGAGGCCTGAAGACGAAAGCAACGGTAATTACATGTAGGCAGACCCGGAAAAGCGGAGAGAATTTGCAGAAATCCAAGGCAGGAAGAAGAGGAAGGGCATGGTGAAATCGTCGCCGACATGGCCGCAACAAGGATAAGCAGCCTGTTTCTAGCCTCCCTTCGCGCTAAATACCGGTGACATGCCGAGAGCTCTCCTTGCACCTAAACACACCAACCCACCTGCAGCCTGCTTGAACACCGCTGCAACGACCCGTGGGTCCATCCGCCGGCCACTGCTCGCACCCCTCCCGCCCGTCATGCCACCACGCCCTCTTCCTCCTCCTCCTCCTGCTCCTGTCCGCATCTCCCCGGCCGCCACCGTCTCCAACAGCGCTTGCAGCTGCAGCCAGTCGCGAGCAGCAGCCACCTGGGGGGTCAAAGACCATACCATACCATAGGAAAACACAGGTTAGGGGTGGGGGGGAGGCGAATCGGGTGGTTGGGTGGCTGGAGGTTTGGGTGAGGGTGAGGCGGATAAGGGGGCGAGGGGGAGTGATGAGTGATGAGAGGGGTGAGGAGTGTTTGCAATGTTGTTTTGAGGCTTCTAATGAACACTGCTAACGGGACCCCCCTGCTGCCACCGGTGCTGCTCTAAAGAGGCGGAGAGCCTCTGGAGAGGGTCGCAGCAGGCATGGCGCGACAGGACATACAAAAACACAGGAGAAGCAGGGGGCAAATTGCAGCATCTAGATCTTCTAGGGACGGTAAAAGACGGTGAGGAGACATGCCCTCCTACCTCCTCCAGTAGCACTGCCCTCAGGCGCTCCTCTTCCTCCCCTTCCCCTTCATCCTCGTCTATTCCTTCGTTCTGCTCCTCCTTCTCACCGCACCCGCCGCCACCGTTGCTACTTCTCCGTGTGTCGCTGCTGCTCCTGCCTCCGCCGCCCCGCCCCCGCGCGCCCCCCTTCAAGTCTCCGTAGCCGCCTCCACCTGCGCCTCCTCGTTCCGTCTCTCGCAGTACAATGGTACGGAGATACGATTCGTACGGCACTAGGTCTGACTGCCGCCGCCGGAAACGCGCATCGGCGGCGGCAGCAGCGGAGGCGGCGGCAGAGGCGGAGACGGGATCTGCTGGGGTATCAGCTGTGGCGGTTGCGGCGCTGGCTATAGCAGCAGGCGTGCTTGTAGGAGGAGAAGCAGGAGGGGGAGGTGCGGGCGCGGCGCCTCCTAGCATGCGCCACTCCTCGGGACTGGGAGGAGATGCAACCTCCCTCCTAGGCGCCGCCCCCGCCGCCGCCCCCCCTCGAGCCATCAGTCGTGCCGTCGTGGGCGGCTCCGCGAACAGCTCCAGGGGCTGCCGGTCGGCGGGCGGAAGTGGCGGCGGCGGCAGCAGCGACGGCGACACGTCGGGATGTACGGCAGCGACGGCGGCGGCGAGCGCCTTCGTCGCCGGGTCGCCCAGGAGCTCGCGTTCGACGAAAGCGACCTTGGCATGGGGCGGGGGGGTGTAGAAAGAGGGAACACAAGCCACATGGGGTTTAAAAAGAGGGAATACAAACCATAGGGCATGGCTCTGTCATGGGTGGGGGTTGCATGGTGGTAGGGGAAGGGATGTGTTGCATGGGAGTGTTGCATGGGAGTGTTGCATGGGAGTGTTGCATGGGAGTGTTGCATGGGCAGCTGGACAGTACGGGGAAGCTCAAAAGTACATCGCACCGCACTGCATGCGTGTAATGAACATGGCTTTCTGTTAGCCCCGAAGCGCCCCCTAACCCAATGTCTGCTCCACACTCGGGTTGGCTCACCACACGAGCAAGTCGTGCAGCCAACGCGTCCCTACTGCTACTGCTGCCACGAGCAGGGACAGGGGGAGGGGCAGCAGCAGCCAAACCAACAGCAGCCGCAGGGGCCGCAGCCGCTCCATCAGCTGAGGCATCCCTACTGCCGCTGCTGCTGGCACCGCTAGTCCGGTGGTGTCGCTGCGCCTCAAGGCCCGACGAAGCGCCGTCTTCCTCCGTCTTCCCCTCCTTCCCTTCCGACCCTGTCCCTGTTCCTGCCCCTGCGCTCAGCACTCCTGCTCCCTCACGCCCGTCACCCATGCCGCCTTTCTGGCCGTGTGGGGTCCCCGCAGCATGCGCTGTGGGGTCTGCAACTCGCCGCTCCCAGTGTTGTTCGTCTTGCTGCCCCTCCGCTTCCCTTTCCTTCCTCCCTTGCTCGTGCTCCTCCTCCTTCTGCTCCTCTCCTTCCTGCTTCCCTTCCTCCTCCACAACTGCTTCCACGCAGTCGCCGTCGCTGTCGCCCGTGGCGGCTCCGGAATGCAAGACCGGCAGCGACGGCAGCTGCTGTTGCTGCTGCGGTGACGGCGGCGGCGGTGATGGTGGTGGTGATGGCGGTGCAGTCAGCCTCTTCGCCCTGCCGCGCATCAAACGAGACAGCAAGCCGCCACCACCACCACCACCACCGCCACTACCGCCAGACCCACCGCCGCCGCCGCTGCTATTGCTGCTGCTGCTGCTGCTTCTCACGCCGCTTGCCTCATCTCCACTGCTGCCTCCGCTGCTTTCCTCCGCTATCCCTCCTAACTGCTGCGGCTGCGGCTGCAACGCCTCATCTCCTGTCCCAACCGCCGCCTCCTCACCACATGGAGCCCCCGAGGACGCTGCCTGGGTGGGATCCAGGCCTTCAGTTGACGGTTGCGGCAACGACGACGCCACGTGGGACGGCAGCCCGGCAGTTGGCGGTGGTGGTTTCGGAGCTGCTAACGAACCGGTGGGGGGAGCAGTTGCAACAGAGCCGGCAGTGTTGTTTTTGCTACCCCGGGGCCGCCCCCGGCCCCGACGAGGCTGCTGCTGCTGTAGCGTAGGTGGCTGCTGCTGCTGATCGTCCTCATCCTCATCCTCTCGCTCGTTTACCTTCGCGTGTGCGGTTTCAGTCACTGACAGCGCCTCTCCATGCGTCCCCGCCGCCGCGCTGTCGCCGGCAGCAGCATCAGTGCTGTCTTCTGGAGGTTCTGCCTTCCTCCTCCTGCGTCTGCTGGCGCCAATGGCACCGGAGCCGCCATCGTTGGGGATGTCACCACTGTCACTTCCGCTGCGAATGGTACCGGGCGCTGCTGCCTTCTCCCCAGCGCTGCTGCGTTTGGCTGCGGCTGCTACTGCTGGCCTCCTAACAAATCGATCAGAGGTCTGTTGGATGCGGGACGAGGAAGACGCGCTGCATGGATGGTGCAGTTGTGGCTGTGGCTGGCTGGAGAGGTGTACGGCACATGGACGGGTGTTGGACGTAAGCTGGGGGGCCGAGGGAGCGGATAGCGGTAGGGGTGTGGAAGGTGGTGCTCCGATGTCATGCCGATGGGGCAAGCCAGAAGTCCAACTGGGAGGGAAAAGGAGGACAAATGGGAAAGTGGGGAGGACAAGGCTTGGTAGGCAAGCCGTAGGTGCCCTTGGCGAGTTTAAGTGTGGGTAAACGAAAGCGGCTCATGTGACCTGTGATGGAACCAAGGATGGATGGCAAATAGTGCAGTCGCGACGTTAGTCGATTGCAGTCTTTTTAATCGAATTTGGAAACTGTCGTCTTTGTTGCGAGACCCGTGTTCTATCGATCAGTGCTTTCGCATGCCGTGCAAAGCAACATGATACAACCATGTGAGCACAGCGACGAACGGCGCCCACCTCTGCCGAGCTGCCGGCCCGCATGTAAACGTGTTAGCCTTCATATTTATAATAGGAACGCCATCGTGTCGGCGATAACGTCACAGTCCAGTCTAGCGGCTCCAGAACAGCTGAACCTCATGACCAGTTTCCGGATCGTACGCGTATACAACATTAATAATGTTATGCAGCTAAAAACTACTATATTGCTGTCGTTAGCTATCTCCTATCGTGGCTATATATTAGTGACAAACCAGCGCATTTGGCTAGTTGAAAGGGAGTCACCTCACTAGCAGCAAGTGTAGAACTTCTTACCCCTGGTGCGTAATTACAGTTCATTACGCGGCTGTTCTCAACACCGGGTCGCGGGTAGCGGTTGGGTTGGTGCGTGTACTGCATGCATCATCTTTATCGGCTGCTGCTGATCTCAGGTCCCTGTTCCAGACCGGTACGTTTTACCTGTAGGCTCCTATGCGACAGAATTGTGTAATGTAACAGTCATGCATCTTTCATGCCACTACCTTGCTGACCCATGGGGCCAGAATCCAGCTCAAGCACACCGCGACAATGCCACAATCGCTGTACAGTTTATGCGCTATGTCATGTGGATTCTGTGTGACAGCTGCCTGCACTCTTACACAGGGTGGCAAAGAAAACGCGGGCGGGCTGAGGGATGCCGGTATAGGGCGGACAGAGCTCGACAGGTGTAGCCGGGATCAGATCTTGCGTGATATTTCCGTGTCGTGAAGACCATCCTGGTCTTGAAGGCAGTCAACGCAGCCTTCAGATAAGCCTTAGCGAACGCTTCTTCGCCAGGTTAGACAGTAATCCCTTTGTACCAACCAGCCGCAAACATCTGTGAAGAAGTCAGGTTTGGGCAAATTCGCATACCGGGAGTCAGCGGTGAACCTCAGCACCCGGCAAGTCATATCCATCAACACGCCCCGCTACAAGGGCGCCTGCCCAGTACGCCACCCACCAAGGCAAAAGCGTCAAAAAGCTAAGGAGGCGCAGGGTACAGGAAATGTGCAGCGTAGCGTCAAAGGTTGTCCATAGTGGATATACAACGGTGCTTCAAGTCTCCCATCCTCGCCGGCCAACTGATCCGCACCATTCACTGCCGGTACACCAAGCGTAAGCCCACATCCGAGCCACCACATCACCTGATCTCCATCAGCACACCACCTCACCCCAGCTCACTTGCGCTCCTCCTCCTCCACTACCACCGGCTCCACCACATCCAACTTCTCACCAGCCCCACCGTCCGCGCCACTGCCACTGCTGCTACCCTCCGCACCCCCACTACTGCCCCCAGCCCCTGAACCCCCAGACTGCGAGGTGCTCGAATCCGGCGAAGGCGCCACGCCGCCGCTCTGAATGCGATCCAGCACCGCAAGTGCCTGCGTGCGAATGATCTCCAGCCTCTCAATCACACGCTCAATACCCTTGCTGCCACTGCCACCACCGCTGCTCGTCTCTCCGGCCCCAGCCCCAACACCAGCAGTGTCCACCTCCCGCCTCAGCTGCACCACCATGGATTGCAACGTGGCCATTAGCCGGCCGGGGCGAACCATGTCTGGCTGATTAGCCTGGAAGGACGTCTGTGGCTTCTGTCGCGGTGCTGCACCCTCCCAGTCCTTCTCCAGCGCCTGGACCAGCAGTCCGGCACGCCGAAGCGGGTCCGTGACCACGACAAGCTCCTTTACGAAGGCGGCGCAGCGCTGGGGCACATTGGAACGCACGGGCTCCTCGGGCTGAGCGTCGTCGTTGAAGCGCGCTTCTTCACGCAACCAACGCAACTCCTCACGGAGCAGAACGAGGCGTGCAAGCAGCCGGCGATCGGGGATTTCTGGTTGTTCTTCCATTTCGTCGATGAATTTTGAAGCTGTGGCGGCTAGGGTGTCGAGCTCAGCGGCCGGGATGTCGTCTTTGCCGCCGGAGACAGCGGCCCGGAGGATGTCCAGCCGGGCATCTCGGTCGGCATGGCGCAGTGCAGAGTCCAGGACTTGCGCTGCACTGGGCATGCGGCTGGAGACTTGACGCAGGACTTCATCGCGGATGGAAACCAGTAGGTCGGCCATTTGCTTGTCGCCGCGTTGGGTCAGCGCATGGATGAAGCCGCCCAGCGTGGTGAGGAAATTGGCATCCAGGAACTCCAGCCGGCTCATAACGGCCATGCGCACGGCGTGTTGCTCGCTCTGATCGGGCTTGTCCTCTTGTAGGTAAGCAACGGCCTCAGAAACAAACATCTCGCGAGTAACCTCGTCCACAATTTCGCCAACCATGCGCGCCGCGCGGTCCACGTTCGCCGCGATTTCTGCACGTTTCTGATCTAAATTGGGCCCAGTGCCTCCGGTGTTGCCCGAAGAAGCAGCATCGCGACCACTGGGCGAAGCACCGGGCAGCTGGCGGAGATGTGAGGGCGTCCGAGATGAGCGGCGAGACAGCGGCGTCGCGGGGACGAATACCGCTGAGCGAGTGAAATTGGAGTCAACGAAAGGCCGTTGGTGGCATGGCGGGTACAAGACGCCTAAATGCATTCCAGCTGTTCGTCCGGAACAAGGCTCGTCAGCCAAATAATGAACGATAAACAAGGAACTTCCGATTAGATAACGCTATGAGTTAGGCACTAACACTATATGTACATTAATTAAGTGTATAGGAAGCGGCTGTAGTTCCGTTATTTCATGCGGAGGAAGTTAGTGAATGAACGCGCCTGATCGTCTCGCTGATAACAAGGCCTTGGTGGCCGAAGCTTTATCCAGCTGCTTAAGAACTGCATTGAAGATCCCGGAACTTGTTGTCAAGGATCAAGGCACTCAGGTAGAATGCCATTGAGCCATGCGACGCTGATCCTAGCTAGTGCAATTATATTCGCCCACTATAGCTTGATCTTGGTGTCAACGCCACACAACTCGCACTCTAACCTTTAACAGCTGGCAAACACCCCAGTTGGCCGGTTCTTCCTAACACCATCCCAACCGATGAGCACATATGTCCCTATGTTCTTCCTGAACAACCAAAAACAAACATTGCCACATACAATCACTTCCTGTGTCCTCATTCCATCCCCACCCCGTCCCCCAGCTGACCGAGCTTTCCTCGGAGCTCGTCTCCAAGGCCCCCATCATCACCGCCACCTGCGCCCTCGCCAAGCGGCAAGCAGCAAAAGCCTTAGCAGCAGCAACCACCACAACACCAACAACGGCAACGCCAGCCTCAACCGCACCTCCGCACCTCCGCCACCACCATCACCAGCAGCCCTACCCCGAAGCTTTCCCCAGTCCTAATACCCCGGCGACTGCGAGACCCGTGGGTCAGGGCCCCCAGCTGCTGGCGGCCGCATCAGCCCGCCTCGAGGCCGTACTTGCCGTACAGGAGGCTCGGTGGGGCCTGGGAGGGCGGGTGGGGGAGGGGCAGCGGGTCCAGGGAGGGCGGTGAGAACGGCAGCGGGATTGAGAGGGCATGGAGGAGCTAGCAGCACAGCCTGTGGCAATAGAGGGGGAGGGGTTGCTAAGAAAATCGAAGGAAGGGGAGGTCGAGACGGCGGCGGGGGCGATGGAAGAGGAGGAGGAGGCGGGTGGTTCGTCAGTACGGCAGCATGCCAGGGAGTTGTTGGCGGCCGGGCGGTGGTCGCAGTGCGGGGCGCTGCTGCTGCGGGAGATGGCGAGGAAGCGGGAGGTGCAGGGGGCGGCTGGGAAGGGTGCAGGAACAGAAGCAGCGGCGGGGGCGAAGGTGGAGGCAGCAAGAGCCGTAGCGGAGAAGGTAGGCGGGGGTTCCGGGTTAAAATAGGACGATTTCAGGCTGGTGGCATACACTGGGTATACGTAATGTGCGAGGCCCTTGGCATCACTCTGATGCATGGGTGTCATCGAGGGCCCAGCTGCTCGCCCGGATCCCTTGAGAGAAGAAGCCGCTTTGAGGGAGGGCTGCCGTACAGCCCGTGCTTTACCGTACTTTTCTTGTCGTTGTCCCTTGTCGTACCCTTGTCGTACCTCACACAGGAGCTCCTGCAGATGTTGCTGGTAGCCCGGATACACGAGGCGCTTGGGTCAGAGGCTTCCAACAGCGCCGGCGGCGGCGCACCGGCTCATGAGAGCACTGAAGGTAGCATTGGCGGCGGCGGAGGCGGCAGAGGAGCCCTGTCCAAACCTGTCGCTGCTCCCACGGCCGCTGCCGCCGCCTCGCTTTTAAGCTGGGCGAGTGAGCATCTGACGACCAAGACGAGGGCGCAGGTTACGGCGGACGAGAGGGCAGGGTTGGTAGCTCCGGAACCCCACCGCCTCCAAACGGCAGAGGACGCCGCCGCCGTTCGTAGCTGGTACCGCCGACTGGCGGCGCTCGTACATCCCGACAAATGCCGTACTGTCGTACCTGAGTCGGCGGCGGCGGCAGCATTCGTTCTGCTGCAGCAGGGCTGCGAGCGGTTGCTGGCGGAGGTGAGGCGACGGGAGGTACGTGAAGGAGGCGACGGCGGTCCCAGGAAGCGACAGCGCAGGCAGGGCTTCGACGGCTTCGACGGCGGCAGTGATGTGGAATATGAGGATGAGGATGAGGACATAGGCGAATGGGGGATGGGGGTGGGCGATGGTCGCAATTGGGCTGATGACGAGGATGTGTGGTGGGCCGAGTGGAGCGTTCCGGCGTCATCGTCGCGTTACTGCGCCTTCTCCGCTTTCCATCTCGCTGCCGCTGCTGGTGCCGCTGCTTCTGCCGCTGGTGCCGCTGGTGCCGCTGGTGCCGCTGGTGCCGCTGGTGCCGCTGCAGCAGCCTACACACAGCTGGGTGGGCGGGCTGATGAGGGTGAGACAAGGTACGGCACAGCAGGCGGCGGTGGCGGTGCTGGTGGCGGCGGGGCTCCCCCCACCACGTGCCCCTCCCTGGAGGATCAGGAGCCGCAGCTGTGGAGCATGGAGCTGCAGGTGGGGAGGCGGGAGGGGAATAATACGGAAGGCGGGAGGGGCGGGAGGGGCGGGAGGTTGGAAAGCGCAGTAAGCGCTAGAGGGCAGCGGGGTCAGCAAGAGTACCCGGGGTGCCAGGGCATCAGCTGCACTTTCCTCTTGGTTCTCCCTCAAGCCTCGCCCGCTCCTCTCCCTTCACCCGTCACCCTGCACCCGCCTTCCAACCAGTATTAAGCCCTGCTGAACCCACCATCTGCTCACCTTCTCCTCCTCCTCGTCACACGGTCAGTTAGTTGTTCCCTCTTTTCACCCCTGCTCCTCCTCCCCTCTCAGGATCTGCGCGCCGAGGTGGCTGCCCGGCAGGCACACGTGCTGCGGCCGCCCGCCGGCTCCCCCGCCGCTGCACTGCCCATTCACGCCCGCCAGCGTCGACTGCGGGTGGCCAGGTCGGTGCTGGCGGAGCGGACGGCGGCGGAGGCAGGGGCGGCAGGAGGAGGTGGGGGTGGGGTTGAGGATGGGAGGGGAGGCAGCTTTCACGGCGGTGGCGGGGGCTTCATTGTGGCTTAGATACTGGCGGAGCGGGTCGATGCGGGCGGAGCGGACTGCGGTGGAGGCGGCGCTGGCGGGGGCAGCGGGGGCGGCAGGAGGAGGTGGGAGTGGGGGCAGCGTTAGAGATGGCGGCGGCGGCTGCATCATACCGGTATCGGAGATGCGTGTGGGCGGAGCGGGTCGCAGCAGCAACGGCAGTTACGATGGCAGAAGAGCGTAGCTGGCGGGTCAAACGTTGGTCAACAGACGCACAGCTGTCCGACTCACGGTTGAAGTCACTCATTCCGTGCTGCTTTTAACGGAGCCGTTGGATAATGGATTACACAGTTTGGCATTCGGCATGTTCGCGTCTTGTACAAGCGGCACTTTGCATGGCCATTTACTATACGGTAACAGGCGGATGACTCAACCTCCGCCAACGGGTTTGGCGCATCGCACGTGCCCCATGCATGCGCCGAACCCCGGACACTGCAGTGTTGCAGATAAGCACAGGGAACCTCTCCTAAACAAGCACCATAACACCAGAAGTAACGTTCTAAATCTTCTTCCACACCCTAATACGTGCGCATTGCTCTGCCAAGCGGGGGCCTTACAACGGCTCCTCCTCTCCTGCGTTCATTCGTGCGTGTGTTAAGACACGCATTCGTGCGTGTGCGTGTGCGCGTGCTTGGTTTGAAATATAAAGATAGCGCGTCCCAAAGCTAACCACTGCTCACGTCTCTGTATCGCTCAGATGTGTGTGTTTTCTCTCTCATCTCACGCATGCCACGCAAACACACACACGCACAGCACACATGTCGCGGCGTGATCATAAAACTTCACGGTGTGTTGTACGACACGACAATAAAACAAAAACGCTGTTCAGCACATCCCATCGGCCCACATGCCCGGTTATGGCACATCTTGCGTGCTGCCCTGATGACACCTTTTGACAGTCCTCTTCAGCACCCTAATCAAGCTACTCCCCAGAGAATTCGCAACACCTGTACGGAACCCCTACCCGCCCCACTTGTGCCAGGATTCAACCCATGCTGTCTGCACCCCTACCCGCCACATGCCTACAGCAGACGGCGGCCTCCATGCGTCGTGCAGCAGGGGCCTTCATGCGTTATCCACACAAAGCTGCATGGGAAATCGCTGTGTTCCAAGCACCATCCCGCATCCCCCCAACTCTCGATTTCTTCCCAGCAGGCACACTTTTTTCACCCTCGGACACACCTACCGTCCGTCCGTCCTTTCTTACGTTCCTACTCGCGGCCAGTTTTTTTAACACACCTACCTCCGAAGCACCTCGCCCCCACACTCCCATACCCAATCATCACCTTCACCCACTAACGCCACGGCTCTGCATTTCGGCACACAGCATCTAACCAGCACCAACCGTCTTGTGTGGGATTACACGGTTCACGAGAGGAGTGCACCGTGCGAGTGCATTCATGGGTGCACCTATCTGCCTTTCCACCGCAGGAACCGCGTGCCTACACCAACCTACTCCACCTAGCGACACAGTATTTACACCGCTAGCAGGTACAGAGCCAGGCTTGTCATCGTACCACCCAGCAGCAGCAGCAGCAGCAGCAGCAGCAACAAGGACGAGAGACGGTTGTCTACAACGAAGCATGGCCGTTGCCGTTACCGTTGCTACCTCCATGTGACGTCCCTCCGTCCGTTGTGGCAACAACCGCTGCTGCCGCTGCCACCCTCATCGGCAAAACCTCCGCTCCAGCTGCCGTTTCCGCCGCTGTTGTCATCCCTGACCCTTCCGTGCTGTTGCTGCTTCCGCTGCTACAGCTCCCACGGCTAACACCGTTGCTGCTGTTACCGTTGCCGTTCCCATTTCCGTTGCTGCCGCTCCTGCTGCTCCTACTCCTCGCCGCCTCAAGGGGCACCACCCGGCCGTTGCTCCCATGCACTAGCCCGGCAGGCAGGTCCATACCACCCTTGGCCTGCGCCGCACTCACTGCCTGAATAGGCTCCCCGCCGTGGTCCCAGAAGCAAAACTCCCCCTTGACCTCCCCGCCGATACTGCCCATGCTGCTCATGCTGCTCATGCTGCCCCCGATGCTGCTGCCGTTGACGAGCAGCAAGTCCGTATCCGTATTCGTGCCATGTGGGTTTCGAAGCCGGCCTAACTCCCCCTCCCCTCCTTGGGATGTGCTGGATCCTGCTACTGCTGCTACCGAGGCTGCTGCTGCTGCCGCCGCCGCTTGCCCTGCCTCTGCTGCTACCGCTGTCGTGCCTGATGCTGACGAGGCTGCTACTCCCGCTGCCCCTGCTGCTGCTACAGCCGCTGCGGCCGCCTCCTCGGGCAGCATGTGTGCCATGCGGTCCCGCTTGGCCTCCAGGTAACCCTGCGGGGGGGGGGGGGCGGTGAGGGAGGGAGGGAGGTAAGGAGAAGGGACAGGAAGTTTCTATGAGCGAAGAGGCGTGTTGGCATGGACACGAAAGAGGGTCCTAGCCGTGCAACGAGAGGTGAACGGCGGTCGCAGCGACACCCCAACCGCGATCGCGTTGACGCCCATGCTCCCGATCCCCATCTCCTTCTCGCGCCCTGCCGCCTTCCCTTCCTTCCTCCCTCCCCGCTCCCTTGCTCACCTGGTTGTACGCGCCCGCCGCCACCAGGCAGGGTATCCGCCCCGTCACCCGGATACCCAGGGAGGTGAGCACGTTGATCTTGCGAGGGTTGTTGGTCTGGGGGAGGGGGTCGGGTGAAGGGGTGAAGGTTAGTGCAGTGCCCTGTCTGGGGGAGGCACCTCCCGTGCACAAAATCCCCACGCAATGGCTTTCCTTCCCCTCTCTTTTCCCCCTTTCGCTCCCTGCCCCTCCATAGCCCTACCCTCCCCCCAGCTCCCACCCCCCTCACAATGAGCCCCACGCTCCTCACGCCCCCCCCCAGCCCTCCCCCCCCTCACAATGAGCCCCACGCTCCTCATGCCCACCCCCCAGCCCTCCCCCCCTCACAATGAGCCCCACGCTCCTCACGCCCACCCCCAGCCCTCCCCCCCTCACAATGAGCCTCACGCTCCTCACGCCCACCCCCCAGCCCTCCCCCCCTCACAATGAGCCTCACGCTCCTCACGCCCCCCCTATCCCTCTCCCCCCCGCCTCACAATGAGCCTCACGCTCCTCACGCCCAGCTCCGCCAGCATGTTGCGCACGCTGGTGTACTCGCGGCAGTCGTCCGGCAGCCCCAGCGCGCGGTTGGCGTCAACGGTGTCTAGGCCCTGCTCCTGTGGGGTGGTGGGGAGGAGGGAGGGAGGGAGGAGGGAGGAAAGAGGGGTGTGGAGGGTTTGTGGGCGGTGGCGATGCGAATATGAATGCCTGCTGGACTACAGCTGCGGTGAGACAGCTGCTGCTGCTGCTGCTACTGCGGCGGCGGCTGCTCCCGCAGCGGCAGCGGCAGTGGAGCCAGCCCTGAACCGCTGCTGCAGCTGCTGCTGGCAGCTCTCGTTCGCCCCCTGTTGTCGCCAACGCTGCTGCCGCTTCTGACCGCAGCACCTGCCGTTCCCAGTCCCTGCCCTCATGCTCCACAACCCACCTCCCCACCCCACCACTGCATGAGTAGGGCTTTGGGATTGGGACTCCGTTGCTTCACTGTTCATTCATCTTTTCCCCTCCCCACCCCACCACCCCCGCACCTGCAGCGAGTACGCGGCTATCTTGTTGGCCAGTCCGATGCCGCGTCCCTCCTGCTGCAGGTAGATGACCAGCCCCGGCTGCTGCGACGCGATCAGCTGCAACGCCAGCTGCAGCTGCTCGGCGCAGTCGCACTTCAGGGAGCCCAACACCTCTGTTGGCGGGAGGGGAGGGGGGGAGGGAGTGGGGTTGTACGACACATGGGGGAACCGAGTTGTACGGCACGCGGTGTGGAGGCACATGGCTGTTTGTGCACGGTGGGGGAGGACGCGGGTGGGATGTGGGTCGGAATGGAGAATGGACGGAGCAGCGGAGAAGTCACGGGGGATAAGGGTTCTGGAGCCAGCTGGGGCTGGTAATTAGGAGGTATGCTTGAAGGATGGTAAGCGGGGCAAGCCGGAACGAGGGGGAGGGGACAGCGGCCCTCTGGTGCGTTTCCTCCCTCTCACCTGAGGTAAAGCAAGCGTCGTGTACCCGGAGAGGAACCTGCAGCCGGCATCAAGAGCAGGGTATTGAGGTAAGGGTAGGGAGGAGTCGCCCTGAGGCACGTGGCTGTGCTTGAAAAGGTGTGCTTTTAGTGGTGGAAGATTGGAGGGCAGGTTGCCATTCGAACTCCACCCCTTCGTGACTGGCAGAAATTGAAGCTTACGTTTTCCCGGCCTTCAACTTGGCCTGCTATGATGGCAGTGGGCTCCGTGAAGGTTACTCCCCCGTCCGTCTGCAAGGGCGGACGGGCCGACAGCCGTGCGTGACCGATTACTCGGACTGTTACAACCGCTATTGCTGCAATTATGACGACGTACAGACGCGCTTCTAGGTAAGGAAAACTTACCGAATGTTTATAGCCGCGCAGTCTAAACTTTCCATGACGGGTGGGTAAGAGCGTCTCGGCAATGAACTTTGTGACCACCTGGTTCTCATCAACTGGGTCGTGTGGAGTGGGTTCAAATGAAGGTGGTGGATAGCTGGATATGCGTTCACTATCTAGGGCATCGCCATACGCCGCGGACGCAATGATAACGTCCCGAGCAAGCTGGGGTCCAAGCCAGCGCCGAGCGTTTGCCAACCGTCGCTGTTTGCAGCGCCCAGCTCGTAGAGGTAGAAGAACGTGTGAACATGAGGCAGCTTTGTGGCTAAGGATGCGTTCGTGAGTTGCCATTCCAAGATAGCTTAGCAAGTTGGGCTGTGATGCTCTTCAAGGCAAGACTTATGGAAGCCTAACACAGCAGATTATAATACAATTGCCATCGCAGAAAAAATGAACGTGCTAGCACACCGCCTCATGATGGCGCCGTACTCCACGAGGGGTCAGGATTTAAACGTCAGGTTCATAAGCATTTGGGACCTCGGATGAGAAACCCAAATGGTGTGTATCTTCGTTTGCGCTTTGGCCGGTGTTTGTGTGACAGTTTGCTCAGCGAGTGGTTGGTATCGCCTTACGAAGCAGTTGTCTTGCATAGTTAGGCAAGCCCGCTTGCAAGCTTGACAGATGCAACATCAGGTTTAATATGCATGGTTTGTTTGGCTACAGCTGCTTGTTGTAAAGGTTCAATGCGCAAACAGTGCGCATGAACGGTTCCAGGAAGACCGATATCCCTGACACGTGCACGCATGCTACGCTGGACACTTAAGGCAGGTCCATAAGCAAGGATACAAGTGAGGCATACCACCCTTTGAGCCTGGCACATCCCAAGTCGTATGGGCCTTACCCCCGACTTCCTCGCCCGCAATATGCAATGGATGAGAGCTAGCAGATGTGTGGTCAGCTACTTGCTGATTTTAAACTACGGTTTCGTCCATTGTTTATTGCGAAACCTTTCAAAAGTTACGTATTCACCACGACGACTCGGCGTTGTAGACACCAATCTTTTTGCTGCACAGACAACAGTGGCATACATCAACTTGATCGCCGATAGCTCACCTAGCTGCAAATGGCAGCCTCATTACAGCCGGCTGCTAGAGGTCAGCTCCATTCGGCGGCCTTCATGAGCAAGCCACGCGTAGCGACTCCTTTACCCACAGTCCCTACATACCACAACACCAGGAAGACAAATTGCTGCAGCTCGCATGTTGGTAAGCCCCGTCGCGGGCTACCGCGGCTTGCATCGGCCGCTACAACGCCCCCATCCGGCTCCCAGCGGCCTCATAAGCAGCCGCAGCAGCCGGAGCCCTCAAAAGACGATGAGCCATCGACCTCCGGCGCTTCCCTTGAGTCAATTAGCTCCGACGCACGAGGACCTCAGCAACGACCTCGTGCGCATTGGCTGGTACAATTCCTGCAACAAATGAACGCCCCCGACTGGCTCATTTCTTTTGTGGGCAACTTTGTCGTGCCACCACCCTCCTCTCGTACGGCACACATAGCGAAGGCCTTGTGGATTGTCGTTGGCTTCCTAGTTGTAGCTCTGGGCCGGGGCCTGTTCTTCCAGTCGACGACTCCCAAGCCTCGTGAGGTAAGAAGCCCTCGGGGCCTGGGTGCTCGAGGCAAAGAGCACGAGTGTGTTAGACACAGGAGCGCTTTTGAAGCATATCTGTAGTTACTGGGGATTGATTCAGGAATGATCGATGAGAGCAGCCGTAGCCCTGCCGTACGGCAGTCAGACTACAAAGCATACACATGGGGGAACTTGAAGGGGTGAAGGCTGTGCTGCCGGGGGGGGCCCTAGGAGCCCCTGGGGAGGGAGGGGGGTGCTGCGTCCCTGGGGGGTTGGAGGGTGCAGCAACCTAAGCCACCGGTAGTACCAGTCGGAATTGCGCCGGCCGGACACGGAACCATGGGTCACTGGGGATGTGAGAACCCTCAGCACCAATTCTAAGCATTACCTGCGGAATAACTTTGGAATATAACTGTTATATTGTATAGTGCAGCCTGCTGTCACTACCCTTGTGTGGTGCTTCACTCCAATGCGCAGTTTCCCTAGCACAACCCATACCCCCTCTCACCCCACTCCTCCATGACAGCCCCTTTACCCTCCCCCACGCCCTATCCCTCCCATCCCACCCCTCCCTCCCTCTCCCCACCTCCCCCCCTTCAGCTCTACTACTCGGACTTCATCACGCTGCTAGACAGCGGCCGGGTGCGTTCCGCGCGACTGGAGGCCGGCACCTGCAGACTCTACTTTGACATCAACCTCCCAGCAACACAACAACAACAACAACAACCGCAGCAGCCGCAGCTGGTTGGCTCCGCCTCAGCAGCAGCCACGGCAGCAGGCGCAGCGGCAAGCGTCGCCTCCTTCGCTCCCGCACCCGCCCAGTCCCAAGCCGCAGCAGCCTCCCAGCAGCAGCAGCAGGCGCAGCAGCAGCAGCGGCTGCGCTTTCAAAAGCAGTTTTTCGTGAAGCTCGCGGAGAAAAACGACCCATTGCTTGTAGCCCGCTTGCTGCAGGTGGGAGTTAAGGAAGATGGTGTATTCCATGCATTTGCAGACGGGAAGCGGGGGGATGGGGCGGGTCGAGGTCATGCGCGGATGCATGTCATACAACGTCTATCGGTATCGTCAGCATGTACCGCCATGTCCTGCCCTGTTCCTCTCAGCCTCCCAGCCTCTCTGCCTCCCGGGCTCCCTGTTTGCCCCGGGCGGGTGGTGTCGCACGACTCAACCGTCCAGTCCAGAGCAACACCCCTGTGCTCTGCCTCTCTGTCTCGTACCCTTCCCTTCCCTGTTTCGTACAACCGCCAAACCCTAAACCCCTCTCCGCCTCCCTCCACCCCCCTCCGCCTCCCTCCGCCCCCCCCTCTCCAGGCGGGTGTGGAGTTCAGCATCCTTCGCGCCTCGCTGCGCGCCATGGCCGCCAACACGCTGCTGACCAGCCTGGCGCTGTGGCTGCCGCTGGCGCCCATGCTGGTCTTCCTGAGGAGGATGATTGACCAGCGGCAGGGGGCGGGGTGAGGAGGAGGGATGGGGTGGGGGTATCGGAGGAGTGGGGGCGGGTTGAGGAGCGGGGATGCGGGCGGGGCGAGGAGGAGGAAGAGAGGGTTAAGGAGAGGACAGGCTAATCATATGACAAGGCTCCACCATGGGTTGCATCTTGGGTGAGGGTTTGGGCGCTTTGGAGGAAGAGGATGTGGGCGGGCTAACTGCCTAACAGCAATCCCATGTCTCATCCGGGTTATCCCCCACCCCGCTCCCCACCCCACCCTCCCCAGCCGAGCCAAGAAATCCTCCTCCTCCGCCTCCGCCCCTCGCACCACCTTTGCTGACGTGGCGGGGGTGGATGCGGCTAAGCGGGAGCTGCTGGAGGTGGTGGCAGTCATGAGGCAGAGCAAGGCTGCCTACTCAAAACTCAAGGTGGGTACGACTGGGGTTGTGGGTACGGCTGTGGTACGGCTGTGTTGTACGACATGACGCGACGTACCATATCCGTACGGGTACCGACGCATGTGGGTTTAGCTGGGTACGACAGCGACGGTGGCGTTTGTGAGTGCATGCTGGCAACATGGCACGTGGATGTGCAGCAGCAGCAGCAGCTAGCGTACGGCATAAAACCCTCTCCCTCCCCTCCATTTTTTTCCCTCCATCACACACCCTCTCCCCACCCCTCCATCCCCCCCCCGCGCAGGTCAAGATGCCCTCGGGTGTGCTGCTGTGTGGGCCGCCGGGCACCGGGAAGACCCTGCTGGGTGAGGGAAGGGGGGGGAGGCTGTAGGGGGGTGGGTGGGGGGGTTAATTTGGAAACAGAATCCGCATTACGCTGGATAGTTGGGATAGCCAACTGGGCTGTAGGGGGGAAAAGAAGGATACCCAATTTGCTGTTTGAGAACGGCAAGACGACAAGCTCCTGGTGAATGGTTAGGGCTGTAGGGGCGGCTGGGATCGCTCTCAGCATCCAAACTTGGGGAAGGTTGGAATTGTTGAGGGATGGTCAGGGATGGTCAACACTATGTATACCTCCGGAGTGGGAAGGAAGTAATACGGCCTAGGGCCGGGCGCTTTTTCTTCGCCAACAGGAATTGGGATCCGATGTGTGTGCTTGGTACGACGGCAGGGGCAAAGGGCGGTTCCATGGGGAGCGGGACGAGCGCACGGATCCTTCCTTCCTTCCAGGCTCCTCCCTAATTGGCTTCTTTTCTTTTACCCCACCCAACACCTCCCATCCCACCCCCACTCCCACCTCCTCTCCCACCTCCCACCCTGCCCCCATGTATGCTTGATTGCCCCCATGCACGCATGCCCCCCATGCCCCCATGCATACCCCCATGCCTGCCCCCATGGCCCCATGGCCCCATGCAGCCAAGGCGGTTGCTGGCGAGGCGGGTGTTCCCTTCTTCGCGGTGTCAGCCTCGGAGTTCGTGGAGCTGTTCGTGGGGCGGGGGGCGGCCCGCATTCGGGAGTTGTTCGGGGAGGCGCGCAAGGCGGCGCCGTGCGTGGTAAGGAGGGAGGAGGAGGGTGGTTGAGGCGCCGTCCTTGGTAAGGACATAGGGGGAAACGTGGAAAGGAGGGGGCGTACCGATACTGAGCCCGGGTAAAGGGGTCGTTGGTAAGGGCTTGTTAAGCGCACGTCCCGCCACCACCTCGCGCATGTATTGCCTTGCTAGGTCTGCACCAAAACTCCCCACGCCCCCCAAAAAGCCCACCTCAAGCTCCGCAACCCGCGCCCTCAGGTGTTTATTGACGAGTTAGACGCAGTGGGCAGTCGTCGCGGCATGGGGCACAACGACGAGCGGGACCAGACGTTGAACCAGCTGCTGACGGAGCTGGATGGCTTTGACGGGAGGCAGGGTGAGAGGGCAAGGGGGGAGGGGATTAGCATGTTAGCTGTTGGGGTTGAGGAGGGAGGGGGCGAGGGAGGGAGTGTTTGGTGACGTGGGTGTGGGTGTGGAGGAGGGGCAAGGGGGCGAGGAAGCGCCCTTTTCCCCAGGAGTCCTCTTCCTCGCCGCCACTCTACTAACCTCCTTTCTCACCCAACCCCCACACCTTACCTCGTACCTGTCCCATCCCCCATCTTTTCCCCCTCCACCCAACCTCCCCCCAGGCGTCCTCTTCCTCGCAGCCACGAACCGCATCGACGTCCTGGACCCCGCCCTGCTTCGTCCCGGCCGCATCAACCGAAAGGTTGTCGTACCGTTACCCGACACGCCTGGACGAGCAGAAATCCTTGCCGTACACTTGCGTGGCGTGCCGCTGGAGGCGGGGCTCGAACCGGGGGCCACGTGTCGGGTGGTTGCGGGGGCAACTGCCGGGTTTTCGGGTGCTGAGTTGGCGAATGTGGTGAATGAGGCGTCGCTGCTGGCGGCGAGGGAGAGCCGGGAGGAGGTGGGGTTGGCAGACCTGCTGGCGGGGGCGCAGCGGACGAAGTTCGGGGTCAACGGCCGAGACGGTGAGCAGGGAGGGAGGTCAGAAGTGGAGGGAGGTCAGAAAGGCGGGACAGAGGCCGAAGGAGGGAGGGCAGGCTGAGGGGCAGGGGTGTTGCAATCCTCTAGCGCAAGTTTGTGTCCTAATCCATGCTTTCAACGTTTCCCAGCCCGGCGAGAGCCCTCTACCCCACCCAGTCCGCGCGCATTGTTCCTATCCGTGTCGCGCAACAACCCTCTCTCTCTCTCTCAACCCTGGTAGCCCTCTCCTGCTGCTCCCTGTAACCGTCTCCTCCCCCCGCCTCCATTCTTCCCCTCCCTGTCTCCTGGCAAACAAAACCAGGCGAGAGTGCCTTCAGCGGTGCCCTGTCGCAGCGGCTGCAGCGGTGGCTGCTGGAGCTGGCGGCGGCGGGGGAGCGGCGGCCGGTCAAGGTGGGCAGCAGCTCGGGGTGAGGGGGTGAGGGGGCAGAGCGGAAGGGAACAGCTCGGAGTGAAGGGAAGCGGGAGGCGGGAGCTGGGCGGAGGATGGGGGGGAGCTAAACGGCCAAGCAGCTCCGGGGCCGACCCAGCCGCGAGGTTAGCTGAAGCGCCGGCCATGGTTGGGGTGTTGGAGAGCGGAGGTGGAGTGGGTGAGGGAAGGGGTGTGAAGAATTAGTCAAAATGGAAGCTGAGGTACGCAACAAGCATCTCTTGTTAATTGGATGGGCTAGTCGTGCCTATAACGCTGGAGGTGCATGCTCTGGGGGGCTCTGCAGTGTAGGTTATGGCTGTGACCGGCACAAGGGAATATACTTGCATGTTGAGGTTTCGGTTTGATCCATGCTGACATGTGAAGCTTGAGCGAAGTGTGTTGTTTGCCATGGGTTGGTCTGCGGTTCGGCGTGCCTGGTGGCGTGGTAAGGTTGCCATCAAGGTTGGTTAACGCGTTTACTGGTTTTGCGTACGACGGTAACGTTGCATGCGTTCAGGTTTTCGTTTAAGTGCTGGTAGAGACCATGACAGCTGTGTAGGATAAAAAGTTTGCAGTGCCGCGAGGCATGTGACACACTGACGATTAGCCATATAAACATGACGCACTCGAACCCACGCGGGAAGGCGCTTTGCTTGCAACGGGACAGGTAGTTGGTAGGGGTCGGCCCCGTTGCCGCACGTATGGTGCGTTGGCGCATTGAAGCGTAGAGTTGCGCGATGCTTGGGATGTGGTCTGTAAACGCCAGGAATGTGGCGGTGAGAGCTTTTCCCTGGAGGTTGTAAGCGTCGGCGCTGTCAAAGCGAACCTTTCTTCCACACTCACCTTCAGGCTTGCTCTCATGTTACACTTCAAACAAAGCTAGCCGCCTGCCGCAAGACTAAGCTGGAAGGAGCGTCCCATGACCCAACCGTCAACCTACCGTACGGTTGCATTACTTCCATAACAAAAACTACAGCCGTATTCTATACACTACCATTGAAGCCTGTCTTCAACAAACAATGCATTGTTCAGGAACTGCAACCATGGCAAATGCAGCGCAGCGCTAATAGAAATCGCCGGAGGGGCCCTACAGTAACGTACGTGAAACCAAGGAAAGCACAGGGGACTCACTGGGAACATGCACCACACTATTTATAGCCGAATAAGACACTGCAATAGAGCATATGTGCTCGCGCGATACTTCACTGTCCAATGGGCTTGTCCTGCGATAAGCATGCACGCCCACGTGTCACGGCAGTAGCGCAGGAGATTATTATTAGCCATTTTTTCACGTTCAGCAACTCCAACTGACCGGCAAATTGCACCGGCGCAGTCAACATAAGGCATATGCCGTTCAATACATCAGACAAAGAATCACTGGAGACCAGCACACTAGGAAGAGCGTGCCTGGGAAAACCCTAGCAGTGAAAGCACCGCAATCTTTGGTACCCACCGCCGGAATCTAACTACCTGTTTTGCTTAAGATCACATCTTGCCACATGCACACATGCTCGTTATTGGCAAACACAACAGCCTGCAGGCACATAATGCAGTACGCCAGCGTTGCTGCAGAAAAAACCGGAAGGTAAACAGCGTCATCCGTACCCTTACCATCATGCTCTTTATTTTCACTCTTCAAACCGCAATACCGGTAGTACTTTTTCTAGCAGTTTCCGTTTCCGCCGCAGCAGCCGCCCTTCTTCGGCTCATCGCAGCTAGCCTTGGGCGACACGTCGCGGCTTGGCGCGTGGCCCGGCGCCGAATAGTCGCCAGCAGCCATGCTCTTGTACCTGTCGTGGCGGGCGTGCACCGCCTCGTCCAGGTCCTGGTGCAGCTTTCCAGCCACCTCGGGCGCCTTGCGGGCCAGGATCTGGAAGCGGTTCTCGTGCTTGAGCAGCTGCTCCAGCTCACTCTTGAGCTTCTTGGAGTCCAGCTGGAAGCGGTGGTGCGTGGCGTCCTCGTTAATGGACGGGTTGTACCTGTACGGCGTACGGCAAGAGCGATGGGAGCCGTGAGGACATGTGCTGATGCGGTAGCTTAGAAGGAATGCATGGTGTCCCCTGCAAACCATAACGTCAACACAGAGTTAAGTTGTGTAGGTCATGTGGCTGATATACAGGATACCTACCGGGGTACATCGTGCGTGCATCATGCGCCCCCTCCGGTGCGATCCCACTGCCACTGCCACCCAACTGGGCATGGGGAGGAGCAGCATGGTACTGGATTCCCAGTGACAGCAAGAGAAGGGATTTAACAACTTCCAAGACCGGGAGAAGGCCTTCTCCCGGTCTTGGAAGTTGTTAAATCCCTTCTCTTGCTGTCACTGGGAATCCAGTACCATGCTGCTCCTCCCCATGCCCAGTTCCAATGGTTCAAGGGTTCCCAGAATACTACAGGAGCTTTACGACCACTACTGCACTAACATAAGCAAGCCAGCAAGGTTAGCGAAAGCGTTGAATATGCGAAATCAGCGGCATCTAGTGGGCGAACCACACGCGTACAGGTACCTACCTGTACAGCGGCCAGTAGCCAGACTCAACCGCCATCTTGCTGGCATCAAGGGAGCTGCACATGCCACCCGTCATGCCGTGCATGATGCAGGGCGAGTAGCACAGCAGGAGGCTGACACCCGGGTAGCGCTCAGCCTCCGTCATGGCCTTCACCACCTGTGTTGAGGGAGGCAACAAGGTATTAGCCAACTCTTGCATAGCATTGATCTTGGTTGACAGCGCGATCCTTAAACCCATTCAAAGCTACGTAACCAACCACAGTGAATCACGTACCTGGCCGTAGTTGGCGTGCAGGGACACGGACGCCACGTACACGTCCCCGTAGCTCATGGCAATGGCGCCCAGGTCCTTCTTGGGCCGCTCCTTGCCACCTGCATGGGGCGTCTAGCGTGTTGACGTGTTCTCGCAGAACAGCGAAGACACACAAGTAGCACAACGTGGTCGCACGTATGGCGGTGCCTTGCTGGAAGACCCAAACGCCCACTTCCGGGTCGCTCAACCCCTGCGTTGCATACGCCACCCACCAGCGGCGAACTTGGCGACCGCCGACATGGGCGTGGCCTTTGAGCGCTGTCCGCCGGTGTTGCTGTACACCTCCGTGTCCAGCACCATGATATTGACGTTCTCTCCGGAAGCGAGCACGTGGTCCAGGCCGCCGAAGCCGATGTCGTACGCCCAACCGTCGCCGCCGACGATCCAAGTGGAGGGCTTGTGCAGCATGTCATGCTCGGCGTAGATGGACGGGACGGCGTCCTTCTCGCGTTCCAGCAGCGGCTGCAACTCCTTGGCGACGACGTTGGCTACCTCGGCCTCCTGGTAGTGGTCAGCCCACCTGGTGAAAGAGGAAAAGAGGGAGACCTCAGGAATGCGCACTTGGGCGCTTGCATATGTAGCAGCATCACGTGTAGCGACCCAGTACCGCACACACAGCACTGCATGTACCGTTGCTCACCTGGCGAGCGCCTCACGCAGTCCAGCGCTCACAGACACACCGGACGCCAGCGCCTCCTGCACGCGGCGGTGCAGGGCCTCCCGGCGCTGTGCAGCACCGGTGGCAATGCCCAGGCCGAACTGTGCATTGTCCTCGAACAGGGAGTTGGCCCAGGCGGGGCCGAAGCCCTCGGCGTTGGTGGTGTAGGGGTTGGACGGCGCGGAGCCTCCCCAGATGGAGCTGCAGCCCGTGGCGTTGGCGATGAGCAGTCGGTCGCCGAAGAGCTGCGTCAGCAGCTTCACGTACGGCGTTTCACCGCAGCCTTCGCAGGCGCCCGAGAACTCCATCAGCGGCGGCTGCAGCTGGGAGCCCTTGACGCTGGCAGGGTCCATGAGCGCCGTGCGGCCGGGAAGAGTCCTGCGTAAAGGGAAGAGGGCACAGGTTCTTACCGGATTTCAAAATGTCTAATGGTTATGATGAGGGGGTTAGATAAACTGAGCCGCGGAAACACGGACCCTAACCGTGGTATACCGCAGTATGATGGCATCCATTGGTGTGCATGTACCGGTAGAAAGTGGCAGAGTTGTAAAAACATTTAGTAACCTGACCCACAGGTCAAAACTTACGTGGCATAGTCCCAGTTGATGCTCTGTTCTTCCAACACCGAGTTGATGGGCTGAGCCGCCAGCGCATTGTCCGGGCAGGCATGCGTGCACAGGTCGCAGCCCGTGCAGTCGTACGGCGACACCTGGATGCGGTACTTGAGGCCCTTCATGCCGGGGCCCTTGGCGTCAATGGTGTTGAAGGTCGCGGGCGCGCTGCCCAGCTCTGATGGCGCGGCCAGCGAAGGGCGGATGGCGGCGTGCGGGCACACGAAGGAGCAGATGTTGCACTGCGTGCAGTTCTCGGCCTTCCAAATGGGGACGGAGGAGGCGATGGCGCGCTTCTCGATGACCGTGGTGCCAGGCGGCACAAAGCCCTCTGCGGCGGACAGCGCAGAAGTTACTCGGTTGCAATTCAAGGCTACGCGCCAGCACAGGACAGAGCCCCATCGCTCAAGTTCGATGATCTCATGCACTCGTGAGGCCACACTCACCCGGCGAAAAGACGCTGACGGGCAGCTTGTCGCCCTCCAGTGCCAGCATGGGCTGCGCAACCTTCTCCAGGAACTCCAGGCGGCTGCTGGAGGCCACCTGCGCGGAGTGGACGGCGTTAGGACGACCAGGTTGGGGATGAAGAGCCTTAGTAACCCCACAAACTGCATGCTTCTTACCTTGGATGGCGGGTTGGGGTGCACAGCCGCCGTCTCGAGCTCTCCCCATGATGCGGGGATCTCCACCTTGCACAGAGAGCTGACGGCTGCGTCCACGGCTGCGTGGTTCTTGGCAACGACCTGAAGGGTATCAGAAGGTAGCGGTTAGTCCAGCCGTACAGACCACGCACTTGCACCGTGCACCTCCGCCCACCTCCGGTCCCTTGCGCTCGTAGGCCTTGGAGATGGATTTCTTGAGCAGCGCGATGGCGCGCTCCATGGGCAGCACGCCGCTCAGGTTGAAGAACACGGTCTGCATGACCATGTTGACGTGCTTGCCCAGCCCCGTGGCCTTGGCCACCGCCAGCGCGTCGATCAGGTACAGCTGCGGCTTCAGCGCGGCAAGCTGCTTTTTAACCTTGGCGGGCCTGCGTGCCAACGCAAGACGGCTAAAGTAAGAAGGGAACCGCGCATCTCCAGCAGCGCTATTTATTGCACCCAGACTCACAGGTAGTTGGACAGCGACTCCACGTTGGTGAAGCGGGTGTTGATCACAACGACGCCGCCGGGCTTCACGGCGGAGAGCGTGTCGTACTTTGCTAGGTAGGACTGGTGGTTGACGGCCAGGTAGTCGGCCTGCTGCACCAGGTAAGGCGCGCGGATCTTGCTGGGGCCGAAGCGCAGGTGGCTCACCGTCACACCGCCCGACTTGTGCGCGTCATAAGAGAAGTAGGCCTACAGGGACATGACACAAAGTTGTTGGGACCAGGGCAAGAGCCAGAAACATCCACATGAAAGCCTGTACGCGCTGTAGCCTAAAGCGGCTCTGCCCTCCCGCATACCTGGGCGGACATGCTGGTGTTGCTGGCGATGATCTTGATCGCCTCCTTGTTAGCGCCCACCGTGCCGTCGCTGCCCATGCCCCAGAACAGGCACTCGAAGGTGCCGGTGGGCAGCGTGGACACGCCCACGGGCAGCAGCTTGGAGGCGGGCAGGCTGCGGTGCGTCACGTCGTCCACGATGCCGACGCTGAAGTCGCGCATGGGCTTCTCCGCATCCAGGTTCTCAAAGGCCGCAACCGCATGAGAAGGCAGGAACTCCTTGGAAGCGAGGCCGAAGCGCCCACCAACAACGTAGCGCCGCCTGTAGGCAAGTGGAACAGTGGCAGTAGTTCGAGTGGCAGCGGCGTCGCCATCAGGGCAGCGCTATTAGCGTCATGGAGCGTCATAGGAACTTATTACTTGCTCCATGCAACGTTAACGTTCTCCAAAGAACACCGGGATTTCCTTTATTACTTACGTGAGTGAGGGGTCCTCCAGCTCCGCCTCATGCAGCGTGGTGGCGACCTGCAGGTAGAGGGGCTCGCCGTACGAGCCGCTCTCCTTGGTGCGGTCCAGCACGCACACCTTGCGGGCCGAGGCGGGCAGGGCCTCCAGAAACGCCTCCGCCTTCCACGGACGGAACAGCCGTACCTGCGGTCAGCGGCAGGGAAGAGGAAGCGGCTCAGCAATGAGCTAAGCATGGATGCCTAACGAAGTAAGAACACGTCGGGGCACCCGTCGTCCAATGCTTACCTTGAGCACGCCAACCCTGTGGCCGTTGGCGTTCAGGTAGTCGACCGCCTCCTCAACCGCCTGGCTGCCGCTGCCCATGATGACGATCACCTTGTCGGCGTCCTCCGCACCGTAGTACTCGTACGGCTTGTACTTGCGCCCGGTGACGGCAGCCACCTCCTCCATGGCGGCAACCACGTGGTCAAACGCACGGTCGTAGAAGGGGTTAGCGGCCTCAGCGCACTGGAAGTACACGTCCGAGCCCTGGGCCGTGCCGCGCTGGTGCGGGTGCGTGGGGTTCAGGGCGCGGGAGCGGTGGTGCTGGATTGCGTCCACGTAGAGCGGCTTGTTCAGCAGCCTACGTTGAGACAAGTGGGTCGAGCCAGGGGCTTGATGGGATCAATTGGGGTTTAATTTGAAAGCAGATTGGGGTCGGGAGGGTCGGGGAGTACGACGTTGGTAACTCGGTTCAGAAGCATGCACTGGGACTAGGGTCAGGAACACACCCCAAAGTCGATTTTGGTCGGACCCCAATGGGTGCAACGAATTAGGTTACATCGCAAGAACCACATCAAGAATGGGATGTGGGACAAATGCAGTTACTCAAATAGACTGGCTTGAGACTTCTACTCACGCCTTAACAGTTTCGTTGCTGATGGTCTCAATGGTGTTGATCTCGTGGCTGGTTCGGAAGCCATCGAAGAAGTGCACGAAGGGCACGCTGGCGCGCAGGGTGGCAAGGTGCGCCACCAGCGCCATGTCATGCGCCTCCTGCACGCTGTGGCTGCACAGCATGGCCCACCCGGTCTGAGGGCAGCAGAAGGGCAAGGGAGGGAGGCAAGGAGAGCACATTGGGTGAGGGGGGACAAGCGAGGAAGGGACGCCAATGACTGGCAGGTTGCAGACAAGCACAAGGCCACGCGGAGCTACCCAAGCCCCAGCCCACCTGGCGCACGGCCATGACGTCCTGGTGGTCGCCGAAGATGGACAGCGCGTGCTTGGCAATGGCGCGCGCAGTCACGTGCAGCACGCAGGGAGTCAGCTCGCCAGAGATCTTGTACATGTTAGGCACCATCAGGAGCAGACCCTGGGAGCAGGTGAAGGAGGTGGCCAGGCTGCCGGCGGCAAGAGCGCCGTGAAGGGCACCTGCAGTACAGTATGCAGCAAAGGTGATTCAGTACCTCAACATGGATTTGACACTGCAATTCAGCAGCAGATTCCGCGGTGCTAACCTCCATACCCTGCCGGCAGCCCGTACCGCTACACCTCTTAATACTTACCGGCTGCACCCGTCTCGCTCTCCATCTCGGTAACACTCATCACATTGCCAAACACGTTCAGCCGGCCCTCGGAGGACCACTGGTCTGCCAGCTCGCCCATGGTGGTCGATGGGGTGATGGGATAGATGAACGTGACATCCGACACGGCATACGCGATCTGGGCTGTTGCCTCGTTACCGTCCATAGGCGCCTGCTAGTGTGCGGCCCAGGAGAGCGGGGCGGATTAGAGATCAAGGCAAAATGGAAAATGGCTTTGATGCGTAACAGCGGTAAACGGTTGGTTGTGGATGTGGGTCAAGGTGTGAGGCGGCTTTTAGCATGGTAGCAGCTTCGCATGAACACTGACAGGTGGCATGGAGGAAGAGTTAGCCTTCAGGCTAGTTAGGCTAGCTACCTGCTTGGCTTTAGCCGTCACGGCGTTGCTGTCCTTCAAGGAGGGAGTGAAAGGCAGGATGTTGCCAGCAGCTGGGACGCTGCCACTAGGGGGCGTCGGAAGGCTGACTCCCTTGTAGTTGGTCGGAGTCGGGGCCACCGGCACAGTCTCCGATGTTGCGGCAGCTACCAAGTTCTTGTTGGCGATACGACTGTAGGGAACCAGTAGCAACGTTAAGCGGTGTGCAGAACTCAGATGGTTGAGCTTTTGACGAGCGTTGAAAGCGGCAACGAACAACGACAAAAGCGAACGTTCCATGGGAAGACGCGCAGCCGCACGAAAACATGTAGGCTAGGTGTCAATATACTGTATAACATCTGCTCGTGGGCGACGAGGTACAGGCGTCGGTAATCCCGACGAATCCCTCCGTTCATACCCGCATTGTGAAAGCAGCAGCTGTCCTGGGCGGATACTGCGAGCGCCAGTCACCCTGCTGGCCCTGGAGCCAATAGTCCTCTGTGACTCCATTGTGTTAACGCGCGATCTGATCCTGCGGGTTCAGCAAGTCCTAACCTCAATCCTCCGTAACTTTGTCAACACCAGATTAACTATTACCATCCCGCAGATAGCAGACATCGGAAGGCCAACATGATGGGGCGTCATGACAGGGACAGTGCAAAGAACCAAGGCTTGAACCCAAGCATGTTAGGGTGATGGCACATGGCTCTGCAAGAGAGCGCTTGCTGTCGCCTGCCCACTGCCTAGGAAGAAGCCTGTCCAAGCCCACAGATGTCTTACCTATCTTGGCAAGAGCTCGTCTGCAACAAGAAGGGCTTTTACGTAACAGGTGCCTGGGGCCAAGAGGTCAGATATCCTTTGCACAATATCTGGATGGGCAACCGTATACAGCTCTTATGTGGGCTGTCCAATTTGCCTTAGTCTTCGGCGACCTTGCGCTTTGGAAGGGGAACCTCACGGATACGGCACTCGGCCTGCAATCCTGAGATAGATTTTGCTGTACAAGTTCCCACACTATATATAAGAGTGTTAAGCCTCCATACGTTTAATTGCATAGATCTTTCTATGCAAGTTTGCGCTGATGATTTAGGCTGCTCACATGGAAGGTTGTCCCTGAACAGCTGGAATGGACTTGGACTATTCGGTTTAGGGTTGATGGCGGCAGTAAACTACATACAGTAAACTTGAGTTACTTCTTCTCCAACGGAATTGAGCAGAAGGGAGACAACAGGTCACGGATTATACCATCGGCGCAATACTTTGACCCGCACCTGGCAACGCGCTGAGCTATATACCCCCATTGCTCTCTGTACGTTTCCGTGTGCAAGCATTAAAACTAGGGATCATATACTTATCTTGACGTTTCATCTTCACGGCCCGCACTCAACCATACCGTGCGTATTACCGTGGTGTTTAAACAATTTATTGTTGCATACGAGGAGCCAGCACTCGCCAGGGGCACACATCCATCTCTCCCCTAAACAAGGGACAGAAAAACACGCGCTTAGCCCGAATCTTGGCCGGTTTAACCATCTTCTGGTGTGGCGGCATCTTACAGTCGCCCTGTCCTCTGCCCGTCGCGGGAAAGCGCTGTCTAACATGCAAGGAGAAAGCAGAAGCCACGGAAGGAAACGGCACAATTGCAATGCTGCCACAACATGCAAGCGTCTCTTTATCCGGCATTGACAAGGCATCCATGCAGCCTGAAAGCAGACATGGCCAGAACAACCCTAGGACACCATCTTCTCGTAAGCTACATGATGCAAGCAGTATTCAAATAATTTGCTGGTGCGCCGCAATACGTTTCTAGCAAGCAGCTTTCATTTGTTCGTTCCGCACAATCCTGATGGCTATCACAGCAAAATTGTCACCCGCCCTGCCCCAAAGACACTGGCATTCCCAACAAAGCGCTCGTCGCCGACACCAGCATTGTCACCCCCGTGCCCCATCTCCGGCGACTCGCGTGTGTCTCCATCAGCCCCGTTGGCTGCCACAGCAGCTGTGTCGGCTGCCACACGCTCCTGTGCCACAATGACGCTGATCGAGGAAGCTGCCGTACCAATGAAGGCATGCGCCGTGCGGCAAATCTCCTGCTCCACCATTGACAACAGGCTATTTGATCCAATACGGTGCCTTAGCTCCGCTGGCAGGTCTGCCACGTCCAGGAAAAAAAGTCGTGGCAGCGGCAGGGTCTGAGATGCAGGTGCCTGATCCGTATCTGTGACGCGGCCACCCACTTTATCGCTATCATGCTCCGTATCCGCCGTTTCGGACTCGTCCTTCTTAGCCTTGAAACGCTTAGCAGAAAGCTTGCGGGAAGCCCTGGATCCGCTGCCGCGCGTGCCCTTCTGCGTGCGTTTTGACGAACTGCTGCCCTTTCTCTGCTCTTGCCCTGCTGGTGCGGTATCGCCTAGCTCCCACAATCGTATGAACTCCCGGCGAACCACGTCACGGACACGGGGGTGCGCCATAAGGAACAACGCAGCTGGTGCTGCGGTGGTGGCCTGCATGGGCTGCCCAGGAGCCTGCTCGGATACCGAACTGCCGTCTGGGGATGCATGCGCTGAGGAGGCTGCCTGGATAATTTTCCGGACCAGCGGTACCATCTTTACCAGCAGCAGCGGGTTTTGACATTCCTGCAAGGACACACGGGACAGCAGGGGGCAGCAGGGGAGGGGGCATGTAGGCTGGCTCGACATATGCCAGTCATAGGAAACATGCTGAGGATGACATACAGGGAGACCTACGGTAAACCCTAGCCTGGATTATTCGTAGAGACCGCAAATGTCACTCTGGCCGACACCCTCGCTGCCCCTAGAATTTTACTGCTAACATACCTTGGCTGCAGCGTTTGCGTCGAAGGAAGTCATTTCGACAAAGTACTTAAGGCAATCATCTGGGTAAGGCCGAACATGCAACGCTATGTAGTAAGGCTTGATGCTGCTAGTGCTGCTGTAACCGTCGTTACTGCTAGTTGTGGATGCTGCTGCGTTACCAACCGCGGGCAGCGGTAAGGGTGCTGCCTGCTGCTGGAAGGCCGCTAGTGCAGCAGCCACAAAATCATGCGCTGTTGCGGCCACCACAGGCGATTTGGACAGGCGCAGCGACACCTGCGCACGCATGCAGGAGGCGACAATGTAGAAGTGCGGGTGAAGATGTGGCTTTCAGGTCATGTAGCCGCTTACCATAGCATGTGCTGAAAGGTTGCGGTATCGTACCTCTGATGCAAGCATAGCGCTGGCGGACGCATGCTTGCGTCCCCCGGTGCTCTAGCAACGTTACGCTTAGCTTGGAATGCAACCCATACTACGTCCGCCAAGCGGTACTCCTTGATAGGACGACAGGAAGGTGAGCCAACCCACCTCGTGATAAGCCCGCGCGCATGGGCTCTCATCGTGTGCGAAGCTGCGGTAGGAGCTGCGAGCCGGGGGCACGATACGGCGGTAGCTGTACAGCAGCACCCAGCGGTGTCGCCTCACGGCTGCGGATACCCAGGCCAGGCCGCGCTTGTCGCACCTGCGCCCATGCAGGAGAGCAAATTTGCAGGCGGGGCACACATCGTCGAGAGGGGCTGACGGAGAACTGGTTTGGACCAAGGACAGCAGCAGCCAAGGCAACATTTAGGACGAGGCCGAACTTACTATGCCGCCAATTTCAGGCGGCGCCCATCCTAGCAGCACCTGTGGCTATCACTGTTCATGTGCACCACGGCTAAGGAACGTTAAGCGTGAGGCCGCTGGACTTGTGGACTGTCATCTACGTAAGCCCTACTTGCAACGTCGGCGCCGCCATAATACCTGAACGCGTCGTTACGGATAACTCCGACACCACTTGCGTCGAATAACCCTGAAGTCTTTGCCTTGCCCAAGGCTTCCTCTATGCCCGATGTTTTGCTTAGCAGTATGAGCGCATCCGCCCTGCCCCTAGGCGGCCAGACTTGCTGCTGTATGGCATCTTCACGGCTGATGACCCGAACCATTGGAGCAAGCGCCTGCCTGTGACTCGTGGGGAAGGGATGGGTGGCACATGGATGGAGGTGCGGTCCACACGGATGGGGGAGGAGTCCTGACCATTCTGAACTGATGGGCGCAGATAGGACATCCCCACACTTCCGTGCAGCGCATGTCCCTTACTGTCATTACCCCCTATCCTTGATTCATCCGCTTCAGAAGTCGGCAAGTCCGCCGAACTCACCGGTCGAAGATGAGGTCGAATGGCATGGTATGGGATCCACGCTGCTGCGCTTCCTCCTCCCCTTGTTTCAATCCGCTGCGGTCCTGCTGCCCTGCGACATTACCAGCCGATGCCTCGTCTTCATCGTGAAGGATGCCCCGTGCTTGCCGCCTCAGTTCATCAGCCTTCTCCTGCCAAACTCTCGACACATTATCCGTCCCAACACTACGCTTGTCCTCAGCGAGCGCTGCCATAGCCTGACGCCTGCTGCCTCTGCCACGAGTGCCCTTCTCGCTAGCTGCTGACTTGTCGCTTGCTTTAGTCGTTGTCTTCAAGCTGGTAATCACTATTCCCGCCGCTTCCAATTCGCTATAGTGCGGCCAGAAGCCGTATGTCACAACGGTCCAGTTATTAAGCGACGCCAGCGCCAGTGCCTCCTTCAAGGCGATGATCTGGTTGCTCAAGCCGTACGGTAGGACGGGTACGACGAATATGCCGGCATCGGAGGCGGAATCTACTTCACCTAGCCCGATTGACGCCATTGCACGCCGAGGGGTGTCGCCTCCCACCAGTACCTCAGGGAGCCCCTTATTGTGAGACGCATCACTATTCGCGCCCATGGTATCCTGGGTTTGCGGGGAAATCGGCGATTATGCTTGGATGCAGGAGTGTGTGGGGTTTGGGTGATCACCGCAAGTACGTACTTAACCGCGTCTGCATGCCCTCCTCGCCCCCAGCTCCATTAATCTATATCTTCCCCTCCCCCCCCAGCTGCCACCTCGCTAAGGAAACGCTACCTGAGTGCCTGCGACGCTCGCTAGACACACCTCCCCCATCCTACACTCCCCAAGCAAACACCCAAGCCGGACGCCTGTCCATGCAATTTTACCTGTCCGCCGTAAGCCTGTGCGGGTCTCCCCTGTCGGCGGCCCCCCTCCGCCCTTGCATTTGCCGCTGGAAAGGAGGCTGTAGCTAAACATATAAGCACCACTATCACACAGGCTTGTTTGCGGGTTAATGATACATCTGGTTTGTTGTCATCGGGCATTGATGCCAAGGCGCACGGCTATACGCCAAGAGGCGCACGGCAATACGTTAAGAGAGCTAAACGTCGCAACTACTTATGTCATATTATGTACATAAATGCTTTCGAGACTAGAGGATGTGTGCCCTGATGCCTCCCCATTCGCCTATGCCCTCTTGCCTCATGCCTGTCTGTAGAAACGTGTAATGAAGTTTGCAAAACGCTTCATGCTGGCTTCAGAGTACTGGGCTGCCATGCGGAATATGCAGGTGCATTTGAATAAGCAGTTAGTACGATCCAATCTTCTGGCCTAGGAGCTTTACGCGTAGTCAAGCGATGTAGCCTAGGTTGCACCATAACGTATCGTATATACATGGGTTCACACTATATTGTGTACAGCTTACTGTTACCGCTGAATGCCTGACATTGCCAGCCTTGCTGCGACACCCTAAAGCGCATGCAAGATAAAACCCCGTCAACCTGTAATACCTACCAGTTCGCTTTTAGTTGAGGGGGTTGACGTGGAACAAGGCTTGACACACCCCAACGACAGACCTGCGCCTTTGGCAGCATTTTCGACATGGAGATTCCACTTGAGGACATTGCATCTTTCTTAGCTGATTATGGTGAGAAGCAAGCCAGTTCCATAACCAGTAATAGGTGTGAAGCATGGCCCTTATGCGACCTTGACCGGCTGGCTTTCGCTGCTGGTTCCTTTACGCAGAGGATTGGTATTCCTGCTATGGTGGCGATGAGGAAGCCTTACAAGACATGCTGGAACAGGGCAGCGTAGCGTCCTTTTACACGGCTCTTGGCTCGCTATCTAACGGCGGATTCGGCGCCTCGATGGCGCTTAGTACCGACGAACCGAACGATTTGGACCAGTCGCTTGGGTGGATAGTCCCTGAGACTGAGGACGACTCACAGCCCAGCCACCGCCATCCTGAAGTGGATGAAGGAGAGGCGCCTGCGCACAAGCGGACGCGCAACGTTATGGCCGAGTCCCTGCCCCTGGTAAGGCTAACACTGTACTTATACTAACTTTCCAAGATGAGGCAACTAAGGGCATGTGCCTTCGACTTATAAACCACAACGCATTACTTGCATATGCTTGCAGAGCCCTGTGGCGGCGAAAGCCACAAATGTGCTTCCGAGAACGAAGCCTTCAACGCGTGACAGCCGTCGTTCCCACGTGCTTCGCGCCCGGTCGCTCCCGACTATTGAAGGAGTATCGGGACTCCTCCGGTCCGGAGCGTCCTTCAGCGGGCCCATTCGCGTCGCCATCACAGTGCAGCCTGACGGCACCTCGGTCAAGCTGCGCATCATGCCTGCTATCTTCCGTTTTGGCAACGTGCCGTTTCCCATTACCCGGGCCAGCGCTGACATCGCGGCCATGCTTCGGGGCTCAGACTGCAGCCTCCCCCAGCAGAGCCGGAAGCTTGGGGCCTCGCAGGATCAGGAGCAGTGCCAAGGCATCATGGCCCGGTCATCTGCGCCTAAGGAGCCGCAGCAGGCGGAGGCAGAGTGCGATGCGTATGTACACGTTGAAGCACGCAGGTGCGCATCTGGTGGAGATGATTCCGTTGACCCACTTACTACTAAGGATCAAACCAGGTCCAAGCGCCAAGCAGTTGATAAGGATCTCAAATCCAGCTTTACCTTTCCCAACGCTCTGCTCCATTGCGTATTCTCTTCCCTCCGAGCCAGCAGCAACGAAAGCGGCCTCCGGCCCGCAACGGTACAAGAGCTTGGCTCTGAGCTGCTGCGCTCCTCCACCGCGGATCTGTCGCTTTTCCGGCGGTCCATTCCCGCCGCATTGCATAATGCTGTCGTAGTGGCGGGTTATGTCCAGGCTGCAGCGCCCCCCCATGGCTCAGAAGCCCCCACCGAGACCCACATGAGCGTTTCCGGCGAGACTACTGCTGCGGTGCACCAGCTTGCGTCCACAATCTTCAGCAACGTCCTGCGGGCCTCTGGAGGAGGCGCCGAAGCCGCTGAGGAGCTCTCCGGCGCGCGGGACATCTCCTCTCCAGCAAAGCATCAGCACGCGACACAGCGCGACAAAGTGGCAGCGGCGCAGCTCAGCCAGCCTGCAGGCGCTCCAACTGAGGAAACGCCGCGTGATGGCGAGCTGCCTCCAGGGCAAGCGGCGAAGGCGGACGCCAACGCTGAAAACAGCCCCCTGTTCCAGGGTATCAGCGCTGAGGTGTCGGAGTACAGCGGCCTGCCGACGCCGGCGCTAGAGCACTGTGACTCTCCCGTCACCATTGGAGCCGTGGGGCTGGAGGAGGTGGAGGGCAGCGCTACCGACGATGACGAGGTTTCGGGGCCTGCCTCGCAAGGCGCGGGCACTGCTGCTGCGAAGCTAGCAGCTGAGACATCGGCGGTTGGTACTGCAACCGCCTCGCCGCGAACTATGAGCAAGAAGGCGTACGGTACGGTGGCGCAGCTCGTGAAGAAGATGGTACCGAACTTCCGGGACTCGGCCGTTATGTCTATGATGGCGACTGATTCGCCTCGCGACGAGCAGGCGCCCGTCGCCGACACCGAAGCATCGGTGCAGATTGCTGCCCGCAGCGTTGAGGAGGCGGAGCCATGTCCAACAGCTGAGCAGCCGGTCGTGGAACAGGCAAGTGCTGATCCTAGCTGCGGTGAGGAGGAGGCAGTCGGAGCCACGGACGAGGGCCAGGGCGTTGAGCAGCTGCCGGATACGTATGAGCAGGAGACGAAGTGCGTTGCGGCACCCACTGCTGCAGCCCAAGTGCCAGATGGCTTGACTCCCTCGCAGCCTGGGGACTGCGGAACGGCCCTTCCTGCCGCGCAGCAGGAAGAGCACACCGACAGCAAGCAGGCTGACGAAACACCGTCTCCTCCAGGTAGGCGTCGTAAGAGAGTGCACAGCCAGACGGTGCATCTGCTTGGCTCCCGACTCCGAGGCTTCATTAGCATGCTGTCCTGAAAGCCATGCTTTGGGGCATGGTGGACGGTGTTTCCGCACACGGTGGCATTCACCATGTCAGTGCTGTTCAGCCAGTCAACTCAGCCCGGACCCGTCTGTCCGCATTGCACGCAGGTGACCAGTTTGCTCCAGGCATGTTCATCTTTGGCCAAGAGCAGCCAAAGCCCGGTAAGCCACCTTCCGGGGGCATGGTGGACGACATGCAACGAGTTCCCTGCACTGCATGCTCACGTCTGCTGCACGCTATGACCACGCTATTGACATGGCCTCCATGCAGTGTGTCCGTAGCTGAAGCGTCCTTGAGACTGCTTTGCTTTGTTTTACGGTGTATGTTGCCATGACGACTTGTAACACGGTAGCTTCTTTCCCATCCCGCAGCCAAGCACCCCATCATCAAGCCTCGCCCCGTTTCCGCCAAGGCCGCTGCGGTAGCAACTGCCAGTGACCCGGTCGCAGCTGTCGACGTAGGGCGTAAACGCAAGGCTGACGCGGAGGTAGGCCCACGCGTAACCCCAATTCTAAGTGTCCTCTTGTCGCAGTGCCATGGGCATGAGGGGTAAGCCAACGGGGTTTGCATCAAAGGTTTATAGTCTAAAGCACTCTAGGTCAGGGTGTGTGCTTACGCAACGCCAGCAAGCCGCAGTCGTCTTCTTGCCGCTCATCATACCATCCACACCTTCCCCCATGCCACCCAGGTGTTGCCCTGCGCCAAGATGGCGACACCCAACGACAAGGCCGACGCTGAAACCACACAGCCCCAGGCCGAAACCGCGCCCGAAACCGCCGTCGCCAGCACCCCCGAGGCCGCCTTGGTTCCCGCCAGCCAGGCACCTCTGGATCAGCCGCAGGAGCCGAACTGCACGGCAAACGACGAGGCCCCGCATGAAGAGGCGCCCGAGGCAACTGCTGTTGAGGCGCGCTCTGTCGACCCGGCGTTGGTCACAGAGGAGGTCGCTGCGATGTCGTCCACGACCGATGGTACGGCAGCGACTGAGGCCGCAGAACCTGTGAAGGTCAAGGATGTTGAGATTGTGGTAACAGAGGAGCAGGAACCGCCTCTGGAGACGGTGACAATGCCGCCAGCCAGCGGGAAGGACAAGAAGAAGCTGGGCCTCTTTAGGTTTTGTGGCTGCTTCCGGGCGTAATGGAATACCTGGTAGGCCGCTGTTGTTTAATTTGGGGTTGAGTTGTGACGTGACGTACTTGAGCGTTTGGGAGCACAGGGTAATGCGCCGACAAAGGCGTTAGTGGGGACGTGTTACGTTACTCGTTGGACGTTTCCAGCATCGTTTTGAGGGTGACGTGAGCAGATATAACGAGTTGTGGACTGCTATTGGGCCCATTGGTCCTTTCGAATGTCATGCTGACAACAGAAGCTTGCTCTAGCCCTTCCAACGGAAAGATGTTAGCATCTCAGCCGCATCTAGCATTGCAGCCATTCGCGACGTGATTGTTGGTGCATATGAAGGTCGCCAACGTGGCTCTCTACCATAGATGGAGGTGTAATTGCTCGTAACGTGAATGCGTGATAGTGTTTTGCCAGCACTAGGCGATCCCTTGAGGCAGAACTCGGCTGCGTGTGGCAGTCAACTGGTTGACGGTGAATCGTATTACGCGTGCAGGCTGCACCGAGGGCGATCCTGGTCCATGGCCCATGGGTCGGTCTGGGGGTGTCAACAACTCGTGGCCATCCGCATGAATATGCAACAAGCTATTATGCGCCATCGGTTATGGCGTCGTGCCTGGGGCTATGCAACGCAAGCCCTGCATGGCCACGAATGAGTGGCGGGCTGGCGGCTGTGCATGGGATTGGAACGTGTGGCTGTACGGTGGCTGTGAGACCGTGAGCGTTCCGGATACTGGTAAATGTCGGGGATGGACCGGGCTAGAGCAGCTGAGTGCAAGGGAAACTGAGGTCGTCTTCTATTTAGGCATTGAAGGGGCCGCATCGTCAGGTTATAGCAGGTATCGCAAGGGCGAAGCTTGGAGACTGCAGCGTTCTGGTACTGATATCGTTCTGTTAGAATGGGTACGAAATAGGTATCTTACCAGGGTCAATGTAATTCTCTTACAGGAATGCAGGCGGGTGACATTGCAGCAAGGAACCCCAAATTACGGGCAATAGAAGTACGACATACCCATCGTAAGATCATTGTACGAGCATCTCACCCTTTTGCATCGGTCCATGTGCCTCCTGCTGTAATCATTATCATCATTTCCCTCAATAACGAAAACGAAAACACGTTTCTATACGAAGATTGCTTGAAGCAATGAGTAGTTTCAAGTAAATTCGAGCCAACATATGTATGCTGCTAATACAATACAGCACGCGCTCCTGTGGTATGCATTGGGGTATATGCGCGATAACCATTTGTGTCAAATGTCTTAGCTCTGTACACGTCTATAGACGGAATGCATCTGCTCCCCCAGACAGGAGCGCACCAACTTCGTTGCTGCAACGAGACAGAAGTCAGAGCTTATGGAAGCCTACGTACAAACGTTTAACCAAACACCAACGATACCACAAACGACAATCCTTCAAGGGTGCAAACCCTCCGAGCGAATGGCTGCATGAAGCCCCCAACCCACACCTCAAATGTCTCATAGGCTACACATGGTGCAGCTTTGGCAGGCATGCCATTATGTCCTCCCCTGCCTGCCAAATCCAAGCAGACACCCAAGCCATTGCCCAGACCATCCTCTCTGTACCGGCGTATCGTCTGGCGCCGATTGCCACCACCAGGGGCCCATCTCCAACATGGTTTCCTGGACACCTGACGCCTAACGATTCTATTCCCGCCCGTCGACACAAGTGACTGAACGCCGCAAACCTACGAGCAACATGCGTCACGCCGTTGTGTTACCGAACAGCAGGTGTATGTATGAATGCCATCCTGGCATTAGGAGTATACAACAACACTCATATGTATAAAGGACGCCTTCACGTAGCGTCCGATACCACTAGCGGAACCTGACGTAACGATGCAACGGGAGCTGCGCCATGGGTCAAGCCTCGAGCGAGCCGACCGTCATACCCGCGTGCTATAAAGCTCCTATAGCGCTGCTAAAGCTTCTCCAGTTGTTCCTTACGGCCCCGATGCCAGCGCCGCTTGGTATGAGCTCTCAAACGTCGTCGCATGGGTCGCCCGCAGCACCCGCAGTGACGGAAGCGCCTGAGGCAGTGGCACAGCTGCTCCTCGCCGCTCACTGATATCCTTGAGGACGGTACCGACAGTGTAAGCCATGAAGCATCCAGATGACAATACTGCCAAGGTTCCGAGAGCGTGGATAGCCGACATTTGCTTTGTTGTTGTTGGTAATGAATAGTAAGGAAGCTGTGTTTCAGATTTGGTATGGTCACAACTGTTTAGCGGGTCTGGTGCCATCTTTCCTGGGAAGGTACGTACGCCGCAGCTGTACACGATCGTCACAGCCCTAAAGCAATATTTTGCCTGCTGCTAGAGATGCAGGGGCTGACTATTAACGATTTGGAGCTATGAAGGCGACTACAACGCTATCTAGCAAACGCCAGCTGCGAACCGGCGGGTCTGACGTATCAACTTCGGCTTAAATGTTGCTGCATCTCTTCACGCGGAAGACCACAAAATTGCATTTATGCTAGGTTGTACTTGTAGCATGCACGACGGCAATCCTCCAATCACTGGGAACCTCCTACCTGCTGGACCGTGGGTCGCTTGCGGATGTTGCAACCAAAAGTTCAGAAGCTGTGTGGAAGCCCTTACAGGCCTGTAGACTCGCTATCTACGGCATTACCTGGAAGCATTTGTCGTCAGCGGCCCAGGTCAACGCTTGCGCAAAGCCGCAAATCTGCCAGCCATTCTCTGTCACCGCTACACGCTACCGCTACCGCTACCACTACATGCGCAAGGGGCCGTTTCCCAGCAGCCCTCCGTCCCCCGCCTCTTCTGCTTGCTATGGTGTTGAAGATTCAATGGAGTTGTTCGTGCTTGCTTATGTCTCGTCAAGCCCTGCAACTATGATCAGGTAACCTACAGCCTAGAGCTGCCCCCATCATGGCCCAAACCAACAAACTACAACATGCCCTACGCAATCCCCTCTGTCTGAACTCGTTACCATCCTATCCATCTGACGAGGGCGGAAAACACACCACATACCCAGCTATGGCTGGCACAGTACGCAGCTCACACACATGCAGCCATGCACCCAGAAGCTAAAAGAACAAGTCCATCCAGGGCACTCTGGTATGGTCTTTGCATGCCATAACCTCCGGCTCAAGAGGTTAGGAAGCGAGGATTACACAGGAGGGCTAACCAGTAAGGCGGGTAGTCCCCGTGCTCCCGTACATTCAGGTCAACCATGCTGTCTCAGGACGTCAAGTCCAACTGCAGGCATCCCACTCAAGTCCCGTACCGCTCCCGTAATTTATAACTCAACCTTCCGCCGTACCTCCTCACCGACCGGCAGCACCACGACCCGGTCAAACCCGGTCAAATACCATGATGGTGTTCTTGAACCATGAGAAGCTGCTGGATGACCGCAGTACGGCACTTGCCGTACTGTTGTGCACGAAACGACCCATTCCCAATGCCAGCACCCTTCCCACGATGTAATCATTCGGGCGCTCGTTCACATGGTAGTGTCCCCCCTGTCCTGGGACCGCCCAGCTCAGCACCACGCCACGCTTCGCATGCCGCAGTACATTGCCGATGTACGACGTCTCATGTACGGCAGGAATGTGCTCGCCGACCTCCAGTGAGATTACCCAGTCGTACGACATGCCTAGCCATGTCGGCTCCGAGAGGTCGAGGAAGCGTACGAAACCCCCGGTAGCCGCCTCGATGCCCTCGCCTCCATCGTACGGCACGTACTTCCGTACAACAGGACTAAGACATTTGCCGTACTGGCCGCGTCCTGCACCAAGATCAGCTATACGTTGCCCCGCTAGCATGTTGCCTAGGGCAGCGCAGAGGGGCTTATCCAGCAGCGTGCCGCTAGTCGTGCCGTCACTTGCCCCAGGCGCTGAAGGGGAGGATGACGGAGCCACACAAAAGCCACCCGAGGGCCCTATGCCGTGCACTTTGCAGTACGTTGTGCCGTACAGTTGACGCAAGGAGACAACCTTCATGGCAGGATAGTGTACGGGAGTGGTAGGGAAAAGGGGAGCGGATGTCAGGAAAGGTCAGATAAGTGAGCATGCCGCTACATCAGAAGCCCTTCAGGGTGTGGTTCCTTTGGGGCGCCTGTGGAGATCCACTCATGTAGGGTCCCTCTGCCCCTTGTGCCCACGCGTTGGGTCTGCTTCTTTTCGCCCCTTGTGTCAAGGAAACCCAGCCCGCCACTTGACTCCACCCTAAAGATTCCCGTATAAGTTCCAAGCCGTAACAGCCCACCACACCCCACCATTACACCCTACCTTGCGTCGGAGGAACGCAACCTCCTCTCGCAGCGCCGCCACAACATTAGCACCGCCCTCCCTATCCCGCAGCCCCCCAACCAGCCCGCGATTCTCCGGAAACGCCGGCGCGAACTGTGTTGGCTCCGGAATCTCATCTGCAACCTCCTCCGGGCCTCTCACTGACGCCTTCCCAATGCTGCCGCTGCCGCTGCTGCTGCTGCCGCTTCCAACAGCGATTGCCTTCCTCCAGCCCGGATACTGCTGCGCATCCTGCTGGGATGGTTGCGGCACCGCATGGCCGACCCGTGGGTCTTGTGTGACCTCGCGGTACACCCCGCAGCGCTGGCCCGACCAGGCCCCAGCCGCAAAGGCCGCGAGGGCCACTGTGAAGAGCAGCGCTGCGGCCATTGCGGTGTTGACTGGATGCTGCATTTGATGGTAGGCGGACACGGTTGGGGAGGTGGAAGAGCGCATGGCAGTGTTGTGTGTTGCGCTTAGGCGGTGATTTGAGGCGAGGTGGTGGCGTGTTCGTCAGGGAGAGGGCATTCGAAGCTCAGGTTGGTATCGCTGGGTCTGCGTACAGATGATGAGACGAGAGGAAGGTGGGCGGTTAAGGAACCGTAAGGGTTATAGCACTGCGATGTAAGTTAGGTGGGCTGATTTCGTGGTTGTCTTGGTTGCCAGGAGCGTAGCGCTGGTGATAGTGGGGGACGAAGCAAAGGAGACTACATGAACTTTGAAAGGACGTTGCGGTGAGCTAACCCGCAAACAATAAATGATTCTACGTCCTGCTTGTCGAGGGCAGCAACGTAACACGGAGGGTTATCGCCGGAAACCAAGAAGTGCAGAGTGGAATGATTTGGGTTTATGTCGCAAATTGTGGGCCGGCAACATCTGGTGCCTGCGATGCACGTACATCGGTCCTCGGAGGCCTTGGAGCCGCCTCCGCTGTCAACAACGCGACCCGAGGGTCCTACTCGTGCGAAGACTTTGCACCGGACAGCAAGTTACGCCGTTCTGACTTATACATTATGGACGTGTTTTTATTTATGTGTTCAACAGAGAAGCAAAGAAACTGGAAAAGGCCCATTAGCGGTTGACTTTTGCGACACACCAGCGTGACAAGTGATAGTGCAGCGTTAAAGCTAGTTTAGTATACTTTGTTAGTTAATAAGTAAAAGTCACACGCCGTGCTTGCTAATGGCTAACGGGCGGATAGGTCGCCGACCCGAACCCTCCACATTTCGCCAACGGGAATGGGTTCGACTTGAATATGCTCGACTATAATCAATTTTACATGTAAATGCATTCGCGACTGGTTCCAACTTAGGCCTTGGCCGTCTCAACCAGAAAGTACTAGCCATGGACTTTCAGCTCGGCCTCCAACAGCCTGCATTAAACACCATGGCCTATCATCGGCACGGGAACCAAAAGCCATGGTTCAGGAGCTGCCAACATCGGCGCGCGACTAGTTCAGGTCGGACGCGAGGCTTGCTAATCCCATGCCGCGGTGTGAGCCACGCGATCATAGAGGAGCTGGTTGACTATCCTGGCTCGCCGTTTCACAGCTTGGGCCTAGCAAAACACCAACAGGTGGGTGGCGTGTGCCGTATAAGATAACCATGGTACAGCAAGCCTCTGGTCACAGTACGGCGTAAGCACTGAGGAGCTTGGAGGGCTTGTGGGAGCAAAGGACACAGTTATGATGTGTGACAGTAACGGTGTAGCGCCTTGACGCGATGGCCGTCCAGCTCGCTGTTAATGCAGCAGGGAGGACGCTCGCTACGCAGGCTATCTGCTCCACCAGTCCGCTCCCTTTGCATCCTTGCCCACTCCTGCCCTCACTGCCAGCCGCCTTAACCCTTCGACCACACTGCGACCTCCAGGCGGGAGATTACAGCCGCGCTGCGCGCCGCCAAGTCAACCTCCTCCGCCGGCTCAAGGCCGACCCATGGGCCATGGCTCTGACGTCTCCGCCCGACTGGTCTGCCATGTTTTCCGATCTCAGCCGGCCTCTGGTGGCTGACCTGGGTTGCGGGGCGGGCCGCTGCATGCTGGCAGCAGCGGCCGCTCAGGATGCTGCGGTAAAGGAGGCACAGGGGAAACGGGCAATGCGGCCTGCTGGAAATGCTGATACGGAAGCAGTTGTGGATAGGGAAGAGGCGCCGGTGCGGAAGGCGAGGACAACGGAGACTGCAGGTATGGTGGCGCGGAAGGCTACGCAGGCATCTGGCATTCACCACCTTGGCGGCGGCAGCAGCACCAGCGTCAGCAGCAGCAGCGGCAGCGGCAACAGCGGCAGCACCGGCATGGTGTTGCGCGCGGGGGCCGTGGGTGACGGTTGCAACTTCCTTGGCGTGGATGTACGGCTGGCGGTGAGTCGAGGACTGGATGGGTGAACTTGGCGCGATGGCTCCGATTAGGGTCGCTATGGCGGTGGGGGTGTTACGGTCCATCGTTGGTCGGCTCATTAGTCATTACCGGTCCGCTCCGGTCAGCAACAAGCTAGTCGTTAGCATTTGTCTCTTCTGCTCCGATCTTTGAGTCTCTCACGTCTCACATATCACCATGTGGCACGGCCTACCGGTGCTACCAAACTCAAACCCTTCCTGGATCCTATCCTATCACTCACCCCGCAGCTGACTTCCCGGGCCGCTGCCTGGGCCCAACTGACCCACCTCAACCACCGGGCCGCATTCCTCTGCGCCAACGCCAACGCCAGCCTGCCGTTGCTGCTTGGTTCGTACGGCAGCACCCATGACCCTGGCTGTCGTACATCCTCGGCCGGCTCTCCTCGGGCGCGCTCGGTAGCGCTGGTGTGTCTGCAGTTCAGCGACCCACCGGTACGGCGCCAGGCGCTGGTGGGTGGCGGCGATCTGGTCGCGCAGCTGGCGGAGGTGCTGGAGCCGGGAGGTGAGGGGGTGGAGGTGTGGTGAAGAGACCCATGGGTCGCGGGATGTGTGGCGGCGTGGAAGCTGCTTGCGTTCTTCGGTACGGGGCTAATGGAGGGAGAGGTTGCTTTTGCAACCGCGTGCCGTGCGTGTGCTGCATGTTAGTATGGGAATGAAGTCAGGCTAATGCCCATTATCTGATGTCGATTACCGCCTCACCCATCCGTGCCCCTCCCCCTGCTCCCGGCCCTGCTCTACCGCTGTACGGCAGCCATGGTTTGGATCCAGTCCGACGTGCTGAGCATTGCGCGCTCCCTGCGACGCCTGTTCTGGCGCCACGGTGGATTCGCTCCCAGCATCCGTCATGCAGCCGCCGCCTCCGCCTGTGTAACACGGCACTGGCTGCCGCAGCCGCAGGACCCACAGCCCCACCCGCAGCCACCTCACTCGCAGCTGCCCCTCTCGGCGGGTGCTGTTCCGCAACCACATCCACCGCTTCCCTCCGAAACCGCCTACCGGAACGCAGCCGATCCCGGCCCCCTCGCATTTGAGTCGTGTATCACCGGTTCAGTACGGGTAGCAGGGGGCAGCAGGAGCACCGCAGGGCCAGTTACTTCAGGAGTGGGAGCGGAAGGGCGCTGCAGCAGCCCCGAGCATAAGCGTGGAGTGGAGGGTTCCGACGGTAGCCACCACAGCAGTGCTGCATGTACCGATAACAGCAGCGGTAGCAACATCAGCGGCAGCAACAGCAGCGGTAGCAACAGTGCCTCCTGCTGCAACAACACCACCCAGCAGCGCACCCCTTCCACCCTTGCAGCCGCCGCCGCGCAGTTGCCGTTGCTGCTGCTGCATGCGGACCTAGCCACGCATGTCGAACCCTGGCTGACGAAGGAGCAGCTGGAGCAGGTGGTAGGAGGCAGACCGCATAGCGTTTGCCAGCAACGTCGCCAACAGCAACAACAGCAGCAGCAAGAGCAGCAGCAGCACCTTGAGGAGAGCGGCCGCGTGCGTTGCAGATCACGGGTGCAGAGGAGCCCTGGGCTCTTGGAACAGCAGCCGAAGCACCATCAATTGCAAAAGGGGAGCGGAGAGGGTGCTGCGGACGTCGAGGACCAGCAGAGGAGGTTAGCGGGCGTTAGCGGAAGCAGAGCCCTGGGGGGGTGCGGGAGCGACCATGGGGCGCTTTGGAGCGGCAGGGGCAGCAACCTCCTGCAGGGGTGGGGACACCGCATGGTTAGGGCCATGCCATGCAGCAGGCAAGGCATATTGGATGCGGATCTGGGTCAGGGCAAGGGGCTGGATTGTACGGCGATACCCCAGATGGCGTCTGCCGGTGCCGCCACTCTTGCCGCTGGTGTTGCATTTGAGAGTTTTGGCGCGAATAGTGCGCCTCGTTCAGTTGGGGAGAACAGCGTTGTTGAGAGGGAGGGCGACAACGATGGGGATCTGCATGTGGTTAGAGGAGAGCCGCATGATGGAGAGCACGACGAAGGTGAGGACGGCTGGGAGGGGCTGCCGTGGCTGGATGCCAACCCGCTGGGGGTTCCAACGGAGCGGGAGTTGTACGTTGAGAGGGGCAGGAGGCCCATCTATCGACTGTTGCTGGTACGGAGGTAGCCCGTGCTGGGCTTGCGTCTCTTAGCGGCTAGGAAAGCGTGTTGCCGTGTACCTACGGTTGGTGCCGAAATGTCATTTACCTCACGATTGTGGGAGTGGTATTGCTTTGGCGAGGCATACAGATTCGCAAGAGACGTTACGTAAGATGTGGCTTACAAAGGCCTTATATGTAGCGCCTGCTGCTGCAGGGCATGGAGATCAAACGACACAACCTATTGCGGCTCAACGGGGCATTGGTTACCGGAAGGCTACCGCGAGGTTGTAGGCTCTGATCCCTTTGGCTAGGTGCGTCGTAAGCAGTCGCGGCTTCTGCAGACGCTTGAGCGCCCCTCCCAGGTTACTTCCCTACACCGAAGCCAGGACTAACAATGGCTGATGACAGGTGCCCGAGGATGTAGGCTCCAGCTCCTAACGATGCAAATCGATAGATTAACTGTTACAGGACAGAGTATGATGTCAAGCAGAAACCTGCGGAATTTCGGCCCTGTAACTTTCACAGGAAAGGCAAAAGGCATGCGAGGCAGGACGGACGACAGGTGGGGAGAAGCATTTCTCCCCTAGCATGAGGAGCCTGGATGAAAACACACTGCATTTTGTTGCCATCGGCGTTTACAAAGTTGAATAGCCGCGCCTTGACCGCGCCTCGCCCCGTCGCTTTCAGTCAGGATACGAAAGGGCGTGTTAAAGACAAAACGGTAAAGAGAATTATACTGTGATACCTTACACAACTGAGTACAATATACCTGTTTTGTACGCAGTAAATGGTCATCGTATGTGCTAAGAGCGCATAACTGATAACCACCCAGATACAGCCTTACGCGAAAGCACGTTACCGCGGTTTCTACCCAAGGAACTCCCATATAACCATTCGTTTTGACAGTTCGTTATAAATCAACACATAGGCGCGCCCAAGCCTGTATTACGGACACGAAAGGAGCCCAGAAACCTTTGATTCGTTCTCAGAATCTACTGAAAAAGCAGTGATGGAAACAAATTGTGGAACTCAGCGGGTATGATATAGAGAGCCTTTCTAAACGGCCGGACTGATTCGTTCGGAACCGTAGATCCAGAAATAACCGTACTGCGAATACTGCAGAGCTTCGGTAGGCCGACATAATCTGTTCGCATTCTCGGAGTCTCCACACCCAATAGCTTTCTGCGGCGGACTTGGTCGACCAAAGGTCCTATTCTGTAGCTTGCAGTGGTTGCTTACCGCTGGAATAAGCCCTAGGAATAGGGGCCCCGACTGCTGCTAGCGGAGGTTTGGCGTGAAGGAGAAGTCTTAAAGAGGTAAGCTGTATGTTGACGAATCTATCGGGCTGGTAGCGTATCTTGCCGGCCATGGTCGTAAGGGGACGCATTCCAACGTAACCCTTACGGCTGCAGGGCGTTAGGCTGCGGTCAGTTAGGGACTCTGCTGTTTGCTTGATATCCATCCAGTCTCTAGCGTCGGCGCACTATGTTGGACTTGGCCGGTTGACCTCGCCAACTGCCCTTCGATCTTTTTCCAACCAGGGATACATCTGTCAGGTTTTCTTGTTCCCTATGGAAGCAGCTATGAAGGCCGCGGCTAGGACAAGCCGGGTAACCTGCGCCCGGCCAGGATCGCAAGTGCTTCCTCAATGCAGGTATGACCTCGTCCCCTAGAGAACAGCAGCTTTAAACATTAACCTTGCTATGATCACTCGCGCTTTTAAGATGATTATTGGAAATACGCTATTCGCTATTCACTGCGTGGACTCGACTATTTTCGGTTGCTCCTTAGTACATACGCATTTCACTTACCTCTGAGTTCCCTTCAGCTTCCTAAGCCAGGCATAGTCTGAAAAAACCCCGCATTTTATACCCTCTGCAGTCGCGGTCCGAAGAAATATGCCGTCTTCGCCGCGCCTCCGGAAGCTGCTTCGACTGCCCCCGCACCTGCAGAGTACAAGATGTCCGGCGTGCCGCCACCCGTGCCTGGCAACTTCACGGCAGCAAGTAACATTGTACCGAGCATTGCCCTCGCCAAGGACGGCACTACCGCTCCAAGCAAGTCCAAGAAGGTGAACAGGGATGCAATCGCCTTCGTTCTATGTCAATGTGTGACTGTTACTAGGCTTCCCTACTTACCTCTTCCTGACGTGTCATATACTGAATGCGTTACGGATTACTCGCAGGCCCCGATGGATGGGAACGAGTCTACTGCCCAGATTGCGTATGCTGTCTCGGATGTTTCGTTCATCTACCCTATTACTCCATCGACAAACATGGGCGAATTTGCGGATCAATGGGCGTCAGAGGGGCGCCAAAACGTGTTTGGAAATGTCATGCGTGTGACAGAAATGGAGAGCGAGACGGGCGCTGCGGGTAGGCCATGCGCGTTCGCGGCAATATGATGCACCTCCGGGCTCTCCTGGAATTAAATGTATGCTGTACCTTCCAGCTGGATCCACCTTTCAAGTATCCAAGCCAACTGTCTTGACTTTCCTGACACCGCATAATATCCCGCGCAGGTGCTCTTCACGGGGCTCTTGCCGCCGGCAGCCTGGCCACCTCCTTCACCTGCTCCCAGGGTCTGCTCCTGATGGTGCCTAACATGTACAAGATCTCTGGCGAGCTGACACCCTGCGTGCTGCACGTGACTGCGCGCGCCATTGCCAAGCACGCGCTGTCCATCTTCGGCGACCACCAGGACGTCATGGCCGTGCGCCAGGTGGGCTGGGGCTTGGGTAGCTCCGCGTGGCCTTGTGCTTGTCTGCAACCTGCCAGTCATTGGCGTCCCTTCCTCGCTTGTCCCCCCTCACCCAATGTGCTCTCCTTGCCTCCCTCCCTTGCCCTTCTGCTGCCCTCAGACCGGGTGGGCCATGCTGTGCAGCCACAGCGTGCAGGAGGCGCATGACATGGCGCTGGTGGCGCACCTGGCCACCCTGCGCGCCAGTGTGCCCTTCGTGCACTTCTTCGACGGCTTCCGAACCAGCCACGAGATCAACACCATTGAGACCATCAGCAACGACACTGTTAAGGCGTGAGTAGAATTCTAAAGCCAGTCTCTCTTGAGTAACTGCACCTGTCCCACATTCCGTTCCTGATGTGGTTCTACGTGCTTCTTGTGATTTTCACCTAATTTGCCGCACCCATTGGGGTCTGACCCAAATCGAGACCTGTGAGCGTCTATTTGTCTCCGACCCAAATCGAATTAACAACGTCGTTCTCCCTAACGTCGTACTCCCCGAACCTCGCGACCCAAATCGATCCCATCCCGCCCCTGGCCCAACCCACTTGTCCCTCGCAGGCTGCTGAACAAGCCGCTCTACGTGGACGCAATCCAGCACCACCGCTCCCGCGCCCTGAACCCCACGCACCCGCACCAGCGCGGCACGGCCCAGGGCTCGGACGTGTACTTCCAGTGCGCTGAGGCCGCGAACCCCTTCTACGACCGAGCGTTTGACCACGTGGTTGCCGCCATGGAGGAGGTGGCTGCCGTCACCGGGCGCAAGTACAAGCCGTACGAGTACTACGGTGCGGAGGACGCCGAGAAGGTGATCGTCATCATGGGCAGCGGCAGCCAGGCGGTTGAGGAGGCGGTTGAGTACCTGAACGCCAACGGCCACAAGGTTGGCGTGCTCAAGGTAAGCATTGGACGACCGGTGCTCTTTCATGTCATGTCAGGCATCCATGCCGTGGCGTCGTGCCAGGCGTAGCGTTGTGTTGGGCATACATGCTTAGGTCATGCCGCTGACCGCAGGTACGGCTGTTCCGTCCGTGGAAGGCCGAGGCGTTTCTGGAGGCCCTGCCCGCCTCGGCCCGCAAGGTGTGCGTGCTGGACCGCACCAAGGAGAGCGGCTCGTACGGCGAGCCCCTCTACCTGCAGGTCGCCACCACGCTGCATGAGGCGGAGCTTGAGGACCCCTCGCTCCCGTAAGTAATAAACGAAATCCCGGTGTTCTTTGGAGAACGTTGCATGGAGCAAGTAATAAGTTCCTATGACGCTCCATGACGCTAATAGCGCTGCCCTGATGGCGACGCCGCTGCCACTTAAAACTACTGCCACTGTTCCACTTGCCTACAGGCGGCGCTACATTGTTGGTGGGCGCTTCGGCCTCGCTTCCAAGGAGTTCCTGCCTTCCCATGCCGCAGCGGTGTTTGAGAACCTGGATGCGGAGAAGCCCATGCGCGACTTCAGCGTCGGCATCGTGGACGACGTGACGCACCGCAGCCTGCCCGCCTCTAAGCTGCTGCCCGTGGGTGTCTCCACGCTGCCCACCGGCACCTTCGAGTGCCTGTTCTGGGGCATGGGCAGCGACGGCACGGTGGGCGCTAACAAGGAGGCGATCAAGATCATCGCCAGCAACACCAGCATGTCTGCGCAGGTATGCTGGAGGGCAGAGCCGCTTTAGGCTACAGCGCATACAGGCTTTCCGCTGCAATAATCTTTCTGGCTCTTGCCCTGGTCCCAACAACTTTGTGTCATATCCCTGTAGGCCTACTTCTCTTACGACGCGCACAAGTCGGGCGGTGTGACGGTGAGCCACCTGCGCTTCGGCCCCAGCAAGATCCGCGCGCCGTACCTGGTGCAGCAGGCCGACTACCTGGCCATCAACCACCAGTCCTACCTAGCAAAGTACGACACGCTCTCCGCCGTGAAGCCCGGCGGCGTCGTTGTGATCAACACCCGCTTCACCAACGTGGAGTCGCTGTCCAACTACCTGTGAGTCGGGGTGCAATAAATAGCGCTGCTGGAGATGCGCGGTTCCCTTCTTACTTTAGCCGTCTTGCGTTGGCACGCAGGCCCGCCAAGGTTAAGAAGCAGCTTGCCGCGCTGAAGCCGCAGCTGTACCTGATCGACGCGCTGGCGGTGGCCAAGGCCACGGGGCTGGGCAAGCACGTCAACATGGTCATGCAGACCGTGTTCTTCAACCTGAGCGGCGTGCTGCCCATGGAGCGCGCCATCGCGCTGCTCAAGAAGTCCATCTCCAAAGCCTACGAGCGCAAGGGACCGGAGGTGGGCGGAGGTGCACGGTGCAAGTGCGTGGTCTGTACGGCTGGACTAACCGCTTACCTTTTGATACCCTGGCATCATTGTGCGGTTATTGAGCTTTTACCTCTACACCCTTCAGGTCGTTGCCAAGAACCACGCAGCCGTGGACGCAGCCGTCAGCTCTCTGTGCAAGGTGGAGATCCCCGCATCATGGGGAGAGCTCGAGACGGTGGCTGTGCACCCCAACCCGCCATCCAAGGTAAGACGCATGCAGTTAGTGGGGTTACTAAGGCACTTCATTCCCAACCTGGTCGTCCTAACGCCGTCCACTCCGCGCAGGTGGCCTCCAGCAGCCGCCTGGAGTTCCTGGAGAAGGTTGCGCAGCCCATGCTGGCGCTGGAGGGCGACAAGCTGCCCGTCAGCGTCTTTTCGCCGGGTGAGTGTGGCTTCATGCGTGCATGCGATTATCGAACTTGAGCGATGGGGCTCTGTCCTGTGCTGACCGCGTAGCCTTGAATTGCAACCGAGTAACTCCTGCGCTGTCCGCCGCAGAGGGCTTTGTGCCGCCTGGCACCACGGTCATCGAGAAGCGCGCCATCGCTGCCTCCGTCCCCATTTGGAAGGCCGAGAACTGCACGCAGTGCAACATCTGCTCCTTCGTGTGCCCGCACGCCGCCATCCGCCCCTCGCTGGCCGCGCCGTCAGAGCTGGGCAGCGCGCCCGCGACCTTCAACACCATCGACGCCAAGGGCCCCGGCATGAAGGGCCTCAAGTACCGCATCCAGGTGTCGCCGTACGACTGCACGGGCTGCGACCTGTGCACGCACGCATGCCCGGACAACGCGCTGGCGGCTCAGCCCATCAACAGCATCTTGGAGGTGGAGAGCGTGAACTGGGACTTCGCCTCGTAAGTGCTGGCCTGTGGATCATACCGCTTCTTTCAACTCGGATATCGTTTGCATGGGCACTCCAAGGCCCGTTCGGGACTGCCTGGTGACCGCAGCCTAGGGCCTATGTGGCAAGGGTCCAAAGATGTTTAAGCACGATCCGAGCTGGACCGGGGGTTGCTTTGTACCTTCTCAGCGCTCGGGGACGCACTGTGTAACCGCCCTTGTCCCCCCTTCCCCTTCATGCAGCACCCTTCCCGGCCGTACGGCGCTCATGGACCCTGCCAGCGTCAAGGGCTCCCAGCTGCAGCCGCCGCTGATGGAGTTCTCGGGCGCCTGCGAGGGCTGCGGCGAGACGCCGTACGTGAAGCTGCTGACGCAGCTCTTCGGCGACCGCCTGCTCATCGCCAACGCCACGGGCTGCAGTTCCATCTGGGGAGGCTCCGCGCCGTCCAACCCCTACACCACCAACGAGGAGGGGTTCGGCCCCGCCTGGGCCAACTCCCTGTTCGAGGACAACGCGCAGTTCGGCCTGGGCATTGCCACCGGTGCTGCGCAGCGCCGGGAGGCCCTGCACCACCGCGTGCAGGAGGCGCTGGCGTCCGGTCTGTCCGTGAGCGCTGGACTGCGTGACGCGCTCGCCAGGTGAGCAACCGTACATGCAGTGCTATGCGTGATGTTGGTACATATGCAACTTCCCAAGTGACGCGAATGCAATTTCGCATTCCTGACGTCTCCCTCTTTCCCTGGAACGCCGCAAGGTGGGCTGACCACTACCAGGAGGCCGAGGTAGCCAACGTCGTTGCCAAGGAGTTGCAGCCGCTGCTTGAACGCGAGAAGGACGCTGTCCCGTCCATCTACGCCGAGCGTGACATGCTGCACAAGCCCTCCACTTGGATCGTTGGCGGCGACGGTTGGGCGTACGACATCGGCTTCGGCGGCCTGGACCACGTGCTCGCTTCCGGAGAGAACGTCAACATCCTGGTGCTGGACACGGAGGTGTACAGCAACACCGGCGGACAGCGCTCCAAGGCCACGCCCATGTCGGCGGTCGCCAAGTTCGCAGCGGGTGAGTGGAGTATGCCACGCAGGGTTTGGGCGACCTGGAACTGGTGTTTCGGTGTTACAGCGAGGCAGTGCCATGCGTGCGACCATATTGTTCTGCAAACGCGCTGTGCTGCGAGAGCACGTCAACACGTGAACACCCCATGCAGGTGGCAAGGAGCGGCCCAAGAAGGACCTGGGCGCCATTGCCATGAGCTACGGGGACGTGTACGTGGCGTCCGTGTCCCTGCACGCCAGCTACGGCCAGGTATGCGGCGTAAATGCTTACTATAGCTGCGCAGCCAACAACAGGGAACACAGGTTTGCTAATTGTTGTGGTTGCTTTCTGCATACCGGTAAACACAGGTGGTGAAGGCCATGACGGAGGCTGAGCGCTACCCGGGTGTCAGCCTCCTGCTGTGCTATGCCCCATGCATCATGCACGGCATGACCGGTGGCATGTGCAATGCCATTGACGAGAGCAAGATGGCGGTTGAGACCGGCTACTGGCCGCTGTACAGGTAGGCCGTACATGGGTGGTGCAATTGCTTGACATCCGCTTACTCGATGACGTAACCGTATGACGCTTGCACGAGCCATGGGGATCTGTGGCCTCGATTGCAGTCATCTGGGTAACGTCACTACCCTACTCTTCTGGGGTGTTGTCATACAGGTACAACCCGTCGATTAAGGAGGACCAGACGCACCACCGTTTCCAGCTGGACTCCAAGAAGATCAAGGGCGACCTGGAGGAGCTGCTCAAGCACGAGAACCGCTTCCAGATTCTGGCCCGCAAGGCGCCCGAGATCGCCGAGAAGCTCCACCACGACCTGGACGACGCCGTCCAGGCCCGCCACGACCGGTTTAAGCACATGGCTGCTGGCGACTACTCTACCCCGGGCTTTGCGCCCAGCCGCGAGGAGCCGCAGCAGGGTGACGACAAGCCCAAGGAGGGTGGCTGCTGCGGAAACTGCGGAAAGTGAAATAAGATCTGTGATAATTTATTGCATGTGCATGCCGCTAGAGGCTAAATGCAGCTGAGGCTTTGGTGCCCTTGTCATTATTCTTTCCGCCCGATCTTCTTTATCAGAGAACTTGAGGAATTGAGGCATGGCTGTCCATTCGTGCCTGCCACCGTGAGCCGGATACGTTTGTTTAGGGGTTAGTTATGCATGTCGTGTGCACAATTCTTTTGTACTTGAGCGAGGGTACAGTAGCGCCGGTGGGGTATATTTTTTGTGTATCTTAGCAGCATGCGGTTTCTTGCGATGTGATGTTGAATAATTCTGCATCATTCCTTGCGTGAGTCCCATGGGTAACTGCTGGCGTGCGCATTGCATTGAGTGTGGCACTACGGCTGGTTTCAAAAATTGTACGGTATCCGTTGAGGTGCTGATCGTGTTGGTTATCTTCCCCGTACCCCACTTTGGGGCAGCATGCGCGCAAACTGTATGTAGGAGCGGTTACTGTAGCGTTAAAATCTTGGTAAAAGATGTTCAGACGTCTATGCTTTGTAACATGCGTTGTTGGTCTTCCTGCTGCATGCTGTCTGCCCACGCCCATGCAAGATTCGGAGCCCAAATCCATAATACGCAAGCCTTTGTGCAGCAGTGGACAGCAAATTACTGAACTTCTCAGCGATCAGCAGCATGACCTGACTGGTCCGCTTGCTCCACGCACACACATGTATCTGTGCCGATGGATTAATTGTAGCCCATCTTATTAACGTGGACGCGTTGACAACATTAAAACACTCTAACACGTGAAAGAGCGCGCTGGCAGCAGGCCAGCAAGCGGTTCGCAGGCAGGCGGCGGTGGGTGCTTTGGAAATTCTTCCTCTTCTTCCCATACACCAGCGTTGCAACTGCGGCATAAACAACATGTGCAGTCTTTTAAACGTTTGGTTTGCTGAGCTGTGCCCGACCGAAGGCGCGGATTCATACATGCAAGGAAGATTAATAGTCGTACCAGACCGAACGTTTCGAGCTCCAGGGCGGCGAACTCCCGTAATTTTTCATAGCCATATAAAGCCTGTTAGCGTTATTCTGGATCCTTTGCGCATAGCGCTTAAATATAGGTGTAATTCATTACCGGAAACCGTTTGCCCCGTATTTCAGCAGCGAAAGCTGAGTCATTTGCGGCACCCTTTTGCCTCTGCGACACCTTTCAGGACTTCCGAGGGCTCTTCTTTTCAGGTAAAAAGCATGTTGGGAAAGCTACTTTTCTTCTGACGGCTTGGGCTGCTGGCTGGGTTCGACCGGGAGTGGTCTTTTTTCGACATCAACCTTGACATCAACCTTGAAGCACAAAGAAGGCTTAAACGTTTTACGTGTCAACGTTTTGCACTTTCATCCACTAGATACTTACGAACCTCGCCCTGAACTGCAAGTTACCAAACAACGGCAGTTCACGGCTTTACAGACCTTTCCTGCCACAGGGGTTGAATCCTGCGCACAACATTCCCGCTATGGAGGCATATTCAATTTCTGGCTTGAGGACAAGGGGCATCCACGTTGCGCGTCAGGGACCGCTGCACATTCCGCAATGCCGGTGCGTTCTTTAACATGTGAACGTCAAATTAGTTCACCGCTTTGCACTTACGATAACGATATGGCAGACATGATCTCTCACTATAGAGTGATCGGGGTCCCGCGCGATATGGCCGACATGTCCATTTACAGCATCCCTACTGGCTATCGCGTTGATCTGTTTGGCCCGGCCGAATGCTTATTAGGAATTCATACAGGAACATTAAGCTGCTCCGTGCCATTCCTTCCATCAATTAAATCTGACCGGTGTTGCCCAATCTGACCGGTGTTGCCCATTCACAGTCACATCAGCAAGAGGAAGTGCGCCGTGGCCGCCGCTCCCCCGGATCCGGGCTCAACAGCACCGTCTGAGCCCAAGTCAGCAATTTCTCCGACGCCTGCCTTCATCAGCTCTCCTGCGACCGGAAACATTGTACCCTTTAATACTTCTCCTTCCGTCACAGCCAAAGATGGCACGGTCTCCAAAGCCAAACAGGTGGGGATAGCGTATTGCTCCCTCCAACGCTTTTGGTGGTGTCGCTTGGCCCTTGTTAGCGTCGCGGCTCACGATGGTGACCGACCTGCCGATTATGCTTCTGCCCGCAGGCGCCAATGGACGGTAACGAAGCAACTGCTCAAATCGCCTACGCGGTCTCGGACGTCTCTTTCATTTACCCTATCACCCCTTCAACGAACATGGGCGAGTTCGTTGACCAATGGGCTTCTGAGGGCCGCCGCAATGTGTTTGGGAATGTGATGAGCGTCACGGAGATGGAGAGCGAGACGGGTGCTGCGGGTAGGTTGCAGGACCGTTACAGTGTTTTCCGCTAAGGCGTGATAATTAGTACTGGTCGACCTTCAGCGCCCATCAATCCTCCGGCCCATCAATCCTCCGCCCCTGTCGGAACTTAATTGCATCCTGCACCTTGAACTGCAGGTGCTATCCACGGCGCTCTTGCCGCCGGCAGTCTGGCCACCACCTTCACCTGCTCCCAGGGTCTGCTGCTGATGGTGCCCAACATGTACAAGATCGCCGGGGAGCTGACACCCTGCGTGCTGCACGTGACTGCGCGCGCCATTGCCAAGCACGCGCTGTCCATCTTCGGCGACCACCAGGACGTCATGGCCGTGCGCCAGGTGGGCTGGGGCTTGGGTAGCTCCGCGTGGCCTTGTGCTTGTCTGCAACCTGCCAGTCATTGGCGTCCCTTCCTCGCTTGTCCCCCCTCACCCAATGTGCTCTCCTTGCCTCCCTCCCTTGCCCTTCTGCTGCCCTCAGACCGGGTGGGCCATGCTGTGCAGCCACAGCGTGCAGGAGGCGCATGACATGGCGCTGGTGGCGCACCTGGCCACCCTGCGCGCCAGTGTGCCCTTCGTGCACTTCTTCGACGGCTTCCGAACCAGCCACGAGATCAACACCATCGAGCTTATTAACAACGATGACATCAAAGCGTAAGTACATGCTTGCGCTATCTAATGACCTACCGAGCGATAGGTGCTTGCGCGTACGTCTGCATGCGGTTGTAGTTCAGGAGCAGCAGTCATGGGGAACCTGCGCAAGACCCGCATGCGCATTGCTCCTGACCGTACTTCGTATGACCCAGATCCACCGTAAACATTACTGCCATCTCGTCCGAGTGCACGCTCCGACCCAAATCGACCCAAATCGAGTTGGATCGATTTGGGTTGTTGTTTTACCCTAATCCCGGTATAATGCTCCTGGTATCTGCTTCAATCTGTAATAGCAAGACTGCGTTCCCCGACCCTCCCGACCCCAATCGATCCCATCACGCCCCTGGCCCAACCCACTTGTCCCTGTAGGCTGCTGAACAAGCCGCTCTACGTGGACGCGATCCAGCACCACCGCTCCCGCGCCTTGAACCCCACGCACCCGCACCAGCGCGGCACGGCCCAGGGCTCGGACGTGTACTTCCAGTGCGCTGAGGCGTCAAACCTCTTCTACGATAGGCTGTACGACCATGTGGTGGCCGCCATGGAGGAGGTAAGGATGCGGTTGCTTTAACTTCTACAGCACGGATCGCTGCTGCTCTAGATAATCTGCCGTGTGTCTTTTCAACTCTATGGAGCGACCTATGGGTCAGTGAGCATGTATACCGAGTATTGCAGGATCGAGGCGGTGACAAATGGCCTGAACCATTGACCGTTCGGTTTCTCATGCACAGGTGACGGCCGTTACTGGGCGCCCCTACAAGCCGTACGAGTACTACGGTGCGGAGGACGCCGACAAGGTGATCGTCATCATGGGCAGCGGCAGCCAGGCGGTTGAGGAGGCGGTCGAGTACCTGAACGCCAACGGCCACAAAGTTGGCGTGCTCAAGGTAAGCGTTGGACGACCGGTGCTCTTTCGTGTCATGTCAGGCATCCATGCCGTGGCGTCGTGCCAGGCGTAGCGTCGTGTTGGGCATACATGCTTAGGTCATTGCTGATCCGCTTCCTCTTCCCTGCCGCTGACCGCAGGTACGGCTGTTCCGTCCGTGGAAGGCCGAGGCGTTCCTGGAGGCCCTGCCCGCCTCGGCCCGCAAGGTGTGTGTGCTGGACCGCACCAAGGAGAGCGGCTCGTACGGCGAGCCCCTCTACCTGCAGGTCGCCACCACGCTGCATGAGGCGGAGCTGGAGGACCCCTCACTCCCGTAAGTGGATTCTGGCTGCTATCCTTGCCTTACACCAGCGGAGCGAACGGCCTTGTGATTATACTGCTTGAATACTACTGCTTGTCATTTGGGTTGGATGGCACAGGATGTTGGGTTGGATGGCACAGGATGTTGGGTTGGATGGCACAGGATGTGGTGATTACGGCTAACAAAGTTGCATCTTTGGCCTAAACGCAGGCGGCGGCTTGTGATTGGCGGGCGCTTCGGCCTCGCCTCCAAGGAGTTCCTGCCCGCGCATGCGGTTGCGGTGTACGAGAATCTGGACAGGTCTACGCCCATGCGCGACTTCAGCGTCGGCATCGTGGACGACATCACCAACCGCAGCCTGCCGCCTTCGAAGCTGCTGCCCGCGGGTGTGTCAACGCTACCCACTGGCACCTTCGAGTGCGTCTTCTGGGGAATGGGCAGCGACGGCACGGTGGGCGCCAACAAGGAGGCGATCAAGATCATAGCCAGCAACACCGACCTCTACGCGCAGGTAAGGACCATAGTGCACGCTGCCAAAACATATCGCATCCTTTGTCGATCCTATACATGGTTCGTTGCCCCTGTGTACCGGTATGCTACGACCTGCCGTTTCCTACCGGAACAATGCGCTGTTACGGGTTTCTGGACCTGACGTTTCGCCTGCAATGGCCGTTTCCCTTCCCTCACCCGCATGCGGATTTCCTTGCTCTTGCCCTGGTTCCGACAACTTTGTGTTGTGTCCTTGCAGGCCTACTTCTCTTACGACGCGCACAAGTCGGGCGGTGTGACGGTGAGCCACCTGCGCTTCGGCCCCAGCAAGATCCGCGCGCCGTACCTGGTGCAGCAGGCCGACTACCTGGCCATCAACCACCAGTCCTACCTAGCAAAGTACGACACGCTGAATTCGCTCAAGTCAGGCGGCGTCGTGGTCCTTAACACCCGCTTCACCGAGGTCGACTCGCTCTCCGGCTACCTGTGAGTTCGGCCGATGTTAGCTTAGCCCGTGCCGCATGCCAACATTTGGTGTTCCGTCAACTTCACATGCATCATGGTCTGTTTACCCTAATGGTTTTCGCTTGCCCGTTTTCGGTCGCGCATCACGCAACCACAGGCCCGCCAAGGTTAAGAAGCAGCTCGCCGCGCTGAAACCGCAGCTGTACCTGATCGACGCGCTGGCGGTGGCCAAGGCCACGGGGCTGGGCAAGCACGTCAACATGGTCATGCAGACCGTCTTCTTCAACCTGAGCGGCGTGCTGCCCATGGAGCGCGCCATCGCGCTGCTCAAGAAGTCCATCTCCAAGGCCTACGAGCGCAAGGGACCGGAGGTGGGCGGTTGGGCGGGGGTGCAAGCGGACATTCCTGCATGGGGCTACGGTGAACAACACGCCCTTATCATGATGTCATGTCCAGGGCTAACCGCAGCTACAATCTCTGCCGCAGGTGGTTGCCAAGAACCATGCAGCTGTGGACGCCGCGATCTCCTCCCTCCGCAAGGTGGAGATCCCGCCCTCGTGGGGAGAGATCGAGACGCCCATCATGCACCCCAACCCGCCCTCAAAGGTTAGTACGCTAACCGTATTACCATGCAAGAGCGGAAGTGCGTTAGTCGCCGCGCATGCATCATGCAATCCTGGTGCCATGGCCTACGGCTGCTTGACCTGGGGACCAGCTTCACCTGCGGACCGGAGCCAGGAACTTACGGTGCCACTCGCTTGCGCAGGTGGCCTCAAGCAGCCGCCTGGAGTTCATGGAGAAGGTTGCGCAGCCCATGCTGGCGCTGGAGGGCGACAAGCTGCCCGTCAGCGTCTTTTCGCCGGGTAAGTTGGGCTGACATGGTACGGCATGCACGGGCTTGAGCAAGATCTTTGCTGGCGGTATCCTCCTATTGTGCTATCCTCCCGTCCAACCCGTGTAACCGTATCTTCGCCGCAACCTGCAGAGGGCTTTGTGCCCCCGGGCACTACCATCATCGAGAAGCGTGCCATTGCGGCCCAGGCGCCTGCATGGATCTCGGAGAACTGCACGCAGTGCAACATCTGCTCCTTCGTGTGCCCGCACGCCGCCATCCGCCCCTCGCTGGCCGCGCCGTCCGAACTGTCGGACGCGCCCGCGACTTTCAACACCATCGACGCCAAGGGCCCCGGCATGAAGGGCCTCAAGTACCGCATCCAGGTGTCGCCGTACGACTGCACGGGCTGCGACCTGTGCACGCACGCATGCCCGGACCATGCACTGGAGTCCAAGCCTATCAATTCCGTCCTGGAGGTGGAGAGCGTTAACTGGGACTTCGCCATGTGAGTGCTGTGGTTACGGGCTGGGCGAGGGGCAGTTTCTGGGTTTATGAAAGCAGCTTCAAGTGCCAACTGGCCCCGATACGATATTGAAGAGACTTATCCCCTCGCGTCTTACCGCTTTACGGCCCTCCTATACACGCAGGAAGCTGCCAGCGCGCTCGGAGCTTATGGATCGCGCCAGTGTGAAGGGCTCCCAGCTGCAGCCGCCGCTGATGGAGTTCTCGGGCGCCTGCGAGGGCTGCGGTGAGACGCCGTACGTGAAGCTGCTGACGCAGCTCTTCGGCGACCGCCTGCTCATCGCCAACGCCACGGGCTGCAGCTCCATCTGGGGAGGCTCCGCGCCGTCCAACCCCTACACCACCAACGAGGAGGGATTCGGCCCCGCCTGGGCCAACTCCCTGTTCGAGGACAATGCGCAATTCGGCCTGGGCATTGCCACCGGTGCCGCGCAGCGCCGGGAGGCCCTGCACCATCGCGTGCAGGAGGCGCTTGCGTCTTCCGTGCCCATGAGCGAGGAGCTGCTCGAGGCGCTGACCGGGTAAGTGGCCTGCATGCATGGGTGATCGGATCCACATGGACACCTGTTTTCAGCCTTTGCAAGTAGTGCATGCTCTTGTGTTAAATTAACTTCTTCGTGCTGTTCTCAACCTGTTTTACGCTCTTTGATCGTATCCACGCTGGTTGCTGCTGCCAGGTGGTTCGAGAACTACGAGGATGCGGAGGTGGCCAACGTGGCCGCCAAGGAGCTGGTTCCCCTCCTGGAGCAGGAGAAGGACGAGCACCCCGCCATCAAGGCCATCTACGCCGAGCATGACATGCTGCACAAGCCCTCCACTTGGATCATTGGCGGCGACGGTTGGGCGTACGACATCGGCTTCGGCGGCCTGGACCACGTGCTTGCTTCCGGAGAGAACGTCAACATCCTGGTGCTGGACACGGAGGTGTACAGCAACACCGGCGGACAGCGCTCCAAGGCCACGCCCATGTCGGCGGTCACCAAGTTCGCCGCTGGTGGGTGGCGCACGGTTTATTTGTGCAGGTTGACGATATAGGATTTAGTGATGAAGCCTGATGCAAGGCCTTGCTCACAGCCGAATCATAACACGGGACCCGATGACGAATGCACAACGCCCCATGCGTTTATAGCAAGGCGCCGCCTTGCGTGCTACCTGCTTGCGCGTCTTCGCCGTAATGGACACGGCTTCACCCCCATGCAGGTGGCAAGGAGCGGCCCAAGAAGGACCTGGGCGCCATTGCCATGAGCTACGGGGACGTGTACGTGGCGTCGACGTCGCTCCACGCCAACTACGGCCAGGTATGAGGCGTGAATGCCTTTGTTATCAATCAAGAGCCAAGCGACCTTGCGACGATGTCCTTGCACGTACATGTGCCCATCACCCGTACCATCCAAGCCTACGACTTTGCTGAAGCGGATACGGTTGCGGTTTGCAGGTCGTCAAGGCCATGTCGGAGGCAGAGCGCTACCCTGGCGTTAGCCTGGTGCTGTGCTACTCGCCCTGCATCATGCACGGCATTAGCAGCGGCATGTGCAGCGCCATTGACGAGAGCAAGATGGCGGTTGAGACCGGCTACTGGCCGCTGTACAGGTAGGCTGGATGGTCATGAAGGCCCGGTATGGTTAGCACGCTTGTTCCTATTTTTTATTTGTGACTGTAAATTTGTTCAGCTCCTAGCCGTGGGTGGGGGGATCTTTTCGACATGTGCCTTACCTACATTGAGCATAGCGGATACATCAATTGGTGGTTGGGCAAGCTTGTTCGTGGTTCACCTGCAGTGACAACACCTTGTCATTTGATGTCGTACAGGTACAACCCGTCCATCAAGGAGGACGCCACGCACCACCGCTTCCAGCTCGACTCCAAGAAGATCAAGGGCGACCTGGAGGAGCTGCTCAAGCACGAGAACCGCTTCCAGATTCTGGCCCGCAAGGCGCCCGAGGTCGCCGAGAAGCTGCACCACGACCTGGACGAGGCGGTGCACGCCCGCCACGACAGGTACAAGAGCATGGCTGCTGGCGACTACTCGGCGCCGGGCCACGTCGCTCCCGGCCGTGACGAGCCGCGGCAGTAAATGCATGAATTGTCAACAGCTGTACCAACATGCGAAGAGAAGACGCGTGCAGGCTTACTTAGGTTGAGGGGGAGTTCTGAGCCATAGCCTACGGCAAAGCCACTGCCCTGTAAGATAAGTTTATTGACTTACGACTTTAATGACGTGGGTGCTCCCGTGCGCGGGTATTGCGAGCGGGCGAGCCATGCTGTACCGGACCGTGACTTTTACCGGCTGAAGAAATTTATCTAATGGGTTGGGGAAGATAGCCGTGCTGCGGAAATACATGTGGATCGATAGCTGTACAGCGAAATGTGTTTTAGCGATGCAGGGATGAACGCGGCTGCAGATGTGCAGGTTGTGCCATGTGTTGCCTGCATTATGTCACGTTCATGTGTCTGTTGGCGTTTGCTTCTTTTTTGACCCATATTGGGATTCTTGACCCACGGGTCGACCTTAACCTTTGTAACACGCTACTCATCTGTCTTATACCTGGGCCTGAAGTACATTCTAATTTCGTAGTCTGTAAGTAGCTACCCCCATCCCCGCAACTCAGTAAATAGTTACATTGTGGCCATTGTGCAAATCGGCCTATGCGAAATCTTGAAGCAACCACATCTTAACGCGGGATATTCGTATCCACACAGTTCACATTTCGACAGTGGACAGCCAATAGGGGGCCGGTCCTTTGAAACGAGACAGCCATGAACTCGTATGCATGCAGCATCTTGTCATAACAGCTTCCTCTTACAATTAAACACCGACCAATGCTGCACCGAGCTTAAACAAAACAGGTGAATTCGTAAGTTTGTCCTAAGCCGCATTACAGAGCAAATTTGTCAAAGGATGTAAATTAAGCAGACAGCATCGATAGAGCGACGGTGTGCAACCACCTCCCTACTACGTAGCTACCACAGATGCATTCCCGACGTTCTACTGTAGAGCTCAGGAGAACACAATGCGAGGTTCCATCAGGCGAGTCAGCCAGAGTCCCCTTCCAAGTTGGCGGTAAAGACGCCCCGACAGACACAGCCGTACATCGCAAGGTACAGCAGCCACATGAGCGCAATCGCAAGCAAAAAACGCTAGTGCTGCTGAAGCGAGCGGCGCCCCGATGATCGCCCCGATTACTTGTCCTTCTTCTTGTCCTTCTTTTTCCCGCTCTTCTCCTGTGCATGGAAAAGCACGGGAACTCATTGGATGTTTGCGAGGTTCCCATGCGAATCCCAAAGTCCCCCCACACAATAGGCATCTTCGACAACACCTATCAGAGCAAGCGGTAGCTAATGAGGGCCTATGTTGATTGCCGCTAACACGGTGTGAGCGCCCCCATAGATCAATCACCCCAACCCCAGGCATCGGAGCTTTCCCCACACCCACCTCCTCCTTGTCCTTCTTCTTGTCCTTCTTCTTCTCCTTCTTTTCCTCCTTGTCCTTCTTCTCCTTCTTCTCCTCCTTATCCTTCTTCTTGTCCTTCTCCTTCTTGTCCTTCTTCTCCTCCTTGTCTTTCTTCTTCTCCTTCTTCTCCTCCTTGTCCTTCTTCTCCTCTTTATCCTTCTTCCTTTCCGCCTTCTCCTGTCCCATAGGGGTAGGATGGTAAAGTAAGTCGTCGCCTGGCACGTGCACAGATGCAAGCAGACCCAAACACCCTAGTGTCACCCGGTATCAACAGTCAACTTCACTGGCACTTGACAAGCATGCACCCCGGCAGAAAGCAAGCCAATGTCAGTAAGCATCACCCACCTCTTTCCGCTCCTTCTTGCTCTTCCGCTCCTCCTCCTCCTCGTCCGTCTCCTCGTCCTTCTTGCGCTTCTTGTCCTTCTGCGCCTTCTCTGGCTTGGCCACCGTGGAGGGGTTGACAGCCTCCTGCTCCTATAGCATGGCAAGCAGACAAGGAGCGTTTAGAAACGTGGACCCCGTTCCACCCTAGCGGCTTCAGAAGCACACGTTGGGAAGACACAGCAACCCGCTTCAACTACCCTATCAAAGCCGTGAAACCAGGAACAAAGCAATGACAGCTTACCTCCATGTCGTGGTCTACCCCGTTGGCGGTGGTGGTGGTCGTGACGGCGGTGCGAGCCCCCGTGAGCGGCGTGCCCGTCTGCGCCAGGCGCCGCGCCTCAGCGGCTGCGCATGGAAAGGAATAGAGGGGAATGGCAGGAACATCGGCCGTCAGCTTTCCAATAAGTGTGTTGCAAGTGCAATTGTTAAGGGACTGTGGCTCATGCGGAGGATTCAAGCTTGAGGAGGGGGGGACTACCGGTGCCTCCAGCAGACGACATGCATGCATTGCCCAAACCCCATATGTTCGCCCCACCTTGAGCCTTTATCTGCGCCGGATCAGTCTTGTACTGGGGGTAGGCCTGCAGGCCCAGGAGGTCGCCAATGCCTCGGTTGGGGTGGGCCTCCTCGTATCGCTTGATGACCTGCGCCGAGTCCAGAACCTGGTCCCCTTGGGCGTCCATGAAGTCCTTGATGGACTTGATGACGTCCTGCACGGAGAAGGCTGAGGGTCAATGTGCCGATCGCCTGACGCGTTTGGATGGCTAGTGTGTACAAGGAGGAACAGCGCTGTAGTTGGGGTTGGGCCACAAGGGGAACAGCTGACAGTACCGGCCCTACCTTCCCGCCCCCTGGGAGGGTCTTCATGTAGGCCCCGGCCAGCTGCATGAGCTTGGCGCCCGGGTTGTCTGCTTTCAGCTTAAGGATAGCAGGGTTGTGTCCATAGTGGGACGTGTAGTCGCTGAAATACGACATGTACACGTTGTACGCCGAAGGGCCTCGCGACTTCCTCTCCTTCTTAGCCTTCTCCTCCTTAGGTTCCTCCTCTTCCACAGGCGAAGGGGCGCCCACGATTTCGGACACATCGAAAATGCCAACCTTGGCGGCTGCTGCCTGAATGGCTGCCTTCACCAAGCGCGGATTCAGGAATTCATTCAGCATTGCGCACGCAGAGATTAGGTAATCCCGGCGCGTAAGGGGGTCGTTAGGTCCTGACATTGTCGCTGCTGTTAAACTACCTGCTAATAGTAGACACCTTCAGCAGTAAACAAGAAAAGAAACGCTGAGTGACCGTATGCCGTGTGGCTGGCAAAGAGGCAACTAATTTAAATTATCATGACACATGGAGATGTACGGTAGTACGCAACTCCCGAGGGCAAGCCACCAAGCCTCCTGATGGCCTCTTTTCGCGTTCAACACCGACATAACATTTAAGTTAACGCGGGTTGCGGAGGAAAAGTATTGCTGACTCTCCTATTCCTGCCTGGAGGTAATCTTGCAAGGAAGCATGGCAACCCTGACTCCGTATCCTGCATCTCATCTCGCCGGGCATCAGCATGCGAGGCTCCACCATGCAGAGCACCCGCCATGCACAAGGAAACTTACAGCGCAACAAGCCCACACGTCTTACACCAGCAGCTGTCTGTGTATGCCGAGATTTAGCCTCACTTCCAAATGCACGGTCCGCCAGGCACCCTGAAGAGTTACCAGCATCCCAGTAATCCTCTGGTTATGTCATCCAAAAAACAAGTCATGATCCGCTCATGCCCGTTTCCCAGTTTGCGAAGTAAAGATATCCAGCGCTGAGGGCTGTTGGTGCCCCTGTTGCTCCTGCTCCTGGCTCTCCCGCGGCCGCCTCCTCTCCAACACCAAGGTCACATCTCCATCCCTCGCCTCTCCTTTCTTCAATGCGCCGCAAATGCTCGTCCAGCTCTGCTTGTCAGCGCCGTACACGACCTGTACGGCATTATAAGCGAGAGACAATGAAGCGAGACACAAAGTATGCATGGAATTAGTACCCGGGTGTTAGACAGTTGGAGACCCCACCTAGCGTTCGAACATTAGGCGAAGTGCATTCATACTTAATCCTCAGGAAGCCCCTCATCCTGGATCCTCGCCGCCAAAGCAGTTTCACGCGTTCCTATCCTTCTCCATTCCCACCCTGCCAACGTCCCTTTCCCCCATCACCCAACACCGACAAACCCCCAGTTGAACAAGCCCCCCCTCTCCCTCTATCTCTTACGATATGCCTCTCAGGAGGTGCAGCCCCAAACAGCGCCCGGGTGGGATAAACGAAGTTTGTGGCGGTGACGGCTCGCAGCACATCCCCGGGCAGCACGGCGTCGCGAGCTAGGGCGGGGTTGAGAGCGGCGTTCTGTGGTGGACAAAGACGCGTACGACATGTTGCCGTACACGTTGGTGTGGATAAGAGGGCCAATACGAGTGCCAGGACAAGGTGACAGCGACAGCGACAGCGGCAGCGACAAAGGTGAAGGCACAGGGATGAAAGGAATTCCATGACTACAGCGCGCGTTCCCCATTCCATACCTTGCGCCGCTTGTCAGCGGGTGTACCGCCAATCAGATCCACCACGGTAGCCCTCCGGAACCGCTCATCGTACTGCAGCACGACACCCAACGGTCGCGGAAGACTGACGGTGATGATGTCGGAGGGGCTGGACAGCGAGTGCGCGAACACGTAGGTCCTGGGGTGAGGTGAGGGGGTGAGAGAATGCATGGCATGGGAGTAGCAGCAGCAGAGAGGAAGGCAGGCTTGTAGATGCGGATTGCGGAGCATAGAACCGAGACCTCGGGAGTGCGTTCCTGACAGGCACGTCGCGGCTGCCGTACAGTTGCTGGCAGGCACCCAATCATGTGTAAGTGGACGCTATCGTGCAGTGGCCTCGCAGCTCTCGGCGCAAAGGGAAAAGCGCTTGTTGTCAGCTCGGTGTGAATCACCGGTACCCTTGTACTTACAGACATCACCTGCACGGCACATGGCTCGTTAGGGTCGTTACGTAACCCCCATGCAGAACCCCACCTGGGCTGTCTCGCCGCTACCGGGCCAACTGCGATGCGCACTCGCGCCCCCTGGAAGCCCTCCTCCACCGGCCAGGGAGTGTAGCTCAGCGCGCGGTACGCCAGTTCGCCCTGCAGTGGCAGCGGCAGTAGCGACGGCGGCAGTAGCAGTGGCAGTCTTAAGCATTCCAGCCCTTTTCTCGTCACGGGCTCACAGCCTGGCGCGCACTTCGGCCGAGGGCCCATGTGGGTCACATGCCATTACTCACGTTTCACTACGCGGTACAGCTGTCGAACTCACGTTCTTATCTCGCTCCGGAACCATGCCCGGCGGCGCCTCAAACCGGGCGCCTGTTGCGGGATCCTCGAAGAGCTCCGGACTGCCCTCCGCCTCGCCCCGCAGCCCACTGCTGGAAGTACCAGAGACACCATGCTTGTTTGTGCCAGCTGCGGATTCCAGTGGTGGGGGCGGCCGTAGGCACGTTACGGCCGCTATAGCTGCTACCAGCAGCGGTATGGAGAGGGTGATGAGGAAGGCGCGGTCGGAGGCTTCCTGACAAGCCTGTGGATGGAGTTGTTGTTTTGCGGGAGTGGGGAAGGGATGTGGTGCATGAGCGCAGTGCGGCAAGTAGGCCGCAGTCGAGGCTGCACTGCGTCGCAACTCCTGTGGATAGCGTAGACCCACCGGAGCCAGCCCCAACTAGTCCCAAAGTTCGGCTGCATGGCAAGGAGTGTGAGACGCGTACCTGGTTAAAGCATACGGGTGCCACGTATGCCACGAGTTGCGCAAGATGGGCTGCGCTTCGGCAAGCTATGGTGCGGGCTGCAGGCAAGGGTTCAGCGGCAGGGCACCGTTGGTAAGGTCGCCTTGGCGGTGCCCCGGATGGCCAATAAATGGTAAGCCGTTGCGGCTGCGCTTGGCGAGTTAGGTAGAATGCGCCAGGTTGCGGAAAGAGCGCAAGGGTAGAAGCCATTCCTGTAACGACCTGATGTCACATGTAACTGCTGGCTTCTAGGAGAAAGACGACTTGGTGTAAGGGATCGTCTACCAGTACCAAAAATAGCGCAAACAGAAGCGACTGCAAAGCGAGCTTGGCAACACCAACGTCTTGCTCCGAATCCTGAACCCAGACACTGGAACCTGTGAGTGCGTTAGCATTCTCCAGGTAGCCCATTTGCATGTGTAGATATGTAATGTTCGCGTTGTTCGTCGCTTTTTCCCTTATACTCCTATAGCTTAACTTTGATTGCATACGAATAACAGCTGCAAGGCGACAAGAAAGCATGGCGACTGCCACCGAAGGAAGTAAAGGTTTACGCATAGCCTTCATTCACCCTGATCTGGGCATCGGGGGGGCAGAGCGGCTCGTCGTAGATGCTGCCACGGAGCTGGTCCGTTGCGGACACCAAGTCGACATGTACACCGCCTATTACAACCCGGAGCGATGCTTTGCGGAGACTAAGACCGGTGGTTTTGCTGTACGTGTTGCGGGCGGCTGGTTCCCTCGCCACATCCTCGGGCGCATGATGGCGCTATGCGCATACATTCGCTGCGTTCTGGTCGCCATCCACATCGCATGGCGTTGCTTCCGGCTGGGGACAGCATCAGCATACGACGTGGTCATTGCGGACCAGGTCGCGGTCGTCGTGCCGGTTGTCAAGATGCTCATGCCGCGAGCCCGGGTGCTCTTCTACTGCCACTTCCCAGACCTCCTCCTCACCCAGCGCAAGTCAACGCTAAAGCGCCTTTACCGCGCTCCGCTTGACTACTTAGAAGAGCAAACCACCGGGGCTGCAGACCTCGTCCTCGTGAACAGCAACTACACCCGCGGCGTCTTTGCTGAGACATTCCAACGCCTGGCGTCCAGGGGCATTGACCCCGGGGTTCTGTACCCGGCTGTTCCCATCCCGGAGTCCTCGGAACTCCAAGCAGCTGAGGCAAGCTGGCGCAGCGAGCTGGATCCAGATTTAGCTGCGTTCATTGCTGGTGGCACGACCTTCCTGTCCATTAACCGGTGTGTACGAAATGTGTGTTTTTGAGAAGGGCTGCACTAAGCAGTGCTGGAGAAGGTTCCCGTCTGCATCTTGGCAGTGGTGGGAAAGACGCCGTACAGTTATGGGTGGAATTGTGTAGGGTGCAAAGCAAGTTGATGACACACAGGGAATTGGGCAGGAATCAAATCGAAAAGGTGCAGATCTCTACGATCCGTGCGCGGGCATCATGGGGAAGGCACTCGGCATATTCCGACTAACGCGTCCCTGACCTACCCGTCCCTATTTCTCCCTCTGTTCCCTAGGTTTGAGCGCAAAAAGGGTATCCGCTTGGCCTTGGAGGCGTTACATGAGCTGACAGCCAGGATGGCGCAGGTAGAAGCCGAAAAGGCGACCCGTGGGTCAGAAGCAGCGCCGCAGCAGGCACGCGGCGAGATCGACACGGAGCCGCCGGCGCGGTTGGTGGTTGCGGGCGGTTACGATCCGCGGTTGGCGGAGAATGTGGAGTATCTAGTGGAGCTCAAGGAAGCAGTACGACAGTTGGGCTTGGAGCAGTCGGTTCGCTTCCTGCCGTCGTTCACCGACAGGTGGGCTTGGGGTGCTGGGGAGTGACGAGGGAGAAGGTGCAGTAGATGGGTTGAGATGTGAGATGTGTTGAGTTGTGTTTGGACTGTTGCTGAATATGTCAAACTTTGATGGCACGAAGCACATTTGCGTTCCAGGTCTGATAGTTACAGCCTTCACCACCGGCTAAGTAATCCCCTGCTGCTTCAACACCGCCTATTGTGCCTACCGGTACGGTATCTTCTCTTCATGCTTGCCTGCCGAGTGCCTCCTTGTTCCTGCGCCCTCCACCCCACCCCACCCCACCCCCCAGGCAACGCACGCTGCTGCTCGCGTCCTGCCGTGCCGTGCTATACACCCCACAGCACGAGCACTTTGGCATCGTGCCTCTGGAAGCCATGGCAGCGGGGCGCCCGGTTGTTGCATGCAATAGCGGCGGACCCACGGAGAGCGTGACCCATGGGTCAGTTGGCTTCCTCTGCGAGCCCACAGCTGCGGCCTTTGCGGGCGCCATGCGGGAGCTGATGGACCCACGGGTCGCTGAGAGGATGGGAAAGCGGGCCCGGGCGCATGTGGTGGGCCGGTTCTCGCGGCAGGCGTTTGGGGATCAGCTAGACGGGTATGTGAGGAGCTTGGCGGTTGGAAGGTTGAGGAAGCAGGAGGGCGCGAAGGGGGCTGCAGGAGGGTCAACGGGGCTGGGCAAGGCGCCGAAAGGAAAGTTGGGTGGCAAGGAGCTGTGAGGTGAAGGTGTTAATGGGCGGCAACTGTTGCCATCTATCTGGGACCCGTATTTCCTTAGCTTGGGTGCTGTCTTCTTGCCTCATTGCCTTTGCGTTCGCCTTGCTATGATGGGGAGCTTTGGTTAGGGAGACCAGCGAAGTTATGGTGCGGCACCGTCCCTGGCCCATACTTCGCTAAATGCCATGAACCAACTATCCTGTAGAGCGAAGAATCAGAGAGCCCTACGTGATTTTATATGATGCTAAGTGCCGTCGATAGGCCTATGTTCTGAACGGTGTGGTAGTGCATGTATGGCGTACGACAATGCAACGATAGGGAATACGATCCCCTAGAGACGTAGATGGATGGTCCTCTACAGAGGAACCCTTCATTCGGTGGCCACTAGCCGCGGCCCATGCAAACCCCGTGCACACCTACACCTTGTCATGAACTGACCGGGAACGTTCGCGTGCCCTGTCCACCCACCCTGTCCCACCCTGCTCCTACAACCAGTAGCAACCCGCACGTAAGACGTGTTAGGACTACGCAGATCGCATGAACCCAGTTAATTGCACCCGTAATGTCCTCATATAAAGTTTCTCATGGCTCGCATGCCCCAGCGACTCCCAGCGATACCCCCTTGCTCATGTCCTGCAAACCATCACACGTTCACACCCCTAGCCACAGCAGTCAGGCGGGTTCCGAGGTAAGCCTACCGGCCGCATTTCAGCTACCAGCAAGGGCAACGACGCGGCAGGGCTTCAAGGCTCACGGCTGGCTGCACAGCGCACACACCCCTGCCCCCACAGACGCAGAAGGTTGGATTCCCTGGCAACCTTAGCCCTTGCCTTGACCCACAGGCGCAGCCCTAACCTCCCCAGTCGTCCCTTCGCAAGGCACCTCCAGGCTCCACGCATAGCGATTTCCGTAAACAGCATGGTTCGTAACGCCGACGCAACGCCCGTAACATCCACACGCAACACACACGCCGTCAGAGCATTAAGGCCCAAGACGCCGCCGCATTGACAGTCAGGGCGTGCAGGCAAATGTTGTATGATGCCATACAACAGGCCCAGACTGCGGCTTGCCACCCATTACCTCAGCCTCAACCGCAGCCACACAACACGTTACGCGAGTTCGACGAAACGGGTGCAGTGCACGCGACGCCCAGGCAGCTGCAGGCGCGAGCGGTACCTCAGCACGCGCAGCACATGTCCGCCCCGATGCCGAGACTTCAGTCCTGAGCTCCCTCCTGTCCACTTTACTCCGTCCACTTTGCTCCGTCCTCTTTACTCCGCCCTACTTTACTCGCGGAAAGGCGCGAAGCAGACGACCGAGTTGTGGCCTCCGAAGCCGAAGGAGTTGGAGATGGCAGCGTTGATCTGGGGGGAAGGGGCGCAAGCACGAGGAAACGGTGGGGGTGGGGGTGATGCCACGGCGGGAACGAATGCTTGCACAACATTGTTCAAGGTATGGTAAACAAAAACCCACTAATCACATGTCAAAAGCCCCGGCACGAGCAGTCAGGATGAGGGGAACGATGCCCATTCTTCGCCATGTGCGTACGTTAGCGCATCTTCACACCCATTCCCAACCCCACTTGGGTTGATCAGCTGTTCCGATCAGATAACCTGGTAGAGCCACGCGGTTAGTTCTTCTTCTTCCTCCCTCTCCCTCCCCTCCCCCTCCACCCCTCCTATGGTTTGGTATGGTCTTTGACTCCCCCTCCACCCCACACATTGGAATTTCTTTTCCCCCTCCACCCCACCTGGTGCTGCTTCTTCTCGTTGGGCACGGTGTCGATGCCCGCCACCTCCTCAATCAGGTTGTGCTGGTTCAGCGTGGGGTGCAGCCAGCCGGTCTCGATGGCCTGCGGGAGGGAGGGGAGGGGAGGGGCGGAAACCCATGTGCTGTTAACAAAAGAGGTAAAAGCAAGGTTTCAAACAACCTTTCACTCCTCGCAGTATGGACAGCCGGGGTTGGCTCTAAGCGAGGACAGCCCAGGCCACGCAATAGGGGTTCACGCGCCCTCCGACCCTCCCACGACCCTCCCACGACCCACCTTGATGGTTGCGATTGCCTCCACACCCGCCGCGGCACCCAGGCAGTGTCCGATCATGGACTTGGTGCCGTTGATCTTGATGTTCCGCGTGTCCGTGAACACCTTCTTGATGGCCTTCACCTCGGCAATGTCGCCCACCAGCGTGCTGTGCAAGGGAGGGGAGGGGGGCAAGGAGGGATGAGATAAATTGAGCCGTGGAAACACTGACCCTGACCGTAGTAGAACACGAGGAGCGAGAGGCGGTGAGCGCGAGGAGGGAGTTCGATTTGTGTAGTTGAAGAAGAGGTACGTGTGGTGGGGGACCATGATGACAGACAGGTCCAGACCCGGAAGTGCCCCAGGGGGCTTCGCGCATGTGCCCACTAAACCCACAGCCCCTTCCCCTTACCCTCCCACCCCATCTCCACCCCACCCCTCGCCCACACAGCTCCACCCCGACCCTACCCCACCTGGTGGCATGGCAGTTGATGTAGTTGACCTGCTCCTTCTCAATGCGCGAGTCCTTCAGCGCCAGCTCAATGCAGGTGGACACGCCCAGACCGTCGGCCCGTGGGTCGGTCATGTGGTGCGCATCGCAGGTGACGGCGCCGCCCATGTACTCGCCGTAGATCTTGGCGCCGCGCTTGGTGGCGTGCTCCAGCGACTCGAGCACCAGCACACCCGCTCCCTCGCCCATCACGAAGCCGTCGCGGTCGCAGTCCCAAGGCCTGAGGGGAGGGGGAAGGGGGAAAAGGGGAAAAACTAACTGACCGTGTGGTAAGGCGTCAGGGAGGAGGGAAGGGAGGAGGAGGAGGGAAAGGGTCGTCCTCAACCCTCACCTCATCATCTCTCTCCTATCCGTGCTATCCCCCACCGGGCACGTCGTCATCTTCGGGTACAAATTGCGCCGGTCACGGCCAGTATGTGCTGCGACTCAGTCACAACACCCACCCTCGCACCCACCCCTTAACTCTTACCAAGTCGCCAACAACCCTTTCCCCTACCCAATCCGATCCGCAGTTCCCCACGCCCTAGACCTCACCTGGATGCCTTGACGGGGTCGTCGTTGCGGGTGGACAGCGCACGGCAGGCCACGAAGCCGCCCAGGCCCACGGGGATGATGGGCGCCTCGGAGCCGCCCGCGATCATGACGTCCGCGTCGCCGTTGCGGATGTGGTTGGCGGCGGCCACGAAGGCGTAGTTGGCGGTGGCGCAGGCGGTGGAGATGGAGTAGTTGGGGCCCATGAAGCCCTGGGTGTGTGTGGGGGGGGGCGGGGGGAGTGGAGGAGGGGTTAAAGACCAAATACCAAGGCATAGGAAACCTTAGGTTAGGGCATAGTGATGGGGACAGGGTGTAAGGGGGGGGGTGAGGGGCAAGCGTGGAGGGGAGCGGGGGGTGGGCGAGCCTACAGGAATGGTGGAGGGAGGATGAGTATAGGGTAGCTGGGCAGGGGAGGTCATTGTGTGGCCTTGTCGAGCAATACCCCTTCTAGCTTGGCACGCTCAGTTTCCCCTTTCCTACCGAAACCCTGCCCCCCCCCACCTGGTCAATGGCCAGCAGCGCACCGCCCATGTTGGTGATGGCGTAGGGGATGAAGAAGGGCGAGATCTTCTTGTAGCCCTTCTGCACCAGGTTGGAAACACCTGGGCGGGCGGGAGAGTAGCAGCAGGGGAGCAGTAGGGGTGAGGAGCAGTGGGGTGAGGAGCACACACACGTGGAATGAGGAGAGCAGCCCGGGTGCGGCGGTATGTGTGGAAGCACCATGGCTCGTTTCATCACACGGCGTGTAAGGACCCCTGTACGGCCTGTTGTGGGGTCTGCATACGGTGTGGGGGGCAGGGCGCACCCTCGGGAAGCACTGCGCTTGCCCGCTTCGTTCCCTGGCGGTTCCGTGCATGGCGTGCACACCCGCCCGAACGTTAACTAGACACCTTGCAGACCTGACCCAGATGAAACCTGACAGGTGGTTCCCCTGTTGCACCACCTCCCATGTGGTTGCTGGGAACCACCCCAACCCCTGTACTGCCCTAGCCCCTCTCCACACACACCGCCCGCCCCCTTTACTGTCTGTCGCACCCGCCCCAACCCCCGTCCTTCCTTCCTTCCGACCCACATCACACACCCTTGCGCACTACCCACTACCCACAGATCCCGCGCCCCCTCCCACCAACCCTGATGCCTCCTCCACCCACAACCCTTCCTTCGGGCCCGTTGTAACCCTTCACAGCACCAAGCCTGACATCTCCCCAGCCTCCCCCCTCTCCCGCCTCCCTGTGCCTTGGATCCTCTTCCCCCTCCTCCCTCTACCCCTCTCCCCGCCTCCCTCTCCCCAGCCTCCCTCTCCCCAGCCTCCCTCTCCCACCCACCGCCCCCCACGCACCGTCCTGGAAGACCGTGAGGCCGCCCATGCCGCTGCCCACCAGCACGCCCACACGGGTGGGGTCCACCTGCTTGTAGCCCTCCGAGCAGCGCTCCTTCTCCAGACCAGCCATGATGAGCGCCTTCTTGCCGCTCACCTGGGAGGGGGTGGGGTGGGGGCATGGCGGTGTGTGGTAAGCAACCTGGCCGCGAGTAGGAACGTACTGGGTTGTCGGAAGATGGGTTGTCGGAAGATGAGGTCCCCACAGTGTGTGTTTGTCGTGCAGCAGCCGAATGGGCAACAAAGGCGTGAACGGGATGGAACGCATTCGTTTTGGAGTGAGCGAGCGTTTGAGCCGGACGCGCGCGGGGGATTTGGGTCGTGGGGACTATTCGGGTATGTGGGCCGTGCCGCCCATACGGGGATGGAGAAGGCGCTGAGAAGGCGCCGAGTGGCTGGCAGAGGCTCAGTTGCGCCGCTGCTGCCCCTCCCAAGCTGCCTACCCCCTAGCCACCTGTTGAGCCCGCCTCGCCCCCTCCCCGGCGGGCCTTACCATGGTGTACTTGAGGCAGTCATCGTAGCGGCGAGCGTTCTTCTTGTCGATCAGGCTGCGAGGGAGGGGAGGGAGGAAGGGGTTCAGGGGAGGGAGAACGGCAGGGTGATGGGAGATCGCTGCGCGGCGGGGAAAAGCGCCAGGACGATACGAGGCCATTTGTGTGGAAGTGAGGCCTGTGGGTGCTGTGGGAGGCTTGGTATTCATTGATGCCGCCAACGAACAGCGCTTGGCGAGAGGGCTGGAGGACGAGGAGCGCGGCTAGAGCAGGGTAGGTCGAGAAAGAGAAACATGGCTGTATAGTATTATTACCAGGAGCCTTCGAAAGGGACAAAGATAGGCTTTGCGGTGCTAGCGTAGTAACGCTCAACGTCAAGTCGCGGTGCTTACCCCTCATCATCAAAGTTCTGGATTTGGGCAGCAAAGCGGGTAGGGAACTCCGACGCATCGAAGCGGTCGATGGTCTTAACGCCGCTGACTCCGTCCAGCAGCCTGCAAGCATGTGTAGGCTCGATCGTGAAGACATGGCCACCTCATAGGCGCTGCTAATCGAGCCGCGGACAATGATGAAGACGTTAATAGCCCCCGTATACTTCAGCTCATCTCCTTTGCTAACGAAGCCGCCCAGACTTACTTGCTGTAGAACGTGTCCGGGTCGTTGCCGTGAACACTGCAAATGCCAATGCCCGTAATGACAACACGCTGCTTTGGGTCACGCTTCACAGCGGAGGCCCGGACGCTCACGGTGCCTGCATGTGGGCGTGGGCGTTTTCGGCTTAGGACTCTAACGCTCACCCATCAGACGGCGCCGAGAACGAAGGGAAAAGCTAGTCCGATCTGACGAACATGCGACGCCCATAACCCATCGCTATACACCTACTGGCGCGAGCAGGCCGGCTGGTCGCCGAAGCGCCGCTGAAAGGGCGCACACGCTGACCAAGCTGCATCCTCGCGAGTCGGTCGTGAATGCCAATCTAATGTGACACCACCTGGGTTTGGTGTCTTAACCTGGACTAGGGTAAGAGAAGAATAACAATTCGAGATATGTAGGCAATGATCAAGCTGTACGGCAGTCAGGTCTTTACCTTCCTATGCACTTACAACGCTTGACAACCGTTACGTTTATCAGAAGGGGTTGCTGCCATTAATCCTCACCATCAACTTTTGAGGCTGTCTGTAAGGTCGCTTTTATCATTGTCTACCAAGTTGGAGAATCCATTTTTTGCTGGCGCCTACAAGATATAACGTGCTTTAATTTTGACCAAGTTACTTCATATTAAGCGTCCTTGCGTATACCTAAAGTCGGCGCACTCGCACAGAATCGACTGCACCTAATCTAGTGCGCTGCGGCGTCTTTGTTAGCTCTGTTGCCAGGAGGAGCACAAGATGGCGAGTCACCAGGCGGTGTACACGCAGAGGCTGCTCCGTGTGTGCCGCATCGTGGCCGGTACCATCCTAGTGGGCTGCGCCACCGTGATGACGGGTCTGGTGGAGGTTAAGATGTATAGGAACGAAGTCGAGTACGCTAAGGAGACCCCTGACAGGGAACGCTTTAAGTCACACCGGTGTAACGACCGCTTAGCCGACATGCTGGAGGTCATTGAGGGGGAGGAAGGCAATGTGTTCCGGGACCTTCGGCCAGCGTTCCGCAACTGGCTGGCGTGCATGCGCTCTGAGGAGGGAGCGGAGCCAGCAATGCCCTACCTCATGCTCACGCCTAGAGACAAGCAGTACATCGACCCTGCAACACGTAGTGCGGCTGCTAGGCAGGCTGAGGCTGCCCAACAGCTGAACGCGTGAGGTGGGATAGCAAGACGAGAAAAATAGGTTTAGGCAGAGGCGGATAAGGCTGAGAGGTTTGGAGTGCAGGTCCGCGCTTCTGGAGTGCCTCAGGGCCTGCTGCGCAAGGATGGGGAGTTGCATAACCGGGTGTGTCTCATGTGACGTTTCTCGGCTAGTTAGGAATGGGGATTAGGGGCGTTGGAAACTGGAAGAGGGTATGCATATGTGTGTATAAGACACCGACGTGTAGAGCGGTCTGAGTACTGTGGGGCGGGTTTGGTGGTTGTTACACCCGATGGAACAGGCAAGGATGGACTTTGTGTAAGGAAGCAGTTCTTCCACCCCGGTACCTACTGGTGTTGTCATGCTAAGCAAGCTTGGTAGTAAGGATCATAGAGCCGTGGAAATTAGTCACGTGCGTATGTGTGCGGGCAAGCGGGCGTTTAGCAGCCTTTTAGTAGGCATCCTATAACGGTGTGAAAGCTGCTTGGGCAGAAGCAGAGTGTTTTTTGTGTCGTAGCTCGTGGGTGCCTTCAACTGATGGTATGAGGGCAACACCTCAAGACGTGTGCTTTGCTAATCAGTGAAGGCGGCAGGCTTTACCAGCGACACTCTTGTGCCGTTGTCGCAAGTACGCCATGTGGCACCGTATGGGACGCAGGCTAACTGGTATGGCGCAGCTGGCAGCTAAGCCTTTGGTATAGCCGTGTGGGCTGATCTGTGATTTTGGCAAGGATCTTACCTTCTTGCAGGGTTGCTGCCCTTGGCTTGGACCGGCGTTATCATAGGTTGGGGTGCTATATGCTTGACCGGGTAGCAAAACGCACTAAGGTCGTACAGGTGTGTAGTTGAGTAGGACAAGAGCAAGCAGTTGGGATAGGTTCGCATGTGAACCGCGAGTACAGGCAAAACAGACAAAACAGAGGTGACCGAACCTGTTCCATACCTGTTCCATGTACCTGTACAGGTGTGTACAGGAATACCCTTTTGCAAGAGTCTACATGCGCCAGTTAATTGGGCCTCTCCAAAGCTCTCAGCCCTGCCGCGTACTCGGCTTGTTTGTGTATTGGTGAAAGCTTTATGTGGATACAGCCACTTCGTCAATCCAGCATCTGGCTCCCATATGGGCCTTCAAACGCATAACCTCCACACACGGGGTGGGCATTTACCATATGCAACTATGAGGCTATACGGATGAGAGGTTGCCGGGTAGAGTTTAACTGGTAGAACGTTCGGCCCCAGTGCTAGCGTCGCACTTGCTTGCTTGGGGTCGCAATAAACGTCGCTCCAGACGTCATTGGCGCCGAACTAAAGAAGGGAAAATGCAGACAACACGATAAAGGGTATTTCACAATACAGCTATAAGAAAGAGTCCTATACTGTAGGTTGGCTAAAATTACGTCTTCTCCTCGTCGCAAATACGTAAGTAATCTCTCTGTTACTGCTTGAGCAGTCAGTTGAAGCCATGCGCGTGTTGACACCGCGCATAACATGTGCGTCACCTAATTTACCTAAGGCGTCAATACGTAAGGGGCAACCACTAACGACCGTACGATGCATTATGCACCTCTGTAAGTATATCTCTAGCAGGGTGTATATTGCACGTTGCAGTTTCTCTAACCTCCTGTGTAGCTCTGCTTCAAGTTCCTGCATTCACCTTGCCTTGTGCTTCGCTCTCACTGGCTTACCCTGCCTGGACACAAAGCTGCAGTGCACTTATTTAGTCTGCATGCCAAAGGAACGAAGGTAGCTGGTAGGTGAGTAAATGGGCAATAGTAAGACGAGCAGCTGCAATGCTCGCTTGCACGCCGTATTGTTTGCATAGCCGGCGCTCGCGATGCTGCTTGGCGTCCTCAAACCGTTTCTGGAATTTAATTTAGCGCCTGCTTTCCTCGTCGGGAGTAGAGTATTTTGAAAGAATTTCAGATGCTGCATGCTCCATGCCCGAACAACCGACGTTTACATTCCGACACTTACGTCTTTTGCGACTTATCATGAGTGTCCCGTTTATTGTCTAATGTTGGCCCCTGGTGGTCGAGGCCCAAGCAAGCAAGTTATCCTCGCAACGCCCTCAACCCCGTCAACAGTAATCCTTCTGTTTTCCTTTCTTGAACCAACAGGATTCAGTCCAAGCATCTGTCTGTGCAACAACATACCTTTGTTTTGGGCAGAAACCCGGGGGTTACGAACCCAAGGGTACCATGGCGGACTACGGCAACGGCAGCGTGCCTGCCGTTGTTGACGTTGAGGAAGGCACCAACAGCAACGGCAACAGCAACGACTCCTTCGAACCGCCTCTCTTCACGAGACGCACCAGCCATGTTCCCCAATCCGGACTGCGCATCCTCATGAAGGACCTGTCGTACCATGTGCCGTCCAACACCCAACGTGGCGAGCGGGCCTACTTGCTCCGCAACGTAAACGCCTTTTTGGAGCCCGGCCAGATGACAGCACTGGTGAGCTCCTCTGTTTCTTAGATGTCCATGTTTCAAAGTAATGCTTGCGCAAGCTGGTGTGTGTGTGCGCGCTAAGGTATTAACTGCGTATTGGCTGATTACGAGTATACCGGTATGCACCCTGGTACGTTAGCCCCATGCGGCGTCGGGTTCACCTCATGCGGATTCGGGTGCTATGCTCGCCAGTGCTCACCTCCTAAACTGCTACACCACACCCGCCACACCACCACATCACCCACAGATGGGCCCCAGCGGCAGCGGTAAGACCACCCTTCTGGACCTGCTAGCGGGCCGCAAGACGGTGGGCAAGACGGAGGGGCACCTCAGCTTCGGCGGGGTGCAGCCAACCAAGCAGTTCTTGCGACGCTACACGGGATACGTGGAGCAGGTAGGAGCAGCTGCACCTGGCCGCTTTGTCCTTATCAGCGCCTACAGCTTCTGTCTATTACGTCTGCAGTGCATCTGCGGACCCAGAAAGCATATGCATGCATGCACGCGTCAACCTCAAGCATGCGCGTCATGCATGCAGGTGTTGAAGGCGTCAGAACCCCTCGCACCATCAAAGCTTTCCTAGCTTAACCACCCCCAACACAACCCCACACACACTATCCGCAGTTTGACACGCTGCTGGGCGACCTAACGGTGCGCGAGATGCTGCTCTACACCGCGGAGCTCAAGCGCCCGCTGCAGGAGCCGCTGGCGCACAAGCGCAAGGAGGTGCGCGGGGGGTAAACGTGCGTCGCGTGGCATGCCGGTTCGGAGGAAGGAGATGAGATACCACGCGATGGCGCATGCGTAACGTTGTGTTCACAAAACTGACCGCCTTTTGCCCTCCTTGCATTGCCTGCATTGTTTGCTGTGCGGTGCAGGTGGACATCCTTCTGAAGCGGCTGGCACTGGACGGCTGCGCGGACGTCAAGATCGGCGACCCGCTGTCGAAGGGCATTAGCGGCGGCCAGGCCAAGCGCACCAACGTAAGCAGGCGCGCGTGTGTCAAGAAAACTGGCGCGAGTAGGCGCGCGTGTTCGTGTCTGTGCATGCGTCCCCATGCATGCTGCATCACCCTCATCTCCAACCTGGGCCAGCGGTCAAGCATCCTTTTCAACCCCCAACCCCAACCACCTGCCTTACCATGTGCTCCCTACATCTTCCCACCACCCGCCCACAGATTGGCATCGCGCTCATCACCAACCCACGTGTTCTCTTCCTGGACGAGCCCACAAGCGGTCTGGACAGCTACACCGCCAACGAGGTGATGAAGGTGGTCCGAGGACTGGTGACAGATGGCACCACCATCGCCGCCACCATCCACAGCCCCACCGCAGCCACCTTTGCGCTGTTCGACAGGGTCATGCTGCTGGTAAGACAGTCAGTCATGACCCATGGGTCGCTACCATTTTAAGAAAGCTTCTGCCTCCTCTGGTGATGGTTGTTGTTGTGTGATGATTGTTGTACTCGCTGGTCAGCCTTGGCTGACTACGGCTACCGGTATGTTTGTATCCTGTGCATCCGTTCCATCCACAACTCCTTCATTCACACCTACGTCATGTCTTCTGCATGTGCGCAGGTGCGAGGTCATCTGGTGTACTTTGGGCCGCAAGGGGTGTCCGCCCTGCAGTACGCCGCAGCCGCCTGGCCCTCCGCCAGCGCCGCCTCAGACCTCCTGGCGCTTCACAACGTGGCGGCCGTTGGTGCCGGCGGCGGCGGCGGCGGCGGCGGCGGCGGCGGTGCTGCTGTACACTCGGTGTCTCAGCTGGCGTTTAATGACGCGGAGGTGTTGGTGGAGGCGGTGACGGAGGCGGACCACCGAGGAGAGGCGACGTCGCTGGCGGCCGCGTACGACAAGAGCGAGCTGCGCAAGGTACGACATGCCGTATAATGTACGGCAGCGGTTGGGTTATCCATTAGTATACCGGTTCTCCCCTCCTGCGGATATGAGTGATGATAACGGGAAGACATACCGGTACACCGTGCCGGTTTGTACGGTATCTATCCTCAAGTTGTTATCCTTATCAGGATCTTTTGTACTGATCGTAGAAATGATTATGATGACGGTTGCAGGCCAACGACCAACAGCTTGATCAGTACATGACGGAGGGCCGTACATCCGTATCCGGATCCAAACAACCTTGCTGCATCAAGTCCAAGCTCGGAATTGGAAGCAAGGGCGGGGCCGACGTCAAGAGCAACAACTGCAGCAACGGCAACGCGGTCAGGGACGTGGAGGCACAGTCCCCAAACAGCACCGCTGCTGCTGCTGCTGCCGCCACCATTGCATCCTCCCCAAGCTCTGTCTCTGACCAGGTAACAGCGAAATACGGGGGGCCGGAGAGATAAGGAGCATCATAGCAAAATTGGCTGGCTAGTATACATTCAGGAGATCTCTGAACCGCCTGCTTATCGCCCCCCACTTAGCACATGTACGGCTAATTCCGCGTACGGTATGATTCCGGTATGATTCCGGTATCCTGGTTGCGTTGCGCTGCTGCAGGTGGCCCGCGAGCTTGCGACTCGCAGCGACACCGTGACACCTTGGTACTGGGGCATCTGGGTGCTCATGAAGGTGCGTGCGCGGAGGGGAGGGGGCTAACTGCCGGTATAGCTCAGCGGTTAGCTGTTGGGCCGCCGTTGGGTGACAGAAGTGGCAGATGGTGGAGAACGCATGCACCCACGATTGCCCTGAACACAGCACCGCGCACTTTTCCTACCACACTTCCACCCACTTTCGCCCCCCTAACGGGGCCCTTTGTATGCGATGACTGCTTTCCCTCCCTCCCCACCCTTGTCTGCTTTGCATTCTCATTCGATCCCTTGGGACTTCTTCTTACTCCCCACCCTTGATGCTGATGATGCACCCCGCAGTACCGCACCAGTCAGAACTACCGCAACCCCGGCTGGCTGGGTCCGCGTATCGCCGACAAGCTGCTCATCTCTCTCATCATCCTCACGCTGTACCTGGGAGTTGGGGACGACCTGTCGCCCGGCAACCTCATAAACATCCAGTCCGCGCTGTTCATGTGGGCGCTGCTGCCCGCCTTCGGAGCGGCGTCGTACGTGCCGGCCATCGTACTAGGTAAGGAGGAGGAGAGAGGAGGAGGGAGGAGGAGGGAGGAGGAGGGAGGAGGAGGGAGGAGGAGGGAGGAGGAGGGAGGAGGAGGGAGGAGGAGGGAGGAGGAGGGAGGAGGAGGGAGGAGGAAGGAGAAGGAGGAAAGGGGAAGGAGGAAGGAGATTGATGAGGCTCAGTTTGCCTATTCTCCCTCCCCACCCGCCCATGCACCCACACAGCCACTAGGACTCCGTTGCTTCACCTTTCATTTCTCTCCCCTCCCTCCCTCTCTACCCACCCACCCTCCCCCCCAGAACGGCGGCTGTTCGTGCGGGAGCGCGCTGACGGGTTGTACCAGGTGTTCACCTACCTGGCTGCAAAGCTGCTGGAGGAGCTGTTTCTCACCGTCATCATCACACTCATCTTCTCCGCATACGTGTTCTACGGGCTGCAGCTGCAGGGGCAGTGGGTGGTGTTCTGGCTGGTGGGTGGGGCGGGGCGTGGGTGGGGCGGGGTGGGCCACCCAAGGGAAGCAGGGTTCCATGCACATAAGGAACGAGCTGTTGCTTAGGGCAACAAAGGCAGGCTGGGATGTCTCGTACCGCGGCGGTGATGTAGTCGCTGTGTGCGGATGGAGTGCTGATCCAGTCGGCGACCACCATGCACTGTGTCTTCCGCCACCACTCAGGCAACTCCCCAAACCCGTAACCACCCCAACCACCCGCAAAACGCCTCTCCCAAGCAGGCAACGTACCCCCTCCCATCCTTCCATCCCACCCCCTTCCCCCTTTCCCCATCCCGTATGCACCCACATCCACATCCACCCACAGGTCTACTTCGTGGACCTGATGGTGGGTATTGTGCTGGCCTACCTCATCGCTGCCCTCTCCCCCAACATGGACGTGGCCAACGCCGCGCTGCCGGGCTTCGTGGTGACGCTGCTGTTCTTCGCGGGGCAGCTCATGACGCTGGACTCCATACCCGACTGGTGGCAGTGGTACTCGCGGATCGGTGGGTGCGGGGCGCAGGGAGGGGGTTGCCGTACATAGCGAGGGACGGGAGGGGGGTGCCGTACAGCGGTGCCGGGAGTGGGTGCCGTACATGTGGGCGGTGGGGTGCAGGGAGGGGACTGGTGGCAGTGGTACTCGCGGATCGGTGGGTGCGGGGCGCGGGGAGGGGGGTGCCGTACATGGGGGGTGGCGGGAGTGGGTGCCGTACAGGGGTGCCGGGAGTGGGTGCCGCACATGGGTTGGCGGGAAGGGGGTGCAGGGAAGGGACTGGTGGCAGTGGTACTCTAGGGTTGTTGTGAGGCGGACACTGGGAGGGGCGGGAGGCGGCGGGAGCGGGAAGAGGATGCCGTACACTGGGAGGGACGGAAGATGGCGGGAAGGACGGGAGGGGTAAATGGGGAGAAAGGAACCATGTGCGAACAAAACCCCACCATGGGTTGCGCCACAATCCCATACTAACCCTCCCCTTCTGCGCCCCCCTTGCTTATCGCCCTATATCCCCTCTCCTCCCGCCCAGACTTCCTGCGCTACGCCTGGGGTGCTCTCATGATCAACCAGTTCTCCGGGGATCACAACGTGGAGTTCGCAGGTGGGTCGCGGGTGTGGTGCTAGGGGCAGGTGGGTCGTGGGTCTGGAGGTAGGGGCAGATGGCAAAGGGAAAATTAGCGGCTCGGCGCTGCCACATGCTGCAGGCGTACGGTGTACGTACGCACGGAGTTGAAGTAACCTCATCATGGAGCACCCTTTGCAGCGACATCCTTACCGTGCCATACAGCTGACGAGCTATGCCGTACATCTGACGAGCCATACATCTGACGAGCCATGCCGTACATTCGCCCTTTGCCGCTGCTTGCTGCACGCAGGCGGTGTATCCATTCTCAAGTACTACGGGTTGGAGGGTGGCGACATGTGGGCTTACATCGGCTACCTGGCTATCTTTTGGATCATCTTTGCGGCGTTAGCGCTGCTCGCACTTACCTACGTACGACATCAGAAACGGTAAACGCAGGTACGGCAGCTGAAGCAACCAGCGTTCGTACGGGAGTGGAAGCGATGTACGCTGCTCTTGCATCTGGGTTACACTGGGTTGTTGGTGGAGGACTGTGACATTGGGTTCCATCCAGTGATTGGGTGCTCTGGTGTTGTTGGACCCACATGCATCATCCGTTCATCCCGCTTATGACTTGCGGGAGGTGGGGGAAACGGTCTGCCTCAACTGAAACGCCGAGGACTGGAGGGGGGGGCGCTGCAGGTGTGGTTTCGTGTCAACTCTTATAGTTGTATGCATGGACTTGTATGCCGCGTTTTATGCGGCTTCAAATGTACAAAGGGACTTTACTTGCATGCAATCTGTCCCGCATGTTTGAAATCTATGGAGCTGTTGCAGTTTGGTGTTATCTATTCCGGCTGCCGTGCGATGTTGAATCTCTGAAGCGAAGTGAGGTGAGGATCTGAGGAAGGATTGTGGGTTGTGACGCAGGGAGTCTTTTGACGGGCTCTCGCCTATATATATAGGACCCAGTTGGACCCAATCCAGGCCCTACATGAACGCGAACAATCGTACGTATGGGACCTTGTCATACTGCTCGCTATGTCCGTACTATTTGCATTGTGCTCTTTCATGACTGTTGCGTACACGATTTTTTAAGGGTACAAACGACGCCGCTGAAGGATACGGTGGTTGAAAACGGTTAAGTCATCGCATGGAGGAATGAACGGGATTGTCAACAGGTAGTTTCGTATCGCCTGCACCGAGGATTGGATGTGACTTGCGGGGGTGCTTTGTGTCAACGTGGGCTGTGCCTGGCCTTTGAACCCAGACTCCAAACTGCAAAACAGTTTACTTAAGACGCCCGGACAAGCTTTCCAAGATGATGTAAGGCATCAGCGCAGTAAATAGCCTTATATGCACATGCCTGGTTGAAGACTGCCTCATTTCTGTCGCGGAAGGGAGGCGCAGGGCGGGGAAGGTTCAAGGGAAGCCGTGCTGGGTCGGATAGCACAGGTAGAAAGGAAGAATTTTAGAGGTTGCAAAGTTTGAATACTGGAGTATAAGGGGGCCTATGATTGCGTACCCCGGTTCAAGGTTGAAGCCCAAGTGGACCTGGCTCGTGCCATCCATCCGGCATAGGTAAGGCATGGCAAGGCAAGGCTACAGAGCCAACAGCGATAACAAAGAGTAGAAGTAACAATACAACCAGCTACACTGCATGGGTCTTGGTCCGCTCTTTTCGGGCTAGGCTGGCCGGGTGGCCGTTGGCTTGGTTCGCCGTGCTGGACGAGCAGTTCGAAGGCCGGAGGGTGTTACGTTTGCTCCCTGCCATACTGCTGCGGTATCATAGCCATAACTTAGTTGACACGGAAAACTGATTTCGATATCGAACCACACGCATTTAACCTGCTGAACTAGAAGCACCTTTATTTTGTTGTTAGTCGACTCGTCCGTTCTTACCAAGCCAATACCAGGCAGCGCGCAAAACCATTGTATAAGATGGCTGACGAGTCACATCCATACTTGAACTACAATAAGCAAGATGAGGTGCCTACGCTCATCGGGAACTGGGTGGAGGAGCGTCACCTAAAGGAGTTAACAGGAGTGGCTCGTAATATGGTACGTGGCGCCTGAGGCTTGAAAGCAGCAGGATGTCCGCGGCATGATGCAACCTCAAATGGATGCTGCCGGTTTGCCCTTGCAGGGTGCCACACAGATCTTAAAAGATACACTCTCGAACGATTCCCCAAGTCGTTCAAAGGGCAATACATTACAAGCGACACACCCTCGTGTTGTGGAGCATGTCCAGGCGCAAACGGTGCGAAGCCTTGCCGTCTGCTCCTCTTTTTCTTCACAGTTCCTAGGCTTAGAAGCTGAGCTTGGCATCTGGAAAAATGCTTTACCGGGAATCGCTGTGGGTGGGTGGAAAAGTAGGCAAGCAACACCCCACTTACGATGAGCTGCTACATAGAACGCTGGCGTAATACCATGTTCAACTACGACACCCCAACATCCCCGCCCCCCTCCTTGTCCTCAACGGTCCGACCCTGCAGCACCCAGCCGACTGGCAAAGCACGCTTCAATCGTCCTTCCGGCCGCCCTCGGAACTCAGAGTGGCAGGCATGTACGCCAACGTGCCTAAGATGGGGCCGCGGGAGCGCATGGTGGGTCTCGGAGCCCTAGGTATAGACTGTTGCTAGAGTGGGCGGATATCTGTGGGATGGGGTTGCATCCTCCACGGGTGTTAAAAGCCAAGTTGGTCACAAACACATGTGGGTCAGACTCAAGGAAGCCATATACCCCTCCAACACCCCACCCATGCTTCCTGGTGAGATCAGCGGTGGGATGGTTTCCTAGCTTGCTTCCTCTTACCCTCTCCCCTGCCCTCTCAGGCCCAGGAGCAGATGCTGCGGGAAGCCCAGGAGCTGCCGCCGGAGGTGGTGTCCACCATCAGCGGAGCCCCGGTGCCCGTCACCTCGGAGAGCGTGTACGGAGCCGACTACAAGCCGCATGACCTGACGGGAATTGAGTGAGTGGGCTTGAAAGGTTTTGACTGATCGTCTAAGCAGAGCCGGGTTTGGTTGGTTGGCGGATGTGTGTGTGGGGGGGGGGTACGTGAGGCTATGGGACGGATGGGTGCATGGCGGGGTTGGGGCAGGGGCTTGGGTTGGAGTGCTGGGGTTATGAAGCACCATGCCGGAGTGTGTGGCAGCAGCTGAAGTTAAGGGCTTTTTGTGCGGACACTGTATAGTACTGCGTCGTACAGAACGACAGGCAGGCGGCGTAGTTCGGACCGCCTAACAACGGTCCGCCTCCCCTCCTTCCCCTCCTTCCCCTCCCTCCCTCCCCACCTCGGCAACCGTCATGCCGCATGGTTATTCCGTTCCTTCCTCTTCATCCCTCCCCGCCCTTCCTCCTACTCCTCCTTTCCCTCCTCCTCCCCTCCCTGCACCAGGGTTGGCGCCACGGTGATGCGCGACCCCGACGGCCGCCCCGCGCAGCGCGATCCCACCTTTCTGGTGGAGAGCAAGATGCTGCCCAAGCAGGTGGTTGACCGGATCATGGTAGACAAGGCACGACAGGTGGGGTGGGGCATGCTTGGGAATGAGGGTGGGGGAAAAGAAGGAAAAGGAGAAGAAGGAATTATGGCGGTACCATGCCGTGAACGACAATGGAGACTTTGGTTGGTTAAAAGAACACCAGCAAAAGGGGAATCCCACCGAGCCCACCCGAACCCACCCGTCAACCGCTCCACACGTCCTTCTGGGTCCTGACGCCTGCCTGTGCCCGTCAGGCTGGCGCCGTGGAGACCACTGTGCTGCCCAACCCCGACGTGCCCATCACCATCTACACCGAGGCGGTGGCCAAACAGACCTACGGTGGGTGTTGTGCGTGGGGTGCATGGCAAGCCGTTAGGCGATGATGTGATGGAGCTAACCTCACAACGGCCCGATGGCCGCGAATCCATACAACCACGACGCACGCACACTCGCCGTGCTGGCTAGCTTGCTGCCTTTCTTATCTGTTCGCTGTTCTCATGTGCCTCTTGGGGTGCTGGAGCCTCCTGCCATGCAACCACTGCGATCGAGCGGCGGGTCGGACATCATGGCGCGTCTGGATTGTACGGGGATTACCAGACCAGCAGTTCCACCCTGCTCCCTCTCCCAACCCCTCCTGCTGCTGCTCCTCTGGCATCCCTCCCTGCAGGCGGCGTGTTCCCAGGAACCACCACACTCAACACCACCTCGCCCTTCGGCAAGAGCACCAACTTCACAAAACCCATGTCGGATTACAGCAAGGTGGTCATCGATGAGTAGAGCGATAGGGGGGCGCATGCGGTGGTCGGGTGGTGGGTGCGTTCGGAGGAGGCAGTTTTCACGATGGCGCTATTGTCTGAATTTGGGTTGTGCGGCTGATGGTGACATAGCCCTTGTGAGCCGGAAACGTTTCCTGGGCAGGCGTGACTAGGGTAGGGTGCTGGGATGAGGGGCGAGTGGGTAGCCAGGGTCGGGGAGCTTTATGGCCGGGGGGGTTGCAAGGCGCGACAGGCAACGCACAACGTAACCGTGTGTGAGGTGAAGGGAGGGAGGCTGGGGGTATTATCATTGACACGTGCGTGCTGTCGGGGCCAAACAAGCTGTGCAATGGGTACAACAGATGGGTTAGGTGTGTAGGTTTAGGATCTTGGGGATGCAGAGCGTTAGTTAAGCGCACAGGACTGTAGGAAGCGGCGGCGTAGCATGAATCCATGATATATATGCCAGGTAGGTCCTGTGACATGCGGCACATGTGGATGTGGGTCGGGCAGTGCAGCGTAAGAACGGATATTCTGTACATAGGCAGGTTACAATGGCAAGAGGATTTGTGTTTGGGGATGTATTCGTGCAGGGTACCTGCGTCCCATGGTACCCTTTCCCTTTCAGGATGTGTACCTATTGCGGCCTGTGCCCGTTTGCATACTGTATGGCACATGTACAATTTCAATTCAGGACTGTGTACGACAATTTGAAGCGAAGACCACAGACCATTCGGACACACGCGCTAGTGCCACCTCGCGGCTCAAACAAGCTGTTCGAAATGTGCATCTGGACCTCAAACATCTGCATGTCACCTGGTACCCATGCTAAAGTCATGAACCGCATGAGAAGCCTTCGACCCGATGCTTTTTATTACTTAGCATGGGAGTTGTCACCACTCACGACACCAGCAACAACTGCAAACAACCAAACGCTATACAATATATGATAAGTCGCACGCAACCAACTCCGGGCCTTCAACAACGACCAACGCCCCGGGCGCTTTGGCATGGAAGCATGAACTGAACGCCGCGGAAGAGTACTAACTCCAAACAATCACACCCAAATACGACGATGGCTTGGATACGACAATCAAACATGCGAACAAAAACGCGAGGGGTACTCACGGCTAAGCCTTATTTCTTAATAGTTCAAAATATTGATAGCTTCCATCGTTCCGATCACACATATGCGCCCTTTTCCGGGTGCTATATGCCCCTTGCTAGGCGCTGTTCATCCCTCAGAGGAGCAGAGCCCACAGGCAGACCAATCCAGCCATCAAGCTCATCAGGAGCGATGACATGGAGAGCATTCCGGCTGCGGAACTGAAATCCGGGCTGAGGTTGCTAAAGCTGTCGTACTTTGTCGTATCAACGGTAACGGTTGCGAGTCCGGTGCAGGTGGTGTTCGTGGTTTGGGCGGCGCATGCGGATGAGGCGTTGTTGTAGGCAATCACCCACCTGCATGACACAAGGCGAGAGGCGTAACCGTGAGAACTGAAAACAAGTTAGTTTACTTTCTGAGCTCAGATGTTGCGTCGAGGGCTGTGCCGTACTGACGTCACCGTGTACATAGCAATGCACAGAGTATCCCCTGACACTCACAAAGCACGCATGACCCAGCGTCAACCACCCAGCTCGCTCCCGTCCCGTACGGCACTTACGGATCTTTTGGATCCAGCAGCAGATCCATTGCATAGTTATCTGACATATCGCAAGCAGGAATTGTCATCGCCGGGTCCCAGCCGCATGCCGGCGCTGCATCGCAGCTGGTCTTGTTCGTCTTGGCCGGGCATGTCAGCAGGGCATCCCTGTAACGAGTCACGCCCGAGCAACCGCCAAAGAGGTCGCCGAAGACCGGACCAAGGAAGTTACCCGCGCTCTTAGAGCTCGTGTCCAAGCTCTGCAGTTGGCAAAGGAAGCAGGAGAACAAACGCGATAAGGGAATTCATGATACATTGATGTTCAAAGCGAATGTCACACTAGTCAAACAGAGCGGCTTTGCAAGCTAGGCAGTCAGGAGGCTAGTTCCAACAAGCTGGAGGCAGGCGCGCCATGAGAAGTGTTCCAAGTACCCTAGAATACAGAAGACGACGAATGCAGGAATTGTTGCCGTACTAGCTTATTACCTACCGCGTTGGCTGCAGCTGCCAACATCTTGTTTACGAGGTATGCGACATCGGTGGCGTTGGTTGTCCACTTCGCACTGCAGATGTAGGTAGTCGACGAGGCAGCTGCGATGACAGGACGAAAACGGGATATCATGTAACGGGGTCTACTTCGGTCTACACGTCGGTGTAAACAAAGAAAGGAGGCAGGAAGGGAAGGGGAACTCCCCCATCCCCCCAGTTCTTCTTCCAAACGCTGCAATGACGGCACGCTATCGTTCTCTTTGCAGGTGCATGTTCGTCACATGCAGGGTGCCTTTCCACTATCGCTACCGTGTTTTGCACTTCCAAGCTGACACTGACGACACCCCGACATTACGGGGTAGCAAGTCAACATGGAAGTAGCAGCATCGCCGTGTCACCAGCACGCTTCGCTCATCGCCCATCCCTCACCGTAGCCGCTCCAGCCTCCAAGTGCCTCCAGGAACGACGAACCGAAGCTGTTGGAGCTCAGCTGCGTCGAATCCGACCAGGCGCAGTTGCTGTTGGCGCCGCAAGCAGTCTGGTTGGACAGCGTGAGGCAGGTCATGAGGGCGCCGACACGGGAGCCGGAGCAGTAGACCACGTCTTGGAGCCACTGGGGGTGGGGACGGACGGCAGGAGGGGGGCGGATTGCAGGGTGGTGGGATGGTCGGGTTAGCAGGGGCGGTTGGGACGGGGGCGGGGATGAGGATGCATGCATGTACGGTACGTGCTTTGATGGTGTTTTGATGTGCAAAGGTACGAAAGATGCTGCAAGACGAAGCTGCGCTGGTCAAGCGCAATACGACTGTACCGGTACACGTTGTTGTTAACCAAACTGGTCACATGTGGCCTTACCCCGATCTTGAGGAAACTGGGGCCCACAGAGCACTCCTGAGACGCGGAATCCCAACCGCAGAAGTCGTTCGGGTTTGCCATGCAGGTAGCTTTGGTGGTGTATGTGCTGCACTTGTGGTCCGAAGCTGCAAATCGAGCTAGAAGCCTGTACACCGGAACATTAATAGGAAAACCGGTCAGGTAATGCGCCATAGGGACCTTCGAGGGAAGGTCAGCGGGTCCGTACGGTGTTTCTTCGCGCAGACTTTGAGTAATACAGAACATACTTACTTCTGGCTGTTGCTGGCAGGTGTACCACTGAGTCCGGTAATGTAGCCATCGTTCAAGTCACAACCCGAGCTTGGGCTCCAAACACATTGCGGTGCGGTCGCAAGGAGGTTCCGTCCAAAAGGGCGCTGTACATGGTCGCCGTTAGCAAGGCGGAGCTTGAGCTTCAGGGCATTCGTCAGGGCAGGCAAGGTAGGAGTGGAAATCGCTGAAGCGGCCAAACAGCACAAAGTGCCGAAGAGAAGCCATCGAAGCGGCGCCATACCCGCACTAATCAGTAAATAACAATTGTTACAGACAATAACATGTAAGTAAACGCGCGCTTGTAGCGTCTTTCGTTTCGAACGCAAATATGTGGCTCGAGTGCGTACGGCATTCGTCAAGCAAACGGCTGCAAATCCCGTCGGTCGGCCGTCGTTGCCACGGGTTCGACACTGCGGCCTCCATGACGACGGCCGCAATGCTAGCGGCGTAGCGCGGCTAGCGGCGTAACGGATGATAGGGCCAAGTCAGTCACGCTATGTGGGCACGCATTGTATTTATCAAACGCAATTACGACAAGGGACACGCATTATTTTGAACACAGCCAAACAGTTATCTTAATAATAATTAGGTTCAGGTTTCACGGAGACAGTGCTGGTGATGAAATACTGTTAACGCGCCCGTTCCTTAATGCACATGTTAACGACATATAGGCGCGTGAGCGCCCTTGGAACGAACGGGTTGCAGGGGTGACGGTAGCAAGATGGAAAGGGTCAAGCCACTTAGATGAGGTACCGGCAAGAGTATTGCATTGGAGTGCCGGTGCCCCGGTTGGCATACCAACACAGTGGCGTTGAGCGAAGTTACTCCCAAGATTGTTACAACAAAGCACGGGCCGTTGAGCGTTGTCGATAGCACGAAGCTGAGTATGCCACGCAAAGGGCGTTGCGCACGCCACATGTGCAGCAATGTCCGGCATACGAGAAATTCAAGGCGCAATGCGCTCGGCAATGGCACAGCAATGTATGTAGGACGAAGCGAGGTGCTTCCTCCGAGCTGCAACAACATACGAACGGTATCCGAACGAACGAATGGCATGAATATGGCCATATGCACGCATACACAACGCCAAACCTCCAGCAACAACCAACGTCAATTCACAATAACAGCTCTTCAGTCGAATCACATGGCGAGCACTGAGTACCGGAAATACATGCACTGTAGCAGCGCGAAAGGCTTACTCGAGATGGCAGGAACCCCCCAGGTCTTGGATATAATCATGGGTATTCTGGGGCTGGGGCGGGTGTGCCCTGCTACATGCACGCACGCACAGTTGTGGTCTGATCGCAATATTAACACAATGAGCACTAGCTTCAATGCATCCCTTCGAACAAGCATGCACAAAAACGATTGCTCTTCCACGCTCTCACGGCATGTGCTTACAGCAACATGCCCCACAGGCAAACCAGCCCAGCCATCAAGCTGATCAGGAGCGAAGAGGCGGACATCATGCCAGCCCCCGAGAAGGGGGTGAGAGTCAGGTAGCTGCTGTACTTGGTGGTGTCGACGGTGGTGGTCGCCAGGCCCTTGCAGGCGGAGCTGGTGGTCTGGGCGGCGCAGCGCAGGGATTGCTCCGTGTACTTGGCAACCCACCTGCAGATAGAACGCCAAGAAAGGAACAGGAGGATTAGTTGGCTGCGTACGCAAAAGCAACAAGCGCGGTACTGGTAGGTTCACAGCACACTAATAATTGCAAAACAAAAAGCTAACGAAATATCGTTACTACTTACGGATCGGATGAGTCGAGCAGCAGGTCCATCACAAAGTCCTCCGCGAGGTCGCATTCATTCGTCCAGGAGCAGGCTAGCTGGGCATCGCAGGTGGCTTGGGTGGTCTTGTTGGAGCAGGTAGTAACCGCAGACTTGAAGGTGGTCAGGGCCGAGCAGTCACCGAAGAGGTCGGTGAAGATAACAGAAAAGGCAGATGCCGACGTCTCGGCCTGCGGTAGTTGGGAGGGAGGAGGGCGGTAAGGAGCGGCGCGGGAAGAGTGCGGCTCAGTTTAAGGAAAGCAGTGTTTTGGTGAATTACTCAACGAGACGCCCCTAGGGGGCATACTCATAGGGGCGTAACAGCCCAACGAGAATACAGAGGCCTACTCCGGCATGGCACAGCGAGGGCATTTGAAAATTACCAGGCGAGTTACAGTTAAAGGTCAAGATTGCTTACCTTCGCAATCTTGGATGCGAGGGTGGTGAGGTAGGTGGTGTTGGTTGCCCAGCTGGCAGCGCAGACGGAGGAGGAAGACGATACAGCTGCGAATAAAATAAACAGTAACATGTCATTCTTGATACGGCAATGTACGCAAGGGTGGAAACTGCAGGGGATCACTGCGACCAGTGCAATTCTCTACCAGCACACACGTACGGGGGCCAACGGATACGGTAGAGCGAGAAGGACAAACACATGTATCTGCCCGCCCGCTTGACTTACTGTGGCCGGCATATTCGGCGAGGCTGTTCATCAAAGATGTGCCGATCGTGTTCTGCGCGAGCTGAGTGGTGTTCTGCCAGACGCAGTTGCTGTTGGAGCCACAAGACGTTTGGTTGAGAGCAACGCAGGTCATGACGATGTCCGCACGCGAGCCGGAGCAGTACAGCACATTTTGGAGCCACTACGTATGGAGAGGTTTGTAGAGGGTAGGGTAGGGATAAATGTCAATGTTGGGTTCGCAGGGGCGCGGATGTCGGAATACTGAAAGGGCTAAATGTGCTTTTTACGCGGGGCTGGAAGCTGAGAAAATACGAGCACACCTATTGCTCTTGCACAGGCGTTAACACAAGCGCGTAGTGGTGTCGAGACAGACCTGTGTCGTTTCCATATCAGGCTACCCTTATACCTCCAGTAGCTATAAGCTATAGCTGAGCTACAGTAATAAACAGGAAGTGTCAAAGTTGAACTTACCCCTTGCTTGAGGAAGCTTGGGCCGACGGAGCACTCCTTGAAGGTAGAGTCCCAAGCGCAATACTCGCTCGGAGTCGCCGTGCAGGAGGAACTGCTGGTGTAATTACTGCACCTGTTGTTGAGCGCTGCAACATAAGCCAGAAGCCTGCGGAATAAAATTAAAGGCCGAGCTGAATGAAAGTTGTCGAACGGACTCTCGGAAACAGGCCGGGTCCGAAACCGAAGCCTTACGGAGATTGCCAGCAATAACTCACTTCTGGCTGTTGGTGGAAGGTGTTCCAAGGCTGGTAATGTAGTCGAGGTTCAAATCACAGCTGTCCAGGGTATAGCTTGAGCTCCAAAGGCACATCGAGACGGTGCTTTCAAGCAGGTCGCGTCCGAAAGTGCGGTGCACGGGGCTGGTCTTTGGGAGACGAAGCTTAAGCTTCACGACCTCCGCCAGATCAGGAACAGCAGATGCAGACAGTGCTGAGGCGACAAGGCAGCATAAAGTTGCCAGCGAAAGCCAGCGAAGCGGTGCCATTTTGTCCTCTATTAGCAACAATAGAGTTACGAGATCTTAATCAGCTTACTTACTACAGGTGGTGGCCTACGCTTTAACATCGAACGCGTACTCATAGGGCCCCTTCGGCATGCTAGCGCACTCATAGTAGGGCTTATGCAAATACGGCAGGCTGACGCTGAAAGTCGCGCGGCTATCACTATTGACCTTATAACCTACCTACTGGACGATTTTAGATCTTAGCAGGCAGTAATTTATGGCGGATCAACTGAGATGGTTAGGCAAGAAAGGTTTCCACATGAAGTCGTGACAACTTCAGTGCCTCCGTAGGTTCAGCGAGAGTTCACCGGTGATCGTTTCCTGAACGGTTACTGTGCATTTACTGATCGTTCACCATCCATTTACTGTGGTGAACGGAAGGCCCGCGTGAGCCCTAAGTAGTGGTCGTACATCACGTTGGCCGCTTCTGTGAACAAACGGCCTTACCTATATCCCTTTAGTGTCGTCTCTTAGCACCGTCATTTTGGTTTCGGTAAAAAAATTTCCTGAACACTGCTTTGGAGTGCTGCCTTTTGACAACTAACATGGTGATCATGGAGAGACGCAATCGCTGCACTGCATTGTGTCGTTTACGTAGTTGTACGATATTTCAGTAAAAATTCAAAGTAGCAAGCTATTGCTTGGTTTAGGTTCAGTCGCGTTGACTGTTAAAGGACGCCAAATTAGGCTGCGCTAGCCACTTGTCACAGTCACCACATGGCTGATTCCGGAGGCAAAAGTTGCACTCCAGGGAGCCCCTAAGCCGGGCCATTGTGGCGTGTCGGTGACGTATCCCTTCATCCTTCGATGACGTGCCGACCTTCACAGCTTGTTACCAATTAGCAGATCATCAAAATGCGGCTCTTTTCTCTGTGTTATATCCCGTGCTGAGCCTGTCTCGCAGCTCTCTTCCCCATGCTGCGCATGCTTCCCTCTTTACCGTGCAGAGGCTTCCTCCCGTATTGTCCCTTCGGGCCCTTCCCTTGCAGCGCCTGCCTACCCTTGGCCAGCCCCATACGGCGCCTGCCTAGGACGCCCATGCAGGCCCTTTCCTGTGCACGCTTACCTGCGGCCCCAAGTGCTTTCCGCCTGCCCATACCTGAACGCCCGGCCGTCCCGTGAAACACCTACCTCTCTATGCCCTTCCCTGTGCGACCGCCCATTCCCACTTCAACATGGGCTGTGCAGCGAAGTACCCGCTTGGCCGCAGGCGGCGTCTTAAGCACAGTACGGGAATCGGGCGGTGTCTGTCCTGCGGCGCGTTACCGGCCTAGCAGCAGGCGACGTTACCTCCTGCAGCGCATTACCGACAGGGGCATGGCATGAAAGGGGGCGTGGAACAGGGAGGTAGAAAGGAGGAAACTGGCGCGCTGGCACAGGGGGGAAAATATAGTTGAATGCATCGGGAGTCCCAATCCCGAATCCCGACTCATGCAGTGAGCGCATTCGGAGACCATATTCTAGGAACACGCAGCTCAGAGACAGGGCACAGGGGGGGAGCATGGTGCATGGAGGGTGGGGGGCCTGTGGCAGAGGGGATGCGCACAATGCGGACTACCAACCGCTAATCGCAAGTGCAGCTAACCAACCGATCGAATTTTCGGCAAGCGGCCTTACCTGCCGTCCGACTGTCCCATCCTTCATTGGCTGGGGCCCCCAAGCCACTCAACAATACGTAGCGGTGACAATAGATAGCTGGGCTTTAGTTTTTCCACGAACGTTCTTTATGCCACAAGGCTAATCTAGAATATATGGGAAGCTATTTTTCTCTATAGGCTGTAAGATCGATGTTCCGGTTAAACGGCATACCGATATAGCTCTGAGCTAGCACATTGCCACTCTGCCAAGTGAATCCACTGAGCGGCACTTATCTTCACACTTTCAGGATGTGCGACAAGCCCCTTCACGTCCTAGCAGCCAACGTCACAGCGGCTTGTGCAAAGTTTCAGGCGGCCCTTGCCGACGGTGCACCTCAGTCCGTGATGCCCTCTTCAGCGCCTCACCCCAGCGTGGCTGCGCTTGAAATTCTACTTCGAGAGCAGCAACAGCTTGTAGCTCGGTTAAAAAGCGGTGAACAAAGCAACGTGCAAGCAGAAGACAAGGCGGAGGTCGCCATGTTGGCAGCCAAGCGGGAAAGAGTGCTGGAGCAGGGCTTACACGCTCTAGGAGCTGTTGCTGTATCCATGCGCGCGGTTCTGGATGACGTGGAGGAGTTGGTGCCTGTGGATAACGGCTACCTTCCCAGCGTACAGGTGGGATGTTACGCAAATGTCTGCCGCCCATAACCCCTTCTCAGATCCTTCCAACGTACACCACCCCATCCTACCACCTCCCTCTTCCTCCCCTCTGATCCTTATATCATATACCCCCTACTCTCTATCTTCCCATCCACATCCCTCACATCCATGCCCCCCCTGTCACCCACGTGCCTCACCAGGAGCTCCTGTCGTACGGCCACCGCCTCCGCTACACCACCTTCGCCACCACCGGCCTCTACAGCGGCGAACCCGCACCGCAACAACTCCACTTTGACCACGCGGCCCTCTGGGAACGAGCCCTTGCAGAACGCCACCAACAAATGGCAGCAGCAGCCGCAGCCACAGCAGGAGCAGCCAACGGCGCCCCAACCGCTTCGCCGGCAGTTGAGGTGGATCCACGTGCCGAGGCGGCATGTCGTACACTCCTCAACAAGCTTGTTGAAGCCGGCTGGACGCCGCAGGCGGGCTTTCCGGAGCCTGTCCTTGCCTTCCTGTCGGACATGCCTGGAGCCCTGGACGTGTTACGTAGACTGGTGGAGGAGAGGTTCTTCGGAGGAGTTGCAGGAGCGGGAACAGGAGCAGCGGCGGAGGCGAGTGGGGCAGCGGCAGCGGCTGCGCCGCCGCCGCCGCGGCCGGCGGCGGCGACGGCGGCTCCCGCCAATGCTGCGTCTCGGCTGGTGCGTGAGCTCATGTTGGACGAGGATACGGACGAGGAGGGCAGCAGCAGTGACTACACGACATCGGAGGAGGGGTCGGATTGAGGAGGGTTCATGTGGGTGGAGGCAGGGTGGGGCATGGTGGGCTGGAAAGAGGGAGAGGATGGGCACGGGTGCTGGGGTTGAGGGGCTGAGGGGAAGTCGGGTGAGGGGGAGAGCTGAGGAGGGAGAGCACAGGACAGGCATTGCGTAGTCAAAGATGAGTGTCTTGCACCTATGTTGTAGGAAGCAAAGGAGTCGGGTGTTTTTCGTCTGGTTTGCTCGTCAGCAGCTGTGGCAGCCGTACAGCGTGTGTTGAGGAGGTCGGAGGGGCTCAGCGGCCCTCAGGACTGTGCTGTGCCGGGGTGACGGGGAGTAGTAGCGAGGGGAGTGGAGAGAGATATGAGCTTGAGGGAGAGATGATGACGGAGGTAGATTGCAACACGGCCATAGCGTGCTGCTGGTGGCCTTGGCGGGATTCAACTTCGTCTTCGTGTTGAAAGTAGGTGGTCATTGAGGATGGACAGTACTAGATTGCTAGAACGCATATAGCATGGGCACGTGGCCCACAAACGATATAAATCTGGCTTGTCTAAGCTGGATGTTTAGGGGTATGTTGTGGGTGCGGCTAATTGCGCAATAGCCCAGGGGCCGAGTTTCGTGTTGCTGGGCCATGGGGGGTAAGTGTTTAGGCTTTAGGATTGGGCCCCAATCATCATGACTGTACCATGTATGTGACCTTTTGTCTTGGTGGACACAAAGCAAGGCAATTGTGTAGATGTAGTCGCCGCTGGGTCATACATCCCGCTCGCTTGCCGATGACACGCTGGTGCAGACTTACTTGCTACGCAGATCTAGACATCTATTCTGCATATGAGTAAAGAAAGTATTGGACTTGACAGCCCCTCCCTAGGATGTTCGCATGTTTGCACACTTTGCAAGTCGCTTGCATGTTGCCTCCGAAGCCAAAATCAGTTTTTTCGCACACAGTCCAGAGTCCACACACCCTGATTCCTTCAGCAAACGTTCACACAGCAGCAACCAATACTACTGACACTACCATTGCACTGGTCTCGCCTCGGTCGAAAAGAAGCGTTGTAGGCCATGTACGCTCTTCACGTTCCAGCTTCGATGACTTGTAGCCGATGCATACCTTTTCGCGCACAGCGGTATGTACATGTTTGGGTCAAAATTTACAACTCCATGAACCTGTCTGTTCCTCACGGCACCATGACCTGGCATCCCTTGATTGGTCCCTCTCCTGCTTCGCGGCGCCAGGCTTGTGGGATTGCACCAAGTCCGGGGGCCTCAACGCTGCCCGGGACCAGTCAGAAAAGCACTGCCAGACCAGGGAGAAGGTTAGATCCCGTACACGAACTGCCGTACTTTAATTTCCCCTGGCCTGATGATCCACTGCATGCAGCACCAGCGCTAGCGTAATTCCAGTATCCCACATGGCCGTTCCTTAGTTGATGTCAACGACGCCCACTTCTGTTCCTTCATTTGCCTTGTAACCCATGTCCCCAACCCAACCCGCCCGAACGTACCCACCCTTCCCGGGCAGACATATCCGAGGCCCTAAAGGCGGATCTGGAGCGGTTGAGGGCCAAGTCGGGGGCTGCGGGGCCCTCAGTACCCGGCAGCAGCAGCAATGGCTTTAACAATGCCAGTGGCCCCTCCCAACAGGTATGTATTGTGCCTTTGTACCCATTGCATGTGATCCTGTACCGTACAACCCTAGGCTGCTTCCATCCAGTGAGTCCGCCACACACCGCGCCCGATCCCTACGCAAGCACATCCTGCCCACTCCCATCCTGACCTCAGCCCGCGGCTCCCCACCCTTCAGCCATCCTGTGCCCCATCCCATGTAACTGTGTATAGCGCCCCGCCAAGCGCCCCCTTACGCCCCCCACCCCCACCGCCAGGGCGAGATGGGCCGGGTCCAGTGTAGCAACCCATGGTGAACCCAAGCCTCAGTTTCCCCCTTTTTACCCCACCGCTTCCCATTCCGCTTCCTCCCACTGCAGGCGCCGCAGCAGCCCTCAGATCCGTTGTCAGGCGTCAAAGACGCTGTGGATAAGGTGAGTCCACGGCGAGTCCACCCCATAGCTAAATTGCTCAGGCATGGTTGGGGGTGGGGCATGACTGGTAAGTGGGGAGACCGTACCTGATCAGCTGTGTTAACGAAACCGGACAAGCTTTTTGAAGTGGCGCGCTGAACTGCCCCGCCCCCTAATTACTACCTAGCTGCCTACCGCGGCCCTACTCGGCCCTCCCTGTACTACTCATCCTGGCCTGCCCTGCAGCCGACCCAACCACTCTACGACCCCCCCCTCCCCACCCTTCCCTTCCCTTACCTACCCCGCCCCCCGCATCCCTTCCTCCCTCCCTCCGGCTCTGCCCTCTTCGCCCTGCAGCTGCTCATAGCCGACTTCTTCCTGGTCCTCTTTATCCTAGCCTGGCTGGCCGCCGGGGTGGCGCAGGCGGGTCTGTCGGGCGGCTCCTCCTCACCGCTGCTGGACGCCTGGTACCCGCTGTGGCCACTGCTGTGGCAGCCGGCACTGGGGGTGCTGATGGCGGGGGCGCTGGTGAGCGGTGGTGTGGGATGGCTGGGGGAGCAGCTGGGGCGGCGGCGGGGGGAGGAGGAGGGGGGTGGAGGCAAGGGGCGGTGAGGGGGGAGAGGGGGAATTGACCAGCTGTATGACAGGGCTTCAACATGGGCGGTGAGGGGGGATAAAGAGGAAACGACTGGAGGCATGGGTGGAGGGGGGAGTGAGAGGGGCGAGGAGAGGAGGGGAGAAGGGTTAGGGTAAGAGAGGGATTGGAGGAGAGGCTGTAGGGGCTGGAGCGGTGGTGGTGCAGTGATGTGAGTAGGGTGATACCGGTAGCGTGTGTGATTGCAAGGAAGGACGTCGCGAAGGAGTTGCTAGTGTGGCGAAGCAGGATGAGACGAGGGACGTGAGGAGGCGGTACTGGAGAGGAGAGATTTTGGAACATGCTCTAATATATACAGGCGTGGTTGGAGGTGAAGGTTCCAATGAGAATGCTCCCAAGAATGGAGCTGCTCGCGACCCATGTCCCCGTGTTTCTTGCTCTTGGGTTGCTCAACAGCAGGAGTAGGAGTGCAGGGAACCACTAAAACACTGCACATCAGCCCACGCAAACGGCTACTACCCTCGGTATTGCTGTTGGCACGCCGCATCAAAATGATGTCGTAACCGGTGCTATCTTTACCGTGCCAGCAGTGGCTGGGATGGGTACGATAGCAAGCACACAGCACCCGTGCCATAGCACGTTCCGACTCGCGGCCAATTTTCGTAACGCCCGAACTGTTCTAGTTGCTGTCACGTCTCCTTGACGCCGACTCCTGGCCCCGCACACCAGCTCTCCATGTGCTAGAACCACCTCAGCATGCATGCAGCCATGAACCACTCCCGTCTGGCCCGCTTCGGCGAACCGGGTTTTGATCAACCCTGCCTTCGGCAGCAGCAGCTCCCCACCATCCTCCCACCCACCCCCACCACATGCATGCCCCTCACTACAGGCTGCCTGCGACACGCCACGAGCACCACCACCACCCCTTGTCATCGCACGCCATGTCCCCTGCCACCATGGTGTGCCACACCAACTGTGGCAAGCACGTTCTAACTCGCGGCCAGTTTTCTCAACACACTTACTGTTGCCAGTCTTGCCACACCACTCGGAGCTCTATTACACACACACCCAGGCTAGCAAACCCCTGGTCGTGGTGGCCTTTCATCACCCCCCACGTGGGGCCAATTCCCCTGTCTCCCAGCCCACCCCTCCCCCTTGCGTTGTCCCCCACCCCCCTCCCCCCTGCCTGATGCTCTGCGGCCAGGGTCAGTGTCTCCGCGGCTCCGTTGACCTGACCCCTGCTGCCCTGCCCCTGCCGGTACCGCTACGCCAGGTAGAACAGACCGCCCCCCGGCACCGCACTGCCCCCTCCTACCCCCGCCAGCCCCACTGCCCCCCCTGTAGCGCCCCCTCCCCCCGCCTGCACCCCCTTGGCGCTGAAGTCCAGACGAGCTAGCAGGAAGCGCACGTCGTTGTGGGCCTGAGGGGGGGAGGGAGGGGGTGAGAAGGAAGGGAGGAAAAATGAGAGAGGGGGGAAGATAAGAGTTAAAAAATGATGAGTGCGGAGAGAGGGATGGCGGTGGTTGCGGGTAGAGTGTTGTGTTGAGGGGCCCTATACACACACATGGCCCGCTCCCACCCCCCTACCCCACCCCTACACCTCACCTCCTCCGGCAGGTTCTCCGTGAACTCCGCCACCGCTCGCTGGTGCTGCGCCCGCAGATCCAGCAGCGTACGGCGGATATCCGCCAGCGCAGCAGCCGGCACCACCGCTTCATCACCTCCTCCTGCCCCTGCGGCACCCGCACCACCTGCACCTGCAGCTCCCGTGCTGCCGCCGCCCCTGCCGCTGCTGTTCCTGGCGCCTCCGCTGCCCCACCCACCCGCCCGGATACGAGCCCGAGCGGCGGAGGCACGCGCCTCCAGCAGCCGGGCGCCGCCCGCCACCGTCTCCTCCAGGCGCGCTGCGATGGCTCGGAGGGCGACCATGTTCGTCAGGGCGTCCTGGGGGGAGGGTAGGGGGAGGTGGAGGGGAGACAAAGAAGAGGGAGGGGGGTAATGAAGAACAAGTGAAGTACCGGATTCGAACGCTCCCACCTTAACCTCCTTACTCGGGGGATATGGGATTGGGACTCCAGTTGCTGCAATTCTCATTTACTTGTTCCCTCCTCCTTCCTCCCTCCCTTACCCCCACCACACCCCCAGTCACCTGCAGCGCCCTCCGAAGCGCAGTGGCACTCGGACCCCCCGCCGCTCCTCCTCCTCCGCCTCCACCTGCACCCAACCCACTGTCCACATCCATGCCATCTACATCACCACCACCACCAGCGGTGTTGGAGACGTAGATGTTGTTGTTGCTGCTGTTGTTGGCGGCTGGCGCCGACGTGTTGTTGTTGTTGTTGGTGGTGGTGGTGTCGGTGGCCAGCAGGGCCTTACGCAGCAGGGTGGCAAGGTGGGCCTCATGCGCGGAGATGAGGGAGTCCAGGTCAGCACAGGCGGCAGCACGGGCATAGAAATCCTGGAGGGGAGGATTGGGGGGGGGGGTCAAAGACCATACCGAACCATAGGAAGCCATGGGGGGGGGGGGGTAGCGGGTGAGGAGGGTCAAGGACCATACCAGGCCATCGAATGGGGGGAGGGGTTAGGAGGGTAGGAAAGAGGGAAAGAGGGGTGATTACATCCTGGCAATCCGCTGCCTTCCCAAGCCCTCTCCCTGCGTTGCAAGCCGGCATGTCACGTTGACGCCCCCATGCGCCCCCCCCCCGCTCCCTCCAACACAGCTTGCTAGTTGCCTCGTCAGTCTCCTTATTTTTTCCCCCACCTGCCACGACGCCTCCATGACCTCCCCCCTTCCGCTCCCCCACCACCTGCCACGACGCCTCCATGACCTCCCCCCTTCCGCTCCCCCCCCACCTGCCACGACGCCTCCATGACCTCCCCCCTTCCGCTCCCCCCCCCACCTGCCACGACGCCTCCATGACCTCCCCCCTTCCGCTCCCCCCCCCACCTGCCACGACGCCTCCATGACCTCCCCCCTTCCGCTCCCCCCCCCACCTGCCACGACGCCTCCATGACCTCCCCCCTTCCGCTCCCCCCCCCACCTGCCACGACGCCTCCATGACCTCCCCCCTTCCGCTCCCCCACCACCTGCCACGACGCTTCCATGACCTCCCCCTTCCGCGCCCCCCCCACCTGCCACGACGCCTCCATGACCTCGAACTGGATGTAGTACTGCAGGTTGGTGGCGAAGTGGCTCATCTCGGAGCGCAGCCGCAGCAGCAGCGCCAACACCGGCTGCACGGGATGCCCGTCTGGGTGGGGAGAGGTGGGGAGGTGGGGGGGGGCAAAGACCATGCAAAACCATAGGAAACCACAGGTTAGAGGAGGGGAGATGGGGAAGGGGGAGGACCAGCTTTCTATCCATCATGTCATAGAAGTCGACAACAGCAGCCGCAGCAGCCCCATACCCCTTCCTCTCACCTGCCCCCATCTTATCCACCATACGCTGCAACCCGCACGCCGCCACCCCCCACGTGGCCGACAGCGCATGCTCCGCACGCTTCAACCGCCACAACAGCCTCGCGAGGCGGTTGTACGACAACATCACGGTAGGGGTGAAGAGCGCGGAGAGGGGGCCGCCAGAGGTGGCGGCAACGGGAGGGGTGGCGGCGGCTCCGGAGCCTCCGCCGGCGGGCAGGCCGGCTGCTGGATTGTAGTGCAGGCTGAAGACGTCCCAGCCCACCTCGCCAGCTGGAAGGGGGGGGTGGAGGTGGTGGGGGGAGGAGGATACCCAATGTGATGAAAGGGGTTCAAAGATCACACACCAAACCACAGGAAACCACAGGTTGGGGGAGGAGGAGCAGCAGGAGATTAGGAGGGATAACGGTGTTATCGGGGCTTGAGGAGGTGATGAGGGTCATGCTGCTGTACTAACGTTGGGCTATCACCGCAAGGTCGTCCAACCAGGACTTGCATGCATGTAGTGCGCTTGTCAAATCGTCGCCCATGCCCCTCATTTAGCACCTACCCCACCATTAACCCACATAGCTTAGCACCCCACACCATCCCGCCCCGCCCCCCTCCGTCCCAGCGCCCCACATGTGCCCTTCCATCCGCTCCCTTCCTCCCACTCCCTCCCCTTCCTAGCTCCCCCCTCCAAAACCCCCCACAGCACCCCCCCCCACCCTCACCTCCCGCTGCTCGCTCCTTCCGCACCCGCAGCCTCTCCGCCAGCATCCCCATGGCAGCCGCATCCTCATCCTCCTCATCCCCTCCTGCTCCCCCTCCTGCTCCCCCTCCTCCTCCTCCACCAACCGTCCATGCAGCCTCCGCTCCCGCCCCGCCCAATCCTACCCCACGTCCCCCTCCCCCTGCTGCTGCTGCCGCGCCTCCCCCCAGTACGTTGGTTGCGGTGAGCGCCTGGCGCAGGCAGCTGCTGAGCTGCACCTCACTCACATCCCCCGCGGGCTTGTCCAGCTCACGTTGGGCCTGCATGGGGGGGAGGGTGGGCGGGAGGTTGGGTGGGTGGGGTGGGTGGGGGGGAGTGCCGGTAACTGAGCCGCGTGAGGGGGTGGGAGGCAACCCTTGTGGGCTTACACCGGTACTGCATTATCAGTGGTGTCAGGGGGAAGGAGCGGAGAGGAGAGGAGAGGAGGAGCTGGTGGATAGTACTCGTGGGAACTGGGGCCGACCGGCTGAGATTAACCGCCCCAACACCGTTCGCTCCCTGCCACCCCTCTTCCACCAGCCCTTCCCCCTACCAGGTCAATGAAGGCGGTCACCCAGTCCCCCTGCCCCCTACCAGGTCAATGAAGGCGGTCACCCAGTCCCCCTGCCCCCTACCAGGTCAATGAAGGCGGTCACCCAGTCCCCCTGCCCCAGCAGCAGGAACCTCCGGATGGCCCCCAGGTGCGCCCGCAGCCGGTGCCGCCGCCAGATGACGGCAAGCAGCCGCTCGTCAACCGAACGAACCGCCTCCGAAACCAACACCTCCAGGCCAGCAAGCTGGGGGATGAGGTGGGAATGGGGGGGGAGGGAGGGGAGGTAAGAGGAAATAACCAGCTGATAAGGCGTGTGATAAGGCGCGCCATCATGGTTTGTTTTTCATGGGGGGTGGGCGGAACGAGTAAGGCGGGACTTAGGGAGGGAGGGAGGCGGGTGGTCGCCGCAACAAGCCAACCCAGCCCTGGCCACTGGTCAGGCCCTGGTCGTCTTCCCCGTACCCCCTGCCATTACCTCCCCATTACGGCTCGTGAGTTAATTTCCCCTTAACCCTTACCTCCCCAGAACCGCTCGCCGCTGCCGCCGCCGCAGCCGCCGGCGGGCAACGAGCCCACGCCTCCGCCCGCTGCTGCACCCAGCCGCCGTCCCCGCAGGCCAGATTGAGGTAGTGGATGGCCTTGCCGGCACGCAGGATGCGTTGCGCCAGGGAGGGCCCTATGAAGGGGGGCAGCCGGGACTCATCCAGGCCGTAGCTCTGACGCCAGAGGTCCAGGGCAGGGGGGGCGCCGCCGGGGCCGCCGCCGATGCCGCCGCCACCAGCGGCGGCGGCGGTGGCGGCTGCTAGTGCGGCGGAGACGGCGGCGGCGGCTTGGTGTTGTACGACAAAGAACTCGTTGTATGGGTCGTCTAGCTCGCCTTCGAGCACCCATCGGCGGATGATGGCGTAGAGGGGCACGCAGACCTGTGTGCCGTGTGGGGTTGGGTGTAGAGGAATGGGGGCGGAGGGCAGTTGCTTGAGCGATAGTGTGCGCCTCCCTCTCCAGCCCCCTTTCTGAACAATCAAACAAGTGCTACCTTGCCCCTCTCGTCTCCACTCCCCTCCTCCCCCTTCTCTCTCTGCCACCTGCTGCTGCAGCTTCACCTTTCCTTTGCTGCACCCTCTCCCGACCCCCCTCCCTCCTCCCCAGCAACCCCTCCCTCCTCCTCCCTCCTCCCCAGCACCCCCCTTCTCCTCCCTCCTCCCCAGCAACCCCTCCCCCCTCCTCCCTGCCCACCTGTTGCAGCAGCTTCGCCGCATTGGCCGCCACAAAGGGATCCCCATGCAGGGAGTACTCGTACACCGCCCCCGCCAGCGCGCCCCCCTCCAGCCCCTCCGCCGCATCGCCCACCGCCGCCAGCAGCCGCATGCGCCGCAGCGGATCGCACAGCCAACACAGCAGCCGCCGCAGCGTCAGGTAGTGCCCGCTGGAGGAGCCGTCCGGGTCCAGGGGGTCCCCTGGGAACAAGAGGTGGAGAGGGCGGAGGGGAAGGGGCAGGAACTGGCTCAGTGATAAGGCTTCCGGCTACAGGTACCGTGGGATGCAAATATGAGGTAGCTGGCCTGACCTGCCCAGCCCAAATCAGCCAAGTCAAGCCGTGGAATGGCATGGGATGCACATCGCCGAGAAGGGGTACTGCTGCCGGCCCAGATGGGCAACCGCCCTCTTCCTCTGCTTTTCCCCTGGTGTTCAAGAAACCCCTCTACCGCGCCCACCTACCCGGTGTTGGCAGCGGCTGCCCCGCCTGCGCCTCCAGCAGCGCAAGCAGGCGGTAAAAGTCGCCCACCTCGGACGCCAGCGCGGCTCCCAGCGCCTGCCGTACACTGGCCTCACCGGGGCCCGTGCTGCTGGAGATGTGCTCGCGGACACGTCTGTGGGTGGGGGGTTTGGGGGGGGAAGGGATGCGGGTCAAAGACCATACCATACCATGCAAGCCCCCTGCCCTCCCATGCAAGCCCCCTGCCCCCCCATGCAAGCCCCCTGCCCTCCCATGCAAGCCCCCTGCCCTCCCATGCAAGCCCCCTGCCCCCCCATGCAAGCCCCCTGCCCTCCCATGCAAGCCCCCTGCCCTCCCATGCAAGCCCCCTGCCCTCCCATGCAAGCCCCCTGCCCCCCCATGCAAGCCCCCTGCCCTCCCATGCAAGCCCCCTGCCCTCCCATGCAAGCCCCCTGCCCTCCCATGCAAGCCCCCTGCCCTCCCATGCAAGCCCCCTGCCCTCCCATGCAAGCCACCCTGCCTCCCCACCAAACACATGGCCAGCTCCCCCCTCCTCCCCCCCCCACCTGAACAGCCAGCCCAGCTCCGTCAACCGCTCCACCAGCATGGCCCGGCCCGGCCCCACACCTGCGGCCACACCGCCCTCCAGCCGGAACCCCGACGTCACCTCCCGACCCCCTCCCCCTGCTGCTGCTCCTGACATGAAGGTGACGAAGCGGCCGCTCACCCCCTGCGCCGCATACAGCACGTCACGCACCAGGGAGGACTCCGAGGTGGCCTGCGGGGGGGTAAATAAGAAGTGAAGCAACGGAGTGGGGGCGGGGGTTGAGGGAGGGAATGAAGGGGTGCGGGACCTCAATAGGTGGAGCGGAAGGGTGGCAAACGGAAAGACGAGTATACCCTGCAGTGTCGTGCGTTTAGCTTCCCACCCCTCCTCACCGTGAGGGTGCCCCCAGGCGGCCCGGTGGCTAGCAGCTCGCCCCCTCCTCCGCCTCCTCCTCCAGAAGCAGCTGCAGCAGCCCCAGCTCCCCCACCTGACCCGGGAGCGATCGAGGAGCGGAGGAAGTAGTCGCCCCCCTCGTTGAGGCCGGCCTGGGAGGTTTGGGGAACAAACGGGTATGTTCAATCACCTGAAGGTTGCGTGTGTGTAAGTTGGGTGTTGGAACAAGTCCAAGGAGGACCGCACGGCAAAAGGGGGAATGCGTTGCCGTTGTTCCCCTCCTTTCCTGTTCCTGCTGCTGGCGGTGTCATGGCCCTGTGCCATGACGTCTTATCTAGTTATCCATGCGTCCCAACACCAATTCCCCCTTCCCAGTCCTGCGCATTAGGCCCATCAAGCCATCATGCACGCGGAATACATCATGCACAGGCAGTGCCAACAGCATGGCAACCGCCCTTACAACGCCTCTTGGCTCTCCCACCTACCAGCAGTGAAGCCCGGCTGAACTCCGCCGACAGCGCCGGGTCGTCCCCCATCTCGGAGGGAGTGACCACACTGGTGGGCCTTATGAGCCCCGAAACCGGGCCAGAGTACGACGTTGCCGAGATGGGTCGTGCATGCGGGTGCTGGTGGTGCTGCTGAGGACCGCCTGATGCCGGTCGTTGGGGGTGTTGTTGGGGTTGCTGGAGGGAGGGCGTGGGTCCGGGGATGTAGGTAGAGGGCAGACCACCGAGTTGCAGGGACTGCGGGTGGGGAGGTGGAAGGGAAGGGGAGGAGGGAGGAGTGAAAATGGCGTGGAAGGTCGTCGAAAGAAAGTATCCGTATGGATGCTCGTACGTTGTGCTATATGGGTTGTGCTTCTTCATGGAAGGCCCTCTTAGTAGCAGCGCACCACCTTCCTGGTCGCACCTGGGTGAGGCTGAAGGAGGCTGGAATGCGGCCGCTCGCCCCCGCACCCGCCAGCCGGCTGTCTCCCCGAAGTTGGCGAAGTAGCAGCAGCAGCGCCGTGCGAAGACGGGGATTCAGGCCGGGACGGCCTGCACCGGAGCTTAGGCGGTTGCAGAGCTCAGGAAGCCTGCAGATGGATAATGAGGGAATGGGATGAGGAGACGGGACAAAAAGGGAGAGTGGTCAAGGCTAGAAGATTTCCAAGTGTTAGTATTGTTGTCGTGTGGTGCAAGCTCTCACTTGTCCATCTTGGACTTGTCCGTGCCAGCAGCTTCAAGGTCCTTGCGCAATGCTTGTACAAGCGCAATGTCATCGCCTCCGCCCTCCAGGCTGCTGCGGGCATACATGGAGCTGCCAAGGATGCCTGACATCGTCCTGGAGAAGCAGATGCCTTTGGTTAGCAATCGTAGGCGCTGAGGGTAGGAAATGATGTTCGGTTAGTTGCAAGGCCAGCGCACCTAAGCGCGATGGCTTGCCGTCGTGGCAATTCATGCTCTGGTACCCCTGCGTTGCTTAAGTATACACCAGCAAGCTTGGCCAGAAGCCCCGGCACGTCTGCCTGCACTGCCATTTTCACAACAACAGCCGGTGGATCCGACACCAATATCAACCCCTATAATATCTTGTCGGTTGTCATCGATATGTTGTGGTTATTAAAGTAGCAAAAGAACGTAGGGTGGAAACAACGCGTGAGGGTCAAAAAGGCGCGAACCCTACTAAAAAGTTGCAATTACAATGCAGTTCCTAAGCCCTGTAAACGCTAGCATGTAGCTTGCTATGATCTGACTGCTCCTTCCTTCTTGGATTGGGAATTCGTGCGGATCCACGGCAGCCGTACCGATTGACCTCTTGTAAGCTAGGACTGTTTTCAGGCTCCCCCGTAGTACTTGAATTTCAGCATTACTTATTTTCCAAACTCTTTAAGCCAAGCAACGGAAGGAAAAGGCGTGGACATGTCGTGCTTCCAATATGGTTACAGGTGCGGGCATGGTGCATTGCTGTGTGTCCACTGCATTGTCGATTGAGCGAGCAGGGAGGCTCTTGGTATCCACGCGGTACCGTCTTCTTCCCATACACCCAGACCCTAGAACCGCAGCGGCAGATTCCATACCGGCAACTGGAAGACAGTGCCATGTGGACAACACCGTCGAAGCCACCCTTAACGACACCCGCACAGCAAAAAACTGGATTGCCAAACCGTTTACCCCATCCTCCCCTTTGCGTTTTGCCAAGTGACCGCATGCCTCGCACGCCCCCTGCTCCCTTCATCCGCTCACTCGCTCGCGCCTCTCAATCTTCTTTCACACGCTCGCTGCCAGCCACCGCACCTCCCTTACCACCATCCCCCTTCCCCCGCCCTTTCCTACGCAGCTCCAATGCCAACCGTAGCGTGCTCCTTTCCGTTCGCGCCATAAGGCCCGCCAAAGCCCCCAACAACAACACCCCCACCCCCACATGCGCAGCCGCGCGCTGCAGGAAAACACGCTGCGGCATGACCCATGGGTCGCTTGCAGCCCACGGCAGTCTCATGATCAAGCGGTTAGATGCAGCAGCAACCGCAGCGGCCGCAGCAAACGCGGCGAGTGTGGGCGGTGCCGGCAGGAGATCTCGTTGCAAGGAGAAGCTGGGAAGCGGCCGGAAGAAGCGGCGAATACACCAAGCGGAGTAAGCGATCCGCAGCAGCATGTTGACCGAATCCGCCGCCACTAGTCCCAATGCGCCGTACTGTTGTACAAGTACGACACATGCCGCCAGGTGCGCCCCACTGAACACCAGCAGCAGCATGTTGGACTGCTGCAGCCCCCGGGCGTCGAGTACGGCATGTACGAATGCCTCTCCGATACCTGTACGGCAGGGTGGAGGGAGCATGTGTCGTACATCCAGCTAGCAGGACTATACAAGGAGCACGTGTTACCTAAGATGAAGGATTACTTGTTCCCGCAAAGCCGCTTTTCAAGGAACATTTAACATTAACACAAGCATGACTATCCTGAACACACGCACCCCCCAACCTCTCAACAGCCCCAACCCTCCACCCCCACCCCAACCCCCTTACCATTCAGCGCCAGCAGCAGCACATACACACTGTACGCCGCCAGCACCCCCGGCGCCTCGCTCTCACTCCAACGGGTGCCGTACACCCCCCGCAACGCCACGTAGGCGTACGACGGACCGAAAGCCGCCGCCGCCAAGCCCAGCAGACTCACCACCTTCACCATGGGCCCTAACGCACCCGCCAGCGCCGCTAACCGCCTCCTCTCCTTCTCCCTCTTCTCCTCCGTTACCGCTGCTGTTCCTTCCCCTGCGATTTCTGCTCCGGTTGCGGCTGTGACGCCATCCTCCGTGCCGCCTCCCGCACCCCCCCCGCCGCCGCCGCCTCCCCATGTCGAAAACGCCGCAAAGGCCGCCTCCTCCAGCGGTTGGAACAGCGTTCGCACCACCAGGCTACCCAGGTTAGCCACCAGTCCGTACACACCCTGCTGCGCGGGGGACTGCAGCGCCGCCAGGACCAGGCGGGAGCCCTCCGCCAGGGCCAGCTTCTCAACCTGGCAGCAGGGGGGTTGGGGGTTGGGATCAGAGATATACCAGAACCACAAGTTAGGGCAAAGCATTGAAGGGGTTTAGGGTTTACCGGCATTGGAGCAGAGCTCCCTCCGTGCCTCTTCGTCCCTCCCCTCCTTCCCGCCCCCTCCCCTCCTCCTTAAAAAGCCATGATGACGCCTTATCAGTTATCACGCGGTCACTTAGTTGTTTCCACATTATCCCCTCCCCTCCTCCTCCCCCTCACCGCCTGCAGGGTGAAGATGGCAGAAGTGCCCAGCACCCGCCGCTCCCCGGGACTCCAGGGGGCCAGCCAGCTGCTGACACCTCCTCCTCCCCTGTCATCACTGTCACTGCTGCTGCTGCTGCCCTCCCGCCCACCGCTCCTCCCTCCTGCCCTGCCCTCCTTCTTCTCGTCCTTATCGCTGTCACTGCAGCTGCGGTTCTTCTCCTCCTCCTCATCCACCTGCTCCCTCCTCCCCCTCCTCCTCCTCCTCTCCGCCGCCAGCAGCCTCAGCCCCACCGCCCCGTACCCCGCCAGCACCACCGCCCCCAGAGCCAGCTGGGCGACACTGAACAGCAGCGCGGGGGGGAGCTGCACTGGGTGGTGGGAAGGAGGAGGAGGGTGCTGCCCTTGCTGATACCCTTGCTGCCCTTGCTGATGCAGGCTGGGGTTGCTAGCACTGCTGTTGATGCCACTGCCCCCGTTAGTGCTGCTGCGGCTGCCCCCGTTGCCGTACGCCAGCAGCAGTCCCAACGTGACGAGGCTCTTGACCAGTGTGGAGCTGAACTCCACCGCCACCCGGGCTCTGGGAAGGGGGGAGAGGGAGAGGGAGGGAGGGGGAGGGAGGGAGGGAAGGAATTGAGCAGGAAAGGAAGGGGGTGGGAAGGGAGGCAGGGGGATGGGGAGAATAGGGATATATACCTACCGGTATTCCGCATAAAGGTAGGCCAGTTGGGTTGGCGTATATTCGCAGTAGTCGTGGGTTGTTGTGTGGGGAAGGTATTCAAGGGGGAAGACGATGACGGGTAAAAGCAGTTCGAGCAACCCTGTACACCCCCCCTTTCACCACCTCCTCCCCCCCCTTCTTCCCCCCTCACCCGAACAACAGGTGTACGGACGCCAGGATGTAGAAGGGCTCCGCCAGCAGCTCCAACAGGGCCGCAATGCCTGGGGGATCGATGGGGCGATGACCGCACCAAACCATAGTAAACCACACAGGGCACAGGGCGCAGCACGACAATGGGGGTGGGAAGCGGCAGGGACATGGAGGCGACATGGGGCCGGGGGAGGGTGGTGGCGGGTAGGAGGGAGAGGTGGTGATCGGGTTGGGAATGTGGGTCAGGAGCTCAGGAGGTGTGCAAGTCGCCACAACGCAAAACGTCTGCTGCTACACTGCTTTTCCTACCGCTGTGGCTACCGACACAGCGGCGTGCGGGTGGGGGTGGGGGTGGGGACCGGTGGGTCGTTGCCGCCTGTTGCCCTGTTACCTCTCCGATCTATCCTTCCGCACCACCCCACCCTACCCACCCACGCATGCCGGGTGCGGTCTCAGCTACCGTCTACCCCTCTATCGTACCCTCCTACCCCCATGTCACATTCTACCCCTCTACCCCCCCCATGTCACCCACCATGCAGGATCACAGCCTCCCGATAGTACGGCACCTCCTCCGCTGCTCCTCCTCCTCCTCCCCCTCCTGCCGCATGTCTCCACAGCGCCAGTACGCACACCGCCGCCGTCACCCCCGCCCCCACCGGCACCACCAGACTCGCAACTCGCAGCACACGCCAGCTGGCCACACACCCTCCACCTCCCCCTCCTGCTGCTGCTCCTCCCCCTCCTGCTCCTCTTGCTGCTGCTGCTCCTCCTGCTCCGATCCCATGGCTGTTATTGGTGCTGGGGTTGTTGTCGTCCTTGTGGTTGCTGGTGCTAAGGGTGTTGCCGGGTGTGGTGGTGGTGTTATCATCCTTATCGTCGCTAGCGGCGGCTCCGGCGGCAGCAGCAGACGACCCCGCGGCTCCGAAACGGAGGCACCCGCGTCTGAAGCCCTCCCGACTGATGAAGAGCGCGGTGGTGGTGAGCAGATGGAACTGAATGGAGGCGAGCTGAGAGGAGGCAGGATGGGAGGAGGAAGAGATAAGTTCGATATGCGTTTGGGAGGGAGAGATGGGCGAAGGTGCGGTGGATGAGAGATTAAATTAACATACCCCGTAAGCTTCTGGTGACAGGTGCCGTGCGATGAGGAGGTTGATGATGAAGGTTACAAGTCGTGTGCCAATCTGCGAAGCTGGAAGGCAACACAGCGAGTAAGCGTGGTTTGGTTATAAGGTAAGCTCAGGATGCGGAAAGCGTCTTACCCAGCAACGCCAGGAAGCCTGACGCCACGACGTGTCCGCGATCAGAATCCATGTTTCTTTACCTCTTCAGAAATATGTAGGGATTGGTAGACCTTCTCCGCTAGCCTGCAACATTGCAGGCTCTGTCGATTACCAACTAGAGCTACTTGACCAAGCCACGTAGTCCATTTACGGACTACAATGTTGCACCTATACTCTATAGGACATGTATTTGAGAATGGGCAGAAATGCAGCAAGGGAGTGAACCGAGTGACAGTCGTGATGTACGTCAGTTGGCGTTGAAGCTGTCTTCAAGGATCCCGCCTGCCGCAGAGCCCTGTGTCGATAACTGCAAACCTGGATGCTTAGCATGGAAAGACGACCCAGTTTGTCATACAAGATGGAATCCTAAGCGTCGCTCGAGACCAGGACTATACGCGTACTAGCGGCCGCTATGAATGCCCCTTCTCTTACCCAACGTAGTCCTAGGCCTTTTGGACACCATTCCAGCCCGCTCATAGCCGCGGGGCGCGTGTCGCCTTCTCCCATTGCCAGGCTTGCCGGCTTTCATGCAGTCTTTGTCCACAACCATAGCTTCCGCCAGCGCCCTTGTCAGCCATCAGGCACCTGTGTGGCTGCGAAGAGACAGAACAGAGCGGCTCCGCCTCCGCCCCCGCCCTCCACCGCTACGCCATCATCAGGAGACGATGATGACGAAGCGGACCTCCCTCTCCAGTACACGAGGGATAACATCAACATCCAAGCCACAGATATGGACCTGGAGTCCATAGTGTCAAAAATCGAACGCGGTGTAATAGATTTATGTCCAGAGTGAGTGCCCTTCATAATTGTTAGGGCACATCCATGATCCATCCCCACCACAGCGCGCCCGACCCTCCTTAAACTACTATTCCAGCATCTTTCCCAAATTACCGAACCCCCATATATATCCAATTCCTTGCACGCCAGGTACCAACGCGACTTTGTGTGGGACGTCAAAAAGTGCACGGGCCTGATCAAGACCGTGTACGAAGGCCTGCCCGTACCTGCCGTGATGCTGCACATGCACTCCGTACGGGACGAGGGCGTGCGTTATGAGGTGGTAGACGGCAAGCAACGACTGATCACCCTGTACGCCTTCATGACCGGTAAGAGCAGCAAGCGACGCGGCCTTATTTTCCACACTATCATATCATTACAATGTTAACCCCAGTCCCGCACCTCTCAACGGTTATTTTGCAGTTAGCAGTTGCATGCTACCCCCATGCAGTTGATGTACGGTATCCCCCCCCCCCTCCCCGGAATGCCCCCGCTTGCTTGCATGCGTGCACGCACGCATGCATGCGTGCAGGCAAGAACAATGACTTCCCGCGCGCCCCCACGCGCCTCTCGCTGGACCCCCGCGAAGACGAGTTGGCGCCGGCGCTGCACGACCGCTCCTTCTCTGACCTCAGCCGCGAGGAGAAGAGCTACATGGGCAACTACCGGCTGCAGGTGCAGATCATTCCGCAAAACACGCCGCTGCGACTGGGTGAGGAGGGGAGGATGGAGAGGGGTTTGGGAGGGAAGGGGCTTGGGAGGAGAGGGAAGATTCAAGAAGAATACCCTATGCGTGTTGTTTAGCTGACAGGCCCTGGGAGGAAGTTGTTCCGTGAGTCGAGCCGAACTGCGGAGGGGGAGGAGAGGGGTTTGGCAGGGAAGGAGGGGTTCTGCCCTCCGCTGTACGCGCTGCGCACTTCACTTCGCAACCCACCCGGGTCTTCTCCCTCGCCCTCCCTCCCTCCCTTCCTCGCTCTCTCGCCCTCCCTCCCTCCCTCCCTCCCTTCCTCGCCCTCCCTCCCTCCCACACGCCCCCCCCAGTGTACCGCATCTATGAGAACATCAATGCGGGTGGGGCGGAGCACAGCGACCAACAGATCAGGAGGTGCGTGTGTGTGTGTGCGGGGGGGGGGGGGGGGGCAGGTGGCGCCCTTGCAATCCCCTGCCTCCTCCAACCTCCTTCACCCAGCCCCCCACCTGCTCTGTCCCCTTCCCTCCCCTCTTTTGTTTCGTGACAACCAGCCGCCCTCTAGCCCCATTGCTTTGCCCTATCCTGTGGTTTTGGTACATACCTGACCCGCCCTCTTCCCCCAGGGATTGTCAGCAACTTGTATCTTACCACACTTTGGGATTTCTTTTTCCCCCACGACCCCCAGGGCTGCCTTCTACGGTCCCTACATCCGGCTGCTGAACCACCTCGCCTCCCCCACCACACCCACCGGGGCACTGCTGCGGGAGCTGGCGGGGCTCACGGAGGAGGAACAGGTGGGGGGTAGCCATTAATGAGACGCTGACAATGCAAATGACGACCTGGTGGGGAGTGGGGGGTGGCGATTGGGTGGTTGGAGCGGTTGTGGTGGTTATGTCGGTTATGTCCCAAGCCTCTGTAGAGAAGCCCTGCTGGCCCCTGGCTGGCTGTGTGCACACCAAGACAACACTTTGTCGTGCAGCATCTTAACGCACGCGTATCATGGGTTTCATGTGACTCATGCAATTGTGTGCGTTTCTTTGCCTTCCTTTCCTCCCTCCCAGAAAGCCCAGCAGGGCGAGGAGCTCATCCTGCGGTTCTTCGCACTACGTCGGGCAGCCATACCCAGCAACAAGAGGTGCGCTGCAACGACCCGTGGGTCATAACGCATTAATTGAGGGTTCTTTCAGGTTCCTTAGTCTTAGTCTTGCATGTAGCAGAAGCCATGTGCGTTGTCACTAAGAACACCAGTAATGAGTCGTTTCTGTTGTTTTTGCTGCTGCAAGGAAGCAAAGCGAAGCAACCCAACCTGCCCATACCCTACCACCTCTTCCCTTGCGTACACACACGCATACACACACGCGCGTGCCCTCATAAGGCCCCTACCCATCTGTCTTTCCCTCCCCGCCTCCCCCCTCCCCCCTGTCAGGCCCTTCCGCACCCCCATGAAGACCTTCCTCAATGAAGAGCTCCAAACCCTAGCGCCAGTGCCATCTGGGCCGGGTGGGTCGTCATCCGGAGGGGCGCCGACCCATGGGTCACCCGGCGGCGGCGCCACCCGACGCAAGGTGGTGTGGCACCCCAGTCAGCAGGAGATGGACGACATGAGGGACGTGTTCACGGTGAGGAGCTAGCGAGGGAGTGGGGGAAGAAGGAGGAGAAGAGGGCAAGGGGAGGTGGGTGGTAGTAGGACAAGCAAGGTGGGATTGCTGCCACCAGCGCTTACGACGGCCTGGTCTGTTTCTTCCCTCCCCCTCAACTCACCCCCCCCTCACCCCCCCTCGCCCACCCCCCTTTCCTCACCCCTTCCCTCAGTCCACCCTAGAGCTCGCTGCCAGCCTCAAGCTGCGCGAGGCCGCTGAGGAGGCGCTGCGGGAGGGGGGCGGACCCAAGGGTCGGGGCTTCCGACGGGCCCCGGGCGGCGGCACCAGCGTGGTGTGGGACGTGACGCTGGTGGGGCTCAGCCTGGCGCTAGACAGGTGGGGAAGGTGGGGGGTAAAAATAAGGAAAACTGACGAACTTGATGACGAGGCTTCTCCATGGGTTGCTGATTGAACCCGGCCCATCCCACCCTACCCGTATTAGTCAAGCCAAAACAACAAATGGTCAATGGGAAGGTGGTGGGGGGGGAGTGGGGGAAGGTGGGGGGGAGTGAGATGAAAGACAGATGACGCGAGCACGCATTACCGCATCTGTTACCCGTCCCGCCCTCTTCCCGCCCTCTTCCTTCCCTCCCGCCACCACAGCTGCCCCCGCCAGGGTGTCTACACCCGCAACGCCGCCACCCTGCTGTCGCGCTACAAGTCGCTGCTACGGGGCGAGCGCTGGGCGGCTGCCAGTAGCACCCTCAGTCAGAAGAGCCTGGTGGCTCGGCTGGAGGCGTTTCGGCAGGAGGTGATTGAGCCGGCGCTGAAGGACGAGACACGCCTGCTGTGAGTGAGTTTGTGGGGGTGGGGTGTTAAGTTCAGTTAGGTTGGGTTAGGTTGGGTTGGGATGGGGTGGGGCGATGAGAGGTGGGGTTGAGGTTGGGTGGAGTGGCGGGAGGGGCCAGCAAGCTGCACCTTGTACGGCATGCCCTGTGCATGTCCCCCCCCCTGTGGAAGTGGGTATGCATACGGTATGTACGGTATGTACGGCAGCTCGCAACACACACAAGCACACACACGACGACTCCACACCTCGCACCTCGCTATACCTGCTCTACTCGAAGTCGTCGCCCCTCATCCTCTTGCAATCAATCATTGACACCGGACAAAAACACCTGCACCAATCGCCCGCAGGTCCCCAACCGCCCAGGGCCCGCGCGCCTTCAGCAAGGCTGACAAACAGGCGCTTTGGCAGCAGGGCAACAGCAGCAACCAGCAGCAAGGCAGCAGCAGCAGCAGCAGCCAGCAACAGCGGGATACCGATAACCACCCCCACCACTACCAGAACAATAGTAGCAGCAGCAGCAACAACAACGGTGGCAGTAGCAAGCAGCAAAACAGCAACGGCTACAATGACCATAGCACTAGCAGCAGCAGCAGCACCAACAGCATCCTGGATACCGGCAGCAGCGTGCAAACTGGCGACAACGGAGGCAGTGATGACGGCGCCAACGGCAGCAACGGTGCTAACCCAACTGCATTTAGCAACACCACCAGCAGCAGCAGCACTAACAATAACAGCAGCAGCAGCAGCAGCAGCACTAACAATAACAGCAGCACTAACAATAACAGCAGCACCAGCACCAGCACCAGCACCAGCAGCAGCACCAGCCCCTACCCCACATGCACCTGGTGTGGCAAACCCATCATCCACATATCGCATGCGGAGGTGGACCACGTACTGCCGTACTCCCGCGGCGGGGCAACCGTACGGAGTAACGGTCAACTACTACACCGCATCTGCAACCGGGAGCGAGGGGCACGGCCCATGACAGCAGGGCCGGCGGCGAGAGCAGCAGCAGCAGCTGCTGCAGCAGCTGCTGCGACGGCGGTGGCTGCTAGTATGGTTACGGGCGCGGCGGGTAATGGCATTGGGCATGGGGGAGAGGGTGAGGGTGCATGGTAGGTATGTAGCCGGGCGGTCCCCGGTCGGGCTGGTCAATTGGCGTGACCGTTGGTTTTGTTGCTTGGTGCGTCGGGCATGTCTTCGGACACACAGCTTGGCAAGTAGGATTAGGGCAGCAGTGGATAGTGAAGAGGGGTTAATGGAACGGGGGAAGCTGAGGAAGGGCCGTCGCCAGCAGGAGTGGTGGCGGCGGCAATGCATGGTTTAGTTTAGGGGTAGCCCGGTTCGTACTGGACCTGTTTTGGATTCCGGGCCGGTACATTGTTGCGTTGGAAAGGCAGCAACGACCCATGGGCCGGAACGCCAGATTACAGCGCTGATGGCCCTTGGAGTAAGGTGTGGGTAGTCCTGTTAGCTTTATCCTTGGTAAGTAACGTTCAGGAGCTAGCTGCTTCGGTTCATATACCTTGGGTGTATGTATACGTTACTCGCGGCACGGTACAAAGCATGTAGAAGGCTGTTGAGTTGTGAAGCCGCAAGTTGGTTCCTAATACAGGCTAATTGAAACAATGGCTCCGCCTTGACTTTGTTGATAAATGTTGCGTCTCGTTGGGTGCGCGTTCGCCTGATGGCGAGGACCAAATGGAAAACTGGCAGGTTAGGTATTGCTTAATGTTGGCTCTAATTTTTTCAGATATAAATGCTGAGCATATACAACGGGTTTAGCTCGAAATACGTTTATCAGGAGCGCCCGCTGCGGCCCGCAGCTTTCTGCCGTACAGGTTCCAGCCGTGGGTTATCGGCTTCCAGAGACCCACATTCAAGCGGGAGCGGCGCTGCGTATATGTCTTGAACGCGTGTGTCGCCACTGTTTTAAACAGCTGTTTGCGTTGCAGCTTGCCTTAACAACGGTCAACCCGGCGAGACAGGGCTATCGCGTTTCGCACAGTTCGCGTACCTCGCACAGTTGTGAACCCTATTTAGCACTGCACAGAGGTATTGGGGGCGGAGGTGGCTCTCCAGACGTTTCGGTCACCACATACCACAATGTCTCGTTATTGTCAGAACCTTGCGCTTTTAGTTATTCTAGGAACAGTGCTATGCTCAACTGGAGTCTATTGCCAGGAGCAGCGCTCTGGTAGCCAGGACGGTGGCTTCATCCTGGGTGCACAGGAACACCCTGGCAATCGCGCAGCGCGCAATTTACAGCAGAACACTGCAGCGCTGCAACTGCTTAATGGTGCAAGCAGCTGCATTTGGGACGGCGTGCAATGCGCCATCAACAGGAACTATGTCGGAAAGCTGGTTCCAATGCTATCCAGCTCTTACCCGCCAACGACGGAGAGTGCCAAGTAAGTCCCAATATGATGCCCAACTCATTTGGGTCTCACATTGCGCCGATGAGGGACCCCGCCCGGTTCCACTACCCCAACCGTCGGCTTCTTCCTCAATCCTAAATCGCGCCCACACCGTTCGCATTTCCTCCTCATCCTGCTCGCCCTTACCCAAGCAAAAGAAAAGAAAAGAAAAGAAAAAACGCTTACTATATCAATGTTCTCTACAACTTGTGCCTTTGCTAGCTTCGACGTCAGAACATACCAACTTATTGCGCCCCAACTGACGCCATTCATGGCTCCTCTGCAGGACCCTGGTAGATGCTTCGCTTCGCTGCGCCCTTTGCGCCAACTACACCGGCAAACCGGAGTGCCTCGCCGCTGCCACCGAGCACGGCTGCACCTGGGATGACATCACGAGCAGCTGCGGTTTGGACCGCCTGGTCGATCCCAATGTAAGCACCATCTTCACCGCATGTTGAGCATACGCGCGCACTGCACCGCACGCGCAGCAGCAAGTGTAGAACTCTCATATGTATTGCATCTATTCATAGCCCACATAAACAAGCCCACATAAACAAAAAAAACAGCATCGCCATCAACCCCCTCACGACTTGAACACATTTCCCTTCCCCCTTCCGCAGGCCCTTAGCGGCGTTGCCTACTGCCCTGGCAGCCGCATGGACCTCCTGGTGAAGTGCGCCGCACTTACCCCCAGCGGCATTAATGCCTGCTTCTCCAGCTCCTACGGCTGCAGCATGATCTCAGGCGCAATGCTTGGCGATAGCGGCAGCAGCAGCAGCTCGGCTCCGGGGCTGGGCGGCAAGGTGTGGAACATGATTGCTGGCGCTCTTTCATCAGTCGTCAAGCCTGGAGTCCTGGGTGAGTGAAACGTGATCTGGGTTTGGGTGAGAGGGGCTTTGCAAAGGTAGTAGTAGTTGGTGTTGCTGATGACGATTAGGGGATCCTTCTCCTTCCCCGAGTTCCCCGGGATCGTTTGCCACTGCCACACCACACATTGGATATTCTTTTTTCCCCGGGTCTCTCCTTCCCCCTAACGCCCGGGTCTCTCCTCCCTGCCATGCACGCAGATGCCGTACCCATGGTTTCACAGCTGTACAACACGCTGATGCAGTCCGCGGGCGGGCTGGTGGTAAACACCATAAACAGCCAGCAGGTGGGGCTGGGAATGGGCAGGCAGCAGGGTTGACGGTCTATGAGTTGACTACTGAGATCAGTTGTTGCCGATAATTTAATCGCTTGCCGGTATCCAGTTTTATCTCTCTTGGCCCTGTAAGGGTGGACCCTTTTTTCTTGCTTCCTGGAACCCCAACAATGTGAGTGTGTTGTAGAGAGAGAAAACTGGCTGCGAAAACTGGCCAATTGGGGCGCGCATGTGTGGTGCTAAGAAAACTGGCCGCGCATGTGCGTACTTGTGTGTCCCCACCGCTGCAGGTTTGCGTGGCCAACTGGCTGCTGGAGCAATCCGCCATGGAGGCGATGTCACAGATGATAACGCACGCGGTCGAGGTAGGTGCGGGGGATGGGGGGTCTTGCGTGTGTTATAATAACTGGCCGCGAGGAGAAACGTAACCATGCCGACCTCACCAAACCCCCACCCCGCCACCGTCCAACCACTGCACTGCTCCCCTCACTTTGTATCGACCTGCCGCCTCCTATCCCTATTGCCCTGCCCTAACCTGTGGCTTCCCCATGGTTTGGCTAACCTGTCCTTTGCCCCCGCCCCCACCCGTCTTTAGCTGTCATTTCACTGACACCGCATGTTTTGCACCCCCTGCATATCTAGATCATAATACCCATACTGCGCTTGCGCTAAATTAAGCATGCTCGTCCCATGCCGTACTTCGCATCGCCGCCTTTCGCATAAATACTAACTCTCGGCATAGTCCCGTCTCTTTCATCATGATAAGCCAGCCATCTTCATCGTCATACAGCCTGCGTCGATATACAGCGCAGCTCGCAGCACCAGCACAGGGACGCATGCCTGCCTTCTGTTCGCTCCTCGCGCCGCCTTCTTGTGTCTCTGGACGCTTTTCGCTCAGTATTAACGAAATTCGGTACGTCTTCGTTGCACAATTTTCCCTTGCTACGCAGGTCAGTCGGGTTCGGTCGTGGGTGGGCTGGGCTAAAGTTCGACCCAGGGGTCACTTGCGCGGGCGGGCGGGTGGGATGTTTAGGTGCACACAGCCGCATACCAGCCACAGCTTACAGCGCATTTGCGCACAGCAATGCAGTGGAGCTCAGACGCCAGCTTATAGCTCGTCAGGAATTCGTCCAATGATATGATCTCAGCACAGCCGCCAGCTCATGGAGCTTTATCACGGTTTGTACTTTGTGTGCTGCTACTAACCCAACGATGCGCAATCCTTAAATCCAGCCTAAGGCGGATTACGTCTCCAAATTAAACCCCCACCCGTCCAGACGGACCAAGACCTGCTCACCACCATGATGACTTCCGGCCTCATGGGCAACTGCAACATCACGAACCCCCTCAAGGAAATGATCATGGCCTGCCCGACCGCAACCGATTCCGCCACTTGCAGCGCCCTAAACGGCTGCAAATGGATTACCGTACAGTCCACGGGCGGTGCCACCGTTAGCAGCTGCGCCGTGGGGCCCAACATGCTTCAGGCGCTGCTTTTGGACCCGAATGACCCATGGGTCGCTGCGCTGGACAATGCAACCCGCACCTGCCAAGCGATTGTGAATGCTAGCACGTGCTTGGCGGCGGAGCCTGAGAATGATGCGATCGATGTGTTTAACGCGACCGTCATTGAGAACGCAGTTTACAGCGCAACTTACAGCTATAACTCTACTTATAACTCTACTCGTAACTCTACTTATTACTCTACTTATAACTCTACTTACAACTCTACTTATAACTCTACTCGTAACTCTACTTATTCTTCAAATGGTAGTGCTGGTGGCGTTATCTCTCGTAACAGTTCAGTGGTGAACTGGGTGAACAGTTCAGTGGTCGACTGGGCGAACACCATGTATGAGAGCGGCTGGGACAGCAGCAATGCGACGGGAGGGGCGCCCGTGCCCTCTGCGCTTTGGTCGATGATGCTGGGCGCGATCCTGGCGCTGATGTGGGGTGTTGTGCGTTGGTGAGGGGCTGGGGTCGTGGGTGACGTTTTCTGAGGTGGTGGGATAAAGAGGAAACAACTAACTGACTGAGGGATAAGGCGTCAACATGGGTTGCAACATGTGAGCCAGCCCGACCCGCCCAACCCGAATTAGTGAAGCCAGTACGTGCACCATCTGAGGTGGTGAGATAGTGCTTTTAAGCTGTGCTAGGTTTGGTATTACTGCCTGGAACTTGTTCATTACGGTTTATGGGAAGCGAGAGCTCCGTGCGTGATCACCCTGTGTTGTGTATTCTTTCCCTTTTGGTGCATTGCGGCAGCGTTGTTGTTAATGTCGTTGCAGGCGCGCCGATCGCTGTTGCCGTTGTTGGTGATGGTTGCGGTGGTTGCGGTTGTCCGGCAAAGCGGGGTTACATGGGCAGTTGAATGGGCAGTTGAAGCTTCAACAAGAAGCGAGGTGGGAAGTTGATACATACCTTTGGGTGCCGTACCATGGGATACGACTAGATGTTGCTACCGCACATGCGTGACCCACAAACTCGATTTCTTAATACTCGTGTACTTCAATTGCAGTGTTGCGCGTAGTTGCGAAGGTTAAGGAGGGTGGGATACACTCCCTCGCTTTCCGCCGGACAGTAAACGTCCTGAGTATGTCCCGAGTACATGCGGAGATCCGGAAAGGACGACAGGAGGAGCACTTGCCGGAGGAGGAGGAAGAGCATGAAAGGCAACCCTTTATAAACTTAGTATATTACTGCCTGCTGTGTTTGATAAGAGCGAGAGCGCTGCGATCCGCTTTCTGTTGTGATACCAACGGTTATGTGTCTCCAAAAAATCCAAAAAGAGTTGGTAGTAATTGTTTACGAGAGCACTGTTCCCCCAGTGTGATTCATCTTTCCTTCCGCGGCCCCCCATGTATCATGTTGGAATTCCCGTACTGCCGAGTATGGGGGTGGGCTAACCCCTGGTTCCCTCTTATGCATTTAGGAATCCCGTTGGTGTTCTCGTTCTGAAGGCTGAGAAGTTAAGCTCAGTTGTAATGATTGGCTAGAGGTACTAACATAGCCGACTAGAATAAATTCAGTTCTTCGTTTGCAAATTGCTCGGGGTTTGGTGCGCGACGAAAGAAGTTGCTCAAGCAGAGGTACTGCGAAGCCTGGCCAAGATGCTGTGGCTGTGGCCAAGCAAGTTGCCCAGTTCTCAACCCCGCCTTCATCCTTTGTAACCCATGTACATGTGTTTTCATAAACCCATGTACGGCACTTCCTCTTGATGTACGATACATCATCTTGCTGATTGGAGGCGTGTCTCTTTCTTTCGCGCTGTGTGTGTTGTGCTGTGAAGTGGAGGAGACTGCATGACATGGAACCCTGTTTTTGACAGAAATCCCTATTCAAATGCGGAGACCTTCTCTCCATTCCTGTTTGTGTCGCTGCTGTTGCATTTGAGTATAAAACTGTGGACACGTTACGACTGCTGCCCAGCAGTCGGTTGCCTCAAGCCTCGAGTTCCAAGCCCACACCCCGCCACCCGGTGCATCGTATATACCGGTGGAAGGAACTGCAAGGAGGGGTATGTACAGCAGGTTATATTTCCTGTAGCACTTCTGCCCTGAATCGCCACAAACAACAAGCAAATAAAGACCAAGGACTAGCGCAGCAGGGAAAACCAACTGCAGCGCCCCTCCACTCCTCTTCCGCCTGAGTCCCTTCCGGCCTGGCCACAAGAACTAACCACAACGCAGTATAGCCCCCTTAACTATTACGACTACCGTATTAGAGACAGTAGGGGCGCAAGGACGTATAGCCCCCTTAACCACCACACATAGTAGTAAGGGCGTAAGGACCCGTATGCCATGTGTGTCGTACACGTACCGGCAACGTCGTATCAGCAGCAGCGCCGTCATCATAGCGCTCCATCCGCCACCGCTGTTTACCCTTTTGCCCCGACACACACTTGGTGCTTCACTAATCCCCTTTTCCCCTCCCCTCCTCCTATCCTCCCACTATCCTCCACCATTCCCACTCCTACAATAACAACAAGAAGCGCCGATAACGCGTTACGCCACAAAGACACACCGCTGTGCTCCCATAGCGTTTCTGTGGGGGCTTCATCGCCTGGCAATCACAGTACGTCCCGACTCGCGGCCGGGCTCCTGAAAAACACACACCGCTACACAGCCCTCACCCCCAGCTCCCCAACGCACACCCCTCAGACGCTGCCCTCCCTCCCGGCCCCCAACTAATACATGGGCCCATTCGGGTGCTGCATCACCCCCTGCCCCTGCCCTCCCTGCCCCGGCTGCTGCTGCCGTTGCTGATGCAGCTGATGCAAGGCATACGGAATCCCCACCCCCTGCTGCTGCTGCCCTCCCTGCCCCTGCCCCCCCTGCTGTGGCTGTGAGGGAATCTGCAGCAACGATGGCGTAGCTCGTCCGTTAGCATCCGCTGCCGCCGCTGCTGCGGCCGCTGCAACCACCACCCCTCCTCCCAGCTGCTGCTGCCCCTGCTGCATGCCTTGCCCCTGCATCCCCTGCTGCTGCCCCTGTCCCTGTCCGCTCCCTGCTTGTCCCCGCATCAGCAGCTGGGTCAAGGTGCCCGGCGCCGCCCGCTCCCCCAGCACCAGCATCTCCGCCAGCGTGGCCTGCCACTCGAAGTCCGCAAGCAGCTCCTCCAGGGTGGTGTGGATCCTGGGAGGAGGGGGAGGAGGCGAGGGCAGGGAGGGAGAGAAAGAGAGGGCATGCTTGTGGGGTATAATGTATAATAGGGGAACGGGAGGGTATATAAGTGAAAAGTGAAGCAACGGAATCCCAATCCCGAAGGGGAATGGGAGGGTATATGGGCTTGATTGTTGGGTAACCAGCTGTGGGCCGCGAGTGAAGCCCCCATGGTCGTATCAGAAACCTCATTGGGAACTTCCCGAGCCCTCCTCCTTACCACCCGCACACCCTCGGCCACCCTACCCATACTCCGCACCCACACACTCCGCACCCACACCCCGCCGTGCCCCACCCCACCCCGCATAGAGCTTCTCATAGAGCTCCTCAGTTTCCTCCTTTTTAACCTACACACCCTCACCCCATCGCTCCACGCACGGGTCTTCGTCCCCACCCCCCCACCCCACCCCACCTGAACCTCCAGTAGTGTTTAGACACGGTGGGGTCGTTGATGCACTCCTCCTCCGCCGGCCGCCCGGCTGCCAGCTCCGCACTGAGGGCCATCAGGTCCTGGAGCGGAGCAGGGGGTAGGGGGAAGGGGGGGAAATACAGGGGGGGAAGGGGAGAGGGAAGGAAGCAGTCCATATGGGGGTTGAATGATCATGGCAAACTACATAACCTGTGCCCGGACAGCTGGCGGTTTCCGAAGGAACGGCTTGGTCCCCCCCCCCGCATTCCCCCTTCCTCCCTTCCTCTCCAGCGTTTCCGCGGCTCAGTTTATCTAATCCCAAGTGTCTCCACGGCTCAGTTTGCCTAATCCCCCCCCCGCTGCTACCTGCAGCGGGAACACCGCCAGCATTGCCCCGCAGTTTATGTGTTGCTGCAGCACTGCCCGCACCACCACGGGGGTGCAGGCGGGGGGCGGCGGGCCGCACCCGCCCAGCTGCTGGTAGTAGAAGCGCTCGGCGCGCTCGGGGTCGGACTCGAACCTGGGAGGTTTGGGGGCGGCGGGGGGGGGGGGGGAGAGAAGAGGAAACAACTAACTCCGCCGTGTAATAGGCCAAGGGTCTGTCTGGCCGTGGGAGGGAGGTGGGGGAGGTGTGAGATGGTACGGTAGCTGAGTGAGCTGGTCTTTCCGATTTCCCTTCGCCCTTTACCCCGCTCAAGCCCCCCCTCCCCTTACCAAGCCCGCAGTGGTGTCACGTCGTGGCAGGAGGGGGACGCCACGGTGAGGTACGGGTAGCTGGCGGGCGTGTTGAACTCCTGGCCGGGCTCCGAAGCCATGCGCTGGATGCGCAGACCCAGAAGACCCAGCTCCTGTGTGTGTGTGTGTGTGTGTGTGTTTTGGGGGCAGTGGAGGGCGGGGGGTGTGGTGGGGTGGGGATGTGAGAATAGGAAGAGGCACCCCCCCCATACACACACACGCACCTTCATGACGGGCGGCACGCATGCCGGCACGAACCCCAGGTCCTTCACCCTCCCTTCCCCCCTCTCCCCCTGCTCCCCCCCATACACACACACACGCACCGCCTCGCGGCCAGTTATTTTAACACACGCACCTTCATGACGGGCGGCACGCATGCCGGCACGAACCCCAGGTCCTTCACCCTCCCTTCCCCCCCTCTCCCCCTGCTCCCCCCCATACACACACACGCACCTTCATGACGGGCGGCACGCATGCCGGCACGCATGCCGGCACGCATGCCGGCACGAACCCCAGGCCCCCCCTCCCTTCCCCCCTGCTCCCCCCCACTCCCCATACACACACGCACCTTCATGACGGGCGGCACGCATGCCGGCACGAACCCCAGGTCCTTCACCCTCCCCCCCCCCCTCTCCCCCTGCTCCCCCCCATACACACACACGCACCTTCATGACGGGCGGCACGCATGCCGGCACGAACCCCAGGTCCTCCCCGCACACCAGCATGTTCGAGGCGGCCTGCAGCGCGGGAAGCTTGGACAGGGCGCTGGCCCGCCACAACTCCTCCTGGCGCCTGAAGGAAGGGAGGGGTTTGGGTTTAGTTTCTTTCACTTCCTCTTACAACTCCCATCGTCTCCCCCACCTTCTCCCCACTCTCCCCCCGCCAGTTTCGTCCTCGTTACCCCCTTCCCCCACCCCACCCCACCACATGGGGTATTCTTCTTCCCCCCCCACCTGTAGTAGTAGTCGTCATGCAGCCCCCTCAGTGCCGCCTTCCAGGGCCCCGGCAGGGCGGCGTAGCTGCTAGTGGTCATCAGGTTGAACCTGGGCGGGAAGGGGGAAGGGGAAGAGGGGAAAGCCTATCGCATTGTATGTATCCGGAATTGCAATGCACCGAACCACAAAAGCAGCGCCTAACTCCCATGTGCAGGTACGGTATCACAACATGGCCCCCCCTCACGGCGGGTGGAAGGTCTACGGGTCCTCGGGGCCCGCCACCAGCACCACATTCCCATAACACCCACGCATACCCCCCTTGCAAAACACCCCATGCATTCCCCCCTTGTCTTCCCATAATCTCCCCTGCCCCCCCCCTCACACATGGTCAGTTAGATGTTTCCTCTTTACCCCACACACACCCACATGCAGTGAGGCTTCCCGCGGGTGGAAGGCCTCCGGGTCCTCAACGAGCACCCCCTTCCCATACACCCCTTATAAAACCCCCATGCAACCCTGACCTTCCCCTCCCCCCTCTCTTACCGCGGGTGGAAGGCCTCCGGGTCCTCAACGAGCACCCCCTTCCCATACACCCCTTATAAAACCCCCATGCAACCCTGACCTTCCCCTCCCCCCTCTTACCGCGGGTGGAACGCCTCCGGGTCCTCCGGGTCCGCTATGAGCACCACGTTTTGCCGCAGCGCCAGCAGCCCCGCGCGCGTGGCCTCCACCTCCGCCACCAGCCAGGGGGGCGAGTCGGGGCGCAGCGGGATGGAGGCTATGGACGACTCGCTGGAGTAGGCGGGGCGGAACCTGGATTGGGGGGGGGAGGGGGGGAAGGGGGGGAAGGGAGGGGGAAAGAATACCCTATGTGTGTTTTGATAGTGGTAAACCAGCCCTGGGAGGAAGGGAGAAAGAATAAATGAGAGGTGCATCAACTGGGGGGGGGAGAGGGAGGGGGAGCGGAGAAGATAAGGAAGCGGATGGGGAAACGGACGGGCTGTATGACATGTAGGCTTCACCGTGGGGTGCAAATATGCGAGAGGGGAGAGAGGGGGAATAGGGAATTGAAATTGATCCGCACCCTGCCTTCCTCTTCCCCTCCCCCCCATGCAAGTTATGTGGCCCAACCTCCAATTCCCTGCCCCAAAACACACACTCACTTGTAGCGCTTCCCCCCCTTGCCCCCCTCTCCCAGCTCGCTCATCTCCAGCAAGTAGCTCGCCGCGACCGCCTCGGCGCGATCCGGCCCGAAGATCTGTCGTACAAGAGCATCCGTGATGTACGGCATGGTTAGGCGCTGTACGTCCCACACGCCGCGTTGTTCGAGTTCGGAGCGCGTGAGGGGGCGGGCGGGGCGGAAATACCCCAACAGGCCTGGAGGGGGGGTGAGGGGGGAGAGAGGGAGGGAAGGGAAAGGGAGGGTTTGGAGCGAAAAAGCGGGGCGAGTGGAGGAGAGAGGATGGCGGGCAGACAGGACGGAGGTAACCCAGCAGGTCTCCCCTCCCCACCTGCCGTACAGTCCCCTCCCCACCTGTCGTACAGTCCCCTCCCCACCTGTCGTACAGTCCCCTCCCCACCTGTCATACAGTCCCCTCCCCACCTGACGTACAGTCCCCTCCCCACCTGTCGTACAGTCCCCTCCCCACCTGTCGTACAATCCCCCCTCTCTCTCCCACCTGTCGTACAATCTCCCGGCACCTCCCAGATCCTGAAGAACCCCAGCACATGGTCAATGCGGTACGCGGTGAAGTACTGTGCCAGGTGCTGCAGCCGCGAGCGCCACCAGCGGTAGTCCTCCGCCGCCATGGCAGCCCAGTCGTAGGTGGGGAAGCCCCAGTTCTGGCCTGAGGGGGGGAGACCCATGGGTCGGGATGGCTCCATGCAGCCCCTAGCCCCTACCAGTGTGCGAGAGGCAACACTGCCCATTGCTTAACTAACAATCCACCATCTTGATTATCCTTCTTCCTTTGTGTAGCCCTCTCCTACAGCCCCATGCAGCTCCTGAACCCCCTACCCTTAGGTCAAAACGCGTCCGGCGGGGCACCCCGTGCGTGGTTGCACTCCGCCCACCCCTCTCCTTAATTCCCCCCTCCCCCACGCCTCCAAGACTCCAGTTTTGCTTCAATTTCCACATTCTTCGCCTCGTACCCGTGGGTGAAAACGCATCTGGGGGCGCCCCCGTGCTCTTGTCCATGCGGAAGAGGTGCGGGTGGCGCCAGCAGTCCACGGAGCGCTTGTCCACACCGATGGGCAGGTCGCCCTTCAGTACGACACGCTTGGAGGCGGCGTAGCGGGAGGCCTTATGGATGGGTGGGGGGGGAGGAGGGAGGGGGAGAGGGTTAGTGTGTGTTTTGTGCACACCGATGGGCAGGTCGCCCTTCAGTACGACACGCTTGGAGGCGGCGTAGCGGGAGGCCTTATGGATGGGTGGGGGGGGAGGAGGGAGGGGGAGAGGGTTAGTGTGTGTTTTGTGCACACCGATGGGCAGGTCGCCCTTCAGTACGACACGCTTGGAGGCGGCGTAGCGGGAGGCCTTATGGATGGGTGGGGGGGGAGGAGGGAGGGGGAGAGGGTTAGTGTGTGTTTTGTGCACACCGATGGGCAGGTCGCCCTTCAGTACGACACGCTTGGAGGCGGCGTAGCGGGAGGCCTTATGGATGGGTGGGGGGGGAGGAGGGAGGGGGAGAGGGTTAGTGTGTGTTTTGTGCACACCGATGGGCAGGTCGCCCTTCAGTACGACACGCTTGGAGGCGGCGTAGCGGGAGGCCTTATGAGGGGGGAAAAGTGAGCAGTGGGGGCAGGGAGGGGGAGGAGTGGGGGAAAGATGAGAGGAAGCAGAAGGGGGGAGGACTGATACTCCCACTACCCCCCTCCCGGGCCGGGTTAGGCTAGCAACCCATGGTGAAGCCTCGTAGGTTTCCTAATGTTTTAACCCCTCCCCCCTCCACACACACACACCCTGCCCCCCTCACCCTGCTCAGCTGCCGGTGCAGGTGGTATTGCACGTAGTAGGTCAGCTGGATGCGCGGGAAGAACTCGCCACCGGGCCGCGTGAGCCGCTCCACCACCTCGTCCGTGCCGCGGGACAGACAACCCCACTGCCAGTGCTCCGAGGTCTGTTTGGGGGGGGGGGGAGGAGATGAGGGGGAGGGGTTAAGAGGAAGAAGGGGAGGGGGGAGGGAAGGAAGGAAGAGGCACAATTCGTTCAGCAAACCCGTGCGGTCTGCCGCAATGAAACCGAACCCTATAGCTACAAGTGCGCAACACTACATAGGATACCAGGTTCCGTCCTCCCACCCACCTGCAACCTGTGGTGTGCTTACCACTATCACACCACACATTAAATCTGTTACCCACCTGCAAAATGTGGGAGAAGTCCCTACTTTTTCCCACATGGTTTCATATGGTTTGGTCTAATGTGACACCCCACCTGGAAGATGTCCCGCAGGAAGCAGAACGCCGCGTAGGGTTTGAGCCAGGACGCGTTTGCCTCGAACCAGGCGTTGAAGGCGGGCGACTGCAGGGTGGCCTTGCCGTACCGGTCGTATACCTGGGACAGCGGGATGGGGGGGACATGAGGGGGGGGGATGTAAGAAGTGCAACAACTAGAGTCCCAATCCCATATCCCGACTCATGCAGTGAGCGGGGGGTGGGGCATGGGGGGGGGCATATGAAGGGGGGGGGAGCGGGGGGTCATACAGCTCGTCAGTTTCCTCTTCCCCCCGCGAATGCGCTCTTCTCCCTCCAAGACCCCCAGCCTCCCTCGCCTCCACGCTTCCCCCCCACCCTGTTTCTTCTCTGTTTCCCTCCCCTCACCTACCTAGTCGTTTCCTCATTACCCCCTTCCCTACCTTCTTCACGAATGCGTTTTTGAACGCCAGCGTGGCCTCGTAGTCGAGCTGCGGGCGGTCCAGCTCACAGCGCGCGGAGTGGAGCTGGTGGGGGAGGGGAAGGGGGGGGGCAGGATATAGGAAGGCAGAGAAGAGGGCAGAGGTGCGCTAGGTAGGGTCATCCATCCTAGGTGGGATGAAGTGCCCCCCTCCCATTTCCCCTTCCCTCCCTCCCTCCTCCCTCCTACGTAGCTGCTTCCACTACTGACTCTCTTCGCAACACTATCTATTATGCACTTATATATTATTTCCCCCCCCCCTCCCCCCCTCCCCGCCCCCACCTCCGACGCCAGGTCATGCGGCAGCTCCTGCCCCTCCTCCCCCAGCAGCTCCCGCAGCGCCAGGTACTGCGGGTGGAGCGCGTGTACGGAAAGGGTCGAGTACGGGTACGAGTCCCACCAGGTGCCGTACACGCAGGTGTCGTTGACGGGCAGCAGCTGGATCAGGCGGAGACCGCACCTGAGGGGATTGGTGGGGGGTGGGTGGGGATGGAGGTTTGAGGAGGCGCTGAGGTCGGGATGGAGGATGAGGTGTGTGTTAAAATAACTGGTGTGTGTGTGTGGGGGGGTTCAGGGCTGTGCTCAGCTTGCATGATGCACCAGTCGCCCCGACCCATGGGCCTCTCTCGCCCTCCCCCACACTTCTCCGCGCCCACTTGTCCGCCAGGTCCCGATCATCACCCTTGCCTCCCTAAACCGTCATCCCCAATTCCCCATGCCCGACCCATGGGTCTCTCCCCCCTCCCCCCACCCACTTGTCCGCCAGGTCCACCAGGGGCAGCAGGTCAAGGAACTCGCCCCCCCCCACCGACTGGGCGGTGCGCAGCGAGAACACGGGCACTGCCACGCCCGCACCGCGCCAGTGCCGGTCGCGTCTGGGGGGAAAGGGGGGTTTCGGGGAGGAGGGGTTAGGAGGGGAGCGGTTGGGTCGGGGTGGAGGATGGGGTAAGGAGGTAGAAATGGACAAGCAGTAACTGACCAGAGAGTGGGGCGCAGGGGGGAACACACACACCCCTGCCTCGGGGCCAGCTGTCTTAAGACACACACCCCTACTCGGGGCCAGCCTTCTTCCCACCCACCCACCCCCCCACCCACCTGAAGTACCCGTCGTGCCGCACCATGACGGTGGGTGCCCCGAAGGATGCGGCGGAGGGCAGGCAGGCCAGCCGGGGTTCACCCACCTGGCAGAGGGGGGAGGGGGGGAGGGGGGGGTAGGCGGAGGTGGCAGGAGGTGGGAGGGCATCAATATAAGCTCCCTGCCGTAAACCCAGATTAACGGCCTCCTGGTCCCCTCCCTCCCCCCCTTGCCCCCACCCACTCAAAGCCTTGCCAGACTGATAGTTAGTTTGTTAGTTTCTTCCTCTCCACTCACCTCTTCCCCGCCCTGCTCACCCCCTTCCCCCCATCACGCTTGCTGCATGAGTCGGGATACGGGATTGGGACTCTGTATGTTGCACTTATTTTATATTTCTCCCCCCATCACCCCTCCCCACCTCCAGTATGACCCCCTCCGCCGTCTGAATGCCGTACTTGTACGTGAAGGGGAAGCAGCTGTACGGCACCCGCAACTCAGCCTCCCAGAAGGGGGTGTGAGTCTCTGTTTGGGAGGGAGAGGGTGGGGGACGGTGGGTTTTATCACGGTTAACAGAGGCCCAAAGGGGACTAAAGGACCCACGCCCATACTAGCCCTCTCCCTCCCTCCCACCTGCCCCTTCGCGGTCTGTGTTTCCTCGCGGCTCAGTTCATCTAATCCCTTCCACCTGTCCCTCCCTCCCCCCCCACCTGCCTCTGCTACCCCCCCCCCCCCACCTGTGAGCCTCATCATCTGGTCGGTCTGCCAGTTTCCCAGCTGCGGAATGCCCCCGGTCACCAGAAGCACCTCCCCGCTCTCAAGCTGGAAGTCACCCACCTGCATGGAGGGGGGGGAGGGAGGGGTTGGGGGGTTGGGGAGGAGGGGGGGAGCCATCAGCAATGTGAGGGAAGAAACGCTGCTGCTGCTGCTGCATAGAGCGACGGGGCCTCAGGCAAGAGCGGATAGCATGGGAAGAAGGCGGCCTCTGCGCCTCCTCCAGCTCCTCCTCCTCCTGCTCCTCATACCTCCCGCTCCCCTCCCCTGCCCCACCTCTAGCCGCACCACCGTCTCCCCAGCCGCCGGGCGACACAGCTGCTGCGGCGGCAGGCCCCCGCTGCACACCAGCGGCTTGTGCAGGAACAACACCTGGCGGAGGGAGGAGGGGGGAGAGGAGGAGGAGGAAAGGGGCAGGAGGAGGAGGAGGGGCGGGAGGGAGGGAGGATGGGGGCGGGAGGATGGGGTTCACGGTGATGATGATGGTGGTGTGTTAGTAAGGTGAGGCAACATCGCCTGCAGCACAATGCGCATGGCCCCACATGAGAGGAGGCGGCACAACACACTGACCTGCCCCAAGCCCCCCCCCTCAAGTGTAGTAGACCCGCACATGACCCAGATGGGAACGCATGAGGGGAAAGGGTCTTGGGGTTTCAACCCCTCTCCTTCCCTCTCCTCCCCTCCCCCCCCCATCGTGCTCGTGTTGTGCTGTTCCTGCTGTTTGCGTATGCCCCACGGCGCGGTGGGTCTCCACCTCACCTTCAGCAGCCTCCACACATGCCCAAGCCTATGGTAAGGTTCCTCCATAATTGGTAAGTTCGGTAAGTTTAGCTCGCTTTGCTTTAACCACCATTTCGGCTCGACTCACGGTTGATTCCACCAGGGATTGTCAGCAACTTATATCATTATCACACCACACTTTGGAATTTCTTTTTTCCCCCCATCCCAGCTTTGGGATGCGTGGCAAGCCCACATGACACGGCGGGACACGCGGGGCTCCCTCCCCTGGTGTTCCCCCATGTGGGTCAGTCGGCCCCATGCATATGGGTCAGTCGTCTGCATGTGGGTTAGTCATATATCGACTGACCCACATGGCGAAGGCACACATACCAGTGGAATGAGGGCATGCGCATGCATGCATGGGGACTTGCATGGGTTACCTGCATGAGCTTTTTCGCCACCACTCTCCATGCATGGTAGGGGGTAAATTCCCGTCCCCAGTGCTCCAGCTCCCCTTTCCCAGTTTCCCTTCTTTCCCTTTTCTCCTCCCCGACCGGTTTCTTCCCTTTTACTCCCCCCCCTCACTTGTTGCTGCACTTATCTTCATATTCCCCCCCCCCCTTTACCTTTGTGAAAGCCGCACTAGCCATGAGTGCAGCCGGGTGTGAGCGCTCGATCCAGGTGTCCGACACCTCCACCAGCTCGCCACCCTGGGGGGAGGTGGGGAGGAGGGAGGAGGGGAAAAAATTAAATAAGTGAAACAACGAATCCCAATCCCATATCCCGACTCATGGAGGGAGGAGGGGGGGAAATTATAGATAAGTGAGGGTGGGGGATGTGGGTCTTGATAAGTTTGCTGGGGCCAATGTATATACGCATTGTTTCCCGGGTGGGGGGGTGGGGTGGGGGGCAACACATTGGAATGTGGCGTAATTCCCCCAACCTGCAGCCCCTCCGGTAGCCACACGGTGCGCTCTCCCGCCGCATCCTCCTTCTCGATCAGCCAGTTGCCGTGCACGCTGGGCCCAGGAGCCGTGTCATCGTCCTTTTGGCGCGCCTGTTAGGATGGTGCGGCGGGATGGCGAAATCGGAAGGGGTGCTTAAGGAATGGAATCCAACTGACACTTTCATATAAGCCGGTCAAACACACAGTAGGCGAATAACGTAACAATATAAGACTCACCAAGGCGTATTTGTAGGTGTAGCTAGGTTTCCATGGCAGCGAGATGGTTGCCTCCCACACCAACACATCCTTGTCGTGGTGGCAAGACATTTGGCGAGCTTTTGACCACTGCAAGTTGCCAAGCGAAGCCCCCGATCCGCACAACAGGATGGACTGTCCCCATTGTGTAGGGTAGGAGACCGTGAAATGCAATGTGACGGAAGCGTGCTGCCAGGGCTGCCTCGCGCTCGTTGCCATTCTTACAGCTAAACCGGTACCCAAAGTACAAACAGTTAGGCGAAGATTCTCATCCGATGGATTGCAACAGGGCTGGCCCCCAGCAGGCGTTTCCAAAAGGCTTTGCAGCCTAAAGCCGTGGCGAGAGTAAGACTTCCTAGGTGGCACAACTGAGGAGCGTAAGAACCCAACAGTTGATGTACACCTGAGGCACGCTCCTACATTTGGGCTCCAACACAGCCCGCTCGGTGCAAGGTTGGCCGTTATGGTACCTCAACAACTAGGAGATCGGTGATCTAAAGGCACAAGGAAGTTCCGTTCGCTGTTGGGCTGCTTTGAAGTTGAACATGTACGGAACGCACGAAATTTGGTTCCGGTGCAAGCTGGCGAAGTGAGATCGTCGCGCGGGTCGTTACAGCCTTCTAAGGACCGCACTTCTTTATCACCAGGTAGATCATAAGCTCGGAGAATTAATGTGAAGTCTGCACCACTAAAAGCCGCCACTGCGACACTCCTGTCCCAGTCTCCCTTGAAGCCAATCTCTTCCCTGTTCACTCGCTAGCCCGAACTTTAGTGAAGCGCAAGTTCCCATGGCATGCCTCCTCTTGCATCGTGTACCGCTGTACCCGCAGCCGTATGCCTCACCCTTCCTCTCTTCACCTCCCCTTCAATTGCTCTCTGCAATCCGCACCGCCAGCACCCATCTCCACACCTACCTTTCACCCGGCTCCTGCGCCCCTCTTTCTCAGACCCCTCACCCAGTCCCACCTCTCACTCAAAGCCCCAGCCAAACTCCTCAAAACGCAGCCATCCCATCCCAGCTCTGCACACGTGGCTCGCTCCATGCCAACCCCATTCAACACCCGCCACCCTCACCCCGCCCCTCACCTGCTCCCTGCCTCCGCATGGCATCTACCTACCTTGCCTCCCCTCTCATGCACGGCATCACACCAACCCACCACCTACTTCGCTGCCCCCGCCCCCGCCCCCCTCCTGCGCACCGCCAGCAGCTGCTGTTAGTCCCTACTTGTTGCTTGTCCTGCGCACCGCCAGCAGCTTTATGTCCAGCAGCAGTGTGCGATTAAAGTCACGCAGGGTGGGGTTGTCCAGCACAAAGTCCAGCGCGCGTTGGCCGCCAAGCTCTGAGGGCTGGGGACCGTACCTGTGGAGGAGAGGCGGAGCAGGGGACAGCAGGGGAAAGGGCAGGTGAGCAGAGGGGTACGTACGTAGAACGAAGGGAGCAGGGTCGTCATGGGTGCAGACAGGCAGCCGTCGTGCAAGGTATTGGGACCCATCAACACAACTATCCTACGAATAGCTCCCCATGTGCACCACACTACCTCCGCCCCCACCTGTACTTGTAGATCTTGAGGTCGGGTGAGATGAGTTCCCCCGTGAAGCGCTCCCCCCGGTCGAGCGGGTAGCCCAGCGCCGGCAGCTCGCCCGGAACCTCCACACGCGCTATGCCTGCGTGATTGCATGCGTGCGTGCGTGGAGACAGGGCATGGATGGGACATCGCGTTGAGGCTGTTTTCTTTTTGTTGGGAAGGAGCAATACCCATGAAGATGACGACATGAGGATTGGACGGAGCAGCAGATCCTCCTTCCTCTCCGACACGCTCCTAGCCCCCCACCCACCCGCACCCCACCCGCAGCGCACCTACCTCCCACTCGCATGTTTTGCACGGCCAGCTCGAATGCCGGGATGGCCTGCACACCGGGGCGTTCAAGTAACCACCAAAAGCATAAAATCGATGTAAAAGTACGGCGCACAAAGTACGACAATGTAGGTCATCAGAAGGTGTGCAAGAGGCAAGGCACGTGCTGCTACCGGTATTGCATCGAACACCTAGCAGCAGCAGAGCCGGGGCCTTCAGCATGGCGGCAGCAAGCACCGGTGAGCTACATGGGGAGGTAGAGCAGGCCGCGGAGGTGGGCTCTCCTGCTTGGTGGGCCTTTAGCCAACAGTAGCCAGATACCGGTACATCATCACCCCCTCCATGTGCTCACCTGCCCCGCCCCCAGCTTGAACTCGTAGGGCTCATCTCGGATGCTGGTGTTGTCGATTCGCTGGTTGGGGGGCAGGGAGGGTGGAGGTGCGGGGCAGTGTGGGGGACAGGGCGTGGCGAAGCATGCAGGAGGGAAGGTGTTCAGGAGTGAATGGCAAGCAACGGCAGCAGAGGAAGCGGTGGAGGAGGTGGGGCGAAGCAGATGAGGCCGCCTTGGGGATCTGGCTCCCGGTATCTGCCAGGTGTCAATTGATTGCAAACCAGTCGTGTACGGCATTAATACGACAACCGTGTTGTATGATGCTCATATGCCCGTACGACATGTCACACTGAACCGACGACAACCGACATCAACCGGCGCTCAACTGACAACAACCACCTCTTGTCGTACATACCTTGCCTGCGTGTAGCGCATGCGGGAGAAAAGGGTACCGGTAAGGGTAAGTCAGTAAGAAGGAAAAGAGGAAGGAGAGAAGCGAATGAGAGGGGTGGGCGTGAGGATGGCATGCAAATGCCCAGTATCCCTGCATATGTCGATAATGCCGTACAGTGATGTCGGTTACGTCGTACAAACCCCATGCCAAGGCATTTATAACCATGTATGTATGTATCGGCCATGCTGAAAGCCGTGATACGAACCTTGATAGCCCTGGGTGAAGCCTGCCCAGTGGACTACTACGATGTCGCCTGGCTGGGGTGTCGCGCCCTCTCCTTCCCTGGTACGTATCCATGGCAAGCAGAAGCAAGCTATTGAGGTAGGCCGCTTTTGCTGTTCAGTTAAGGGCTCTGGGGGCGCATTATCACTACATGTTATAAGCGTGGACGGGCACGCGCTTACAGTCTGCTTTGCAACGGCCCCAGCAGCCCGAACCCACCGGATGGTGAGCATTTTGAGACCGGATGGCAACGTCACAAAGTCATCAGCGCGCGCTGCGTCCGGTCGCACAGTTAACGCTGCTGCGCTTCCAGTTAAGAGGAGCAGAGTGTTCCTTCTGGTCGTTTGGGGCCACTCGCCAGAGCGGTTGCATGTTAGGTCGACACTGCCAGCGCCCGCTAACCCAGCAGGTGCCGACGGTGCAGAGGGCGCGTCTTGAACAGAGTGCAACGATGTTAGGTGTTGCTGGCGGGCGGCTACGTAATGCCCCCTGCTTCTTGAAAAGCGATGGCCATTATCCACAAATGGCCGCTGCTGGCTTCCTGAGGAAGTGCCCCCGAGCGAGCGCGAAACTAATTGCATAACTATCGCTTTATATATAAAAGTTGGGAACAGGTGAGGTGCCTATACACGCAGGTTTCAATTAAGTGCGGCCTTCACGGTAAGCCCTGCTAATTACAGAGGAGCCGGCGAAGTGATAACGGCTGTATGTACACGCGCAATCCATTTCAGGCTCCTAGCGGATCACACATTGCAGTGGACCCGAACCAACAACCACAGAGGTTGACCGTTGCTTGCGTATGTACGGCAGAGCCGACGCCATCCCCAGCGGCCCAGCATCAAGCCCTGGCATTATGGAAACACGTGCCGTACACTACGCATCTCTGAGGACTGGCTGGGCGCAACATCATCAGTTCATCACCACCTACGGCGCGCCTCTTGGTAAGAACTTCGTTGAACACGCACGCAAAGTTGAGCTGTTGACCACCACATAAACACCGCAATACACCCTAAATCCCAGCATGAACAGAAACAAACATATGCATACATGCACGCAGCCTGGTAAGAATAACCAATATACATATACAACAGTTCATAACATGCAGACGGAAGCTGGGAACAATGCTAAGGGTCTTAAAGGCTAAGGGCCCCTCCTTAAACGCGCACCTCTCCACCTCACTTTGTCACTTGCGCTGCTACCTGCCCCTTAATATGAACAGTCGCCTCTACTGTGACAAAGCCCTCTTCTACACTGAAGGTAGGTCAGTGTCAGTTATGCCGTACAGCTGTGGGGGGACTTCATCTTCCGGCAATCACAGTACGTTCCGCCTCGCGGCCAGTTACTTTAACACACATACCTGCCCGCCCCCTAGCTGCCCTATGCCCTCCCAATCCAGGACCTACTTAATCCCCAGCCCTACATCAACGTAAAGGGTTTAAAGCTCCCCGGTTCCATCCCCACCTCAGCCGCCCTCGCCGCAGCCTTGGCCGCCGCACGAGCCATGCTTACATCCGTCACAACCGGATCGCAACCCGGGCTGTAGCGCCGTACGGCAGCCGTAGCTGCCGTACCGCCGGCCAGTTCAAATAACGTCATGAAGTCGGAAGCGAGGCGGCGACAGGAGGCGGCTGCGCGCTTGTTGTAGCCCATGTCGACTAACAAACGACCACCGTGGGTGCGGAAGAGGTTGAGGACCTGGCAAGAGGGAGTTACGGAGGGAGGGAGGTTGCATGGGGGGGCACGTGAGGCGTGTACGGTGGCGGACAGGTCCACAGGGAGGCTGCATGGGGTAAAGAGGAAACAACTAACTGACCGTGTGATAAGGCATCATCATGGTTTGCAACATGTGAGCCAGCCCGACCCGCATGGGGGGGCCGTCAGGAAGGAGGGGTTCTAGGGGAGGTGGAGAGCAGCGATAGCCTTATATCCATTCTATGAGACCCCGCGAGCATGCATGCATGCATGCATTCCACTAAGCCGCATACAGGCATGCATGCGTGATGCCGCAGCGCCGCCGCAACGCCGCCGCAGCTGCACCAACTGCTCCCCTTACCCCAGTCCCCCTATCTACCTGCGCAAACTGCCAGTAGTGCGGCACCCACTCCTGCGCGACCCGTGGGTCGATCCGGATGGCGTTTGCCGCCAGCTGCAGCCCCACCGCCACGCAGGTGGGCTCGCGGGTCTCCAGGACGGCCCGCAGGGGGGCCACCAGGCTGGGGGCCAGGGTGTGCAGCCTACGCAGGGGGTTAGTGGGGGGAAGGGTCAAAGACGATACCATACAATAGGAAACCACAGGTAAGGGGTTAGTGGGGTGGGGGTGGGGTAGCCGCTTCTGCTACTCCTGCTCCTCTTCGGCTAGCCCCCAACCATCCATGCGAAATGCAGTCCTCCCTTCGGCGACCCACTTCTATGCGCCCATGTCCTCGCCCCCTTCCCTGCACCCCCTCACATACACATACACATTACCCCCCCCCCTGCCCCCTCCCCACTCACGTGTCCCCCGCTGCCTCCATCAGCTCCTCGCAGCCCCGAATGGCGATGAAGCGGTACGGCTCCGCGGCCTCCCGCACCCCGTCCAGGAACACCGGCAGCCAGGCGGGCAGCGGCAGGTCGGGCGGGGGGGAGGGGAACCAGGCGGTGTAGGTGCGGGACAGCGGACCGCCCTGCTCGGGACCTGGGGGGACAGGAATACACCAAAATTGCAGGTAAGAGCAGAAAAATGGGGAGCTGGGGGGGGGGAGGGGTTGGGATGTGAGCTATAACAAACAACATTTTGCCATACTTTCCCACTCTTCATGGCCCCCTGCGTCCCCCAACCACCAACCACCAACCGCCAACCGCCGGCCTCACCCCGTGTCACCTCCCGCGCCCACACCAGTGCCCCCGCCCTGCTGCCCCTCCAGCGTACGGCAACGAAATCCAGAGTTCCGTTGTCATAGTAGGTTCGCAGCAGGGTACGTGGGGAGGCGGAGGAGAGGGAGGGGGAGAAGGGGTCGTGTGGGGTGGAGATGCGGACGCCACCGGTACCGGGCTTGAAGGGGGGTTCACTGCGGGGTGGAAGTACGGCATGGGGATTAGGATTGGAGGTTGGAAATTCCGGCATGGGGAGGAAAGAGGAGGGGAGGGATGGGGAGGGAAGGGACAACCACCACTACTGCATGTACGACAAAAGGGAGGCAAAAGAAAGGATATGCCGTACGACTAAAGCCTGCTAAAGAAATGACTGAACCGAAAAGAACGTGAAGCAGCACTTACACGTTAACGGGGCAGCGCTTGAGGTGCTCTTTGAGCTGGTTGCGCTGTCGCAGACTGAGGCCGGATCCGGCTTTCAAAAAGTCCTCGGGCGGGCGCGAGGGGAAACCCACTCGGGGCTGGTCCAGGTCGCGCAGGATCTTGGGACCTGTTGATTCAGGTGTTGAAGATTGCGAGAAAAAGAGGCGGGTGGAGGGTGTGCGTGATACCGGTAGTGTTACTGCTGTGATTGTTTGGTGCCCGGACTTCTGTGTTGCTGCTGATGACGATGACAATTCTGTTCCTGGGCTGTTGACTGGTGCTCATGTAAACATGTGTGGGATGTGGCCGGGCGGCAGCAAAACTAGGGAAAGGATGGTATGTTGGAGCGAGCACTTACCCAGCACCTCATGTGGCGCCTGCGCGTCCGTGTCACGATCGAATATTGAAATTCTGCCGTACTGTCGAGCAGCTGGAGGTGAAGCAGCAACAGCTGGGGATTTGGCTGCGTCTGGGGGCTCTTTCGCGAGTCGCGGCTGACCTGATGTCCGCAATTGAACAGCGGATTTCGGCCGCTGCTGCTGCCGTGTTGAAACTTTTCCTGCTGAACGGCCAGCTCCAGGTTTCCCCAAGACTCCTTCAGGGAAAGACTCGGTAGATGGGAAAACGGGAACCTGCTTTGCCGCTGCTTGCTCTGCTAAGTCTAGGAATGCAAGCATGTGCTGGGCAGAGGGTTGCGCTGCTCTGGACGCCTGCGCGCCAGGGTATGGGCCATGAAGCCGCGGTGAAGCTGAGGTTGGCCGCTGACCGCGCTGGGGCGTCTGCTGTTGAGGCTGCTGCGCCTGCTGCTGCCCATGCGGTGCGGTTGGAGGGCCCCTCCCGCGGCCCGTGTACTGCATTTCCGCCATGAGACCCAAACCTTAAACCTACTTATATTTTTATGTGCAATACTCTATAGCGCTTCGCCTTGCAGTCACGACCTAACCTCCCGTTATCGCTTGCGGCAGTCCAAGACATGTAGGACAATTTCATACTCCAGAGCTGCACAAATTATGTGCATAATATTTGTCGTCCGCAAGAAAGATGTGGGGTGTTACATAATGTTACGGTCTCTGAGCTTGCCCTACTTCTAAACCCTACACCAAAAGTTGCCATGAACCACGAACAAAAAGCATTTTGCAACTCCGTGTATTCGCACTTTCGCAGCTTCGCATGTTGTAACGAGCAACCGCCTGTACGACAGGGCCTGCGGGCTCGTTTCAGCGAAGCCTCTTACGACTCTTATAGGCTCTTATGTAGCGTGAAGACGCTTACCAAAGAACCTCGAGGCAAATGACGATGGTCTGGTGAAATTGACCCCGACATGGACATCCGTACGTGACCCTCGGCAGAAGGTGCCCCGTGTAGCCAGCAACGGACGCACAGCATCCCGCAAACGGCATCGCTATCCATTTGCTGAAGCGCCTCGGACTGGAGCTGTTTGACGACGAGCCCCAGTTTCCCTCTTAAGGTTAACATCCCGTTCCTGTGCACGGATGACCTGGCCTAAGTTACTGCCCGCTGTAGCAAGCAGCAGCTCCAGAATGCATGGGTCTATCGAAGCTGTGAGGACAGGGTAGGGGAGGGGTCATGTGGGGTGGGTGAAAGGTATGCAGTGGAGGGGAAGAGCAAGCATGCATTGTGGTGGCCCCTCTTTGCACATGTTGCTGAGCAGGAAGCACGTGCCAGGGTGCCGGCGGGATAGGGTGGGGCGTACATGCGTGGAGGCGGGAGGGACACATGCAGCACCAGTGCTTGCCGTTAAGCAAGCTTTGAGGTTGAATCCCCTTGATGTGCAGGCAGCCTCCCATTTGTATCTCGCCTGCTTGCCATTTGTATTACCGTTTCAAGCACTGCAAGCTAATTGGAGCTGATCGGCAGCACTGGTACAGGGCCGTACGACAACACCGACCCTTTGGCCGCGACACATACAGTAACAAGGTGATCGGAGCGCCATGACGCCCGATTTTACTTCGGTTTTGGAGTATAACGCTGCATGCGGTTTATGGCTGTAGGACGCGCAGCCAGTCCTGAATTATATCCATCGTGGACGGTGTCTCATAGAGGCTGATACTGTTACCTTCTGTTTCGTATTTGCGCTTTCACTGATAAAGTTGATTCGTTACATACTAAGGGCTGTGAGTTGAGGGTATTCAGCTTACTCATTCAGGCCGGCAGTTCTAGAACTGCTTGGAGGAGGAAGTAAGGCAGCATCCGTCGCCTGCGTAAATTATTAATACCGGTTTCAGTGATTACAACAAACGTAACGTGATACATTTTACGCCGCTTCGGCCGACAGCCCCATTATTCTTCCGTTTTGCGAACGGCGCGCGGCGCTGGCGGATATAAATGCTGCCCTCGACGTTTCTCGCCAGCAGCGTGCAGTCGATGGAGCGGGTCCCCAATATGCAATTCGGAGGCCGCGCTAATCTTGGTGCAGCTGCAACTTCATGCCGACATGCGCCCTGCTCATCCTCCCGCTGGCCAACAAGTCGTCGCCTTCACACCACCCTCGCACCATTAAAAGAGGTAGTTAATCACCCTCGGAGCCGCCTGGCGTCGGCCAGCAGCGAAGACGGAGCAAACATTGCAGCCACAATGGGACAACAACACCCATCCTGTCAGGCGTCAGTTAGCAAAGCTTTAGACATCTCCGCAGCACCCGCTTCCGGCAATACCAGCAGTGATAACGGAAGCAGTACGGAAGGAAATCCCGACAACGCTTCTCATAATTACAGCCGACGCGCTGTTACCCTCTCCTTCACCTCCGCCCTCGCCGCGCCTCCGTTTCTGCTCCTGCAGTCCTCCTCCTCAACAGCGCTCGCTGCAGAACCCAACAGCGACCCGCAACCCTTCAACACTATCACAGCCAGCAGCAGCGGCAACAACAACAGTAACAACAGCGCAGGCAGTGGCAGCAGATTCAAAGCCAAATCCACGTCTCCTGCGGGTCAGGAGCGACTCTTGAACAACCACCACAAAGGCGGCTCTCTGTCACCCGCTTCCGGTGACCTTCCACCTCCAAGTAGCAGTACTAGTAGCAGCAAAAGCAACAACAGCAGCAGCAGCAGGCGGGTGATCTGGCCCCCCGTGCCTCAGGTTCAGCTCGCCCCGGGGCTGCGTGTGAGCAAGGTGGTTCGAGGCTGCTGGCAGCTGAGCGGCCGACACCACGGGGACGCAGCCACAGGTACGGGCTTGTACGACAGTGTAACAATCACACATCCTGTTTTGTGTGTGTTAAGAGAAATGTTCCCGTGTGAGGTATCAGAGGACCTACAGAGGATTGGGGGCTGCGGTTGGATTGACGACTGCCTGGTCAGCCGCTTGCTGCTTGCTGCTGCTAACGTTTCTTTTGGGTCGCTCCATGCCTGTCTGCCTGCCCTCCCCCCCCCCACCTTGCATCCCTACTCTCCACGTTTACTTCTTTGCAGACCCCACCTGCGAACTGACCTTGCACCACTGCCTCCGGCCCGCTGCCTCCGCCCCGCGCATTCTTTCTACGCGCCACGTGCATGCCTGCCTGTCTGTAATTCCTTGCAGACCGCACCTCGGGCAGCGATGTGTCCGCCGACCTGGCCGCGTTCCACCGGGCTGGGGTCACCACTCTGGACACCGCAGACAGCTACGGACCCTCGGAAACACTGGTGGGGTTGGGGGGGGGGGTCAAAGACCACACCAAACCATGGGGGGGGGGGGTAAAAGTAGGGAAACTGACGAACTGGTTGGAAGGGGTGGGGGTGGAGGAGGGCGGGTTGTGGGAGGTCAAAGACCATACCGAACGGGGGGGCTGTACCTGCACGCTGCCGGTCAGGTTGTTGCTGCTGCCGTACATTAATACGCGCTGAGGAGATGCCTCCTGTACCGGTTTGGGTACCGGTAATGCCACCGTGTCTGCTGGTGTACCGATCATTGCTTCACAGACGTGTGCTCCACTGCTGCTGCTGCGTCTGCCCTCTCCCCCCTTCCGTCATTCAGTCAGTCCGTTAGTTGTTTCCTCTTTCCCCCCTCCCGTCCCATTCTTCTCATTTATTTTTTCCCCGCCCGTCCCAACCCCTCCCCCGCCCAGATAGGGCAGTACCTGCGGCTGAACCCCGCACATGCGCCCCCCCAGGCCGTCCTGGCCACCAAGCTGAGTTACGTGGGGGCGGAGGAGATGGCGGGCGTGAACAGGACGCTGGTGGAGTATGTGAGTGCGCATGGGGATTAATAGGAATCAATAGGCACATGGGGAGGGGGAAACTAAATGTAGAAGTGCATCGACTGGAGTTCCAGTCCACTGGGGGAAGGGGGGTGGGAGGTTGGAAGGATGGGAGGAGTGTGAAGGCGGCAAAGCGAGGGTAGGGGAGGGGGAAGCCGTGGATGTGCCCGGGAGGGGAGATGGCGGGCGTGGAAGGGACACTGGTGGATTGTGTGAGTGCCCTTTACCTTGGGTGTTGATGATGATGTAGGGGGCTGTCGGGACGTCTCATGCTGCTTCTCCCGGGGGCTGCCAATCCACATCCTCCCGATTGCCGTATACCCTCATAGCGGTACCCGCCCAGGGTCAAGATCCCTTCAGCGGCTCCGTTCACCCCTGTGTATCCATCTGAACACACCCCTACCTACCTACCTACCTAACTACCTACCTAACTACCTAACTACCTACCTACCTACCTACCTACCGCGATCACACCTCCCTGTCTACCCCTGCCTACCCAATGGGCACGCATGCATGCATGCAGGCGGTTCGCGGCTCGCTAGCCCGGCTGGGTGTACGGCAGTTGGATCTTGTTCAGCTGCAGTGGGCCGACCCACGGGTCCACCGGCGCTGGCGGGACGTGCTGGGCTGGCTGGCGGTGGGGCGGGGAGGGGGTAAAGAGAAAACAACTAACTGACCGTGTGGCTCGGAGGGGGGGCAGGGAGCAACAACGATGGAAGGAAAGATGGGATACTGCGGTATTCCTGGTGCCCATATCCAGGGGCTACAAAGAGGGGTGGTGGGAGGGGTGGTGGGAGGGGTGGTGGGAGGGGTGGTGGGAGGGGGACGGGCGACTTGAGGGACGGGGGAGTTCAGGAGGGCACGGGTGCCGTCATGCGTTGCAATGTACCTGCCCACCTGCAACCCCCACACCCCTCCTTACGCCTGCTGCCCACCAACTGTCAACCAACTGCCAACCAACTGTCACGCAACTGCCAACCAACCCGCCCCCCAGGACCTACGGGAGGCTGGTCTCATTCGCCACATCGGCCTCAGCAACTTCAACGTGCCGGACATGACTTGGGTGGGTGCGGGTGCAGGTTTGGGGGGTGCCTTGGCGTGTGGGTGTGGCCTGCTGGGTTGGCGTGTGGGTGCGGGTGTGGGTGTGGGTGTGGGTGTGGGTTAGGTTGGGTTGGGTGAGATGGGCTGCTAGGGATGAGAAGGACAAGAGCATGGAGGCCTGCTGCACCCAGCGCCGGGGCATAACGCTCGCATGCAGCAGCAGGAGGGGAATGATTCCGGTATGACAAGGTCCGCACGAGGCCAGCCCTGTCATTCTTGCATGCTCCCCATGTATGCCCCCCTGCCCCTTGCATGCCCCCATGGCCCCCATGCCCCTATGCCCCCATGCCTCCCCCCATGCATGCCCCTCCTCATCACACAGGCTGCCGAGTCGGGTGTGGGTGTAGTGAGCAACCAGGTGCAGCTCTCGCTCATCGACCGGCGGCCGCAGCTGTACATGCAGCAGGTGGGGTTGGGGGAGGGCATCCTGGGGTTTGCGGAGGGAGGGCAGTCTGGGGTTTGCGGTGGGGGGGGGCAGCCTGGGGTTTGCGAAGGGAGGGCATCCTGGGGTTTGCGGAGGGGGCAAGGAGATGACTTACCCTGTGAACAATTGCGGCAACTCTTTGTGTAAGCCCCTGGCAGAAAGGGGGCAGGGAGTAGTTTGTTGCAGTCCTGTACAACGTTTTAGGGTTAGGATGGTGTGCAAAGGGGAAAGCGCCACCACTGCTTCCTCCCCAGCCCTCCCTTGACTCCCCGCACCTAAGCACACGTCCATACACACTGCCTCTTTCCTCCCCCCACCTCCACCCCACCCCACCCGCCCCCGACTCTCCGACTTTCCGCACCCATACACACACAGGCGGCTGCCTCGTACGGCATCAAGCTGCTAGCGTACGGCACCCTAGCTGGCGGGCTGCTAGCCGATAAATACTACAACGTACCCGCAAACAGGTGGGCCAGCGGACCCATGGGTCACTGCTCCCACTCGCGCTCCCTCGCCGGGCCCAGCTGCCACTCGCCCTTCCGTGCACACGCGCATAACGCTGTACCGTACCTTTGTTTATTCGTTTGTCGGTTGGTTTACGAGTTACGCCTCCCGCCGAGCTCCCTTCGTCACCAATCCCAAACCCCCTCCCCTTCCCATACAATCAAATCTACAGGGTACGCTTGGATACCGCAAGCAAGCAAAAGTACGGCTTGGTCCTTCGAGAAGCAGCTGGAGGCGGCCGAGGTGGTGGTGGTGGGGGTGGCAGCAGCAGCGGTTGGTCCTGGTTCCAGGAGGTGTTGGAAGCGTGTCGGCAAGTGGCGGGCAGGCACCCGGGGACAAGTGCCAGCTCGGTGGCGATTGCCTGGGTGCTGCACCAGCCGCAGGTGGGTGGGTGGGTGGAACGTCAACTTGATTGCGTAGCTGACACACCAGCTCATACGGTAGCTAACCAGGCCATGAGGTGTTAAGGTCGTACACCGATGCCGCATACACACACCTGCCTTTCAGCAATCACAGTACGTTTCGCCTCGCGGCCAGTTATTTTAACACACACCTGCCTGCCTACCTAGCTGCTCTAACGCACGCACCTGCTGCCCCGCTGTCACTCCCACACTGCACCTGTCATGTATTCCGACAATCACAGTACGTTCCCACTCGCGACCAGTTCTCTTAACACACCTGCCTAGCTGCCGCTATCACACTCGTCCACACACCTGTCTGCCCACCCGCGCAGGTCTCCGCAGCCATCGTAGGCGCTCGTAACGCTCGCCACATCCGTGATCTGCAGGTGAGAGCTGAGAGGGGTGCCCGGGGAGCGGTTGGGGTTGTTGGGAGGTTGAAGGGTGGGGGAGGCACGTGTGCAGCCCCGGAGGTGGTCATGTGTGCATGTGGCATCCTGCAACCCCCTGCTTCTGCCGGTCCTTACATCCCCGCATCCACACCCACCTCTTTTCCTCCTCACCCCCCCCAAAGGCCGCATGTGCCTTGAAGCTGGACGATACCGACCTGCTCGATCTGGATGCGGTGCGTGAGAGGGGGGTGGGGTGGGGTGGGGTGGGGCGTTTCTGATGTCCGGTGTCTAATCCGTTACCGGTAATCCGTTTCTCCTGTACCGGTATACTATGGTATACCACAGGCCAGCGCATCTGGCATCTCGCAGCCTCCTGCCCTCCTCCTTCTAATCCGTTCCTCCCTGCACGCGCGCATGCAGGTGTGGGAGGGGGTGCCCAACCCACCCACCAGTGACGTGTACGCATGGGAGCGAGGGGGCATGTGGTAGCTGCTGGGCGGGTGGAGGAGGTGGCGGGAAGGGGGGGGGGACGACCGGGGATTTGCAGGGACTGATGAACGGGGAAGGAGCGCAGGCAAGTGTTTGTGTACTCTGCAGTTGCAATAGCAGCACGGCAGGGGGAGGAGGCTTAGGGGCAGATCCTGTGTACGGCAGCAGGCAGGTTCCATTACCCCCAGTGCTGTTGAGAGCCGAGGACACGTCAGCACCATACAGCCGTACGAGCCATGTGTCCTTTAGGGACTATGTTACAACTCCTCCGTTCCTCCCCTAGGCACTCCTCCGTTCCTCCTGCTGGCACTCCGACAATATATCTTGTAGAAAACACCCAACACAGGGGCCATGCTTCCTTGGGTAATGTTGTCCACTGTTAAACGTCCTCCATCGCTACCGGACTGTAGTACTACACACACACCGCACCTTCCGACAAGACAGTCCAGTACGTTCCTACATACTTGCGGCCAGTTATCTGTACACAGCACCCCCTTCCACCCTACAATGCATGCAATGAGTCACATGCCGACATGGGCCTTGGCATTATTACACAAGGAAACGGGCGAGAAGGAACGTAGGGGGTGACCATGACCCATGGGTCACAACTCATCTGCAATCACCCAAACCATCAGTCGGCGATGCTGTTGTCCTCAATCATGAACAAGCTCCCGCAGCGCAGCAGTGAGCTGCTCTGAGCTCTGCAGTTGCCGCTGCTGACGCCCATCCTGCTGTGCCTGTAGCGTGCGCCCCCTGCCCTTGTTACTGCTACTGCTGCCACTACTGCCGCTGCTGCTGCTGCCACTGCTATCTCCACCCCCAGCTACACCCCCAGCTATTACACCCCCAGCTATTACACCTCCAGGCGGCAAGTCCACCAGACAGCTCAACAGCACCCCCAAAGCCTCACGACTGATGCCGCCACCACCGGCACTGCTGCTGCTGCCGCTGCTGCTGCTCCCACTACTCCCGCTGCTAGCACCAGCTACGGGCTGCTCCTGCGGCCGTTGCCGTGCTCCCGACGACCCAAATCGCACTTGTGTTAGTGTCACTCCTCCTCCGGGCAACGGTAGGGATCCCGAAGGCAGGCTAGGGTCCCCGCCACCGCCAGCAGCAGCACCCACACCTGTAGTATGAGTCAAGCCGTACACTTGTACGACACTGTACGGCAGCCCGGATGATCGTACGGCAGCTACCGTGGCTTCATCCGCCAGGTTTCGGAGCTCCCGAGCGGAGGCAGCTGCTGCACCTCCGCCCAGGTGAGCTGCTAGGGACGCCAGGGAGGGGAGGGCAAAGGCCCCACCGCGGTTGGAGGAGCCGCCAGCACCGCCTAGGAGGTGAAGAACGGAGGGGTCAGGGAGAGGGACGACTTAGGTTGTTGGGGTTTGGGATTCCTCCTTACTTGGTAAGCTGGCAAACAGTTGCAAAAGGCACAAGGCAAAGGCTAGCGAGCGATCCTTACTTCCGGCGATGCAGTGCTGCCCAAGCAAATTCCGGCTTTCCGGCCTCTCTCAAGAGGGAAAAGAGAGACAACAGCCGCCCTCGTCACCAACACCCTCCTCTCCCTCCTCACCCTCCGCTGGCGCCGCAGTCAGCACCACCACATGCTTCACACCAGCCGCCACCGCCGCCCCCAGCAACCCAGCTGCCCCAGCAGCCCCTGCACCCGCCCCTGCTGCCCGCGCACCCGCCCCTGCATGTACTGCTGTTGCTCTCTTCAGTGACCCCAGAAGCACGAGGCATTTGACGCCGCGTAGCAGACGGGGGCTGACGGGTACGGCAGCGGCAGCGTCGGCGGGTACTGCAGTGGCGTAGGGGCCGTACGCGACCTTGGCCGCCGCCACGTCACGTACTAGGAGGCGTAGCTGCTGCCTTGGAAGGGTTTGGGAGAAAGTAGAAGTGTGTCTTATGGTTGATAAGTCTAAGTTTTATATGGATGTGCAGATTTGAGAGATGGACGCACGGATGGATGAATGGCACCGAACGCATGTCAGCGCACCTGGCAAGGATGAGCTGCAGTGCCACCTGTTCGCCGATGGGGCTGTCTGCTTCCATCACCAGGACGGTATCGCTAATCGCCTCGGGCTCGTCAGGTTCGGGCTCCTGCAGAAATGATTGAACCATTAACCGCTTGACAAAGGAAGGGTTTCGCGAGCTTTGTCGCCATACGTCATCAGCTTTATCCATAAAGATACCATCAATTGCTGTTGCGTGATTGCGTCTGCTGGGATACCAACCTGCTCCTCGCTGGCAAGCAAGGCGCGGTCTCCTCCGTACCATTTTCGCATTTTCGGGCCAGCTGCAGGAAACCATTAACGGGACGTATCAGCTAGCCGGAACGCGTCTACGCTTTCATGATTAACGCCTGCAAGCGATCTCCGAACGGTTGTATCCTACCCGTCACAAAGTCCAGGAGCTCATCTCCGAATTTACTCTTGCAAAGAGCTAAGCGTAAGCATTTAGTTGGATGGGTAGTTACATGACTTTTTAGATTCCTTCCGACTGGCCGATGGACGCCAGTCCGCGCAAGTTTTGTGAGCATAGCCTACGCGCCACTCGCCAACAATAGGCAGCAACAACACTAAGTCAGAAAGAATGCCCTGGATGCCGACCTCTTTCAACCAGTCCTCCTAGATAAGGCGTACGACGGATGAATCCATCCTAGATCCACCCATGACCTGACAGCCAATCAGCGCCACTTTAGCCCTGATGCACCGGAAAGGGCTTGTAATGTTACTTATAGGCTCTGATTTGGAACCTAACTGCTCAAGCTGTGAAGTCTGTCTTCTCGGAATGCTGGCTGTCAATGGACATTGCACCCACTCAAGTGCAGGCGGTCACGGTATCCAGATTGGCAAGGATTATAATTACAAGAATGAATAAATTGTTAGTTGTGCCAACGCTCCAGTAGTTTATGAGTTAGCAAAAGCTGCAGCCCGGTCATAAGAACGCATAGCATATCTTAGACGCCAAGCCGTTCGGCATGCTGGTAGCTCTACACTCTAGACTACATCCTCGTCTACAAAGTGGCAATGCATTGCAGTAATAAATACGGTATGCTGGCATGCAGCTCCTCCTAAGACTATGAACGGTTGCAAGGACCCAACCCAACCATGTCAACCCAAGATACGCTCATAAATCCTACACTCAATCCAGGCCAATCCACGTCAACCAAAGTACGATAACTCTGGGTATTCGACAGGTAATACGGGAAACACAGCAACAGCTATAGGCTGTATTGCAAGCCCAAAGAACCAAGGAAGGCCTCATGAATATAAACCACCAACAATGCAACGCCCCGACGGGAGATCCGTGCTGGACAGTACTACACAGAGCATCCCACCTGCATCGAGTCAGCTAACCCAGAAACCCCAACGTTCACCTTATCGTCCCTCCCACTGACGCAGCGAAGAGCCCTTACCTAACATGAGTTCCGCATTGCCCCTCCCAACATTCACACATCTTGCAGCTACAATACGCTTCTCTCCGGCATCCTGAACCTTCTCACGCTCTCTCGTACTGCTTAACACCCTCCACAAACACAAACATGGCTCGCATGAATGCGGCGGCGATGAGCTTGAGGAGGACGGAAAACCCCAGTTGTCCGCCCGACGACTGCGTAGCAGCAGCGAAAGAAGGAGCGGTGGTCAATTGGTGATAAAATACAAGGTTGTGAGGCTACTAGGTGAGGCACAGAGACAAGAGAGTGTGCTCAAAACATAAAAAGCTAAAATGCTGGCGACAGTGGCAAGCAATGTCCGATAGTCGTTGACTTGAATTTCGGCCCAGTTTACCTCGTGCCAGTGGCGTTGTGGCTTCCTTTTAGGTGGGCTGCCGCCACCGTTGCCGCCAAAGCACCGAGCGACTCCCGCACTTGACGATGACAATGATGACGACCGCCCCGGCCGGGTGCCCTGGCTGGCTCCTGCTGGCCCTGCCTGGGCTCCTCGTCCTAGTCTGCTAACATTTAACACGTTTTCATGTAGCTTGCGTATATCGGCTGTCCGAAAATGACTTGCAAGGTTTCCGCGACATGACTGTACAGGTTAAGGAGGGTATCAAGAACCACTTCGACTTTGCATGCGTCGCATTCATTGCATACTTCACGGATTAACGTTCTAAATGGAGCAGCAGATAGCCGTATGACCCTTCTGTACGGGGCCAAGAGCCCTGCTTACGACTCTCAGTACAAGTAGCGGCACTGACCATTATTCAACACCTACGCAAAATCCCCAACTTCCAGAAAAGGAGGGGTATTAAGAACCACCCTGAAAGTTGCGAAAAAGCCAGCTTAGACACCTTCCCGCATTGGGAAAACTTCAGCAAGCAACTAATATAGCTAGCAGAGGTTGTGGACATGCTAGCTGGCGTCTGGGGGTCACCAGTTGTGACCGCCGAGGTGAATTGCCATCATGGGCAAGCATCAGATCCTGATCCGTCATCATCGCACCTATGCTACTAAACAACATCCAAGTCATATATATGTGTCCTTTAACGCGTCTATGCAGCGCGTTTATGACTGGAAGGACGCTTAGGGCGTAATTGGGGTTTGGTCGCAAGGTTGGGAAAAGAAGTGGCTGCTGGGAAGCTATTTAGCAGTCAATTCCATAAAAGATGTGTATAGTATGCATGCCAGGTGGTCGCGAAGGTGCTCAGATGCCTCAGGCGCTCTAGCCACTCCACACCGCGGTTCATGCAAAGCTGTTTGGCTCTGGTGCCCAAATCGTAACCGCCGTCCCAGCCACAATTATGGACTTCATATATATAGTATGAACTTAAAGTACTAGAAACCGCTTGTCGAAATCCTTCTTCTTGGCGCAGAAACGTGGGGTGGTTCTTTATACCTGGTGGTTCTTAATACCCTCCTCCACCTGTAGGTGAGCCATTGTTAAGGGAGCGAAGCCGATGAGCGAAGACGTTCAAATAATGCCGCCTAAAGCCTTAGCGAGAAACTAACCCATTCTTGATATTTGATGCGTCTAAACTCCCGCTTGCGGTACCTAACGTACGAATTCCGTTAGCGCAACTGGGCTTCTGTACGTTTACCATACGCCCGCCATCCGTCGTGTGATCTGCCCTAAATGCCAGCTCCTGTAAACGGCTCAGATGGCGCATACTAAGAAGCTGAATTACCCTTGTCAAACGGCTGCTCGTTCCTTCCTCCTCTGCGATAGTCCAAGGCTACAGGCTCGCGGCCGTGCGGCACCGTACGTCGCATTGCGCCGCGCCCTCCTATACATACAGTGCCTGTGCCGGTAAGGTCATGAAGTGGAAGGCCCTACTCTGTTGTGGAGTCCCCGCAGTGCGTGCGGCTGCAATGGGCGATGCCGGAGGGCCGTGGGTTATGGCACCCCACAACTGATACCGGTACTTGAATAGTCGCTCGTTTCCATGCATGCAGAGGGATACGGCATTTACGGCAGCAGGAGTCCCCTCCTACCCTAGCCGGCTTTCCGGCTTTCAGGAGCTCCGGTCCCCCTTGTAACTTTCGCATTCTACCCTAGCGACACGCATACACACACAAATCATCTTCCGACATCCCAGTACGTTCCTACACGCGGCCAGTTTTCGTAACAAACACGCAAGCCTCTCGCTTGCACAGTGTCTATCCCCGCAGCCCCTCCTCCTCCTCCACTTCCTCATGACTTCCAACGGTAGCCTTGAACCAACCAAAAGGCCTCCAAGGCAACGTAACGTGGCTCCTGATGATTCTAACAACTAACACAAGGGCATGCATGTGCGGCAGTCTTCATCTTCGTTTTGTCATCATAGCCTCAGCTATGTACTGTCAGCTCCACGACCTACTGGCTAAGTTCCTACCCTATGTGTGCTGCTCGACGATACTGCGGAGCTATGCAAACTATCAAGCTAGGATTGCACCCGGGAGACATCAACCCACCAACATTGCTATCATACCCTATCGCACCAGATGTTTCTTGTGCCTTCTTGCAACACAACAGATTGGGAGAGGTAACCTCGGTAATTCACACCTCATGTATGTGCCTAAGCGCGAGGCAAAATATAGGCAAAATTGCAACATGGATATTTATGTAAAGCGTAATGTACGTTGTGTAAGTAACCAACGGTCAACAACTGTACGGCCAGAACTCACCAATGCAACCTCCAAGCTTCAAGCAACTAACCTAACAACCATAATAAGGGAGAATGCGCACGCACGCGCAAATAACAGGATAGGACAGGATATTCGAGCAGCCTAGCCTTCCAGCAATCCAGCCATCCAGCCGTTCGCACACAAATCAGCACCGCTCAGCTGATATCATCGACAGCCCCTGACAAGTCACACGTAAGCCTACACTGCCGTACACATTCGTCCTGCCAGCCCGCGATACGTTGAGAGGAACCCGCAAAACCGCAGTTGCCTGCCCCCCTACCGCTGCCCCGCCATTATAGCCATCCTGCTCCTCCACCTTTCCTGCTAGCTCCCGCCAGCTATCCCCCTACCCCCACATTCGTGGTTTCCTTTGGTTTGGTTTGGTCTATTTGGCCTCACACCCCCTCCTAACCTCCCTCCTCCCCGCTCACCCGCTCAAGCAGCGCATCCAACCGCTCCGCGATCTCACTGAATCCGGGGCGCAGGCGGGGGTTGGCGTGCCAGCAGGCCTGGGGGGGGGGAGAATAAATAAAAGCAAAGCAACGAAGTCCCAATCCCTAATACCCCTCACCCCCGAGGGGGTGAGGAGATGGGGGGGGGGTAGAACCCCCACACCGTTTCATTTAAAATAGGTTGGTTTCTCTCTGCTAGCCCCTAACCCCTAACCCCCTCCTCCCCACCTCCCCCCCGCACCTGCATCAGCTCCGCCCAGTGCGGGTGGCAGTCCAACGGCACTCCCGGCCGCAGACTGCCCGTCATGACGCCCGCGAATATGTCCGCCAGGCCCAGCTCCGCGTAGGGCTGCTCGCCGCACCGCCAGATCTCCCACAACACGATACCGAAGGAGAAGACGTCCACCTGGGGAGGGGGTAAAAAGAAATTCCAAAGTGTGGTATGATAATGATAAAAGTTGGGGGGTGGGGGGTGGGAGGGAGGGAAGGGTAAATGTAAGGAAACGGGCGAGCTGTATGACGAGGCTTCGCCATGGGTTGGGAAGGGGGGGATAAGGAGGGGGGGGGTTGGAAAGCGCCGCGTGTTACCTGTGAAGTGCCCATCACCATGTAGCATGACATGTTGATACGTACCCAATCATGCATCATGCACTTCCATCACACTCTTCCATCACACCTGGATGCGGTGCCGCATGTGTAAGGGGTACATACCCACTCACCCACCCACCGTTACTTGCCTCGTCAGTTTCCTTACTTTTACCCAACCCACCCACCTTTTCATTCACTCGGTCGTCCACCGCCTCCATCACCACCCGCCCCTCTGCTCCAGCTGCCCCTCCTGCCCCAGCCACAACTCCCTCTACGCCGCCTATTGCTCCTCCTGCTGCTGCCCCTGCTGCCGCTCCTGTCCCTGCTGCTGCTAATCCAGCACCGCCCCCTGCCTCTCCCCCTGCTGCTGCACCCGCCCCCGCCCCCACCCCCGCCCCCGCCTCTGCCGCCTCCTGCTGCTGCCGCTGCCGCTCCCGCACCGCCGGGAAGAGCTCGGGCGCCATCCAGGGCAGGGTGCCGCGCATGTTGCCACTCACGAAGCTGTCCTTCTTCTTCTGTTTGCAGGAGGGGGGGTGGGAGGAGGAGGATGAGGTAGAGGTGGCGGGGGTGGGAGGCGGGAGGTTTGGGTGGTGGTGGTGGGGGGGTGGGAGGTTGGGAGTTGGGGTTACCCAGGCAACCCTGCAAGCCCCAGTCGAGAACCTTGGCCACCTCCTGACAGCCTCGTGGGTAGGGATGGAGACCTAACCACCTCCCTTTCCCTGCACCGCTCCCACTCACCCACCCTCCCCCAACATCCCCCCCACACACACACCTTTGACACATGCGAACCTATCCCAACTGCTTGCTCTTGTTTCCGCTCAACTACACCCACCTTTGACAGCCCCAGGTCCCCAATCTTGACCACCGGCCGCCCAGGGTCGCGCAGGTCGCACAGCAGGTTGTCGGCCTTGAGGTCGAAGTGAACCACCGACTGGGAGTGAAGGTACTCCATGCCGCGAGCGGCCTGGGAAGGGGGGTGGTTGGGGGCGGGGCAGGAGGGGGGGGTTGGTAGAGATACATATCCTCGCCCCCTCCCAGCTTCCTCTTTCCCACCGTTTCCCTCCCCCTCCCTTTCCCTCCGTTTCCCTCCCCCTCCCTTTCCCTCCCTCTCCCTCCCTGCCTTTCCATCCCTCCCCTCCCCTCCCTTCCCCGCACCTGCAGCGCTATGGCCACCCGAAGCCGCCCGCTGATCTCAATACCCTGTTGGGTAAGGGGCAGCGGGCAAGGGAGGGGGGGGGTGGAAGGGGGAAGGATGAAGTAGGGGCGACGGGTAGGAGGAAGGAAGGAAACGGGGTCAGGGGTGCATGTGGGAATTGGGCATGGACACCCCACCAGGGGTAAGAACCACCACCCGACCCCGATCCAATAACAGCGGTTCCCTGCTCCGCAGCAGCTGCAGCCTACAGCCACTCTGGTACGTGCCCACCAGGCCCCATCCGGTCCCCTCCTTCGCATTTACTTTCCCATACCCCCTCCTCCGTCTCCCGCCCCCTCCCCTTGTCACACAGCCCCTTAGTTGCCTCGTCAGTTTCCCCAGTACCCCCCTCCAACCCCCCCCCCCTCCACCTGCTTCCTCAGCCTGCTCAGCCCGCCCCTCAGGCTGCCCCCCCGCATGTACTCCACCACCGTGCCGCAGCAACCCGCCCCCAGCAGCACTCCGTAGAAGGCCAGGATGCAGGGGTGCCGCAGAGAGGCTAGCCGCTCCGCCTCACTGAAGGCCTGGGTGGTGGGGGGGGGGAGGGGCGGGTGGAGGGAGGGAAAGTGGGGGGCAGGGGAGGAAGGGATCGGAGGGCGGGTGGGGGAATTAGGTAAACTGAGCCGCGAGGAAACACTGACCGGTGGATGGGCGAGTGGGCGGAGAAGGGGTTCTGGGGGGACGGGGGACAGGCATGAGGGTGCATCTGGGGAGGGGTGGGAGTGACGGAAGATAGGGCAGGGGGTGGCGCTCCGCCTAGCTGAAGGCCTGGGGATGAAAGGAGGGGAGGCAGAGGGGTTGGACTGGCAGGTGAGGTTTGACTGGTCCAGCATCCCGGGAGAGCCCTTCCCAAGTATCCACACGTTATAACCCTTGCCCATTTCCATCTCCGCGTTTCATTCCCCTCTCAGCCCCCACACCCCACCCAGTGCCCCCCAACCCCTCTCCCCTCTCTTACCTCCCCCGGCGCCCCTCCCCAGCTATCCGTCGCCCCCAGGTGCAGCAGCTCCTTCAACGCCACCTCCACACCCCGCCATCGAGCCAACCAAACACTGCCAAAACACCCCCGACCCAGCTCCCGAACCTTCACCACCTCCTCGCAGCCAATGCGCTGCAGGTGGGGCGGAACCGCGAGCTCGAGCTCTGAGTGACCCGCCGGGTCGGTCGTGGGTCGCCAGTCGCCCTCGCTGTCCCACACGCCCACGTCAAGTACGGAGCCGACGGCGAGGCGAATGCCGCCGCCGCCAAGACGAGGACGAGCGACCGGCGGCGTCGGAGCGGTTGACGACGACGAACGAGTCGCGTCATTGACCCCAGTGGAGCAGTTGGGTGTGAGGGGTAGTTGTGTTGGCGGTGGCGGTGGCGGAGGCGTTGTGGGTGGGATGGGTACGGATGGTGACACGGCGCTTGAGGTAGGAGTGGTGGGGGTGACAGGGGTGGGGGTGGTGGCGGTTGAGATGGCGGAGGCGGCGGCCGCTAGGTGAGCAGTCCGGGGGGACGAGGGAGGGTGGCCTGCCGGGGGAGGTGGCGCGGGGCTCCACGGAGAAGCGGGTGTGGAGGTGGTGGAGGTGGTGGAGGGGGTAATGGTGCCGGCAGCAGTGGCTGCAGCAGCAGCAGCTGCTGCAGCCGACGCTGCAGCTGAGGAAGGAGGAGCTGAGGAAGGAGGAGCTGAGGAAGGAGGAACCAAAGAAGGGGGGGCTGGGGTGGTGTCGAGGTGCCCCCGGCGGAGGTGGTTGTGCAGGTGGTGCGAGCGGCCGGGGGGAGGAGGGGGGTGCGGCTCTGGCGTGAGGGGGAGGTGAGGGGAAGGAAGGAAGGAGAAGAAGGAAAGAGCTTAAGAAAAACGAAGTGAGGCAAGGAAGGAAGGAGGGGGAAAGCAACACGAACAACAAGGCGGGGCTCGAAAGAGAGCAGACAGGGAAGACGCCGTCCATCATGGCTATCGCCGCGGCATCAGAGCGGCACAACGGCCATGCAAAAGGATTGCCCCCCCCCCGTGGTTTCCTACGGCCCCACCCGACCCTAGCCACTCACCGGTTGGTGACGTGGAAAGAGGTTCCAGGAGGGAACTTGAGCAACGCCCTCCTCCTCCTCCTCCTCCCTGCGTGCCACCACCTCCTGCACCTCCGCTTCCTCCACCTCCGCCACCACCTCCACCACGTCCGCTCCCTCCATCTCCACCGCCACCGCCACCGCCACCGCCACCGCCACCTCCACCTCCACCTCCACCTCCACCTCCACCTCCACCTCCACCTCCACCTCCACCTCCACCTCCACCTCCACCTCCACCTCCACCTCCACCTCCACCTCCACCTCCACCTCCACCTCCACCTCCACCTCCACCTCCACCTCCACCACCGCCGCCACCGCCACATCTCCTCGACAGCTGGGGTTGTGAGTGGCAGTGCAGCGGCAGCGAGTGACGTAGGAGGGTGGTGGCGGAGGGGTGCGACCTGCTGCGGCTGCTGCGGCTGCTGGGGCTGTTGGGGTGGGCTGCCTGCGGCTGCTGGGGGTGCTGGGGGTGCTGCTGCTGGGCCGTAGACTGAGACGGTAACTTAGAAGGTAACTGAGAAGGTAACTGGGAGGGTAACTGGGATTGTGGTGGCTGTTGTCTCAGTGGTGCTGGCGGCGAGTGAGGACGCGGTGAGGGGAGCAGCGGCGGGGCGCTGCTGCCTCCTCCTCCTCCTCCTCCTGATGGCCCCCCGAAGCTGTCCTGAGCATCAGACACCGCAGCGGTAGCAGTCGACAGAGGCGGATGCGGTGGCATGGGTAGCAGTACGACACTGCTCGGTTGCTGCTGCTGCTGAGGCTGGGGGTGCTGAAGCTGCTGCTGCTGGCCCCTGGGGAAGCTACAGGAAGCAGCGGTGCAGCCGCCGCCTGCTGCTGCTGCTGCTGCCCCTCCAGCGGCTGCCGCCGCTACCGGTGCAACAATAACAGCTGCGGCGCTGGCATTATGGTTGTGATTGATCTCAGCAACAGCAGCCTCAGCAGGAGAGCGACCGCCTCCGCCGCCGCCACTTCCTCCTCCTCCTGTTTTTATGCTTTCACCGCCTCCGCTAGTGCTGTACCGCCCACTGCCGCTGGTGGCAGCAGCGGTACCCTCACCCCCGCCAATACCTCCTTCCTCATCACGAGGGCAGCAGCAGCAGCTGCCTGAGGCAACAGCACCCGCATGCTCATCATGCGCGCTGGCAGCAGCAGGGGCAGCAGGGGCAGCACCAGCTCCTACGCCTCCTGCCAGCGCCCTTCCGCCTGTTCCCCCTGCTGCTACTGCTGCTCCTGCGGGTAGCTCCTCTCCAGCTGCTGCTGCTGCTTCTCCTGCAGCCCCGGTCATCTCCCCTCCTGCAGCTGCTTCCCCTGCCAGCTCCCCTTCTGGGTCCAGACTGAGGCTGAAGCTCACCAAACCCGAGGAGAGGCAGCCGGACAGCACCTCGGAGGAGGGGGCTGCTGCTGCTGCCGCCGCCGCCTCCAGGTGGGAGGTGCTGTAGTGGAATACGGCAGGTACGGGATCGAGAGCAGCATGTACGGCAGGACGTACGGCAGCGGCAGCGGAGGAGCTACAGCAGGGGGGGCCCCGCCTGCTGCTGCTGCTGCTGCTGCGAGCTCCCACCGAGGTCTCCCTCCTGCTGAGTCGCTCTTTGAAGGTGAGGGAGACGTGCAGTGCTGCCTCCAGCTCGCTGCTCAGCCGCTGTGGAAGTGAGGGAGGGAGGGAGGGAGGCGGCAGGAGGAGCGGGGAGGGATGAGGGGGTAGGCAGGGAGGGGAGGGAGAAGGAGACCAGGTTGGCAATGATATTGGTATGCAACCAAGGAGAGAGGGGTGAAGGAGGGGCTAAGGGTAGGGACTAAGGAGGGGCGGGGAGTGCTCACCTCTTTGACCTTGTCATAGTTGTCATCCCCTCCCAGCTGCCGCTGCTCGTCTTCCTCCATGGCCTCGGCACAAGTGGGCAGCAAGCCCGCGGTGGATGAGGATGGACGGAAGTCGCTCCCTAAAAGCGCGTCGATCTCCGAAACCGTGCGCCATGCTTTGACCAGGGAATCCTCCCGAGAGGCAATCTGTGTGGAACGTTGGGGGAGGCATAGGGTGGAGGGAGGCGATGTAGGACCAGGAATGCCTTTCGCCCGTACCGCCCTTGTTCCCGGCCCATCAGTTCCCGGCCGGCAGGACTGGGAGCGCGCGTACAACAATTTTGGCGTGATGGTGACTAGCATGAGACGCTTACGTCGCTGGGAGGGGACTCCACAACGGTGCTGCTGCGCTTGCTGTTGAAGAACTGGAATCGGTTCTGCGGAAGATGCCAGGCAGGTTTCAAGGTGGACGTAAGCGTGAGGTGCGCCCCAGATCTCCACACGCTTATATAGAAAATAGCAGACTGGTATGTAAAGGGGCTTACATTGTAAGGAGTGCTTGAGCCCTCGCTGTCCAGCCTATCTTGCGCTTTCCGACCGTTCACAATGCGGTCCAGCGAGTTTTCGAACTGCCGCAGGCCAAAGCCACCAGCTCCGATTCCACCGCTCAAACTAGGAAACGTATCGTATGCGCCTGCCGAGCGAGGATTCATGGTACCAGATGCTGGCTAGCCTCCTTGTGCTGGTCACGCGTTGTCAACTATTTACTCTCCCTTCCGTGGAATCCTAGCAGCGACCGTAGACCTTGCTGGTCAGCATTCACGAAAGCTAGCACAGGGAAGCAGTTGAATGTGAGAAGTAATAGATATTCAGGTATCACGCAACGCACAAGCTCATCGACTTGCAACTATTCCCATCGTTGTAAAAATCCCTTGTTCGATCATGGAAGAAACACAGATCACGGTGTAGTTATTCCTAACGAACGTACGTTCACCTGTACCTAAGTTAAATACGTTATATGTATTAAAGATGCATTTCCGTTGGGCTGAAGATCATGGGAAAAGAAGTTCGATGAAACATGGGACGAGCATCCTAGAATATTTTCCGAATAGCCACCATTTTAGACTGTTTACCCCCTTCAGTAATCGCCTGTGCTATATAGTGGGACGACAGTGCTTACTGCTGGAATTTGGTCTCCTTCTTAACCTTCCCCGTGGACATCACTTGGCCTCTATTAGATTACTTACATAGGCATCGTCCTTGACATGGGATTATGTTATTAATTGGGTCGTAGCAGCACTAAAAGCAGCCATTCCTCCAGCGGCTTGCAAAGTTCGTCGGGGGCAGCAAGCAGCCCAACCACAAGGATTGGGGATCTCTTGCTCCGGAGCTGGCTATAACTAAAACAAAGGGCTATGATGAATGGAGGATTTGGATTGTGCCCCGTGTTTGCTGGCCACGGCCGCTTGGGCCTGGCATGCACGCGCCGGCGTTCTAGGTCTACGCAGATAGTTCCGACGTCCTCATGTGATGAGAGGTAAACGATGACAGAGCAGCTCTCTATTAGTCTTATTTGTGTCCTGGCCAATCCTTACGAATCTCAGCTCACATCCGCTCCTTCCACCTTTGCCATCGTTGCCATCACGCGTCACATACAGCGTCCTAACCCACAAACCTCCTCCAACCTGACTCTATACTAACAACAAACCCTGGCCTTCCAAAATGCCACGACCCACATCCCCTGCCAGCCTTCCTGGCCCAGGCCCCTCTTCCCTAGCAGCAGCAGCAGCTGCTAGTGCAGCCAGGCAACCCTCCTTCCGGCATTCACGCACCTCCTTCGTGCCCCTCCTCACATCGCCGTCTTCCTGGCAGCGCGCCCAAGCTGCGAGCAGTACAATCGCCAAAGCAAGCAAAAGCGGCAGCAGCGGCAGTAGCAGCGCTAGCAGTAGACGAAGCAAGGCACAGGAGGCTGCCACACCTACCGGCGGGGATGGCAGTAGCAGCCCGGTTGCCCCAGCCTCGACGACCTCCACCCTCCTCCCTTCAACGCCCTCCCCCTCAACTCAGACCCAGACAAAACCCCGCCGAAAAAATCAGAAGCAACAACAACAACAACAACAGCAAGAGGAAGAAAAAGAAGAGGAGCAGCAGCCGCAGCGGCGGGGGCGGCGGGGGCGAGGGCCTGGGGCCGGATGCGCCGAGGACGTGGAACCAGAGGAGGTGGCAGCGGCCTTTGCAACTGAAGGGAAGGGGATGGCTACAAGTGCTGCTGCTTCCGCTGTCGTCGCCGATACCGCTTCAACCACCACAACCACCACAACGGGGGCCCAGGGGACCCGCAGACCCCGCAGCAACCCTAGCAGCAAAGTACAAAGCACGGGCAGCAGCACTGACAGCAAGAGCACGCCGAACCCTGTCACTCGCTCATCGACCAACACCTACAGCCTCGCCAACTTCGCCACTAACAAACAAGCAACCGCCGCCGGTGACGAGTCGGCAGCCGTTGACGGCGACGACGACGAACTGACAACCGTTGACGGCGACGACGACGACTCGTCCACTGGCGACGACGACTCGCCGACCTTCCCATTCATGGGCCCATTCACTCGCGTGCCCGACGGACGACAGCTCATCTCCGTCATGCCCGACACGCCCGCGCCGGCCGCCGGTGGCGCATTGAGTCGCGCATTGGGTACCGAGGGACGAGCCGTCGTTCGCTTCGACGGCGGCGGCGGCGGCCTTCGCGGGCTGCGAGTGCTGACACTGGCGCATTACTACATGGGCAATTTCCGACGCGCAATGAGCTTCGTAACGGATGTACGAGAAGTAGCGTACAACCATTTTAACCACCCGCTGTCCGAACGACCGCGATCCGGCGACGTTTCGTTTCAGTATCGATTGATGGCTCGGGCGCGCGGTCTGGAGCCCCACGACACTCATTTGGGGGTGAGATGGGACGGAAGTACCTTCAGGAATAGTAACCCGGTCCGAAACACGTACGGCAACATGTCGTACAAAGGCAATGGGGATGGGGTAGAAGGGGTGCAAGGAGAAAGGGTATGTGGGCGGGATAGCAGTCTCCTCAGCGTGACTTACCACCTTCATCCCTCCCTTCCCTTCCTTCCCGCCTCCCCTCCTCACCCGCCCACCATCGTAGGCCGCCCTGCGTCGTGCTAGTTTCCTGCTAGATCTCTCCATCAATGTACGGCAAGCCTGGGACGTCAAGGGTGACGTGGATGAGGAGCAATCGTACGATCTGGCTGACACGCTGTATGCCGTACTTGCTCGTACAAGCCTGGAATCTGACGAAAAGGACGATCCAAATCCGGGTCCGTACGGCGGAGACGAAGGGTCATCATCATCACCATCATCATCAGCAGCAGCAGCAGCTGATGGAAGGCGGCAGCCGCAACAGCAGCAGCGGGGAAGGTCGTGGCGGGGTCAGAGGCAGCAGCATGAGGAGGAAGGGGAGGAGGGACGGGGGTCCGCGCCCCGGGGTCCTCCTGCGCTACCTGATCCGGGAGCCCCGCTGGTGTATCTGACGACGGATTTGGCTCAGGGGTTGACCACCTTCACGGCTTTGGGGCTGCTGCAAAAGAGGCTGCGGGAGGAGGGGCAGAAGGTGGGGCCGGGTGGGGCGGGATAGGAAACGGGTAATGGAGGAGCGGGGGTTGGTAGGACGCAGTGTCCTGAAGGATATAAGGGTAAGGAAGGGGAGGCCGAAAACATCCTTCCAACCACCCAGCCACCATTAACCACCTAACCATCCTAACAACCACCCCAACCGGTTCCCCAACCGACTCGCTATATACAGGTGGTGGTTGAAACCACGCTGTACCGAGCCGCCGTATCCGCTCCCCGACTGGACGGTCGCGACGGCTGGGTGTTTGCGGTACGCCTGGGGTTCCTGGAATGGTACCGACCCAACCTGGATAACTGGAAGGTCCAGCAATGGCGGGCACAGCAGCAGCAACGGCTGCAGGCGCAGGGGCGGGACTGGTCGTGGGAGTGAGGAGCAGTAGAGCGGGTTGCATTGTTGGGTTGTGTGCGTGGATGGAGAATGCTGTGCGTGAGGAGGCAGGAGGCGCATAGCAAGACGGCCTTACTGATGCTGTTGCTGCTGTTGTAGTAGTAGTAGGATTTCGAAGCAGGAAGGAGGTTGGTGACTGGGGTTTGAAAGGGGAGATGGTTGGTGGTTGGCCGGTAGGTGGTTTGGAGGATGTGTAGTTTGTGGGAGTGGGACGCATACATGCATGCGGGGGTGGCGGGGAGAGGGCAGCTTTGGGGCTGCTCTGCTTGCGGTGTAGTAAGGTAGGCACGGCCTCCTTTACTGGGAGAGGCTACAGCAGTGGCAGCATGTCATGGCTTTAGAAGGCCGCTGGGATAGGCTGGGGTTTGGAAAACTTTGGGGGAGGGAGGGAGACGAAGAAGGGAGAGGGGAGTCACAGCCTGGGATATGGCTTGGTAGGTATCGTGTGGTAGGTAGGGACGTGAACCCACATGCCCCTGGTGCTGCAGGGTGGGTATCGGTGGGTGTCAAATGTGCTGCAGTTGGGGTAAGGGGCAGCAGGAGGCAGGGAAGAGAACCCTTGCGGTGGCAGGTGGTAGTGTGGTAGTGTGCCAGGTGGTGGGGATGCGACAGGAACGTCGTACAACAGCTCCACGGCAGGTGTGTTGAAGGCGCTGCCACAAGCACACGTGTACCGTACGTGGGCTGATGGCCATGATAGCGTGTACTCGTACGTGACAGGCCTTTGTGTGTGTGGCCATTTGAACGAATACGTGTATAGGTCATCTCACGTGTATTTGCCTGACTAATAGCTTTCGCATGCTTCGTGCTCTCCTCTTGCGCGCATTGCATGCACGCATACGCGCACGTGAGATGACACATGAGCTATTCGGCATTGGCAAGGCGCTCATCTAGGGCAGACTGCCGTCGTTATTTACAGGAAAGCCAGGGAAAGCACCACACGTGCGATTCTCCAACGACCTCCCAGCGACGTTGGCTGGTTGCATGTCATTGTATGATGTGTGCAAAAGAATCAACCAAGGGAACGCGGTAAGGGGAGAGAGAAAAGAGCCTCGTACTCTCATCACTGCAGGAGACCCCCTCCCTCCTCACATACCGTAGCGACATACATACATAACGCCTTAACACATCCAGTGTTCTCAACACACATCCATGCACCTACAACGCAGTGACATCTTTATTTACCCGCCCCCCCCCGCAAAAAACACGCACGTGTGTACACGTGTGTGATTGCTAGGCAATAATGCAACCCCCCACCCCCACCCAGGTAACGCGCCTGCACATGTGGCTTCTGCGCGAATGAACACAGCAACTCATCACACGCCTCACATCCCCCGCCCGACTCCTGTGCTCCTACTTCATCCCGCCGCCTCGTGTGCCCCTGCGAAACTCCACATCCCCCCTGCCGTACGGTACCCTCGGTGCCTGCGTTGCCCACCCTCGCCTAACATCTTTGACTCGCACACACACACACGCTCTTCTCTTCCCACTTGAGTTCCCAATCTCTTCCTCGCAAGCCTTGAAAACACAGAAACAAACACAGCTTCTTTTCCACAAGTTTTTGAGGACGGAAACAAACACAAAGTTTTAAAAAATCAATAACCAGACGCGCAACCAGCAAAACGAAACACGGCACACAATCCCTCTCTCTCGCTCGCTCGCTCTGGAAAAGGAACCACAAACAAGCTGCTGCTGACGACGAAACCTCATCATTCAAAAGCGCAGGAGCACGTCGCACGGCCCCCTGCCATGCCATGCGCCAACTTCCATCGCCTCTGACCCACGGGTCACACATCAGTTGTGTTTCTTCACCTCCGGGTATACAAAATGCACCCACACGTTCGCAAAGTAGATGGCCAGAGACCAGAGCCCCAGCACCACTCCGCCCCACAGCCCCACATAAGCCCCGCGGCTCAAGGACAAAAAGAGCGTGGAGTCTGCGGATGGGTGGGCCAAGCGGAAAAGGGGTAAAGAGGAAGAAACCAATTAACCAACTAGCTAACCGTTAATGACAAGGCTGCATGCATGGTGGGTAAGTAAAGATAAAGAGAAACTGACGAGGTTGGGGGGGGGCGTAGTATGTAAACAGGGAATGTGGGCAGATGAAGGCAGATGGAGGCAGACGAAGCATGTGTGGAGGGGGGTACTTGCAGCACGGGTGCACCCCCCCTCCTCTTCCCCCCCTCCCCACCCGCCCGCGCACCTGCCCGGTCCGCCAGCAGGTCCCCAATGGGTTGTCGTACCACCAGCAGTACGGACATGGACACCATCTGCAGCGCCGTTTTCCACTTGCCCAGCGTGTTGACCTTGACAGCCTGCGGGAGGGGTGGGAATTATAGATAAGTGCATCAACGGAGGGGGGAGCAGGAGGAAGAGGGGTGAGGGGCGAGGAGAAAAGAGGAAGGAGGGGTGTATCGTGAGCAGGACGACTCGCACCAGGCTATAATACCGGCAACTCGGACAGGTAGCACCAAAACACACCAACACGAGGAACGTGAGGTTATGTGCGTGTGTGTTTTCCCCGTCTCATCAGCTCATCACCCACATACACCCCTGCTTCACGCTATCCCTCTTGCTTTGCCCTAACCTGTGGTTCTGGTATAGTTTTGACACCCCCTACCTTTGACGCGCCTCCCCCCGCCGCCGCCGCCCACTCCCTCAGCGCGCTCATGGTGATCTCCCGGCATATGATGAGCACCACGGGGGCCGTCATGAGGGCGGGCGTCCAGGGGGGCGGGGGTGACACCGCCAGCAACACCAGCGCGGTGGCTACCCTTTGGGAGGAGGGAGGAGGGGGAGGAGGAGGGAGACAGGAGGTGAGATGTCGAGTATTCCTGGGATTCCTGGGATAGGGTGACCCATGGGTCGTTCGGGAGGAGGAGGGAGGCGCGCGAGATGACTTACCCGTCCTCCTCCTCCTCAACCTCAACCCTCAAGGCTTTCTGTTAGCTCCGTGTTTGCGCCCCCAGCCAGCCATGTGAACCTCCCATGCAGCAGGACCCCTCCTCCCTCCCTCAGGTGCACCCCCACACCCCCAATCCAATCGTGCCACCCCCGTCCCCCGCTCAAACCCCACACCCTCCATCACCCCAGGCCAGGCCTCCCAACACCCCAACATCCAGCCCCCACCCCCCGGTCCTCACATGATCTTATCCGCCACGGGATCCAAGAAGGCGCCAAACACCGTTGCAATCTTGAGCTGCAGGGAGGGGAGCAGGAGCAGGGGGGAGCAGGAGCAGGGGGGTGGTGTGCCCATTGAGTCGCAGCAAGGAAACACACCAGCTGCCACGACCTGGGGAAGCATGGGGGCGTCGTACACCCCTAGCCGCCTACTACCCAAGAACCCAATCCGTCCATCCACCCCCACCCATGCAGGGGGTGGGGGGGTCACTGGTCAGTGTTTCCTCCCGGCTCAGTTTACCTAGCCCCCACCCATGCACCTCCCACGGAATGCTTGGCTTGCTTCCTCTCTACACCCTCCCACGCAAACCCACCCACCCAACCCGCCGAGCGCCCACCTCAACCCTAAACCACATCCATGCAACCCTCCCAGACCCGCCAAAACCCACCCAAAAGCAGCCACCCAAACACACCCGCCCGCCCCAACCCACACACCCAAACCCAAACCCACCTTCCGTGCCAAGTAGCCATCAAAGTAATCCGTCACGCTGGCCGCGATGAAGATGACCGCACACAGACTGGGAGTCAGTCGGTGGCTCAGCTCCCACACCCCCAGCAGAACCGGCACCAGCAGCAGCCGGAAGAAGGTGAGGATGTTGGGCAGCGTCATGAGCGGTTGGGCGACGGGCGGGTGTGGCACGACTAGGGCGGCGTGACGGTAGAAGTCGCTGCGGCGATCGATGGGGGATACAAGTGATTCCTGGGGAGGAGGGGAGTGGGCGGGAGGAGAAAGGGAGAGAGCAGGGAGGAGTGGAGAGGGAGGAAAGGAGGAAGGGAGGAGGCAGAGGGAGGGGTTTGCGGCGGTACGATAGCAACCAGGGAAGGGCAGGGACTGCTGGAGGGGGCTGGGAAGAGGGGGGAGGAACGGAGCGGGTAAGGTGAAAGGAGCGCAGCGTCGCCATGGACGACAGCATCAAAAACCTAATTGGTGGCAATTGCCCTTGCGTGGCTGATTGTAAAAAGGCGATGACTCGTGTAGGCAGTTTGCGCATAGCCCGCGCTTAGTGGTGACGTAAAGGCTTGCAGAAAGACGCAAAGATGGAAACCGGGATGGTAACTGGCCATGGGAATGACGCACCGCGGGCTTTTGCACACCGATCAGCGGCACAATGGGGATGTCTGACGTGTCGCTTGTGTCCGCCATTGCGTCGTCTTGTTGCTGAGGTTGCGGTGTTTGTGACGCTGCAATGACAGCTGCGATGCTTCGGCCCGACACACGAGAGCGATTACTTTTTGTTATATCGAAATAAGCGATACCGGTAGTTGTCACAGGAATACCCAATGGTATAGCGATGCACTTGCAGGACTAAGACTAGTGCAATATGAGAACGTTCTTCTGCAAGGCGATGATATTTAGGCTTCTTTGGGCTTCTGCTGAGTTACAGTTAATGTTAATGCTACGCTTGGAAGGCATCGTGCAGTCCGATACGTGAAGGTGCTAGTAGTGTCTCCGTACTGTTCAGCCCTACAGAAGCACATGAGGTAGTGTAATGCCTGGTTAAATCTCGGCAACAATGATCAGGTTTGATTTGTCCCACCGCGACCTACCTTTAGGCGCGGGCTGTCGCATTTCGTCGGCATGTAAGCCATTCTCCGTTGGGGCAACGGCACTGGCCTCAACCCGCGCTTGTCGTTACCACCACACCCAGCGCTCCGGGCACATACCTCTGCAATTTTCCTTGGGGGGGCGGCAGCAGCGATGCAGTCCTCCCTTGTCGCTTCGTCATGCAACAGTTGACAGCAACACTTGCAACCTGGGTAAGTTTTAGAGCCCTGAACCTTTCCTACGTGAGAGCGCTCGGCCTTTTAAGGTCAATAGAGGCTATGATTTCTCCGTCCGCGCTGCGCACCATTCCTACAACCACATCATCCTCACAATCGCAGTGCAGGTTCCCATGACAAGCGCAACGACAGCAGTCAGATGCAGATCCAAACACAACCCAGACGGCAACTCATCTTTCGACTTCTAGCGGGCGGCGTTACCGCTGGCCCAGTTGCGTGGCTGCTGACCGCATGTCTCCCTGCATCAGCGCCATCCATCTCAGACATCCTGCCGCTGCCAACTCCGGTCGGTCCCGCCGCAGCACTTCCCTTGGGCCCGCTAGGCCCGGTGGTGCGTGTGGGCGACGCCAAGCGCACCGGACTTACAACGGAGGAAGTGGCGGTAGGTCATATTTCAGTAATGTCAAGTAATGTCTGCGCGATTTCCTGCGTCCTGCATCTCCCCTCTTCAGCTTCGCATCCTGCCTTTTCGCAACCTACCCTCCTTCCTTTCCCCTTTCCTCCTCTTCCTCCTCAGGCCATCTTGTCGCGTGACCTAGCGGAGGGGAAGTACTTTGTGACAGGGCGCCTCACTAAAGAGATCTTCGCGGACGACTGCAGGTGAGGGTGCTTGCTTGCTTGGGATGTGCACAGGAGTCGCGTCGCTTTGTACTTTGATCATAGCCGCCTCCGTTTGAGGAAGGCAGGTGGGGCGCTTGCTTGGGTACTCTTTGGGTGTTGTGACGTGTGATGCCGTACACATACACATGCCGTACGTTTGCCCCGCCTGCCAGGTTCGTGGACCCAACCAATGATGTGAGGGGCCTGTCTCGCTACTTGACGGCGCTGGGGGTCCTCTTCGACCCACGGGTCAGCAAGGTGGGGAGAATTCGACACTGCTGCCGTACAACTCACAGCCTCGAACCGTGGTTCGACGAACTCTTTGACAGATAGATATTCGTATAAAAAGCTTTGCCCTCTTATACCTACCTCTCTTACATCCCCTACTGTTCACGTAATACCCTTCGAACGTGCCGGAACGGTATTGCTGCACACGTCACCCAGCTCCGAAGCCTCCAATTGTCCTCTGTGGCATTGTCCTTTCTCTCGTCTTCGTTGTATATTTCTGTCATGTGTTCCGTTTCTATCTGCAGGTGGAGTTGTTGGGCATTCGGGTGAGCGGGCCTCGCTCCATCGAGGCGGACTGGCGACTGGGTGGCTACCTGAACCTGCCCTGGAACCCGCGGGTGGAGCCATTTGAGGGTGCGTGTGTGTGTTTGGGGGGGGGGGAAGATAAATGCGTGTGTGGGGGAATACGTCCCGTACGTTCCGTTTAGAAAACTGGACATGATTAGAACATACTGGAGTACGTGTGTGTGTGTGTATGGGACGTACTCGTGTGTACGCCGTGTGGCGATGCATGGGGTCGAGCCCTAAAAAGGATACATGAACCCATGCATGCATGCATGTGCCCCACTCGCCGCCCCAGGTCACACCCAGTACAGCCTGAACGAGGCGGGGCTGGTTTCGGAGCAGCGGCAGCAGTGGAGCATCAGCGCCGGCCGGGCGCTGCAGGAGAGCTTCACGCCCAGCTGGGGGCCCAGGCGGCAGCTGTTTTAGGGGAGGGTGTGTAGTTGAGCGGAAAAAACAAGAGCAGGAGGAGGAGGCGCGGTAGCAGGAAGTGGGAGGGAGAGAGGGGTTATGGGAGCAGGGGCAGAGCTGCCCCAAAGGTGATAAGAAGGGCGGAGGGTGGCTCCGGGAGGTCACAAGTGATGCATGTCGTGGGGCACGATCGTAGGGGTGAAGGACGTATGTGTAGGTAGGGGCGAGTGTGTGTTTCGTTGTTGACACGTGCCCCGCTCCATTCCACTCCTCCACGGGGACGCGGGTTGCAGCTGCCCTCATGCTGCTGTACTGCTTCTGGCGGTGATTCATTTTTGTACAAATGGGGAGATTTAAAAACCCCACATGGGGGCTGAAGAGGAGACACGGACGTGTGACTTGGCTAACAAGCACAACTTCTCGACCCTGCACTCACTGCACATACGGCCGGGCGGGACTTGCCTACCGGACACGTCCTGAATCTACGGCGCCTATTATACCCGTACCTCTATATTACCTATACCCCGTTCTCGGCGGTGATATGATGTGGAAGTGCACCAACACACATACATTCCTACTCGCGGCCAGTTTTCTTAACACACCGCCGGTCCGTGCACGTGTGTCTTCTGCGGCCTGTCCGAAGCCTCCCGACACACCGTATGCCCCCTCGCTCCACCATACAAGTCGTCCAGCTTCGAACAGCGAGTCAGACACAGCTGCCACAGTCCGAACCAATCGCCCTTACTACACCGCCCCTCCCCTCTTACAACGGGTTGGTTCCTCTTTGACCCCCCGCACCCGCGCAGCATTGAAAAGCCACCATTAACAGCAGGGGTAGGTGAAGCTCCCACACAGCTAGGAACGCCTCACTCGCAACTGCGGGATGAATGATGGGACGCAACAGCGGTCGGGTTGCGCTGCTACCTCCGATCCTGCGGTATACTCCGGTACCCAACACTACTCGAAAGACAGCATCAAACCCTCCTCGCAAATCCAAACATGTGGCAGGCAGAGAACACCGTCCATGAGCCTCCTAGCCGCAGATCCTTAAATCGCCCGAATCTTGCGAAATCCGTTGTCCGGGGGCAGCCGTTCACACATATGCATGCATGCAGTGACACAGCCGCGGCCGCCAGCACCGGTAATACCCCCTCCCCTCAAGCGGTTCGTTAGTTGTTTCCACTTTACCATACCCTCCCCCAAAACGACAAAGCCCGAACCCACGTCCCTGCCACGTCCCTTCCTTCAGCATTGTATCAGCCTGCGGCGAAGCTGCGTTCGCTATCTCAAGCCCAGACCCCACCCCATACCTGCGCGTCCCTTTCCTTCCCTGTAATTACCACCGATCTAGACCCATCGGGCGCCCGCCCTCTATACCGGTAACCATGCACAACGGTACCAGCCAGGGACGCATGCGCACACACGCCTCGACAATCCAGTAGCATGCGCGCACACGTTCCGTCTTGCGGCCAGTTTACTCGCAGCCAGTTTTCTCTTTAAACATACACCTTCCGGCAGCCAATGAAGAACGTTCCGACTCGCTCGGCAAGTTTTCCGGTACCCCCCCCCCAAACAAGCTACACAGCCGGCTATCACACGCAACCCGCCCCCACACTATCATCGCCCAGGGGGGGGAAGGGTGTTCCTGCCTTCCCACACTATCGAGGCAACAGCGGACGCCGTACGTCGCCACTCTCCCCACTGCCTGCCACCTCGTCCGCCACGCCTCCGCCTCCCAACCCTAACCCCCCAGCGGCGGAGGAGGGGGTACCCGCGGAGGCCGCAAGTGCTATGTGGTCTAGGGAGGGGCTGTACAGCATGCGGGGCATGGCTCGCTCGTTGGCTTTGGGCTTGTCGCCATAGGTGAAGAACTGGGAGAGATGGAGCCGGGGGAAGGTGGCGGGGGAAGGTGGGGGCAAGGAGGGGGGAGGGAGGGAGGGGATGAGGATAGGGAGCACGGAGAGAGGGAGATGGGGGGATACTGTGGAGTAGAACCGAGGTTGTGGGAGGTGGTAGCGGTAGCCTCTGGTGCATGGAGGCCCCTCCCACTCTCCCATCCTCATCGATGCATGCATGCATAGACACATCTCCATTCTCCAACTCCATGTCACGTAAAACCTGCTGTGTAACGGGGGGACATGCACACCCCTACCCTCCCCCCCCTCTCCCCCATGGTGAACAACCATGGAGAGCAACCCATGGTGGAGCCTCGTCATTCAGTTTGTCAGTGTTTCTTTATTTTTACCCCCTCTCCCCCCTCCCTCCCGTCCCTCCCTACCCTCCCCCCACCTGGTGCATGGACACGAACACAATGGACACCCCCAGGAAGAAGTTGATGGTCAGGTCGTGTCCGAACAGCGCGAACGACAGCAGCGCGGTCCAAATGGTGGCGATGGTGGAGGAGTACTTCTTGAGGATGGTGTCCGCGAACTTGTAGAAGAAGGAGGACAGCACGCCCTGTGCCGCGTTGTTGGCAATGAGGAGGTAGGTGATGAGGGAGAGGCCTGCGGGGGGAGGGGGGGGTGGGGGGCGGAGGGGGGAATAAATGAAAAGTGAGGCAACGGAGTCCCAAGCCCCAAGCAATCCCGACTCTTGGACGCAGAGGGTGAAAAAATAAGGAAAACTGACGCAGAGGGGGGAGGAGGTATGTTGCTGGTCGCGAGTAGGAACGTACCAAGTAACCCTACACTTCCATTACCACCCCCCTCCCCCATCCTCTTCTTCTCCCCCTTCCTCTTGTCCTCTTGTTTCTACCCCTCCCCCACTCCTCCCCCCTGCCAAATCCTACCCCCATTGCTTTGCCCTAACTTGTGGTGTCCTATGGTTTGGTATGCTCTTTGACCCCCCCTCTCCCCCCTCCCACGCACCCTGGAACATGTCCCCCAGCGGCTGCCCCGCGTGCAGGGCGGTTGCAGCCAGGAAGACGAAGTTGAAGAGCGCGCCGTAAAAGTAGAGGAAGAAGTTCTGGAGGGGAGGAGGGCGAACGTGGGAGGGGAGTGATGGTGGGGTAAGGAGGCAAGGGAAGCCAAGATGAAGTGGTTAAGCGGGCGAGGAGACTCTGTCCAACTCCGCCTTCTCTACCCCAAACCGGCTCCGTAAAGCTCTCCCCCCCTTCCCCCTCTGTTATCCTCCCCCCGAATGCACTCACTGCATGAGTCGGGCTATGGGATTGGGACTCGTTGTTTCACTTATTTAATCCCCCCCCCACTCCCCCCCCACCTGCAGGTGCACCGAGGTGTCCATGTGCTTCTTCAGCGCGAACTCGTTGTACACGCTGGCAGCCGCCGGCACCGTCACGGTGCCCAGCGTGCACAGCAGGGCGGGCAGGAGCGGCACGGAGGCGTCGGGGTTGGGCGCGGAGCCGCAGCTGTGCAGCTGGTTGATGGTGATGCCTGGCGGGGGTTAATATGGATGAAGATGGGGGGGTGGGGGGAAGGAAAAATTATACAAGTGAAACAAACGGAGTCCCAATTCGGGAGAGGGAGAGAGGGAAAAATAAATTCCAGTGTGTGGTGTGATAGTGGTGCATTTAGCTGACAAGCCCTGGAGGAGGAGGGGGAGGGGGGAAGGTCTAAGAACGTATCGAACCACATAGGAAGCCACAGGTTGGGGCAAAGCAATGGGGATAGGAGGCGGCAGGGGGGAGGGGTTCATAGGTATACATACTCCGCATTAATAGATATACCTACTCCGCATCGTAGGATTGCGTTCAGTCTAGCTTGTTGGGTAAGTAGCAGCACACAAAGTATAAACCGGGGGTGCGGGTGGGGGTTGGGGGGCGGAGGGGTGCTTGGTCTTTGACCCCTCCCTCCCCCTCACCCTCACCCCTCCCCCCCTCCTACCCGCGACCAGCAGGAACAGCGCCTCCCACTGAATGGTGTTGAAGCTGCGCCGCATGACGCCGCGCATGAGCAGCGCGATGGTGAAGATCTTAAGGTTGCCCAGCATCTTGGTGGTGGTGGGGCGGAAGAAGAGCTGGGGGGGAGGGAGGGAGGGGAGGGTGGAGGGGGAGGAGGGAGGGGAGGGGAGGGAAGCAGCGGGGAAGGGGCACGGAAAAAGGGGCGAGAGTGGGTTAGGGGAAAGCAGGCGGCATGTGACACCCCCGCGAATTGATCTCACCAGCTCAGCGGGTTGCTTTGCCCCATGTCACACGGCACGGTATGTAGTTTCTTCCTCTTTAAGCCCCCTCCTCCCTTGTCAGTTCCTTCAGTAATATTACTCCCTATGGGATCGGGACTCCCCTTGCTTCACAATTCATCTACGTTCCCCCCTCCCTCCCCCCACCCCACCCTTATACCCGCAAAGGCTTCCTACGGTTCGGTATGGTCTTTGACCCCCCCTCCCCAACCCCCCCCACCTGCATGGAGAACTTGAGCAGGTTGTTCACCGCGTACAGCCCCGCCGGCACCGCCAGCAGCCGGTTGTGGTGCGCGTCCGCAGCGAAGGCACGCAGAGAGCGGTACATGGGCGGCCCGGAGCGGCCGGTGCCCTGGGGGGGAGGGAGGGTGGGGGCGGTAGGGGTGCCATCTTTTACAAGTTAGGCATCCCCTTCCCAAACCCATTTTGCCCCCGTGTCCATTGCAGCAGAAACTTCCTCTGCTCCCCGAGCGCCCCGGAGCAGCAATCCAGCCGCTTCGCCACCTTCTGCTGCTTCCCCTGCCTCCCTGCCTCATTCCCTCCCTCGACCGGCTCCGAGTAACCCCATCATTGTCACCCCTATCCCCCTCACCCTCACCGTGAACAGCAGCACCCCCAACCTCCCTCTCTGCCTCCCTCCCCCACCCACATTGCTTTGCCCTATCTGTGGTTTCCTATGGTTTGGTATGGTCTTTGTCCCCCCTCACCGTGAACAGTAGCACACCCTCCCTCCTCCCCTCCCCTCCCTCCCTCTCCTCCCCTCCCCTTCCCCCCCTACCGTGAACAGCAGCACCGCCAGCGCGAACAGCGTCTTGGCCAACTCCACCATGAAGTTAACCTATGCATGGGGGGAGGAGGTGGAGGAGGGGGAGGTGGGGGAGGAGAAGGGTGGGGTGAGGGAGGGAAAAGAAGAGGAATGGGGAGGGGAGGTGGAGGAGGGGAAGCGAAGAAGACCCAATATGTTAGATGGTCATGGCATGGCAAAGCAGGGGTAACCCAAGCTCCTGGTGCATGGAGCCGAGCGTTAGTCGAGCCGAACGGGGAGGCGGGAGGAGGGGAGAACCCACGCCCTTATCCCGGACAATCCGCCTCCTGCTCTCCCAGTAACGACCTCCCCAGCAGCTTCCCCAGTTGCAAGCCCCGTTTGGAGCCCGACCCAAATCGCAAATCCCACGCCGACCCAGATCACCCAAAAGACCATCTGGGGATCCAGCCCCCCCCATGTGCCCCCCCTACCCCCCGCTTCTTCTTCCTGCCCGCGGACAACACACTCACCGCGACCGGGTGGAAGGAGTACGTGCCCTTGCTATTCTTGGACAGGTGAACCAGCACGGGTTGCAGACCTGGGGAGGGCAGGAGGAGGAGGAGAGGGGTGAGAAGGGAGGAGGAGGTGGGGGGGACGGGACTGCGGTGCTGTGCCGCTACGATGTGGGTCGCATGCGTGGGTCCCCTGGTAGGGGGGAGCACCACGCTTGCTAGTGCATGGCTGAGGCAAAGGAAGGAAGGTGCTGGTGGTGGTGGTGGTGGTGAGGCTGTGCTGAGGTGGTGGAATGGCTACAAGCATGCAAGATCCCATTTGGGTCGGCACGTGGGGCCCGCTGCGGGGCTGTGTTGAGCGTTCCTCGGGCCGCGGGGGCCCGTGTGGTGAGGCTACACCGCAGAGGGGTGCGGTGAGGCAAGAATGAGAGGTGCCGGCCCAGCTGGGCATGTGCCCTTGCTTGTAGCCCAGGCTTTGGTTAGGAGGAGTTAGTAAAGGACGGGTAGCAATAAGAGGGCGTCCCTTGGCCCCTGACCGGCAAGACGTACCTAGAAAGAGGCAGTCCAGAGCTACCAGCGCTACTTTAAAGCCGTACGACACTTGCGTCTTGCTCTTCATTTTTGGTTCGCCGTAAGCCTCAAAAGCAAGCCGATGTGTGTCCGATAGATGAGATTTATGCCCGTCCGTCATCCTCCCACGCATTCAACCTAGAGGCCGGGTGACTGAAGAAATGTCACCTTTGCCTGGCGGGCGCAACAGTCGTGCGAAAGCCGCGTAAGCCCAACGACAGTGCCCAAACGCGGCAAGAATACGCCGATGGCTTACTAAATATACAGATCCTTGCCTAGAAGCGGGGGTTGTAATTGTTAGGCTTCGCTGATCGCAACTGTCAGTCTAGGCCCAGGCCCGTGTCAAAAGGTAATCCGCTTAGATGGGTCTATGCTGGCCTCCATCATACATGAACCGTGTTGGAAAACGTCCAGTAAGTAGCTGTCCAAGAGCAGATAATAAGTAGGGTGTTAATGTGTGAGGTAACAAGGACGCATGATCACAGTCATCAAAGGCCAAGAAAACAAATCACTAGTTCTTAATCACTAGTTACTGGTGCAGATAGGCTACAAAAAGAGCTCATGTCGGGGGTCACAGCTAGACCATGATTATGATAAGAGACAAGCAACACCGAAGCCCTATCGGTACCCAACATGCGGCTGTACATAGAGAGTCCATCGACACAACAATTTCCTTCAACAGCCGTACATCTGCCGTACGATGGCCTGCGGGATGCTAGCCCCCTTCTATCCAGCTTTTTTCTTGTTTAGTGCTTAGCTATCGCAGCGAAAACTGTGTTTACTTGCGTGCTAGCTGCACTCCTAGCGTTGTCCACCTCGGCGACTGTCTGTGACCCAACTTTGCGTTACACGGGGCATGGCGTGACCGGGACGCCATGTCTGCGGCTCAGACGTCGACAGTGCTGAAGGCGGTAGGCGGGCAGGCGGACTGCGAGCAGAAGGCGCCAGTAGCAGAGTCGATAACATTGCGGCTAGTGCCCCGGAGAAAGAAGAAGGATGACCGCGTCCACTGGTCCAAGGACGTTCAAGAGATCAACGAATTTTCGGGGAAATTCAAGTCGAAGAGTTAGGTGCTGAGGCTTTCAGGTGTGGCACAGTTCCCGTTTGGGGCGCACCCCACCCGACTCTGGTCGTGACTTGACGCCCCCGCCCTTTGCGCTTGCAGAGTGCTGCCAGTTTCATAAGCGGCGTGTGTTCGGAGAGTGGAGCGACGAGGATGACAGCGATGTGGAGTGCCAGTGCAAGCCGGAGGATGTGCAGCCTAAGGAGCCGTAAAGCGGCTTCCTGCCAGGAGCCTAGCCGTCCTTTGTACAGAGCACAGTCACCTACTAGCTGGTCCCTCACCGTGACTTCTGACCAGACGGTATTGGACATCGTGCATATGTGGACGATGAATTGGCGATGGATTTCCTTCATGCGTCTGCGCAGCGCGGCCTCCTAGCTGCTTAGTAGCTGGAGGAGCCCTAGGAGGCCATGAACCATTTCATACGACTGTGGAAGGCTTGTCAGCTTGAGGCCCAGACGCCAGGGCTGTGTTCAAGGACCGACGAGGATGGGGCCTCGCGGTCTTGTGGCCATGGTCGGCGTTGTTTTGGTGGGTGCTAGCATGTATTGTGAGGCTGTAGTGCCTTTTCGAGAGTTGGGTTGGCTGCGCAAGCCGGTGTTTAGCAATCTTGATGTGACGTCAAGGCCCAGCCCCGTGTTTGTCAAATCATAGATGCAGTATACATTACGCATAGCCCTTGCGGCTCTGCGCTAATCTCGCGTGACGTGGTTGGCAAGGGGCTTGCGGCGGCCAATCTGCAGGTGCCTGCTTAGAATTTTCGCTCTGCTTGATGAACTTTTGTGTCATGTTTAAACTATTCGCCATGCGCAAACCTCGGCGGTCTTTATGCTGCTGGTGGAGTTGTTACGGTGGACACAACGCGCGGACATGGCCTTTCGCATGGTGTGCTGAGCTAGTAGCGCGGGTTCTCGTCCGATGAGGATTTCGCTTCAGGGGCTCGTCTGGGCAAACTGGGATGTTTACCGGTGAACCAGCGTAACAGGACGTGGACTTCTAGATGTCAGAGAAGGTCACGACACCCTGCAAGAGCAATATCCCTTCCTGTCTTGCAAGGTATAGCCTTGCCCCCATGTCAAGCATACACACAGCAGTCGAGTAGACTTGCCAGCACGCTTGGATCGGGCAGCACACTCAACTACCCCGTGGTGTGTTTACCACTGCCAAAGTTGTGTTGGGAATTGTCATCGTCCAGCCGCAGCCCTTTTACGTCATGCAGCGTGTTGAGTTTGCACTTTTCCGGACTAGTGGCCCAAGGTAACAGGAACAAAAGCGACGGCTTAACCCATTCCTCTCAGTTGCCCACAATTTTAAGGCACACGCTTGCATTTGTGCTGCCACAATGCCCAAGACCCTACCTCGCAATGAATTAGAAACGCACATGTACGGACGAGCCCTCTCCCCTCATGCTCACCACGCAACCTTGCCGTACACAATGCTGTTCCATTCCCAACCGACCGCTAACCCATCATCACACATGGTCACAAGCTCCTACCGTATTTGGGCATCTCAATTCGCAAGCAGCCCGGTCACATGCGCACACCGCTCGCCACCCTGTTCGTCCCTGCTCACATGCTCCCTACAGCAACATCCGCTAGTTCCCTGCTGACATGATCATGGCGCACATGCATCGCGCGAGGGATGGCTCGCCCCGCGCTAACTGCCTTCAAGCGCATGAAGGCGTATGAACATCCCACACCATTCATCCCTCACACATCATCGTCTATAGCTGCCCTGCACAACAGCAACCTTACATTGGGACGCCCGCTGCCGTACTTCAAGGTAGGCCCACTCGTGTACACTTTGCCCCCCCCCCCCCACATCTGCACTCGGGTTTCATCCTTCCCAGCCCCTACCTCAAAGCCCCAGTAGTGGATCCCCACCACCACCACCAGCCCCCCCGGACCTTTGTTGTTGCTGCTGCTGCTGTTGTGACGCCTGCAGCGGGTCGCCCGCCTCCTCCTCGGGCCCTCCAATCGTGAACACATCCACAGCGGGACGCGACGTCGCTGCTGCTGCTGCACCCGCCTGCGTTGCGTTCGCCGCCTTGCCTCCTGCGCTGCTACTGCCTGCCGCCGGCTTAGCACCGCCATCCGCCAAGAGTGAAGCAGAAGCAGGCGGAGGTCCCCATACCACAGCACGCTGTCCCCCTGACGCCGCCGCCGCCCCTGCCAAAGACGGCCCGGAAGACGACGACGATGACAGCGGTCCTAGACCGATAGAGGCAGGTGCTGCAGCGGGCAGCGGTAGCGGTGGTGCCGCCGCCACCGCAGCAGGCTTGCTGGTGGCAGCGGCAGGCCATCCGTAGGCGCCAACGCCGGAGGTGCCGTTGTCCTCGTCGGAGTCCTCGTCCGGGCGGATGCCACTGAAGCCACCCGGTGCTGCCCCTCCGGCTCCCCCGTGGGGGCGGGGAAGCAGCCGCTGGTTATGCTCCGTCTGAGCGAGCAGAAGAGGAGGAGAGGGCAGGGAGGCAGAGGAGGAGGGACGTGTGATGGGGGAAGATAGACCCATGGGTCGTTTGGAATCAAAGACTGGGCTGCTGAAGAGGGTTCACAAAGGGGTTACCGGTAGTAATCAGGGGTACTGACTTTTACACCACGCACGCACACCACCACCACCCCCTCACCCTTTTCCGCCCCCCTACGAACACACACATTCGCACTCGGCGGCCAGTTTTCTTAACACCCCCCACACACACACACCTGCAGCGGCATGTACTGCGCCATGATGTCTCGTATCTCCTCGCCCATGCGCTGCCGCACCACCAGCCGCTGAGCCGCCAGCACCACTGCGCCCGTCAGCCCGGCGGAGGCGACGGCGACCAGCAGCAGGAAGCCGACACTCACCCCGCCGCCTGTGGGGGGAGAATACCCCATGTGTTGGGGGAGGGGAGTTGGGATGGGGTGGGGACGCATGGAGGGGTATAAAGGGGGAAACTGACGAGCTGTATGACAAGAGGGCTGCACCATGGGGTGCAAGCATGATAGCCTGCCCATCCCGCTTAGGGGTAGGCAAGAGAGGAGGCAGGGAAAAAATACCAGGGACACTAGGGTTCACTTTCGGGCAACACCAGATCGCACATTACCCAGGTGTGGTACAAATGCCTGCTTTCCATCGTGCCCTTTCCTTTTTGCGTTGAAGGAAGCAACCAACACTCTCAGCTGCCCCCATCAGAGGGCCTCCCAAGGGCCTCCACCCTCGGGGCACGCAGCCCATCCCATCCCACCCATCCTATCCCACCCAGCCCACCCCAGCCAATGTACGCGTACGTACGTTTAGAGCCGTCAGCACTGCCGCCGCTGTTGCTGTTGGTGTTAGCTCCTCCTCCTCCTCCCGCTCCGCTGCTGCTGCCAGAGGACTGGTTGGGCGGGGTGGAGGCGGGGTGGATGGTGGGTGCAGGGAGTGGCGCGGGGCGAGTGAGGGACGTCAGGACTTCAGGACTTGTACATACCTCCCCTCCCCTCTCCATCCCTTTCCACCCCTCACTCCCTCCCCTGCGGCCAAACACCACCGCCCACACCTCTCTCCTCCTAACGGCCCCCCCCCTTGCCCTCAATACAGCGCCCCATGGTGACGCCTCGCCATCCAGCTCGTCCGTTACCTTTTTCAAACCCACCCCCTCCTTTGCTTCACTTCTAATCTATCCCCCCCCTCAACCTCACCCTGATATGGGATATGAAATTGGGACTTTAGTTGTTTGTATTTTTTTATATAATTTTCCACCCTCAACCTCACCCTGCAGAACCCAGTTGCCCGGTCGCATGCGGCCATGTCGGCGCAGGCGGGCTCACACACCAGCTGGCTGCCCCCCGGGGGTGAGCTGGCGGAGCGGCGGAAGCAGGGGGGGCACTCGCAACTGCGCGGGAGGGGGGGGGAGGGAAATGAGAGGTAGGAGGGGGGGATACATGAGAAGGGTGAGGAGGCGGGGAGATGGCAACCAGGGGCGTATGAAGACGGCGGGGTGGAACCGACGTAACCAGCCACCATTCCGAAAGCCACCATACTGACATCATCCACGACAATCACAATAGTACGTTCCGACATGCCTTATCACACGGTTGGTTGCTTCCTCTTTACCCCCCCTCCCGTCCCCCTATCAGACTCACGTGTACCACTTCGTGTCGTTGTCCAACCGCCCCCGGGCAGCCTGCTGGATGTACTCGTGCACGTTGTCCTGGCAGCTGGGGGGGGAGGGAGTGGAGTGGAGGGAGGGGCATGAGGAGGTAATGAGCGGTGCATGGAGGGGTGAGGGCCAAAAGAGAACACCGACCCGTTCTGATGGGGCAGGGAGGGGCGGGATATCCTCCTTTCATCCCCCTCAGCCCGTTCGTTAGTTGTTTCCTCCTTTAACCCCCCCCAGGGACTCCGTTGATGCATTAATCTATATCCCCCCCTTCATCACTCACGCATGGAAGGTCTCCCCCGACTCCAGGGTGGTGTGCCAGCAGCCGCCCCACCCGCCCGCCTCGTTGCACACGTTGTTCAGCCAGCCGGAACACCTGGGGGGGGGGGGGGCAAGGGGGGAGTTGGGGGGGGGGGGCGGGGGGGGGGTCAAAAATGACCAAGCAATAGGAAACCACGCATTCATGGGGGGGGGAAGCAAGGGGGAAGGTGGGGAGGAACGGTGCAGAACGGAGGTAAGGAAAACACTGGGGCATATGACGCGCACCAAGACACTAACCCAACAACACGACTCCCCTTCCCCCCGCCCTCCCCTCCTCCCAATACACACACATACACACACACACACGCACCTGAAGCCCCCCAGCGTGTTGATGCATGCGCAGCGGGGGCAGTTGCAGTCGTACATCATGGCAGGCATCAGGCTTGCCGTACACTCGTTCACGTCCTCACAGCTCTCCTCGCCCGTCAGGGGGTTGGTGGCCTGGATGTGGGGGGAGGTGGGAGGTGGGGGGTTGAGAGGGGGTACGACACCGTTGCATACACAGCCAGCCCCTGCCTGCATGTGCCCTGCATGTCGCTTGCAAGTAACCGTACCCTTACTGCAACACCTTCGCTCTTCCCTTTGTTCCGCCTCCCATGCTCCTCCCCCCTCCTCCCCCCCTACCTTCACCATGCCCTGCCGGCACTCGCAGCTCCAGCCCTGGAAGGTGTTCACACACCGCGTCTTGTTACCCAGGGAGCTGGAGGGTGAGGGGGGGGGGCAGGGAGACGTGGGGAAAAAAGAAATTCCAATGTGTGGTGTGATAGTGAGGGGAGGGGGATTGGGGGGGGGGGCATATTGTGTACAAGAGAGAGGGAGCCGTCATAAGCACGAACCAGACTCGCCCGCTCAATACCCACATCGCCCATTTCATGCAGCCCGCCATCCTCCCCTATCTCGCCCCGACCCCTGTCGTACACCTCGGTATTCCCTTTCCCTATCCCCTCCTTCCCCCCTCTTACCCTGCCATGCACGCCCTGTACCCCTCGCCTCCCTCCGCGCACTCGTCCTCGCTCACGGTCGCTCCGTTGCACAGCTGCGGCTCCTGCCCGGCGGGGAAGCCGGCACACAGGGCGCGGAGGACGTAGGAGGCGTTGAGGGAGCCGCGGTACTGGCCGCCGTTGATACGGATCTGGGGGGGGGGCGGGCGGGGTTGTGAAGGAAAGGATCGTGCTTTTAACAAGAATGGCGACCCTTCCCTTCTCTCCCTCAAAAGACGTGTATGGTACATTTCTTCTCCTCTCCTTCTCTCCCCTCTTCCCTCCTTAGTTGTCCCAACCAACCAACCGCCACGTCCGTACCGTTGGCAGTATGGTGACGGCGTTGACGCCGGTGTCGTTGTTGCCCCGCTGAGCTGCCAGCTCCTCCTGTGGAGGAGATGGGGGGGGGAAGTAAATGAGAAGTGAAGCAACTGTGAAGGAGGGTGGGGGTGGCGGTGACCCACCCAACCACCGCTCACCTCCAGTATGGGTACACTGGCGGTGCTGCCGGCCGCTGCTGCCTCCCCCGCCACCTGCTGCGAGCACTGCTCCCACGCCGCCATGTCCCACTGGCCCGCCGCCAGCAGACCCTCCGACACCAGTCCGGATACAACCTGAGGGGCGGAAGGAATTCCAATGTGTGTGGTGTGATAGTGGTACATTTTGTGTGGGGGGTGGGAGGCAGGAGCAGGGCATGCAAGTGCAGCGCAGTATCGCATCGCATCGCATGTCAACCGACAATTCAGGACATTGCCCCCTATCACATCGCACCGCTTTACCTTTGTTGCGCATGCCGCGTCGTAGCTCTTCTGCGACTGCAAGCAGGCGGCGGCGAAGCGACTGATGTAGTCCCACCACACGGCACTAGCTGCTGCTGGGGAGGTGGAGGCGGAGGAGGAGACTTGCTTGTAGAAGCACAGCGAGCGGACGTTCATCTGTGTATGTGGGCGGAAGCCAGGGGGGGGTTGAGGAGGATAAGGGTTGACAGCAGCACAGCATTGGGGTTTACCAAGCACCAGCAGCACCGTCATCCGCCGCCCTATCAGTGTAGACCTGCCACATAATATAGACCTATCATACACGCACCTCCGGTTCACCGGCTGCTAATGATGACCCATGGGTCCGCTAACCGACCCAACAAAGCCTCCCAGTATACATTGCTGTCCCCTCCCCCCTCCTCATTATCTATTTTTTATCCCCCCTCCCCCCCCCACCCACCATCAGCACATCCCGCCCCGAGTAGCCCTCCTGGTAGTTGCCATCCGGGTCGGGGATGCAGTACCGCCCACCCGCGATACACTCGGACTGGGGGGGGAGTCGGGGGCGGAGGGGGAAACGGGCATAGAGGTGGGCGGGAGGTAAGGGCGGGAAGGGCGATCAGTAAGCCGGGACAGGAGCAGGAGGTTAGGAATGGGAGGGAGAAGAGCAGCAGCAGTGGAGGAGGAGGAGCATTAAAGCTCGCTACCCCCCCTTTCACCCTACTTGCTCCACTCCAGCTGCTTCACATTTAAATTACGTTTCGATCCCACCCCATCCCCCCCCACCCCCTACCTTGCACTCTGTGGTGTTCTCCGAGCCCGCCGGACAGCTCCAAAGCAGGTAGTGGGGGGCGAAGGACACCGGGTAGGAGGTCTGCGGAGAGGGGGTGGAGGGGGGAAAATTATAGAGAAGTGCAACAACGCAGTCAGGGGGGGTGGGGAGATGAGGTGGGGGGTGAAGGTGGGGGGTGGAGGACGAGAAAGCAGCCACTTACTGAAGGGGTGGGGTGAGGAAGTGGAGAGGTGAGGCGCGGTGGGTTGCAGCAGCAGCAGCAGGGGAAAGAGAGGCATGTTTCCACCCAGCCCCACCCAGCCCCCCTACCTGGAGCTGCTTGGCCCATTTGGCCATGTCCTGTCAAGGGGGGGTGGCGCGAGGAAGGGGCGGTCGGAGGGAAACGGGCGGTCCGAGGAAGGGAGGGAAAGGGGCAGGGGGAGCGGCGCGTTGAGAGGAGGAGGGGTGAGTTGGGAGGAGACCGAGGTTGGGTGGTTCTAGCCAGCCACAACACATTGGGTACGGGGTAGCCATGTACGGCAACCCCACCTCCCTGCACACCTCCCTCTTTTCTACCTCCTTCTCTATACACACTATCCACACTATACCCACCTTCAGGAAGGCGCGTTGCTCGGTGCAGCTGAAACCGCAGTCGAAGTTGGTGTCCGACCAGAACTCCCAAGACACCTGGGGGGGGGGGAAGGGAGGGGGGGGCAGGAGGGCAGGGGGTTGTGTGGGGAAGGGGCAGGGTTGAAAGGAAGGGCAGGCCGCTAAGAACAACACGCCAGCCACACTCTCTCTCTCTCTCTCTCTCTCTCGTCCAACCGCCCCTCACCTCACAGCTCCCCTCCCCCTCCTCCCACAGCCCCTTGTTGTGGCGGCATCACAGATGCCCGGTCCACCACCAACGTCACCTAACCTCTCTCCATCCACCCCCGCCCGCTCTCTCCCTTTCCCCGCCGACCCACATGGTCAGCAGCTGGCAGCCTTTCCTTCCTTTTCCTATCCCCTCTCCCCATCTCTCTCCCTCTCTCCCCGTTTCCTTACCGCCCCTTGTTGTGGCAGTGCTGCCGTCCAGTTCAGAAGCAGCGTGACACCGCCTCCAACACCTCCCCCCCCCGCGGCAGCCGCAGCAGCCGCCCCCAGCAGCGCCTTCAGCACCCGCCCGTCCTCCAGGCTGATCATGGCAGCGGAGATGGAGAGCGAGGACAGCTCCCTGGGGGTTGGTGGGGGTGGGGGGGTGGGGTTAAGAGGGGGGGAAGAAGGGGGAGGGGAGGGTTAAGGAAGAGGGGGAGCGCGCAGCAGGGTGGGCAGGGTTTAGGGAGAAGCCTGGAAGGGAGAGGTTACAGGGGAGGAGAAGAACACCCCTCCGTCCCTCCATCTTGCCTGACGCCCACTCCCATTCCAAAACCCCCCCAGCCCCCATCCGTCTTACCCCCTCTCCGTTGCTTCACTGTTCATTTATCCCCCCCACCCCAATCCCCCCCCACCTATCCGTGATGGGGTCGTCCTCGGGCGCCACCGCGGTGGACAGCTCGCCGGGCTCGTCGTTGGCGATGAGGACCTACAAGGGGGGTGGGGTTGGGGCCGGTATGAGAAGTGGAGGAACGGAGTCGCAAGCCCATATCCCTAAGAACCTAATGCTCAGCTTTTCATGTAGGTGCCATTTCTTCCCCCCTTCCCTACCATCCTCCTGCCCCCCAAAGGCCCGCCCTCACCCGCCCCAGCTGTCCCCACCCTCGCTGCAACCATGATGACACGCCTTATCACAAATGTCAGCGTAGTTGTTTCCTGATTACAACCTCTTTACGGTACCACCTCTTTACCCCCACCACCCCCTGCCGCTCACCGCATCTGCTCCCGCCTCCTGCGCATTGAACACCTTATCCAAGAAGTAGCAGGACTCGTGGCCCTCACCGCCTGGGGGAGGATAACAAGAAGAGTGAAGGGGGAGGGAAGAGGAGGGAGAGGAGGGGTAGGAAGGGGAGAAGAGGGGATTAGGTAAACTGAGCTTAGGGAGGAGGGGCGCTACATAGGCCACCGACTGCCCTTTTTGCAAGGTTGACCTTAGGTTGACCGCAACCAAGACCTTTCCAATCCCTTCAGCAGGAGGAGGCAACTCACGCGGACCGCGGTCGAGCAGCATGATGTTGTAGACGCCGGGCTGGCGTTGGATGTGGAGGCGGGGCTTGCTGAACTGTATTTGGAAAGGAGGATGGGAGGTGAGAGAGGGATGGGCTGGCTTTAGGCTGATCGGACTGAGGCGACGAAAGCAAAGAGAATAAACGATCTCTTTAAGACTTGAGGGAAGGTATTTAATTGATGCTTCGAAATGCAAGAAAGGAAGAGGCTCATGTCCCTGAAGCTCGAAGCTAAGGCAATAACCCTAGATGGGTGTGACTTACGTTGAAGCTTGTACAGCCATATTGGCAGTCCTCAGGCAGGCATTGGTAGGTCGGCTGGTTCCCAAGAGGCTGTGAAGATGGGTAGATGAGGTTGCCTCTGCGAAATAGCGAGGCAGCAGGAATGCACATTACCGCTATTTCGGCATGTCCATTTTCACAACTAATGCGGCAAATTGCTTTGGGTCAGTAGAAGCTGGCCCCGGCTTTGGCATGCAGCTTACATGAGCTTTCCACCATATCGAGGCCTGCCGAAGTCCGCCATCGTCATTCTCATAGCGGGACGGTTGGGATCTGACGGGATCACGACGCGTACTCCTGCCTCCTGGAGGCTGAAAGTCGCGAATGCCACATCCCAGGTGCCCAGAAGTGCCGCTAGGGCCAGCAACAACGTCGCGTGACCCATACCTAATCTCTAAGGGATGTATTCAAACGTCATAAGGTGTCCCCCCAAGCGCGTAGGAATCCTTTCTGCCGAGCAACTGTCCAAAGTAAGCGCGGAGGGCTGTATCACCCGGCCGATATAGATGATCACGTATAGTATGCAGGATATACAGGGTATTGGAGCTTGGAGAGCACCTCAAACAATACCGGATTTGCAATGACAGTACGACACATGTGCGGTTGAGCGACAAATGGTTGGTCTGATGATCTCCCTAGAACTTCAAAATACTACTTTAGACCAAGAGACAACAGCGGCAAACTTTGCAAGTAACGTTACATTAGTGCATCACTTCCCCCTCCTTCCACGGCTAGAGTCTTGATACGGTATGCCCAACTCCACCTCTTCACCCTCCTTTAATTCACTGCACTACGTGACCGCAACGACTCGTTTGCCCCTCGCCCATACTCCAGCCTACGATCAAGAATTGCAAGGAAGTTCCGCCTGCCTCCTAGCACTCTTTACATGAACCACGGGTCTACGCCACGTCCTTGAACAACTGCTGTGCGTACAAGTACAAAAGTACGGTGCAGAATCATACACAATTTGCACTGGCCTACGAAGACTGCCTGTACTGACTCAGATCCCCTTGCAACATGAATCTGACAATCAAGTGTCAAAGCAAAAGCATTAATCACTGAATGTAAACGGTCTTGTGCATGCTCATTGATGCCAGCCTGCTCAATGAAGCTGGAAGGATGCTCAATTTGAACACCATCTGCACTACCAACTCCTCTGCACGGCAGACCGCATGAGATTATTCCGGTACCTCACTGCCCCACATACCCTCCCTCCTACTACGGAACTACGGCAACTTGCCAATGCGCCGATGCGCCAATGCACGCCGCTTAATAACTATCGTACAACAAAATCATTTCAAACTTCCTGCGCTCTTACTTCCTGCTTTCCCGTCACATCGGAAGCAACGGCCTTATAATTATCTATACAGTAATGTACCGTAGAGCTCATCACACGCTTCTTTCCTATCCCATATTGAAATTACGTCCCCGACAATCGCTCATATTTTTCGCCGACCACTAACGACCCATGGGCCACACAAATTCATCTGGGCAAACCTGCGTAACAAAAAGAACACTGACACAAAGGTTGGTGCATCCGCTCTTGAGCCGCTGCTGCTTTCGCCAACAAACAACGACCACACAACCACCACGTGCTAACCACTGCCGCTGCGATAGCCGGTTGCCACGCGCCTTGCCACACAGCAATCAACCAGCTGCTTCCATGCCAGCCTCCATTACCTCGCTCCGCTACGGCTGCAGCAGTCGCTTCTGCTTGCTGCCTTCCAGCTGCGGCGAAGGAGGCGGCGTCAGCGACACTGCGGGAGCGGGCACGGCCTGCCAGCGCGCAGCCAGAGCCCAGGCTCCAATCGCTGCTGCGGTTGCTGCGGCGAGGAGCAGCTGAGTCAGCTGGAGGCGGCGTTGGCGGGCTGTATGAGGGAGGGAGGGAAAATCAGTGAAAAATGAAGCAACGGAGGGAGGAGGAGCCGTAAGTACGGGGGTAAAAATAAGGATAACTGACGTAAGTGGGGGGGGGAGAGAGTCAGGTAACACACGCGTAGGAAGTATCATCATCTTCATCAGGCCACTCCCGCCAACAACCCCTCTTGTACGTCCTCACCTTGCCATGCTTTCCGTACTTGTGCGGCAATGCTTGCAGCGCGCGCTGCCACGTGATCGTCCCAATGATTTCCCGGTTGTCGTACAATTACTGGCATGATGCCGTACGACAGCGCTTGCTCTCCATCCGGTTGCCTGATCAAGACCACCATGTCAGTTACGGACAGGCCTAACCGCTCTGAGGCAACCGCCACGTCGGTTGCCTGGCTACGGCTTAATCCGGGGCAGATGCGCATCGCAAGTTCAGCGCGTAAGATGATAACGGGACTGTCGAGGTCCTGGTTATCATGCGGCATAGCAGCAGTTGCGGTTGCGGATGCCGATGCTGATGCTGATGCTGCGGCGGCAGCTGAGACCAGCCGGGAAGGTTGTAATGGTTGAGGTGCTGAGGCTGGAGTTGAGGCGACGTTGAAAATGCGGGCGAAGGTAAGCGGCGGTCGGCAGGTTGCAGCCATGGACGCGAGGGATGACATGACGCGTGCAGATGCCGTTCTGAAAGGCGCGAGATATGGGCTCGGGGTTGCTGTTTCCGGTGCCGGAGAAGGATTGGGACTGCTGGATGAAGGGTTACGGGACTTGCGGCTCGCAGCTTCTTGGGAACCAGAGGATGGCTTGGCAGCCGGGATGGTGTCGTCATTGCCCGGCTCGGATGTCCCACGGCTTCTAGGACTAGAGCGGGCGAGGTCGAGCATCGTCAAAGCTGTGCGAGGACTATTGTTCGGCCAGTCTGTGCGAGGAGTAGCCTCCGGGAAGAAGGCGAGGGCTTCAAGGCCATCGAGGTCGCTAGAATTGTTTGGCATCTTGCTCCCAATATTCGCAGGTGTCTATCAGGACCCTTGTGGTGGCTGAAGAAGTATCATGGTATAAAGGCAAGCTACATAGAAATAGGCATTTGGTCGCAAGTCTAATCCTGACGGGCCTCGTCATGAAACGACCCTCGGTTGGTTGACGGTTTCAGGGAAAGCGTCACATCAGCTTAAACGGGGTGTTTCCACTCTGCATTTATGCGACCGGTTTATGGCTAATACTTGGGTGACAGTTGCAGCGCGTCGCCGAAACGACGGTTCAGGTCGCGGAATTGCAACGATCGTTGAAGTTGCAGTTGGGGCTTCAGCAGGTTTGGCAGCTTCTGCTGATAGCCGGTTAAGACTTGTGCCTCAATTAATGAAGTTGCAGTTGGGGCTTCAGCAGGTTTGGCCGCTTCTGCTGATAGCTTGTGCCGCTGTATCTGTAACGTGCATGCTAGCCAAGTAATAGAACACCGGTACATGCCATCGCTGGTGCGCCATTGAGCCCTTCCCGTTATTCCGGTTATTGAGCCCTCGATGTCCGCATGCATAAACGGCAGAAGGCGAAAAGGAAAAGCTGATCCCCAAGCTTCCCGCGATAACACAGCCCATTCCCCAGTAACAACGTCTCCGCGACATCACCTGCCCCCACCCCCGCTCCCACTCCCGCTCTTGCAGTGTCTCATTATTTCTTACCCCCGCTCCAGCAGCTCAGCTACTTACTCTTACGTCTCCCATAAATTGCTGCTAGCTACCGCTAGCTGTTCTCTACGCAGTACCGTACTCCTTGGGCTGTCAGTTGGCCTCTCCACCACCAACCCCCACTGCTGATTGACGGATGTTGGTAACGTGTGGCCCTCCATCCATGCTTGGGCCGATTGGTGCGTGAACAGAACAGCAATCGCTGGAGCTTACAGCGCTGAAGTGTGTACGGCAACAAGCCGACAAATGCGGGACGACATCAGTCGTCGTACCACCACATCACACACATTATATGCTCACATGCTTCCTCTCGGTGTCTAAGTGCATACACACTTCGAGCATATACCGGCACATGAATAAATCCCACATCCCAACCTCGCCCACCCCGTCAGAAGTTGTAAGGATTGTAACCCTTTTGGCTACATCCGCTATGTTCCTATTTCATTCCTACAGCGCACGTACAGCGCAGCGCAAAGCAATATGCAACACCGTGCCAGTGTCACCCCCCGTGTCAATCACCCACACGTCCCAGTTGGCCTTGTAGCTGCTGTGGCTGCTGCTACTGCTGCTGCTGTGATGATGGTGTTGTCGCTGCTGCTACTGCTGCTGTGGCAGCTAGTGTGGCAGTTAGTGTTGTCGCTGCTGCTATTGCTGCTGCTGCGGTGCCCCCATGTTGCGTGCAACCTCCGCCTGCAACGAACAGCAGCAACAGCCACAAGATCGCCAACATGCAGCTCTTGTCAACAGCAGCAGCAGCAGCAGCAGCAACAACGACAACAAGCATGTCCACTGTCCAGGGCACTCAATGCATGGGCATGGAATGTTTGACGTAGTGCTATCTTACACACTGCCGCACCATGCACCTCAACCCGCCTTCCCTCCCTCCCTCCCTCCCTCCCTCCCTCCCTCCCTCCCTCCCTCCCGCACCTGCATCCTCTCCGCCGCTCTCAACTGCTCCGCCAGCCGCTGCTCGTGTGCCGCCGCCGCCTGCTGCCGGCTGCGCTCCCCCGCCGCGCGCACCTCGCCCGGATCCACCTCGTCCACGAGCACCTCGTAACCCGCCTTTGTTGGGGGGGGGGCGGGGGCAGGGAGGTGAGGGAGGTGGAGGGGGGAAAGATTATATAAAAGTGAAACAACAAATCCCAATCCCATATCCCGACTCATGCAGTGAGCGCATTCGGAAGCACTAATAACACGCATCTCAAATTACTTAGGGGGAGGTAGTAGGGAGAGGGAGAGGTTACAGATTACACCGCACCCCTCCCTCCCCTTCCCAGTCCACCACAGTCCCCACCCCAGAGCCTCCCAGTCGCCCAACACATTGGGTTTTCTACTTTCCCCTCCACCCCGCCCCACCTCAGTTCCCACCCATTCCCCCTCCCCACCTGCACCCCGAAGAAGGCCAGCGGTCGGTCCTCCAGCTCGCTGCCGCCCAGGTCTTCGGGCAGGGGGTCGCCCGGGGCGCGCAGAAAGAGGGCCATGCGGTCGGCGGGGACCTGAGGGGGAGGGAGGGAGGCGGGAGGCGTGTTGTGTGTGGGGGGGGGGGGGGTTGGGGGCGTGAACGCGGTTGAAGGGCACAGTCCCAACGTGTTGAGGATACTGCTACTTGCCCCACAGCATGCAGCATCAGCATGCAGGTGCAGCTGGTGCTGCTGCAACGGCAGCAGCGTTGCGGGATGGACCAAGGGAGATGGTGTGTGCGGACACATAAGGTACAGCTCTGGAACCCTAACAAGAAACCAACGGTTTTAGACCAAACCTGACCCAACCCCAACCCCAACCCCCTCCCCCTCCCCCAGCACGCACCTTGAACAGCCGCTCGCACAGCAGCCGCAACGCGGACACGGTGGTGGTGCGGGGCAGCTTCTTGACCTAGGGGCGTGCGGGGGGGGGGGACGAGGTGTGTGTGTGTGTGGGGGGGGGGGTAGGAATGAGGAAACGGATGAGCTGTATGACATGTAGGCTTCACCATACATGCGTGCGTGGGGGTCTTTTGGATACCACACATGCACACGCACATTCCAACACACGGCCAGTTTTTTAACACCCACCACTCCCCTAAAACACACACACACACCCCACCCACCCCCACCACCTGCCCCACCTGCGTGCCCATCTTGGCCTGTGCTGCCGCCGCCACACACGTCAGCTTCAACTCAACCGTGCTCGCCGCCAGGCTGCCGCCCGGACCGCCGGGACCGCCCCGGGCAGCAGTGGCGCTGTGGGGTAGGGTGGAGGGGTGGGAGGAGGGTGGTGGAAGGGTGGGAGGTGGATAAAACGAGCTGTATGACTAGGGTTGCAAACTGTATTAGAATTTTAGGCGTTCTATTCTAATACTAATATTAGTTCTAATTAGAATCTTAGGATTAGGATTAGAACAAGGTCCCTAACTTTCTACAGGGGAGGTATTTCGACATCGGAATTTCTCTTATGGAACGGCTCATACTAATCCAGGCGTTCCCAGCAATTGTTGAGGCGGTTGGATGAGTGCTTGAGGGAGCTACCAGCCAAACCCAGGCACCGACAGTTCGCACGGCCAGTTAACGACGCGCCAAATCATGCCAGGCTCCACAGGGACAGCTAGAGGACCGTTTGCTCGCTGTAGATGATGTTTTTCGTAGGGCCGGGTGACGGTCAACGCAGCGGATGGATGTCAATGGATGTCCATTGACCATGCCTGCCGCCAGCACGATACGCTACAAGGACCGTCAAACGCCTTAACCCTGCAATGTATCGGTTCCTCACAGGCTTCGGCACGAGATTTCCGGTTGTGAGGCCGTCGCTTCCAGCGTTTGATGTTGACATTAACAACCCCAAGGCGGAAAGACGTATTAGAATTAAGCGGAAGGCATTAGAATATTCTAATGTGTTCTAAACGGCCTGTTCTAAATTCTAATATTATTTCTAATTAGAAATAATATAATATTATTTCTAACTTTCTAAGGTCCTTGCAACCCTATGTATGACATGTAGGCTTCACCATGGGGTGCAAACATGATAGCCGGCCTATCCCAGCGGGCAGGGGGTGTCTGGTTAGTGAGAACTCCCGAGATGGGAAGCTAGGGTAAAGAAATGCTTTCCTTTCACCTTGTAACCCGCTCTCTCCAATCCTAACCCCATTGCCCAACCCAACTAACTAACTAACCAACCAACCCAATTCACTAACCCAAGTACCTAACCCCACTCACAGCACGCTGCCGTACACCTCCATCAGCGCCCTCAGTCGCGGATGCGCCGCCCGAACCGCCGCTCGCGACGTTTCGTCTCCCGCCGCCGCCGCCGCCTCCATCTCCGCCGCGATGTGTTGCAGGTAGCGCAGTTCCGAGTCGCGTCGCTCGCGCGGCCGTACCTCGGCACCATTGAGGTGTCGCAAGCGGGACACACGACCAATAACCTGGTTGTGTGGTGTGGAGTTGGGGGGTTAACTTGGAAACAGAATCCGCATTACGCTGGATAGTTGGGATAGTAAAGTTGGGATAGTGTTGGGGGGGTGGAAGAAGAAGAAGAAGAATGGTTAGGGGTTGGCGCATGAGTGCATGAGGGGATTGAGTGAGTGGGAAGCAATGATCGTGACCGTGACCGTAGCATGCCAGATGGTAATGACGCTCCGTATCGCCGTATGTCTTCATACCCAGAAAGTATTGGGAGGAGGGGACGGTGCAGCAGGCCCGGTTCTCTGTCTCTCTCTCTTTTCGTTCGCTCGCTCTCACCTCGAATCTCCCCCCAGTTCGTGAGAGGGCGAGCACGGGATTGCCGGTGAGCCGTACCTCCTGCAGACGTCATGCATGCATGGGGAGGCAGGAAGGGGGGAGGGGTAAATTACAACTCGGTAATTGGGAGGCGTTGTCGTTATTTGGCATGGGCACCGGTGCTCTGACATGCCAAGGCCGGGGGAAGAGGGATTGAGGTTAGGGTGGGGTCAGTGGGGTGCTGCCAACCCCTCCGAAAGACTGCGACGTCCCGGGAAACTGGAAAGGGAGAACCCCGAGACTTGTCCCTCGCCCCTCTTGGTTCACCTTGAGTTCCGGGAAGCGATCCAGCTGGTCCACACTGCCCCAGTCAGCGATGCCGCAACCGCCTAGGAACAGGGCGGTCAGCCGGGGGAAGGAAACAGAAGCAGCAGCAGCAGCAGCAGCCGGGACAGCAGCCGTGGTGGGATCAGGTGCTGCTGCTGCTACTGCTGCTGCTGGTGAATCAGAAGCGGAAGGGGAAGAGGTGGAGGGCTGTGACTCCGTGGCAGCAGCAGCCCCAGGCGCGGCCACTGCAGCAGCAGCAGGAACCGCAGCCGCAGCCGCTGCATCCGGGTAGCGCACGTGTGTGATGCGCGGATTGCCTGCCAGGTGCAGCCGGGTGAGTGCGGGCAGGCGGCGCAGGGGCAGCAGCTGCGACCAGCCGCGCAGCCCCACCTCCTCCAAGGTCAGTACCTGCAGCCGCGGGAACAGGGAAGCCAGCAGCTCCGCAGCCGCCTCATCATCATTACCACCCGCCTCATCATCGCACTCCGACTGGACATCATTGGCTGCTTGTTCCCCACCGCTGCCATCCCCCTCTTGTACCTGCCCCTGCTGCTGAGGCTGAGGCTGCTGCTGTGGTGACCCGTCCTCTTGGTTGATAACCGTCGCCTGCTGCTGAGGCTGCTGCAGGGGCTGCTGCCCCTCAGCCTCTTGCTGCGTAGGTGGCAGCGCCGGCGGTGTTGTTGTTGTTGCTGCTGCTGCTGCTGCTGTGGACGCCCTGCTGCTGCTGTGGCGGAGGTGGTGCGGGGCGGGGTGCAGGGAGGGAATGGAGTTGCCGCAGCAGTGAAGTTCTTGGAGGGAGGGAAGCTGGGGGGCGACTTGGAGGACCTGGGGTGGGGGGAGGGGAAGGGGATAAGGACGGGAGGGGAGAGAGGGGTAGGTACAGGTAGTGGAAGTGAAGCATTGGAGTCCCATTTCGAAGGCCCGGGAGAGGGAGGGGCCGAATGGGAGGCGTGGATGGGTTAGTGAGACCGGCCGCAAACGTAGAAACGCCGTAGACGGTACAGAGTATGTAAAAGAGGACATGCCCGGCAACTCACATCTTGCCAGGAGATGCCGCAATCGTTTAGCACCAGCACTCGCAGCCCCGGCAGCAACACCCCTCTCCGGGGCGCAGGAGGCTGGGGAGGGAGAGCTGTGGCGGTAGTAGCAGCCGTGGCAGCAGCAGGGACAGGAGCAAGTGCTGCTGCAGCTTCCCCAGCTGAAGGCTCCGTGTTCTGCGTGCTAGCTGCGGGCTGCACCTCCCCCGCCACCGTCTCCTTCTGCTCCTCCGCTGTCTGCTCAGCTGTGGGAATTTGAATTTGAATTTGGATTCGGTTTTCGCTGAGATTGAGAGCAGAGAGGTTGGGCAGCGCGGTCGCCAGCTGCTCCACTGCGGCCCAGTTGGTCAGCAGGTTGCAGGTGAGGTCCAGGGAGGTGAGCGCGGGAAGCGAGGAAGACAGGGCGGATGCAGCGTCCTGCGGGAGGACGTGGACATGGACATGGGTGACAACTTGGCATCTCGTCGGGAGATTGCTAAGAGGTTGTTGCTTTAAGGAGTCATCTAGCGGGTGATGTTGCAGGGAGGATCGGGAAAATGGGGTTACAAGAGGAAGGCGTGTGGGGGCTGTGGCCATGGCGGATGTTATGATACGGTACGTCGATGATGGCGCGACTTACCACGAATGCGACATCCAGGCCCACGAGTCGCGCGGACTCCAGCGCATGGATCTGGCGTTGCTTTTGCTGGATTTTCTCCTCGCCCACGAGCTGCACCCTGACTCGCCGGTTGCGGGATGTGTGCACGTACAGCTCATCCTCCTTCACCTCCTCGCCATGCTCCGCGGTCTCGTTGTTATAGCGCGCGCGAAGGGCCTCCAATACGCTGACGCCAAAGGAAACGCGTTCTATACGTACAAAAGATCCGGCATTGCCGCTTGCTTTGCACTCGAAATAGCGGATGCCACCGGTGCTTCCATCGTGTTTGCCGCGTGACGGGTCGTCCCACTCCACGCCCACCCAAGTGCCTTCCTGTTTAGCAACTGGCCCTATGTAACGAACGGTGGCATAGTCCTTGAGAATGCGAACGCGACAGCCTACTGAGGGCGTGGCCATTCGATCCTTGCCCGATCAGTTGTGTGGTGGTAAATCCAAAATGCAGCATACAAAGAAGGTTCATTCATAAGTTTTAATGACCTACAAACTGGCGCCACGCTCTTTCTTACATTGGGCTGTTGGAACCTGTCGTGCAACTCCGCGTTCCGCGATAGTGAGGGCCGACGCTGGAAACTTCAATACATTGGCGCTTCATACTATATACAGTATATAAGGAGGCTTCCATTTCCATGCATAGCGTCAGTCCCTTGGCCAGAAGCAATACCACCACACCATCCAGCCACCTGCCGTCTCCACCTCAATCAGCCTATTTGGATCGGCGCTCCGATACTTCTTCCTACTTTTTCCCCATGACATTCTTTGTGGTCTTTCATACGTCTGCCGTCCCCTGTGCCCGTGTCTGGCGTGCGTATGTTGCGGACCCTAGAGGGGCAGGTAACAGGCCAGGGGGTGCTTGCTGAAGGCCTTGAATGGCGGAACACACACGCATTCAGCGCAATGTTAGTCCGGATACAGGCGACTCTTTCCCAAAAAGTATTACAAGTAGCCAGCCTCCGCCACCCCCATTGCCCCAGAGTAGCTCGCAGTTGAGAAATTCTCATGACAGCGCCCAACACGCAAGAGAACACACACGCACAACCCCCCCTCACAAGCACTAAGCTCTTCCTCCTCTTCAGTGCGTTGCCCCTCGTCAATCTACAGCCTGGGTGTCTGGACTAACCCTCCCGCATCGCGCAACCACAACCGAGCAACCTCCGTCCGTCCCGTATGAAACGCGCTGCTCCGAAGCCCCCCGGCGGGCAGCGAAAACTGGCACGCATGCATGGGGGCTCTGCAAGACACCCCCAAACATGAAAGGGGGGAGGAAAAACACATCGGCGTGGCGGCACGGCAAGAGAGGGCTCAGGACACCCGCAAAGCGCAACACGTGCGGGACCTAGAGGCGAGGAGCCCACAACCACCCGCCAATAGTCATCATCCCGCCGCGCCGCGTGCAACCCCTCGCTCCAGCAACCGCGCTCCCTTTCTCACCCTCTTTACGCTCCTACCTACGTGGTGCTTGTGGCGTTCTACGATACCTCGCCACAAACCCTCGCTACCTCCCGTGCCTCCGCCCTGTCAAGCGTGCTCCTCTTCCCTGTCATTCTCTTGCTTCTTTTTTGTTCTTCTCCGCTCCTCCCCTTATTCTTTTCTTCTCAGCTCAGCAGCAGTCAATTAAGCAGTCCAGTCATAACCTCCACAATCGCCCACTTTCTCGGCCACACGCTCCACCACAACAATCATACTGGGTAGGCGTGGCAAAGGTGGATCGTTGAAACCCGGACCATCCCGGTTACTTTTGGGAATAAACAGGGGTGCCCCGCAAACCCCTCTCCGAGGAGCCCAGTTACGGCTCCAATAAGCGGCACAGTAAGGCCTTTCACGACCTCCCGCCTGGCTGCTGCTGTGCATCGTACATTCTTCGTACATCACCGTACGAACACCGCCGTACGGAACCCCAACTAGCTACAGGCAGCAGCGATCCAGGCTCGTCGTTTTTCCGCCGCTGCCACCCCTTCCACACGGCTAAATAACCATAACAGGATGGAAATGCCGCGTTCCTTTGTTTCTGACAGCAGGCGTGCGGTAATAAAGCTCAACACACGAAACACAACGGCGCCGTATACGGCACACAGACGACGCCAACACACGCCAAAGATAGCATCCACGTCCTTTATTCGCCTGCAATTTTAGCCAGCTAATTAACAGCCAGCCTTAAACAGCTACTAACAACACAACAAAGCGTGTAACCCAGCAAGCAACCCAGCCAATTCAATTTGGATGCGAAAGGAGACCCACACGCACACCAAATCTGTAAACATGAAGCCAGTGGCATGGCCCAGTGCCCTCTCTATGCACCGGCGCAGCAGCAACGACTATCGTGTGTGCTGCCATGCGCCCGCATCAGAGGCAAAGGACCCAACGCGTGCTAACAACGCGGCAACATACGTCTGCAGCACAGACACACACACACACACGCGAGGGGCAACGGAGGCTGGGGACATAGGCTCAGCTGATAGTAGATACCGGTAGATAGATACCGGTTACCCACGTAAGATGATGACGACACGCCCACACGCAAACCCGCCGGCTCCTCCACCACCACATCCTCCTCCTCATAACATGTATGTAGATGCACAAACCCCCGATTAGGAAGGGAGGGAGGGAGGGCCTCACTGGTAACCGTCTGTTAAGAGGCAGGCGTGACGACCAGACCACGCGGAGGCCGCAGCTCCTCGGCGGGGTCGTCATCTACCAGGGCGACACGGCAACGCGGAGGCCGCGGACACAGCCCGCTGCAGTGCCGCCCTTTTTTCCCTTGCATGCACCAGTAATCCATATCACGCGTACAAGCTACCTGCCTGCTGCTTCCCGCGCTTCCCACAATACCGCCACATCACCACCACGACACTACTGTCTCCATCACACAGCTGCCGCCGCCGCCAGCAGCAGTCAAGCAGCACTAGCAGCCAAGCAGCCAAGCAGCAGCATACATAGTACCGAGCTCCATACATAAGCACACACGCCCTCTCTCAAGCGTCTCTCTCACACACACAGACACGCACATTCGGATCTCTCAATACTTAACACCTCTCGCTCTTCTCTCGCACACGTCTCTCAAAAGGCGGAGCACCCTCCTAAGGCACCCGGAGGCACACGTCGCAGCTCGTCCGCACGTGCGCGCGTCCCGCAGACAGGCTCCATTCATCCATACATACATACAGGGAAGGTCAACATCATCACCACCAACCTGCTATCCTGCCACACTAGCAGCAGCAGGCACTAGACACAAAACCGCAGCCGACTAAGAGCGCCCCGCAGCCCAGGAGGGAGGACGCTACAGGGCGGGCGCAGGGCGCAAGTTGTTGGGCCCAAGGCGGTCACGGAACAGGCTACCCGCCCGGCCGCCAGTCAGCGCTAGTCATAACACAACCCAGGAGAAACACTCAGGAATACAAAAAGGGAAGGGAAGAAGGGCGCGCCAGTTACACTCATCCTCACACACAACCACGGCCAATCCTGCCGTTGCTGCACCCGATAGGACCCGCAACCCGCTTCCCCCCCCTCACCGCCTCCTTCTCCTTGCGGCTGCTCCTTGGATTACCTCCTCCTCCCCCTCCTTCCTGCTGCTGACCGCATCCTCATCCTCCTCACCTCCTCCCCCTCACCACCACCACCACCTCGCCCCGCCCCTCTTAGCGGCTGCGAACCGGCAGCAGCGCGCGCGTGTAGGCCAGCGGCAGCGACACCAGCTTGCGCCACTTGGGCACGTAGGCGCGCATGGTGAAGTTGTCGTAGTCGTTCACCTCGATGGCGTCCAGGATCTGGCGGTATAGGATGAGCGCGGACCTGTGCATGGGGGGGGAGGGGAGGGGAGGGATTAGGTAAAGCGAGCCGCGATCGTTGCGAGCCGCTTACAAAGTAGGGGTGCAGTTTGTTGGTAGGGCAGTCCAAGCTGAAGATTCAATGACGGGTTGTAAGCCCTCAGGCCCATCGCCTGCCAGCCCCTCCAGCCCCCGCCTCGCCTCCCCCAACCCCATTGTCTCCTCTGCCCTTTACTTGTGGCTTTCCGGTGGTTTGGCCACCGCATCTTTGACCCCGCACCCCTCCTCCCTGCTCAGCTCCCCTGGTGAAGCCTCGTCATACAGCTCGTCAGTTTCCTCTCCTTAACCCTCCCCCCCTCCTCCGCTCCAACTCAAGCTAGAACTCGAGCTTGTCGGCTTGTTTGCCATCCTCGTTCAACACATTCCGACTCGCGGCCAGTTTCCTTAACACATTGGGTATTCTTCTTTTCCGCTCCCCCCTCTCACCAAACGGGCCAGCGTGCCTTGGGGTCCAACAGGTCCACCCCCGCCTCCGCATCAGCAAAACACTGCCGCGCTCGCTCGATCTGGAAGCGCATGAAGCGGCGCCAGCGGTCGTCGATCTTGCCGGTGGTGGGCGCGTGCAGGCCCGTGAGGAGCTGGGGGGAGGGCAGTTGGGAGTGGGGGATGAGGGGGGGGGAGAGGGGGGAGAGGGGAAGAGGGGGAGTTGGGAAAAGGAATGGAAACGTGAAGCAACACTGGAGTGCATATCCCGACCCATGCAGCGGAGGAGGGGAGTGAGGAGGGAGGTGGGAGGAGGCGGTCATGTGCTGGGCAGCGGTCGTGGAAGATCGTATCACATCGCAACGCAGCAAGCGCGCACTTTCCTTCCAATTGATTTCTGACCACACACACCCACATGCCTCACAGATTACAAAGGCCGTTTACGGCTGCCTGTCCCATCTTCTCCGCACACCTCCTGCACCACCACCCCTGTCCCCGCACCTCCCCCTTTCCCCCCAACGCACCTCCTTCTCCGCAATTCCGAACTTGTCCAGCTCGTCCAGCGGCACGTAGATGCGGTTGCGCTGGTAGGCGTCCTCGCCCACATCGCGAAGGATGTTGGTTAGCTGGTTGGCGGTGCCCAGCGCTAGAGCGGCGCGGTAGACCGGCTCCAGGGGGCCCTGCGTTTGGGGGGGGAGAAGAATTCCCAACGCGTGTGGGGGGGGCGGGAGCGGGTTTAGAGTTTGGGTTTGTGTTATTGGGGCGGGAAGAGGAGGATATGGGTAAGAGCGTGCTGGTAAGAGGAGCATGTGGTTAAGGGGAATCCGGTGGGATGGGGCGGGAGAGAGGTGGGGCATGGAGAGAGGGAGCGGCGAGGGATGTGGATCAGAGGGAGTTGGGGCGGAGCGCGGAACGGTGGCAGAGATGGTGTGTTGGGGGAACTAGAGAGATTTCGGACACGTGCCAAGATGGAGTGGGGTTGTAGGTTAGGCGCGGCTAAGATGAGAGATTTGATAGGTAAATGCGGGACAGGGTGCCATTCTTACGTGGCCTGCGTGCAAAATAAAAAGATTGCAGTACACACCTTGTAGGAGGGCTCAATTCCCATGATGGGGGTTGTCATCAGCGCCACCGTTCCAGCCACGCGATAGCAATATTCGTACAGCTCGTCATAGGTTTCATATCGCGATTTTACGAGATCCATCCGCATCCCCTCGATCATGTCGCGAAACGGCTGGATATGCAGCGGGAAGCGTGATATCGTGTCCGTAAGCGCAGCGTCGAGCTCGTCGTAGGGCTTGCCATCAAACAGCGCTTCTAGCCGCTCCTCCCATCGGTCCAGAGCCTGCGTAATTCCAGGATTGTATTAATAATTGCATTCTTGGTAATATCTCCCAGCGCTGTGGTTAGTAGCCCTACCTTGGGAGTAATTTTGGACGCATTCGGGCCGTCCACCAGCTCGTCCGTTCGCCGGCACCAAACGTAGACAGCCCATACGGCCTTGGCTTGCGCTGGTGTCATAAGCTGCGTCCCTAAGTAGAATGTCTTGGCATACTCGCTGGTCACCTGGCCACACTTCTCGTACGCTAGGTCAAGAACTCCGCCGCTCCACCTGAGCCTCCGCGGTGACCCTGTTTTGCGTCCCTGGTGAGTCTCAATGCATCGCCACATCGCGTAGTCCTCTACCTCTCTCCCGTGGAGTCGTGGGGGCTCCACGGGCGCAGAAGTCGTTGGCACAGAGGCAACATCAGAAGGTCGCAGAAGCGTCGCGCGAGTTACACCTGTGCGTCGAGCCCTTGCTGTGCAGGTGTGCCCGCAGCGTGTACTTTTCAAAGACATATTTGCAGCGCTGTTCGTATTGTGAAGAATTTCGCGATATGTTAGAAGCTGTGCATCCTCGCAATTGTGGTCGACGCGCGGCTGAGCAAGTAACAACTGCTACGCACAAATTCTACAAATGGAAAGCGGTCGGCTTCTATCCAAAAGCGCAATTGGGCTCAGATAATCACGGATACAAAGACTATAATACGCATCTCCGCCGTACATTAGGCCTTTGAGCTCCAACTCCCAGCGTAGCAGGCATGCTTTCTGCTGTATATCAATTGAAATAGGCGCCGGGTAAACTTTGCTGCAAGCGTATAGGTTCGCAGGCCTGGATTCGAGACATCCCCTTTGCGATCTCACGCGCCAACTGGAGCACTGCTTTTAAGTAGTCCGATCAGTTCATATCGTACTCCATTACTATCCCTACTTTTCCCTTACAAAATGACCGAGACAAAGAAGCCTGAGACGGAGCCTGTCAAGAAGAATGCAGATTCAGAACAGCCCAAGGAGCAAACCGCGGACTTGTTGGAAGCCGATGATCTCTTCGAGGTGTGTTCTGTGCAAATGTAGTTGGGGGACACCGGTAACCACGTTGCGGCTGTTCAGGGAAGGCCTGGGGCCGGCTGCTGCGAATGTTGCGCCAATGACACGCCATAACGTAACACTTGCCCCCCACCATCCGCCCCCGCTGCTGCGAATTTGGCCAACGCGGGACACCGGGACTCTCGCTACATTTGCAGGAGTTTGGCAACGACGGTGAGTGGCTTGGGACAACAGACGCTGTGCATGTAGCAATGGGACACCCAACTTTGTAACACTTGAAGGCAGCTTTAGCGTGCAACCTTCCTGCGCTCCTTTTGGCCTTGGGCAGCTCATCATCCCCTTGGGGCACCTTTGGGTTGGTGTCTTGGTACCCAGATGAGATTTCCGCCTTGGGCCTCTCCAAAACCGGTATTGGGATGTCTCTCCGCACTCGGCCTGCACCCACCACCCACCATCGCCCACATCCACATCCACATGCTGTTGTCAAGCTGTCCAGCTGTGGCCTGCCACCCTCCCCGCCCCCACCCCCACCGTGGATACCATGCCTTCCGCACCCCATTGGGCACCCCCGGCCCTCCTCCACACAAACACTCGCACCGGACACCCGCACCTGCCACCGCCAGCATAACATTTACCCCCCAGCTACCACTACCACCCCTTATACAATGTAGTTACATACCCCGCATCCCGCACTCGCCCATGCAAGTAAGTCCATAGTTACTACCCCACCCGCGCACCCAGCCAGGTAACCCAACACCCCGCCCGTATGCTTAACAACACCCCCCACACACGCTCCTGCTCGCGGCCAGTTTTCTTAACACACACACCCAGCCAGGTAACCTAACACCCCACCCGCTCCGCCCGCGTGCCCCCAGATGTCACCGGCGGCAAGGAAGCGGACGAGGAGGTACCCCTGTGGGAGGCCGACTGGGAGGATGAGAACACAGCGGATGACTTTGCTAGCCGCCTCAAGACTGAGCTGGACCAGCGTGGTATGAAGGAGTGATGAGGCTTGCAGCGGGAGGGAAGGGAGGCACCGGTTTCTAAGGTCCAAGCAGGGTAAGGGAATTAATAGATGATAAGTGCAGCAACTGGAGTCCCAATCCCATATCTCGACTCATGCAGTGAGGTTTGCGGGGAGGGGGCACTGGCTGCAAAGACCTAGGTGTGGTAATGACGATAGGAGCAACCGGGAAGGGGGGTGGGGTGAAGAAGGGAGTCGTGGCGCGTGTCTGATGATGACGCTCGAAGCCTGGGGATGACCCACGGGTCACGAGCGGACTGCAATGGCACCCGTGGGGAAGGGGGGCGTGTGAAGGATGAACGGCTGAGGAACGTGCTCCGTTGCACACCATCAACGGTCGTGGCGTTGTGGGCGGTGACTTCATGTTCCCCGAAACTTCACAATCACAGTTTGTTCTTCTTCGCGTTTGTTCTTCATTGCGTTTGTTCTTCATTGCGGCCCTGCCGGGTGTCTGAACACGTGTAGAGTTAAACATGTCCGCATCGTGCGGCTTCCACGCGATGGCATGCGAGGGCGGCCAGCATGTGACAATGCGGTTGGGTGTGGCGGGGTGTGGAAAGGTGGAGGAGCGCAGGACAGGAGGAGAGGAGAGCACAACGCACACATGTGTTGGTGGCATACCGTGTAATAAGGAGCGGTCATCAAGGAGGTCCTGACGGGGCCGGCCGTGCTCTCCTCAAAGGCGAGGCGAGGCGATGGGAGGGGAGAGTTTCACCGTTGCCTAGCGAATTGTGCCGGGCTTACGGTAGCGCCGGCAAAGAGCTCTACTGCGTCATCGCAGGTTTTAAATAACCGTGCCAGGGCTGTTCTTTTTGGGGCAGGTAACATGCGTTAGTGCGTCCAGAAATTTGCTTTTAGAGCGTTGAGGTTGGGTTTAGTGTGTTTGTGCTGCTGCTGCTGCTGCTGGCGCTGCTGCTGTGCCGTTGCTGTGAGGAATCGATTGCCAAGGAACTTGGAAGGGACTTGTGCATTTCAACAACACCGTAGGAAGAACCGTAACACGATGCCTTTACCACCGTACGGTACTACAATGGGTTTGCGTAACGGTGTGTGACACGCGCATGTTGGGAGCGTTCCTGGGTACGGTTGCAGCTTGGGGCTCAGGATGAGTGCTGGTAGGGTGAGCATTGTATGTCGGCAGCAAAAAAGGCATGCATTGCCAGGATTGGCTTCAAGCGGAACGTTAGCGGGTTACGTCGCGGTAGACTTTTGTGAGGAACGTTTCACCTTGAATTTTCCAGTTTAGGGGGCCTGGGCTAGGCCCCGAGACGTCTTGGGAGCAGGCCAAACCGCTCTGCAATGCTGCCCCAGCTTCAGTGGGATTCTTCCCCTTGCGTTTGCCCTACGTAGCCCTCTTACGCTGTTTGGAATGGATTGGGTCTTCGGTTGCCTCTACCCTGCGCTGGTTATTGCATACCACACATAAGTCTCAGCCGCTGGCAGCCCACGAACCTATGCGAAAAAGGGGCCTGGGGTGCGCTTAGCACATCTACCTGTCGGCTTACTTCCATTGTCCCCAACATGGCGTGTGGTTCGGCAACTAGCAGAGTTGTACTTATGTGCTACCAGATACTGCGTGCCATCGCTTTCGTTGCAGTGGTTGGGACTGACCCATGCAGCTGTGGTCTGCTGTGGTCCAGCCATGTGTAGGCCATGTGCGCATGCATGTCGTCGGCGCCCCTGGACGCTAGGGGTTACCTAAAGCTACTTAAGTTCAACTCCTTCAAAGGCTCAATGCATTATCCTACTGCATCGCGTCTAGACGCCGTTACCTTTACATACGATGTCAGGACGACATGGGGAACTAACCGCTCGCTTCGTACATGCCTTGTTGATAGCTACCATTCTAACCAATGCTGGTCGTAACAATTGTGTCACACAGTATGCAACCTGGTTACTGCAGCTGTGTTAAGCCCGGGGAGAACATGTTGCGGTTACCGTTACCGATGGGCCGTTCTGATAGGCACGATGACTATACTTTTGCTTTTTGTCTAGGACTAGTTCAGGTCGTTAACAAAGGGGCTTGCTTCGGGGTACTTTGGTCTCCATGCTGCACTTGGGGTAACAGAAATAGGCCGGTGCTCGCATTCGTAGAAACGCACTATGACGGGGAGATACGGCTCTCCACACACAAACTTTTGCAGTCAATTATGCGTTATTAAGGGCGTGAATGCATTACCGCGCCCACCGACCCGTACTATATAAGGCCCATGGCCGGGATGGTGGGCAGGGCGCAATTCCCGTTAGGGACGCAGCGCACGCAGCAACACTAGGTCTTGCTTATGAAGGCATGTGCCGTTTGCCTTCTGTATTGAATGGTAGCGACTTTAAGTGGGCACTCTACTCTTGACTCGCATCAGGCCGCAACTCCACGGCCTTAGGCTTTTAGAGCGCATAGCCAGGATTCATTTACGAAGTGCGATAACATTCAGTTTAGTGTGCTGAGTATGGAGGACGGGGAGGTGAGACGCTAGTAACCCCTCTACCTGTACTTTGGGGACTGAGGAGACTACGCGTTGCTTGGAACAGTACAGCAAAATGCCTAGCATTAGCAGCAGGTGAGGAGAGCAGGGACTCATAGGGCGCTCAGGGGACTCGTAACGACATGCGGCTAAGATGTCGGCTTGGCTTTTACGGAGAGCCAGAGCTGCGGAGTCCTGACTAGGTTAAACATATCTGGCTACTTAGAATTAGTTTAAGGGTCTTTGTGGTCGATGCGAAGCTTCACAGCGCTTTGTCAGCTGAGTTGTCGTCTTTAGTTCGCCCGTAAGCCTAGTTAGCTTTCATGCTACATTTTCATAACGTATGAGCATACATGTGTTACTTGTTTAAGTTATATCGTGTTGTGGGAGCAAGAACCCTTTGCTCGCTCCCTTGGACTACATTCAGTGCGCTGTCTCCATTTGCAGGCGTGCAAGCGCCATGGCGCGCCTGCTGCTTCTAGCAGCGTGGGTTATGACTCTAGCATTCTTCCCAGGTAAGAAATTTGTGTCCTATGTCAGCGCTGGCGTTTTAAAGCTCAGTCTTGCTCTAGCGGTTACCCTAAAGTCAACAGAGTTCAGCAGCCGTGCATGCCCCTCTCATCCGCTCTTGTATTTAGTCCCCGCGCATCCCCGCGTTTCAGCTTTTGGAATCAGGATTCCCCTTATTGAAACGACGCGCTTCTGCCATTTCTTTCCGTAGGACGAGCTATGGGGCAAACGAAGGCGACAAACAGCAACCCACTGTAAGTGTGTCACAGGCATGATACGCGTACCAGTGTTGGCGCGTGTTGGGGGAATGAAGGTGGGAAGTAGGTAGGGCCTTTTAGCATGTACGGCACTGCTTGTTGCCGTAACTCACGTGAGGCTGTGTGCGGACAGAGCTTAAAACTGTCCGATGAGCCCATGCCTGAATGAGGGTGGCTGCGTTGTGGTGGTAATGGGAAGTGGGTAATTGCAAGGCATGTTGTCAGGCTGTTACCGGTCGACAGAGCTCCGTGGGGTTGAGGGAAGCGCACAAATGGGGTGGGGAGGTATGCCCATTGAGGAGGGATTCGGCCGAATTTATCTATTCGGTTCGGAGCTTTGGGCAGGGAGCAGAGTGCAATATCTTTGTGTTATCCAAGCTTCGTACTGCGGTGTCGTGGGGCCAGGCCGTGGATTTAGTCGAACCGGCTAAATCACGGTTCACAATTACTGAATCAGGGATCCCGACCCTGTTGTTGCTGTGGGTTAGGGCCATACAGGCCATCCTCTCGAGAGATGCCGTCCAATGCGGGTTGCCCACTTTGGCAACTAAATGAATATTGTTGTGCGCCTTGTTTATGGACGTTTGGGCGGATCAGGGTACTCTATCCTTGCCGCTGGGACTTGAATTTAATGGTTAAGAATTATTATTAGGTTTAATGGTATGCGGATGTACGGCTGAGAGTTTTACCAACCTTGCCGCATGCTTGCCGCTTTGGCGCCTGGGTCCATCCATCCGTCTTCGCCTTTCCTGCCTTGGCTTTCCCTCCTCGATATCAGCGCGTCAGTACCTCTTACACCTTGCGTAAGGCAGTCGTTTCCGTATACACGATGGAGTTGACGTGCTTTTTCCGAACCACCCACGTTTTCCCAACGGCTGTCCGGACCTCTCTCACACCTACATTTGCATTTCCGTTTTATGTCACCCACCATCTCTCGCGTCTCCTCATTTGTACCCTCTCACCACTCCCTCTTCCTCGCTACCCTGTCTTCGCCCCCACAGGTTTCCGGATTGCGCTTGCGAGCGGGACCGTCGCAGCTCGCCCTACCGCGCAACCCTGACCAGCACATCGGAGTATGCAGGCGGCCGGAGGTACTGCTTTACCTTTGACATCGTGCCCTGCCAGGTGGACAACCCGTGCTGCTACATGAACTTCTACAAACTGGAGTTCCCCTTTGGTAAGCAGCGGCTGTGAGCAAGTTGTGAGCAAGTTTGGAGTGGACGGGTATGTACCTGGAGGGGTGTGTGTGTGTACCTGCATTCGGGGGTTGTTGACGTAGGACTGTCGCCCAAGGGTCCTGGGGGCTCTACGCATGCTTCGTTTTTGGCGCTATGTCTTACAGCCTTTGGCCCCTCCCTCCCCTTCCCTCGCTGCTCCCTTGCCTCCCCTCCCCTTTCCCTTCCCTTCCTCTCTCCCCATCATCCCCTGCCTCTTCTCCTCCTCGTCCTCCTTCTCGTCCTTCTCGCCCAACTCGCCACTCGTCCCCTCGTCCCCGCTATACCTCGCTGTACCTCCGTCCCTATCACCGTCACCACCACCGCCGCCCCATCTCGCCACCTGTTACTTCTACCCCCACCCCCCCCCCACCACCATCACCCCCACCACCCCCACCATCACCACCACCACCACCGTCACCACCACCACCATCACCACCACCACCACCATCACCATCACCACCATCACCACCCCCACGCAACAGCCTACTCCTGCAAGGGAGCCCTGCAGTTCATTGAATACCAAGGGACCAACAAGTCCATCATCTGGGGCCCAGCCTACACCCTGGCCACGCCACAGCGCATCGACTTGAAGATCACCAACATGCGGCTCTCGCAAACTAACGCCAAGGGCCAGAGCGTCTGCCTGGGTATTGCGGACAGCTGCAAGGAACTAGACCAGTGGTGCTGGCCCAACACAGGAAGCTGCAAGCTGGCCATGTTTAACGCAGATCCCTTCGATTGCTGCCCGGTCCAGCCCTTCACCCTGGCGCCGCCGCCGCCACCGCCGGATGCTCCACCGCCACCGGTAGTGACGGCGCATCCGCCACCGCCGCCGCCGCCACCCCCGCCGCCGCCACCGCCGCCGCCGCCGCCCCCCAAGGGTACCTCCCCGCCGCCACCGCCTTCGTGCTTGGTGTGTGTACGGACGATTATTGCGGTAACTCCTTCGAACGGGAAGTTTGGGTTCACGGACGCGATGTGTACGGACTTGCAGCAACTCATGGTGGACACCTTTAACCAAAAGGTAGGTGCGGTTTGAGTGGTTGGGGCGGTTAAGGTGGTTGGCTTAGGACTATATGACTAACGGGCCCTATGCCACATTGGTTGATGGGGCCGTCAGGGCATATGACCTCAAGCGTGTCAAGGGCATTCTTGCTTCTTCTTCCTCGATTTCCAACCCTGATGCAACTTTCATAGCCGCCATGACTCTCCCCAACCGCTATTCAATCCCCTCGCCTTTGCCTCTCCTCGCATTCCCTACCCCGCAGGCCAATGATCTGGATGCCCGTATGATTGCGCCCTTCTCGCCCGAAGGCTGCAAGCCCGACGAAATCCGCATCTGCGGTACCTTCTTCTCCTCCGAAGATGGTCTTAAGCTGCAGGACTGGATTGATGGGCCGGACCACCCGCTTTCTGACTTCACGTCTTTCATCGCTCCCGACGTCTGCCCCGCGTCCCTCACCGGCTATACCATCGCTACCGACATTGTTGATGACGGCGACGGCACCAGCGCATGTCTTTCCGGTCATGACGTTAAGATGTGCAGCAACCAAAGCCCCCCTCCTCCTCCGCCGCCACCTCCGCCACCCCCACCACCCCCACCTCCGCCTCCCCAGCCAAAACCTCCGCCTCCCAGCCCACCGCCTCCCAACCCGCCGCCCCCTAAGTCCTCTAGCCCCAAGCCCCCAAGCCCACGACCTCCCAGTCCATCCCCGCCACCTCCCTCCCCGCGTCCGCCCAGCCCTAAGCCCCCCAGCCCGCGGCCACCGCCCCCCAGGCCGCCGCCGCCCAGCCCGCCACCTCCGCCGCCCTGCAGTGTTTGCTTCTCCGTCCTGATCGACCTCGCGCCCAATGACTTGTACCGTTTCGACGCGGCAACTTGCGCGGCCATGCAAAAGCTGATGGCGGACGATGTGAATGCAAAGGCAGCGGAGGTTGGGGCAAAGCTGCTGGTTCCTTTCGCGGCTGACCCGAGCTCTTGTACCGACACCGAGATTCGTGTGTGTGGTACCTTTGCCTCGAGCCTGGACGGTCAGAAGCTGCAGAGCTGGACTTCGGACCCGTATCCGTACACGATTTGGTTCAGCAAGCTTTTCCCCGGAGATTGCAATGCGAACCCCGACATTGCGCTCTACACTTTTGTTTTCCAGGTGGGGTTGGGTGTGTGGGGTGGAAAAATGGGATAGGGCTTTCTCTAGAAGACGAAACCATGGTGTGTCACTACGGGCCCTGGAAAACAAGAGGAGCTATGCGGTGCTCTTTTACAATGCATCGTGCATGTGTACTGTGGTTTTGGCAGGTGCCCTGAACCATGCAACAAAAGAACACACACTCGTAGTCATCAGCCTTTAAGCTCCCCTTGGCAAGAAGGCTAACCCAACTTTTACCCTGTTGTCCCGTGCGACCTCCCTGACTGACATCGCCACACAGGTCCGCAACAGCGATGGCTCCGAAGGCTGCCTCACCGGCTACTTCGTGCCTCCGCAATGCGCCCTTTCGAGCAGCCCACCACCACCCCCGCCCCCACCGCCGCCGCCGCCGCCCCCACCGCCCCCGCCACCCAAGCCCAACCCCCCACCACCGCCTCCTCGCTCTCGGCCGCCGCCCCCGCCTGCTTCGGACTTCCCCAAGTGTGAATGCGACAAGCGGTCTGGCAGCTCTACTCTGTTCTTTGCTGATGCAAACGTGACAGAGCGCGGCGATGGTATGCGCATGTATTGCTTCAACATCAACTTGACGCCTTGCCTGCGCTCTTCGCCTTGCTGCTACCAGGATTTGAACAAGATCGAGTTTTCGGTCTTGCCGGCATGTATGGGCTCGGTAGCTTACTCAATTACAGACGGCCTAATGCGCCCAGCACAATATCAGCTAAAGCCATATCCGACTGTCAAGGTTAACCAGATTGCGAAGCGCTTTATTGATGCGCCCGGCACGGAGATTTGCCTTGTCCTCCGGCCACCTTGTGACACGCTGGCGGCGCTTTGCGGCACAGAAAGGTGTTTGTATTCCATATTTAACAACCGGGTTAGCGACCAGCCCAAGTGCTGCCCGGTGCGTTCTGTATTGGACCCGCTGCTGGCGTAAAGCTGTTCAGACTGCCCTGTCCCGGCGTGTGTTAAGAGCAAGGAAAGAGTGTTGCTTGGGGACAGGTGTTGCCGATTGCCGCGCATGTCAAGAGCAGAGCAGGGCGCTGGAAAATTGCGCAGGGCTCGCGGCTCAGCGCGCAAGTTTTCTTTGACAAGCTAATCTTTCTCTTCGTATACATAGCTTGACCCTTGACACGCATGATATGAGCTTTAAGTTGACTGTTGCTGCTGACCACGACACGGCTATGACAGGAAGCTAGGCGCATTTTCGTACGTGTAGCTGAGGCTCTGACGATCCTGACCCTGCTTAACTGAGGTTGGAACGTGGGCCGAAAAAGGGTTCATTCGCATGGCTGGATGGATGACGCTGTCACACGCGGGCGGGCTGTTTTGACGCATGTTATAGTTGCAGCTCGTTTTTATGTGCAACAGCGTGCCGTACTGAGAATGTTTGAAGCGCACCTGGATCCATTTGCCGTACGACATCCCACGTTTCATGAGCTTTGCCAAAGCCGTGACCGTGCTGCTTAGAGCGCCGACTGCTGGACTCATGCATGACCGCTGTTTGGGACGAACACACAAACCATCCGCATAACGTCTCGAAGCGTTTGAGGCAACTACGATGCTTGGGTGGGCCTACCTGGCCACAGGAGGTCATACGTGTCTGCGACTCTGTGTTACATACGACAGGAAAGCGCTTTGTTTCGTTTGGAGGGGCTGTTTAATGCCTGTGTGCGTGCGCCTCTTCACTTCTCTTCATCTATTGTGCCTTGGCTTCTGGCGGGATGAGATGCGCAGGCTGCTGCTTCGTGCCACCTCTTGCTCCGCGATAAGAGGGCAAGGGAGCACACACATCACACCTGCCCCCGGGCCACTGAGTCATTTTGTTTTCTTGCGTTGACACATTGAAACGTGGAGTGTCTTCTCGGGGCATAATGCATTGGGAGTTATGGAGGGGGTGGTCCTTTAACTAGCAGTGGTGGTGGCCTAATTAGGCTTCTGGTGTGTACAGGGCAAGAGAGAAACACACGTCGTCGCCTACGTGGGTTCCCTTTGTCATCCTTACATCTTGAGATTACGTAAGGCGTAAGGCGTTTGCCGCAGGATTTGAACGGTACGGCATGGTTAAACAGTGCGCCTGTCGCTCTCTGCTGTAATTCTCTGTTGCGAGGGACATTGACTCCATCCACGGATGCCTACGCACGGCTTTGTGATTGAGGACTCTTACCAGTAGTGTTGGGTTTATATGGTACTAGGACTTGTATTGGTTTGACGTTTTGGGATTGAAACTTGGGATCCGATCCGCGTGTTGCATTAATGACGAGTGGAGCATCCGTTGTGTGTGTGCGCCTGTGGGAAAGGCCGATGCGTGATGCTCGTTGTTTGTGTGGTGACGGCGGCAAACGTCGGCGGTGCCCCCAAACGTCGGCGGTTGCCATCTGTGTGTGTTAACCTATTATTTTTGGGTTGGTCGCCATACTACGCACGGCTGGGGTAACGCGCCGTGCAGGCAACTGATTGCCTTCCCTGTAAATCACTATGTCACTGCGGAAAAGGGAGATCCATGTAGGCTTTCCAAGCTTACGGAGAAAGGGATTGCACCACGACCGACCAGGGATGGCGCTATTGTGCTTTCCTTTATGGGACGTAGTTCCCCTGAATCCCGGAGTTCGCACTTTGTTCAAGGCCCAGGTACTGGTAAGTTCATTGCGTCCATGTCCGGGTTACTTCTGACGTGTGTACGAATTAACCAGGCTTACGAGCGAAAGGATAGGGTGCCTTGCGGATTCGGCAGTACTCGCCGTGGTCCAAGCAATTTCCCTCAGCATCTGTTCATATGCCCGTATAATTTATTGCAATTGTACCTATAAGTCCCTTCGGTTACCCCCACAAAAAGCGGCCGTAGCAAGTACAAAGACGAACGTCGTCACAACACTCTTAAAGACACGGCGGGGGCGATTAATCGCTAATGCTAAGTGAGCACAAAGTCACCTCGGCTTGACGCGCTTGTTCGTTAAGCCAGCGATTAACAAACACTGTAAGTATAGTAGCACTATAGTTATTGTTGCCCCCCCATTAAGAAACAGCGCTTGTGCAGTAGCATGGTTGCTATCTGCCACACAATTTATTGCTTATAGCCCTCCATCGGCATATACTCTGCTATGCAACCGTCCTTGGAATTTAAGCTGCTGCATGACGCTATAGATCGTGCGTCCCGGAGAGCCAACGGCGTTCGTGCCGGTCCCGTAAGTTTGCTGGGGAGCTGCAAATTTCAGCAGCAGTGAGGAACAGCATCATGGGCGTAACAGCAGTAAACACACCGGTCAAGCTGGGTGCGCTTTCTCCGCCCGCTACTAAGTCGCCTCCGGCGAGGGATTCGGTCCTCGATGCCCTAGAGCGACTTCGCCAAGAGCAAGAGGAGACCAACCGATTGCTTCGCCGCCTACTTGTTCCTGTAACACTAATCAGCAGGTATCGTGTTTGTATGTTTGCAAAGGATTGATACCTTTGCTTCTCAACCCGGTGCCCGGGCCATCCGTTTCCTAGTCCCCGAACTACTCCCCGGCTTCCAGCCGTATTTGCTGACCTTGGTTGAGAGCTTTGGTGCCTACGTGTATATGTCTAGCGGAGATTTATGGAATGACTTTCAGCTCGCCGTGCAGACGTCGGCTGTATGCAGCTCCTGCAGCAGGAACGCCAGCTTTGGTTTCAACACCCAAGAGGCGGTGTTGCGTGCTCACCTTGGCCCCAATCCGCATTGGCCCCAATCCGCACTTATTCCTTCTCCGCAGATGCTGCTCTTTGCTTCTGGACCAAGTCCAACGCTTAGTTGCCTCTTGTAGCGTCGCAGCGTTGTTGCTTGAGGTACGTACGACATCTTTTTTTGTACGGCAACGTTGGGTACATGTGCGTGTCCAGGCCTTGCCCCAGTTTCCAGTTTTTACCCCGTTCCAACAGCCACAATAGCAACAATCATCCCTTCCTCGTTTGCTTGGCAACAATCTCCCATTGCCTTCCCGGCACCGTTCACGCTACAGGATGTGTCCGCCAACCTTCGCAGCATCTTCCAGCACACCAGCTACATCGCAAACCTCGTCTCCGGCGCTACAGCCGCAGCCGCGTACGACAGCTTGTTGGGCGCCCATGCGGACCATGCAGCTAACGGCCTGCGCTTAGCGTCTGCGGCCTGCTTGCTGGCGGCCGCTGGCATCGCACTGCCGTACGATTGGGCCGCTTGTGGCAGCAAACATCATTATGCTCAGCAGCAGCAACAGCAGGTTGTTTGGTTTCGGAACTGGCGTGTTATTTTTGCGAGTGGCGGTGGCGATGTTGCTGCTGCTGCTACTGCTCGAATGCGGCATGCGGCTGCTACAGCTAACGGTAACCAAAGTGGTGACGCGATGCCGTTGCTGCTAACGAACTGGCGGTTGAACGTGCGGCGGCAGTTCGAGAGTTGGTGGTTGTCGTTGCTTGCTTTTTCAACGGGGTTGACGACACAGGGCGGTGGCAGTAGCGGAGGCAGCGGCGACGACAGCAGCGGCAGGTGGCGGTTGCTTGGCTTGCCTTGGCTCCTAAGACCACAGCAGGCGTCGTCGTCGTCTGCACCCCAACATGCGGCAACATGCAGCAGATCTGAGTTTGGATCCGGATACGGCTTTATCAGCCTCCTGGGATCGTGGTTGTGGCCCCAGTCTGCAGCAACAGCGGTCCTGCCGGTTGCACTGTGTCGCTTGGCGGCGGTATGTAAGTCGTTGTTGGGGTTGGTGGGTAAAGAGGAAACAACTGGCGAACCGGGGAATAAGGCTTTGGGTTGGGTTCTCCAGCCACCAGCCAGGCAAGGCGTTTCAGATTAGCGGGGGTGCATATCCAGCCGTTGTGTAAATTACATCGCCTCATGAGCTGTTTTATGACGGAGATCGCAGAGATGTAGGTACCGCTTACGACCTGTGTTCCGCTTGCTTCGAACAAGTTAAACTGCTACCGTAAACCGTATACGCCACCTTGCCGCTACTGGTCCTAATTCATGTTATTTATCTCCGCAGTTTGCAGCAAGGACTCCGACCTCCGCCCTCTTGTCCGTTCTGTCCTCCGCAGGCGGCTTCACAGCCGGCGCTTTACTCCTGGCAGGCTGGGTAGCGGCGGGGCTCCTGATGCAGCAGCGCAAGACCCATGGGTCGGCATCCGCATCGGCAACATCGGCAAGAGCCGTTTCCAGTACCATGAACACAGCGTCCGCCATCACCAAGGGCGACGGCACCACACCCAACACAAACCTGAGAACAGAAGTATTAACATCAGCAGCAGCGGCAACAGCGCCTCATTGCAACAGCAGTAATAACCGCCGACCCCGACACCTCTGCGTTCCCAGCCTTCCATGCGCGGTCTCTCCTGGTGCCTGCATGGCCATGTGGCTCCTGTCCGCACGCCTGCTCCTCACCCATGCACCCGCCTGGTGTGCGGCGCTGGGCCTCATGCACGGCTCATGGCGCACCTGGCTGCTTGCCCAGCTGATGTGGCATGCCGTACTTCCGTACGCCGTTGCCATGACACAACCGAGCACGATTTGGGCGGCGCAGGGAACAGCAGCAACCACAGCAGCCGAAGCAGATGTGGTTGAGGTGACCCAGCAGGTGTTGTTGAGGCGGGCACTGCCGCTGCCGCTGATGATGTTGCACCCGCATCCGGTCGCGATGCCCCCTGGCGTGTTACAGGACAAGCAGCAGCAGCAGCAAAAGGAGAGGAAGGACAAACAGCCGCTGCAGCAGCAGGAGAAGGAGACGGAGAGGAAGGACAAACAGCCGCTGCAGCAGCAGTGCCAGCAGGAAGCAGCAGGGAATGAACGAGAGCACATCCAGCAGCAGCCTGCCGTGAGGGGTTCCCACGAGCATTACATCAAAGGTCCCAATGCGGATGCGCAACCACGCTCAGCCCAACAGCGCTCAGCCGCATCAGCCCAGCAGCAGCAGCAGCACAAGAAGCACCGGAGCAGCTCGGGAAGCATCACCCGCCGTCTGCGCCGTGCGCTGTTTTCCTGTGCTTTCGGCGCTACCACCCGCACCGACTTCGCCGTCGACAGTCGTACGCAACAGGGCAGGCAGCCGACCCCAACGGCGCCAATAATAATGGAGCCAGCAGCACCGACGGGATCCCGGACGTCATCTCCGGACCACTTACCGATGGAATCCCGGACGTCGTCTTCAGGCCTGGTGGCTCCGCTGGTCCGCATGTCAGCCCAGCCAGCGGCGGGTTGCACCGCGGCTGTGGCGGCGGGCGCGGATCGTGCGCCTCCACCTCCGGTGCCGTCAGCAAAGCCACCTTCGGACTCACTGCCTGTAACAGCAGTAGCATCAGCAGCAGGTGCACCGGTGCTACCTGGTATCCTGGCTGCCATTGACGCATGGCTTGTCATTGTAAAACAGGAATGGTTGCGGTGCTTGCTGTGGCAGTGGTTGCCAACACGAATGCCCGCAAACATGTCAGTGGCATGGTTGCGGGTGGTGGTGTCGGCCTTTTGGTTGTACGGCATGCCTGTGTTTACAGGCGTGTTGCCTGTGCTGCCTTGGAGGTGGGTGGCGGCTCAGGTGGTTAGAATGGCCTTGGCGGTTATGGCAGTTGCGGTTGCGGTTACTGTTGGCTTGGGTGCGTTTACTGCGGCGTGGTTGAAGGTCCGACGTGGGGGTTGCTGCAGTGGTGGAGGACGGACGCAGCAGTAGCAACAGCAGTGGGGAATATCTAAAAGGAAAGTGCAGTCCCGGAATCCCTTATCCAGCAGCGGTAGGAGGACGGCTGCTGGGAACAGAAGGCCGATGAGTACCGTATACCGATAAGTGGGTAGTGCTGAGGGAATGCATCATCAGTAGGGAATGCATGTAATAATTGGTTGAAAGGTTGATTTCGTTTTGCTGACACGCTCTGGGGTGCCTGCTCGTTTAAAGGTCGGCTGGCGCTTTCCTGCTGTTGTCCTGAAGCGTTGATGCTGCTGCTTCTGAGTCGTTAGTGTTGTGTTTCCTCGATGGGCTGAAGGAGCTTTACACAGCGGGCTCCAGCCAGAAGCAGCAGCTAGAGTGCCCCGGCATCAACACCTTCCCTGTGTCGGCAAGGGCTTTGGAGTCCGCTCTTGGGTACGGCGGCGTCAGTAGCACGGCTGAGGTGATTAGGATGCGTGTGAATATCAACGATGGTGGTTTGCCAAGTTGGGGAAAATGGACAAGAATAAAGATGGTGGTATGTTTGAGCCCAAGACATAAACGTGCTTACATGCACGTCGCTCACTTTCCAGCAATCCAATATGCTTTTTACTCGCCGCCAACTTTCTTAGTACACGTCAACGAGTCGACGCCTACGGCCAAGTCGGCCTTTCTCCCCAAACCATATCACACGGTTTACTCGTCTCTTCCGCGTTATCCCCGCAAGGCCCGAGCCGTAGCTGCGTGTGGGAACCTCCCCGCAACGTTAGCCAACCACGGCGATCACGGTAACTCAGCAATGACCGGTTCCTCTGCGGCACGGAGACGGAAACCCTGCCTTCGCCAAACTGAAGCCGGGCTCTTGTCTGCATGACTTGCTTGACCGGAGCCGTTGAAAGATAAAAGGCGAACGGTCGTACGGTACGGCATTAACCACCAATACGAAAACCGCTGTAGCTTATAATGTGTACTACGCTTATTACCAATTACAGCTTACGAGTAGTGACAACACCCAGGGATGCTTACGTAATAATCCGTTGTTGCATTAGCACCTATCGCTGTCAACTTTAGTAGCCGGAGCAAAACAATACAATTCACGACAGTAACAAAGGTCGACCAAGAGTCTTTGCTTTTGCTGCACTCCATCCTCTTCCGCTAGCTATATAAGGAAAGACCCCATCCGCAAAACCTTATTACCAATTGCATCCAGAACGAGCGGAATCAATTACTGACGAAGCTAACAGCGTACACGCATACGGCCGTTCATGGAGAAAGTGCGCCTTCTGGCCTTCTCTTGCTCAGCCTCGTTCTCGTGTGAACACACGGCGGGGGTGCTACTGGCTTCGCACGAGTGCCATAACTCAACCAACAGCTTCAAGCTTAATTCAGTAATCGACAGCCGTACGACAAACGTACGGTTGTCGATGTGCTGCGGGAGAGACAAGTAAGATGACATGCTTAACCGCGCCGTTGTGACCCACGGGTCAGTAACCTTCACCATCCACGACAGCAACCGCAATGCCAGCGCAACTGAACAAACCCTTGGAGCAAATTATTAGGGTGTTATGACAAGGGCTTTGCCGCTTCTGCATACCAGTCTTTGATAACACAGCGAACGATTTACTCCAAAAACCAAAACGCCGTACTCCAAAAACCAAAACGCCATAAGATGCACGGAAATATTCAATGTAGCATGTGTCGTAATACTAAAACGCCTGATAACCGCTATGCAAAATAATAACTGGGCGCTAAATGCTTTAAACTAAGTATGTATTAAGTCAATATCAGCAGCAATGAGGACAACCACAAAACGTAAGCGGTACTTGTAGACTCCGTCTTTCTTTAGCAAATACCCCATGCCCGCAAAAAGGACAAAAGGGTGAAACGAAGAAAACAGAAAACACAAGCCGGCAAGGGTTGTCGTAGCCCGTCATCCAAACTCACGGTCGTCAAGATCCTGTCAAGAGAGAGTGCAAGTCGAAACGCAACTATGTGTCGCCCTCCCTTCCTTCCGAGCCATAGCTGGATGTTACCACACCACCGCACGCCATTGCTGCCGTACAGCCGATCCTCCTTCCAGCCACTCATAAGGACTCTGATCATCAAGCCGCCACATTCGTCGAAGGAGAAGGTATCCCGCCTGAACTATGTTCTACGGCTCCGTAACGGCTTCTAACGGCTGCCAGCAGCCAGAACCAGGTCGAGCAGCCCACCACTTCATCTATAGCTTGCGAATGGTGTACAGCCGCGCAACTCCGCGACCCGCCCAAAAGGTGGGGTGCAGCTCGATGATCGAGTCCTCAACCGCCTCCAGCTCCCAGCCGTTGGAACGGTTGAAGACGTTCGTTAGGCAAGCAACGGAAATGCGTCCGCTGCATTAAACAGGCAAAGAGATGTCGTATTTTTGCGTCGGTTTTTGCGTCGATTACTGGGTTTGCCGGTTTGTCGTAACAAACGTGTTACGCTGTATAACTTGTTTGTGCACCGGAAGCAACGTGCCATGCAACCCCCTGGGTCGATGGGTGGTGAGGTGCAACAGCAACACCGCCTTGTGTACGTACCTGGGTCCTCCGGGGCGGGTCTCCTCCTCCGACATGCAGTTCATGTACACCAAACCGCCAGGCTTCAACAGCCGTTTGAGCGTGGCGGCGTAACGCTCACGTTCTGGATCCGAAAAGTTGTGGTAGGTTGAGGAATCCACTACAATGTCGTACGTTGCGTTGTTCGTTGGCGCTATGGAGGCGGCAGACGGGCGTCTGGGGTCCTGTTCGGTTAGGTCCCCCACTTCGAACGACACCTTGCCGCGCATGTTTCGAATCTTGGCCTTGGCTTCAGCAAATTCAAGGCACCGGCTAACCTGCAGCAAGTAAAGGAGTTAAGATGAGGGGACAACGTCGTACGGAATTTACCCAAACCCTAAACCGCACACGCCATGAAATCATAAGCACCAAGTGTGGGAGCACAGGCAGGGTATGGCGAGCATGCCAAGAAGTCAGGAAGGATGGACGGACGGAAAATTTGAAGGGGGAAGCTACCGGTATCCGTTACTGTTTCTGTGTTCTTGTTCTAAATGTAAGGCAGTGTTTACCCGTTTACAAAAACCAAACATATCCCCGACCGTCACCGCCACCTCCGCCTCCTCACCCCCACCCATGTTGATGCCTTATCCCTCAGTCAGTTGAGTTGTTTCCTCTGTTCCCAACCCAGCATACTCACCACATCCACCCCAATGACAGCCACCTCAGGACAGGCCTTTGCAATGTAGAGCGCATTGTCGCCCAGACCACACCCCGCGTCAAGCAAACGGGAGCCAGAGGGGAAGCATCGTCGGCTCACAAGGTCTCGAACGAATTTTTGGGGCCTGGATGTGCGGGCGGAGGGAGGGAGGGAAGGCGGGGTGAGAAGGGGGCGAAAGCATGGGAGGGGAGGAGTTGACGGGATGGAGTGCCGTTATGGGAGGGGGCGGAGTTGGGTGGAGAGGGGCAAGGGGAAGGAGTGCAGGGCGAGGGGGCAACCGGGGCAGGATGGCATTGGAAAAGGGAGGGAGGGGACCCTGTTGGAGCAGCCGCATGTGGTTTTGAAGGACAAGTAGGAGGACTTATGCAAGCGTAGGAAGCGATGATGGCAAAAAGAATGAACTGCTGCACCCACTTCCCAGCGGTAGGGCAGCGACAGATGTGCACAAAAAGCCTCTTTTGCAGGGAGGCCTTGCATGGAGGCCGGGTTGGAGGCCGGGCAGCCCCCAACCGACCCACCGACCCACCGGTGAATTTCCCAGGGTGCCAGCCCAGTTCCGGAGACTTGTCGAAGGAACTGCAAGTGTAGAATAGGAAGAAGGACAAAGGTGGAGGGAAGTCGTGCGTCGTTTGCATAAAGTCGGACAGTATAGGAACATGTGCCGGACGAGGGGGAATGGCTTTGGCGGGACAGTGGCATCCACAGGCTTTCGTGTGAGAGTGATAGAAGGCGCCCCTGTAAGCCACCTCCCCTTGCCGCACCTTTGGTTTGGGCACCCCGTTGGGTGTTAAGCTGCGGTGACTCCCGATGAAGGCGTGAATGCTCGCCACATCTAGTTCCGGGCCCTCCTCTTCTGGCTCGGCGTACATCTCCTCACCAACTGAGCCCAACGCCGACCTAAGATAGCCATCGTCCGCGTCGCTTACAGTGCTGGGCGGCAGACCAGACATGAAAGGCTGGGGGTCCTTTACGTTCATCGAGCCCAATTGAAGGGTAAGCCCCTCCGCAAGTCGCGCGGCGATACCGCCGGAACAGGGTCTACTTTCACTGCCCTCCCGTATAAGTGCAATTGTCTGTGACATAACCTGGCGACGGAAGCAAGTTCGGCGTTATCGACGAGGTTAGACGCTCATGCCTATACGTATGCAACGAAATGAAAATCGCTGGTAATAGTGTAGTCGGCAACGGATTTAGCTGCGGCTACTGTGTCACATTTGCACCGTTGTGTGCCCGCACTGCATAAGGTAAACGTGAGCAACGACAGGATACTTCGTGGAATAGCCTGCATAGTGGAATAGCCTGCATAGAAAGCTTGCACCTTTAGGTCTGATGGCTAACGATACTCGTACGGCAGCGACTCGTGACTTATGAGGTCGGACGCCCCGTCACCGCGTAGCACGCTGCTCCCTTAGCTAAGAACTTAATTCAGACATTAATGCAAACCCATCACTGTATTCACGTCGGTAGCCCTCACACTTTGCTGGCTTTTTGCTCGCGCCGTGTTTGCACACGCCGTCTCACCGTTGCTATGGCTACTCCAGACAAGATCTTCTTCGCTACTGGGAATAAGAAGAAGCTTGAAGAGGTGCGCACGGCGCGTTAGCAAGGTCGGCACAGCAGGCATCTACACGTGCCTGGCGGGAATTTCGCCCTTGTTCTATCAGCATCCCGCAATCTGAACATACACTGGCGTCCGTTATTGACAACATGATGGGCTAAAACACAGCGGAATCGGACTCCACTCGACGCCAAGTTGCTCTGCACTGCACTCCCCATGGGCTGCCATGTACACCATCCGGCGTCCTTACATAGCCCCAACTATGCATCCCAAGCACACAACCCCATCGTCCACGTTTCCAAACTCGCACACATTCAAGTTGGCGTCTCCAATGCCGGCGACAGCCTTTGCCAGACGTTGCAGTTACTGACAAAGACATGCAAGTCCGATGCTGGGGAACTTTAACCTCATACATTTGTGCCTTACAGCGCAGCTAGCCTTGTGCGCCTCGTGCGTTCCAAACACCATTTTCACACTAATCGACATGTTTCCTAAACAGGTAACCGCCATCCTAGCCTCAGGAGCCGCGCTGCCTTTTCAAGTCGAGGCAGCCAAGCTGGACTTGCCTGAACTACAGGTGCCGTACCCTATCATGCTCCAACCGTGAAACGTGCTAAACCGTGACATGGGGTGGAACCGCGCAATTCTTCCGTAACCTTGTTGCTTCCGTACGTCAGCGTAAATGCACTGCCGTACACATACCAACATGGACTGCCTATTTTTTCCACCAATACTACCCATTTCGTTTCTGCCTATTCCATGCCACTGCCATGCCACTGTCTACCGCAAGATCCCAACTTTCGTACATCTCTCCCTGCCGTACATCCCTCCCTTGTCGTACAGGGGGAGCCGGAGGAGATCTCCAAGGAAAAGTGCCGTATCGCCGCCCGGTTGGTGGGTATCCTGGCTGCCGGGGGAAGTTAAAGGGGAAGAAACCACATTACGTGATGTAGCCACATTTAATTAGTAAACCACATTACAAGGGGTAGAAACCACAATACACGAAGTGGCCAATCACATTACAGGGCTACACCAAGGGTTGCTTGCTTCGGTCACGTAGCACACTGGTTTGTGGATTGGACTCTTGGGCCCTACCTGCGTCATCCCTCTCGTCCCGAACACCTTACTTCTACTCCCAAGGTTCAAGGACAATGCACCACCATGCAATGCATCCAGTCGCCTGCAGGGGGGCTTTGAACACGGGTTGCTAACAACTATCAGGAGCTAACAACTTTGGTCTTTTTCGTTCCTTTTTCCTAATTTTTAATAAAAAGTAATTATACTTAATAAATTAAATCCCCCCAACCCCAGGTGGGCGGTGCGGTGATGGTTGAGGACACCTCCCTCTGCTTCAATGCGCTCGGGGGACTGCCTGGTGAGTGTGTGTGTATGGGGGGGGAGAGGGAGGAGGGGCGCAGGAGGGGGGGTGGGGCGGGCCTGGGTTTAGTTAAACCGAACCGCGGGTCGGTACTAAACCTGACCGTAGTATCGGTATATAGTGACGGTATACCGGGGGAATGAATGCAAGCTTGAGGGTTGGGTGGTAAGAAAGATGGGGGTGGCGCGGAAGCCCCTGTGGTGCATGGCTAGTGCCAGCAATGCGCAACACAACAAAACCGTGTGCTCGTGGGCCTGCCGTACACTTTTCGTACTTGATATGTGTGTTACATGACTTGCTTATTTGTTGTACTGCAGGGCCGTACATCAAGTGGTTCCTCGAGAAGCTGGGACACGACGGATTGAACCGGATGCTTGGTGAGTGGGCGGATGGGTGCGTTAGATGGATGGATGGGTGACGTGTGAGTGGCCGGGTAACGACAACCATAATGGCTAGGTTTTTCGGTTTTCCTGCTTTTTCTGTGACTTATCCTGTTTTAATACGAACTGAACCCAATACCTTGTCAGACAACCCGTCTTACATTTTTCTGTCGTACAATCCGCCGCTGCCGCTGCTGCTGCTGCTGCTGCTGCTGTCGTAGCCGGCTTTGAGGACAAGACCGCATATGCGCAGTGCATCTTCGCCTACACGCCAGGTGAGTGAGGAGGCAGGAGTGCGATCGGGCGGACGGGAACTGCTGGCATTGACATTGACAGTCACACTTTATTGCTAAATTGCAAGGAATTTAAAACTGCTGTGTGCATCATCACATACTAACACGGCTGTCCTAACACGGCTGTCCCAGTAATGCTGACTCAATAAAGGTCTCAGTCCTAATCCAGCAGGGCCGCAGCTGACCCATGGGTCACATGCACACCCAAACCCCGCCTACCCACTGACTCACCCACCCGCTCCCCTCCTCCCCCCAGGTCCCGACCAGGAACCCCTTGTGTTCGTGGGTCGCACTCCCGGACGCATCGTGGCGGCTCGGGGGCCCGCGGACTTTGGCTGGGACCCCGTGTTCGAGCCGGAAGGTGAGGGAGGGAGGGAGGGAGGGAGGGAGGGAGGGAGGGTTGAAAATAAACAACTAGGTGAGAGGGAGGGGTGCGTGGGTGGAGAGGAACTTCGCTAACCGCCGGAGCGACCACTTGACAAATTGGACCACCACCCTGGGTTGCCTGCATGCGTGGGTGGGTGGGTGCTTGGCACGTGTCCCCATGCGAGAAGAGCCGCATGGAACTGATACGTGGTACAGGCGGTGCCAAAGAGCACGCAAGTAGGTGTAGCAGCAACGTACTCTTTCATCCCTTCCCCAGACTACAACCCCTCCCCCCCACCCTTGACTTCACCCACACACCCCTACTCCTGTCCACAACCCCTCCCCCCTCTCAACGAGCTTCTAGGATAGTGTCTCCGAATGCGCTCACTGCATGAGTCGGGATATGGGATTGGGACTCATTGTTTCACTTAAATAAATTTTTCTCCCCCTCTCAACCCCTCTCAGGTTTCAGCGAGACGTATGCGGAGATGGACAAGGAGGCCAAGAACAAGATCTCACACAGGTGCGGCCGCTGGGACTACCGGTGCCTGCCCGCACACGTTGTTAAGCCGCGTGCGACTTCAGCCATGTGTGTTTGTGACGGACCTGCATGCTGCTCACCATACTGCCGTAGACGGGTAATCGACTAAATAACCGACGGTGCCCTATCGCCGTACGCAAAGCCAGCGCCATCGACCTTTTATTTGACCGATCCCTTCCTTTGCCGCGCAACGACGCTGCCGCCCTGCTGCCGCTGCTGCTGCTGCCGCCCCAGATACCGCTCGCTGGACAAGCTCAGGTCGTACTTACTTGAGAACTCCGCTAAGCAGCAGTGAATGGCGAGTTGCGAGCGAACGCGGCAGTGGATGGAGGAGATAACAATGACGTCGTGTTAGGTGGAGCTTGCTTGGGCCCAAGTGCACCAAGACACACAAGGACGTTATGTTATGAAAACGTCCTTAATGGAGCAACGTGTGTTCGCATTATATGCTATACCTTCAGTCCCGATTATGGGTTTCGGAGGTAATGCTGGTATGCGGCCATTCCCTGGCGTGATCGGTGGAACGAGCGCGACGGTGTGCGGGGTGCACAAGCAGTGTACGAGCAGAGTGCAAGCCGTGAGGGCTTATTAAGGTTGTTCATGGGACGAGAAGGGAAGAAAGTCCATAAGGGTTATGGCACAGGCCGGGGAAAATCACAGGCCGGGGAAAACCAGGGCTGCCGCCCCATGACAAGCGGAACCACCACCTCATGTTTTGTAACTTGCTTGCTTACGTCGAACGCCATGCTAGCACGTCTTTTTACTGATTTAAGCATAGTTACAGGGAAGAGGCGGGACGCCAGCAGGCATAAAAAGCCAGTGCTTATTTGAAGTTCCAGGTATCCAACAATTTGCTTTGTTGGTTAGGCGGCTCCTAGCCCACTGCCGGTACTTCGTACATGGCCATGTCGCAGTTCAGTTACCACGCATGGCCTAACTAGGATTTCGCCTGATCTGAAAAACACATAGGCTACACTGTGCTGCATGGAGGTGATAGGGTAGGCCAACAATGTAGTCTGAAACATCACTAGCATATTCATACATCTCCATATACGCATACATTCAATGGGGGATGACACCTACACCATTTGCTACCTCTTGAAAGGGCTTCGAAACAAAAACATGTATTTCTGACAACCGTCAATAGAAGTGAAGTCCTCAAAAGTTACAAAAGGTAATTGCTTTTCCAAGAACCAACCACTAGCACTGAAAGCCAAGGCTTAAAAGCCAAGGCTTAAAGACCGCAACGGCATGACTGCCTGGAAGCTGCTACAATGAAACCCGACGAAGCGACCTCCATTGGCATTTCCGCCGAACCGCGTCGCCGCCGACGACTCGTCACACTCACATTCACCCTTCGTCGCCGCCGCCACACTCGCCGTCGCCAACCACTCGTCATCCGTCGTCACACTCGCCGTCGCCATCATCCTCTCACACTCGTCACCTCGCCGTCGCCGCCGCCGCCGCAACGGTCACCAACGTCGCTGCCGTCTCGTGCCACACCTCATGGGCCTTTTGCGCCGCCGCCATTTGTACGACAACAAACTCCCGAACGGCGTCCGACAGCTCCCGACTCATCTGGGTTTTAAACGCCGCCAGCTCTGCCGTATTGCGCGCCCCCACTCGTTCGTACTCTTGTCGTGCAGCCGCCACCGCCGCCGCCAGCTGGGCTACCTGGTGCTGTGCGGACTCCACCTGGCGTGACGGTCAGGTGAAGGGGTGGGGCATGTGCGAGTGAAAACTGGCCGCGAGAAAGAACGTGTGAAAATTGTGTGCGTTTGGAAATGCAAAAGCATGGCAGGGCATCCAGGCCCATCCAGAAAAGATCCGTGCGCATGTGTATGTGTGGACCCACAGGAGACCCGCGTGTCGTGACACCAGTGAAACCGACGTAAGCAAGTAAATACGTGTTAAAACTGGAAACTGGCCGCGAGACGGAACGTATTCCGTATAGCAAGTATGTGTCGTTGAGTAGAACAAGAGCAAGCAGGTGGGATGTGTATGTTTAAGAAGCTGGTGTTTTGCCACTGCTGTGTCGTACCTTCCGTACCGCCGCCGGGCCCGCGTTGGCGGCGGCGGCCCTCCCCTCCGCCTCCGCCAGCCGCCTCCGCGCCGCCGCCTCATCCGCCTCTAGCGTCGCCAGCGTCAGCAGACAGCCCTCCCGCGCCGCCAGTGCTGTACTCGCACCCGGCGCCGCCGCCAGCCAGTCGTGCAGTGGCGTCAGGTGCTTGGCGGCGGCGTCGGCGGCGATGCCGTACAATTTCCCCACCTGGAGCGCGTCGTACACGTCGTACGTCGTAGGTGTTTCCGTGAGAGATTCAGTGATGTAACCGCATGTTTGTCGTCGTACCGGCAGTTAATACAAAGCTCAGACAGTTGCCTCTAACCGTCACACGCCTCCGTTACACGCCAGATGCCCACCTCGCCTAATGCTAACCTGTCCTTCTGCCTCCTCGCCTCCCGTCCTTCCTCACCTTGCCACAGCCATCTGATGCTGCACGCAGCGCCGCCGCTGCCGCTGCCGCTGACGATCCCGCCGCCGCCGTCGCCGCTGCCGTACCATCTGCCTCCGCCAGCGCCCCCAGTGCCGCCGCCAAGTCGCCGCCGACTGCCGCCATCTTGGCTGCCCGGCCCACTAGGTGATCAGCACGGCGACTGAGGGCCAGCAGGGCTTCGGAGCGGTCCTGGGGGAGGGGGGGAAATGAGAATGAGCGGTCCTGGGGGGTCAAAGACCAGGTACCAAACCATAGGACACCACAAGTTAGGGCAAAGCAATGGGGGTAGGAGTTGGCAGGGTGCCACACGACAAAGTGTGGTCCTGGGAGGGGAGGGGAGATATGAGAATGAGTGCGTTGGGTAGAAGAAGAATACACAATGGGTTGAATGGGAATGGCTAATGAGAATGGGGGGAGGGGCGGGGTAGTGGGGAAGTGTTGGGGGCGGACACATACCCGGTGTCAGCATGGATCCTCCCAACACACCAGCTTGTTCTCTGCGGGTAAGTTACCCAGAAAGAGGACATCTAAGACCCCGACAGGCACTGCCAACACCCCCTCACCTGCATCGTAGCAGTCTCCTGCCGCAGTCGCTCCTCCGAGGGGGAGGGCTGTTGGAAGGAGGGGAAGGAAGGGAGAGCGGGGCGGGAAAAGGTGGGGGCGGGGGGCAGCGGACAGAGGAGACGGGAGGGAGAGAAGGGTGCAAGAGGTGGCAAAGGGACGAGCATGGGCGTTGAGGCTGGCCGAGGTTGGCTGGTCTTGCCTGCTGACCCCCACACCTATTCCTGGTTTGGCTTGGTTTGGTTTGCTGGTTCCAGCTGACTCACCCTTGATCCCCCTACCCAACCCTGCCCCTACTCGGCCAGGGCGGGATGGGCCGGCTACACCATGCCTGCACCCCCCCTGGTGGTTTGCACCACCCCACATGTCATACCGCCCCTCAAGTGTCCTCCTCTTCACCCACCCCTCCCCACTCCGCACCTGCACCCCGCCCAGCACGCCCCTCGCCTGCACCCACCCCCCGCACCTGCACCCTGCCCAACACGCCCCGCATCTGCGCTGCCCGCTCATGCAGCAGCCGCAGCACGTCCCCCGCCTCCGCAGCGGGCCGTGTCACCTGCTGCGGGTCGCGCGGGACCACCCCCTCGCGACCCACAACCTGGAGGGGTGTACGGCAGCATGGGAGGGGCGTACGGCAGCATGGAAGGGGCGTACGGCACCATAGGAGGGTGTACGGCAGCAGGGAGGGGTGTACGGCAACATGCCATGCAATGCCATGCGTAACGCCCCGAATCCCTGCCGCCCCTTGCATCATATATGATCGCCTCGTATACCACTATCACGCCACACAGGAGTGTTTCATTAACCCTCCTCCCCCTTTCAGATCACCTGCACCAGCAGTCGTACGGTGGATCGCGCCAGCCCGGGGTTGTGACCCGCGGGTCGCAGCTGCGTCCACTGGGGCCATGAGCGCAGGTCGGAGGTGGGGGCGCGCAGCCACACCTGGGGGTGGGAGTGGGAGTGGCGCGGGAGGAGTGGGGGAGTCGGGGGTCGGGGGAAGGGGTGCAAAGGAGAAATTGCTGCAGCAGTTTCCCCAATGACCCAAGCTCGACCCAGAACCCCCATACATCTAGGCCCCCGCTTCGAAGCCCCCCCAGTCCCTCATGTGCCCGATCCCTGCCCCCCCCCACCTGTGTAGCCTCCGAGGGGCCCAACACGGGGTGCACCACCAGCCTGCAGGCGGGAGGGGTGCGGGGGGGCACATGCGGGGAGGTGGGGTGCGGGGAAGTGGGGTAAACGTGCGTAACGCACACGCGCATGGGTTGACAAGTGGGGCGGAGGGGCAGGGGTACGGTAGCTGAACATACCGGTAACTGGCCGCGAGTACGTTCCTCCTCAAGGCCAGCTTTGTTAACCCACCCTGACCTGTGTTTTGGGGTTATCTCTTAACCCCCCTCCCGCCGCCCGCCTCCCGCCCCCTCCCCCACCTGCGTGGCTGGCTCACATGTTGCAACCCATGTTGACGCCTTATCCCTCAGTCAGTTAGTTGTTTCCTCTTTACCCACCTGCGCAGGAAGCGCTCGATTCCCGCCCGCCTCTCCTCTACGAAACCCGGCTGCATGCGGCGACCCTCCAGGGCGTTGCGGGGCGGCCGGGGGGGCAGGAAGCAGCCGGGGTGCAGCGCCTGGTGAAGGGGTGGAGGGGAGGGAGAGGGGGATGGGCAGGGAGGGGGAAGGGGCAAGTGAGGGGGAAGACAATTGAAAAGCGGCTCAATTGGATATCCCTGGAATCCCATATCCCCCGAGGGAAGGGGATGTGCGATGTGAAAGCGGTTGATGTCAAGGATATCGGATCACTGCCCTTGGGAAGGAGCCAGACTTCAACCCAACCAGCATGGCTCGCTAACGCCTCCTTACCTGCCCCCTCCACGCCTACCGCATATAGTCTGTGTGTTTCGCCCCCCACCCCCCCGCTTCCCCCTCACCACCAGCAGCTCCCCCAGCGCCACCACATCCCGGAAGCGCCGCTCCACACTGGTTTCGGAGCTGCAGGCGCCGCGGAAGGTAACCACGTACACGATGTACGGCTCGGATAGACCTGTGTGGGAAATGTTTTGGGTGTGGGTTGTGGAACAGTGGTTGTAAAACATTGGGGTGTTGTGGTCAGGTTGGGCGTGCAGGCCCCGTCAGGAATGGGTGTTTTGTGTTTTTCGTTGGAGGTTTGGAAGAAGAAGGAAAATAGAGTTGCTTGCTTGTAGGACGGCATCTCGGCATGGGTGCATGTGCTTGAGGAGGTAGGAGGAGGAAAGCGAGAGGACGACACAGGGGAAGTGTTGCAGGGTCATAAGAAAACACAGTGGTTGTACGACAGGCGCATTGACACGAACGCACCCACCCGGGATGCGTGAGGGGCCCACTGCCTTGCGCGGGGAATGTACGGAAACCGTATTACTAAGCAATGAGGCGGCGGAGTACGACATAAGCCCTCCGCCGCCGCCGCCGCCACTGATCGATGCCCGGGCGGATCCCGAAGGCCCCGCGCCGCCAGTCGCCGACGAGGCGGCGGCGGCGGCGGCCGTCATGGCAGTTGTGTCGTCATATGACGGTTGTGACAACGGCGACGGTGGCGGCGGCGGCATCATGGATGGTAGACTGCCAGATCCGATCACGGATCCCGCTGATAGCATCGACATAGGGCCCTCGCTGACGGGAAGAGCTGCCGTACTGAATTCCCGGGTGAAGTCGTACAATGGCGGTAGCTGCGACGGCTGCTGCTGCTGTTGTTGTTGCTGGCGAGCGGCAGCAAAGGCAGAGGGTGCCGTCGGCAGTGGTGGCGGAGCGATAGCATCGTTCAGAGGGTCCAGGGGATCTCTGGCGGCAGTGCTGGCGGCGGCAGCTGGGAGATCTGGGTAGTGTACGGCAGTCGCAACAGCAGGAATGCTACTGCCAACAGCACCACTGCCAACACCTCCCGAGGTAAAGGTAGCGTCAGGTGTGTCGTACAGATCAAGCGGCATGGAGAATGCCGTATTCGTATCAGCGCTGCCGCCGCTGCCGGCGCCACCGCTAACAACGGTGTCGCCAAAGCTCAGAGGCCCCAAGTCAACAGCGGTGGCGGTGAAGGGATTGCGGCTGTTCACTGCAGACACCGCCTTTACATCCGCAGCAGAAGGCTTCAGGGGTTGTTGCCGAAATTCCCCTGCGCTTCCCACGTCGCTGGATCCGAAAGGGTTGCTGCTGCCGTACGCCGCGCCCATGGGAACACCGCCACTGCCGCTGTCGCCGCTGCTACCCGAAGGCCGATGAGGCATCATCCGAGTTAATGGGCCCGTCACCGTAGATGGAGGAGAAGGGGAAGAAAAAGGAGGAGGAGCGGTGGTATCTGGTACGGCAGCAGCTGCTGAGCCATGTGACGCAGTCATGTACGACATATGACCGCTGTTTGCCGACAAGAAGCTGTCGTACGGAAAAGCAGAGGAGGTGAGAGGTGCGCTGCCGGCGGCTGTGTAGCTGGCGGTTGGTGATGCTGAAACGGTGGCCGCTGGCTTTGGATGCGAGGGGCTGCTGCTGCTGACAGGATTAGCATCACGGCGAGCTGTTACAGCAGCGGGTGGGACAGCTGGTTGGGAACCGGAATCAAAGACGGTTGTAAAGGCCTGTGGTGAGGAGGGAGGAGTAATGGAGGAAGTTGGAGATGAGGGGGATTGTAGGAGTTCACCAGCGAAACCCGGAAAGTGAGGGGCGTCTGCAGCGATGGAAACTCTTTTCGGAGCGCAACACGCGCCGTTGGACGGATATCAACAGAATGAATTGTCCGTGCAAATGGGCTGGCCTTTTTACGAAGAGGCATGGAACAGATGGCCATGGTCATTTTTAGGAAGACCCATGCCCAACTGGCCTCACCAGCCGAACGATCAACCCATAGGCATTGCCCATACCTGTTGGTAGAACCATACAGGCCTACCTCATCCCGGTCATCTCCGCCCACCGAGAGCGGGTCGAAGCTTGTCCTGGTACCATGAAGCGACGACATTCGCAGGAGCGACCGCAACAGCCGTTATTCCCTGAAAGAGTTTTGAATTCGCGATCTAAACTATGGGGTTCCTGGCCGCTAAGCGTAGGCAAGGCCTATGGGGAAACTGAAAGCAAACGCTTGTCCCAATCCTAACTGGAGGAAGGTATTATATTCGGGCGCTTTCATAACAAACATATACATCCAGGCTTCTTACATAGGCACTGTAATGCATGGTTAGGGGCACCAGCAGTCGGGCTAACTTGAAGTTTGACAATCACGGCGTGTCGTTCATAGCCCATGCCGGGATGCACGTGCCCCCCAGCCCGTCCACACACGCGCACCGACGGGTATTTTGGCAGCTCGTGCTCCCTGGTGCGTTTTTATTGTGCCTCTGCGGACTGTTGCTCGATGCTTCAGTTGGCCCTTCACTACCCAATTGATGCCGGTCGTACAACCCAGGCGAACCCAAGCTTAAAACGAACTTCGTTTTCAAGGGGGTTGCAGCTAGCATCTGGCTCGTGATTTCCTTGGCTTTCCCAAATGCACTTGGTAGATGCAAGGGCTAGGCGTGATGGGGTCGGGGGCGGACTGAAGGCGTGTGCTTAAGTGACTCCTGGTTGAGCGTGCAGGAAGTGAAAGAGCGTTTTGCCGCCGATGCGGTTGACATTGACGTTCCAAAGCCTCAAATTAGCTCAAACCCACAGTTTCCCCTTAATCCCCATTTTAAAATCTGTGAAACCTGTCCTCCTATAACCCTAGTAGACAGCCACCCAACTGTCCCAAGCCGTGGCCCGAGCCACCAGCGGGTTATGCGCAGGGATAACTTAGTGCATTGGCTTGTCCAGGCGTGTAAGAGTATATAGTTGGTCCCTACTGAAACGGCCCCCGTCGTCCGAATGATGCCGTACAGGTCAACACGGCCTTCGGCAACTAGTACAATTGGTCCGCTAATACATCGCTTCATTTTCGCTACTGTATCAATCTGCTACCTGACTTGGTAGATCTTCAGAGCACAAGTTAACTGCCCTCATGGTATGTTGCCTGAGTGTAGACGCAACCTGCTGAGTGCAATTTCAATTCCGCCAAGGATTTGCCTAATCTTTAGCATTCTCACCATTGAAGCCGGAGAGGCACCACACAAGCTTCTACCACATTCGCCGAGGTGTCTCGACTATCGATTAACTTTCCTAGAGTGTCAGGGGGGCTAAGTAAGCTTTCCTGAAGACGCGCATGGGAGTCGTTGGCGGCATGGCAGGCGGAGAGTAAGTTGCCGCGCCAAGCGCTTGGCTCCCCGCTCATGTACCCCCACTGTTGAGGAGCCGCTGGGCAACGTTAAGCACATTATAATGATCTGTATGCTTCATCTGCTAGCCTAGCTTTCTTTCTATGCCGTGTTTGTTTGTGTAGGACATCTTCGCGCAGCAAAGCCGAATTCCCCGCTGCCAATGCCCTCCCTTTTGCGCATCACAGGATTCTTCGCTCCTTCTTTGGGGGTCCGGTCTCAACACGCGCAGTTTGCGCGGTCGCGGTGCCTAAGGACCCGGAGCCAGAGCCCATCCCCACAACCAACCGGGCCCGCGACAAGTCCTCATCGGGCGCCGCACCAAGCAAAAGCGCGCCCCCTCCAAAGCCGCCGAAACCAGTAGATCCAAAGGTCGTGCGTAAGAAGCAGCTTCAGGAGGACTTGGACCTTTTCGAGGACCTCACCTCAGATGGCCCCGCAAAGATGCCCAAGCCCAAGCCCAAACCCACAGGCAACCCAGACGCCGCCGCAGGCCCAGGGCCTAGCTCCGCACGAAAGCAGCTCGCAAGCACCGGCACTAAAGCTGCTGCTGCTGCTGCCAACGGTAGCAGCCACAGGCCCTCATCAGCACCCCCCTCGGCAGCAGCAGCCCCTGCACGCGGCAAATCCCCCGCCCCATCTGCAGCAGCAGCAGCAGCAGCCGGCTCCTCCAAACCCGGCTCCTCCTCAGCCGGGGCTCCCCACCGTCAATCCCAACCTCACCCCTCACAACCAAGTCAACGAGGGCAACCGGGAGCTAAAGCACCCGCACGATCCGGCCCGGGTCCCGGCGGCCCGGGTCCGGGCAGCACCCACGCCCTACCCAACCGAGCCGCAGCCCCAACCAACCACCAACGGCAAACAGCAGGGCCTGGCAAGCCTTCCGGGCACACGGGCGGCAAGTCCCTCGCAGCCCCGACTGCACCTGCTAACCGCGGAGCTGCTGGCAGCTCTGCCTCCGCGGGTGCTGGTCGTCCGCAGGGGGCTGCTGGAGGGGCTCGGCCCATGGGAGGCACCGGTGCAGGGGGGCCGAACCAGGGGAGAGCACCTGCCGCAGGCGGGCTGGGTCGGGGAGGAGGTGGAGCACAGGGGACCGTGCGGCCCGGGGTGCAGCCGCAGCAGCAGCAGCTGTCAAGGGGAGGAGGAGGAGCTGGGGGCGGCATGATGAAGGGGCGGGGGCAGGGACAGATGAGCGGCGGTGGGGGTCTTCGGCGGCCTCGGCCGCAGGATGAGGACGAGTACGATGCGGACTTTGTGGTGGATGACGAGGAGGAGGATGGGCAGGACTGGCGGAAATTCCTGCGGAGAACGACCGGGTAAGGAGGGGTGAGGGGTTGGTGGGGCTGGTGGAGGATGGTAGGGTTTTACTCCTTTCCTCTCATCCTCCCTTCCAATCTCCCCGTGCAGTTACGACCCGAGTCGCTATCGTGATGAGAACTTTGATGACCGTACGATGGAGGCCTCCTGGCGTCAGGTGGTGGCGGAGGAGAAGCGCAGCGAGCGCATGGGTGGGTGGGGGTGAGGGGCGTGTGGAGGAGAACCGCACTGAGGGCTGCTGAGGGATCGAACAAGAGGTATCAAGCAAGAAGGATAACTAACTGGGGCATTGGCTAGGCTAGGCTTTTCTTATCTTGCTATACACCCCCTCGTCACCCTCTTCACCCTTCCTCCGTCGCGCCATGTGCAGGTCGTTTGGAGGATGACATGGCGGAGCAGGAGGAGGAGCGGCGGCGCAATGAGAAGATCAGAAAGATGAAGGCGCTTAAGAAGCAGCGGATCGATTAAGGGTGCTGAATTGCTTGTGGACCGCTTGTGGAAAGGGTGCCATGCCTCCAGCAGGGCAGTGGATCGATGTGGGAAGACAGGAGCGCGGAAGGGTGGCGCTTGAATGAGCATGCCCCCATGTAGTGCAGCAAAACTGCATCAGGAGCATGCGGACCTGCCAACAGTGCTGGCTTGTATTGCGCCGGCTGGATGGGCTGGGTTGAACTGCACGCAGATAGGTGGTTAAATAAGTTAAATAAGTGAGACAACGATGTGGGTGGAGGGGGCGTGGGGATTGCTGTGGTGGTCTGGTGGGGGCGGCGGGCCGCTGATTGGTGGTGGTGAGCTGGTTGTGGCAGTGAAAGGAACAATACGGTAGGGGCGCAGGGGTGGCGCAACGGGGCTTGCGAGAGGGGGCAGCTAGGACTGTGGCTTTGCAAGAAGTAGAGAGGCTTGAGCGTGTGAAGTGAGCAGCAGAGCAGGGTGTGAGAGGGTGTGTTGAGAAAACTGGCCGCGAGTAGGAACGTACTGGGATGTCGGAAGATGAAGTCCCCACAGAACCGCCGCAGGAGCCGCAGGGTGTGTCTGTGGCTAGGATGGTTCGGACGCATCTTTGTTTGTTGCGGTGGTAGGTCAGGAGCAGCAGGATAGGCAGGTAGACAGAGGAGGAGAGGGAAGGGAACTGGCAGCAGCTCTCGACTGGGCCGCACGGCATGCAGGTAGTTGAGGTTGAGCTTTATGCGGGCTGCTCGTGCTTGTACTGCTGCTGGTGATGTTATTGCTGCGTGTACGGGAGGTTGCTTGCAGTATGCCGAAGTTGCATGGTGGTAGGTCTATTTTGTAATTGCTCGTACGTAAGTCAACGGCAGATGTGTGCGAATGTGTAGGGCTTTGCCGTTTCCTGGGCAAGGAATTCATAAAAGATTGTCAGGTAGGAAGGCCTAAGGCGCCTTGGTCTGCACTGCATTGCTGTGGTGTGCAGCGACGGACGCACGCTGCTGGGGCCTGGTCGATTCTGTACGGGCGAGGAGGGGCGTGTTTTCACGGCGCTTGGGATGGCAGCATGGCTGCAGCTTGCAGGGTGTAAGGCGTTGGGATGAACGTGGGCGGGCTTTTGGACCCTTGTGTGCTGTCCTTCCATGGCTTTGATCGTGCCCGGCGGGCGTGCGTTAGGATGAACTCCGTGGAGAAATGGCTGTAGTGTAGCTGTGAGGGCAGTCTGATGTCACTAGTTCGGTTGCAACTGGTGGTGTGGGCATGGTGCGTTGGAGGAGGAGGTTGGTGCGACGCTACCTAGGCACGCAAGCGAGCAGGTCAAGGGGTGTCAATGGTTCATTGTAGCACTCGCCTAGCGCGGGCACCCTACCGGTATATGATGAAACGATCTTGTTACGCATTGCAAACTGGCTGGCTTGGGAGGTACAGCAAAATAGTAAACACCGGGAACAGCTCTCGCCTTTACCAGGCTCAGCAAACGCCTGGTGAATGGGCACACCTTCGCAAACGGGCATCGACACAGGCCCCTACCCCAACACCATCCTGCCCACGCCTGCCGAGGCTTCCATCGTCTGGTATCACTCAGTGCCTCCTGGCACTGCCATGTTCGGCCCCTACAAATATTATGTCAATAGTGCGGTTAACGCCATACAAGCGGTCTTCAGCGGTCAAGACTCATGTCAAGTCCCTTGGGGGGGTTGCTTTCGGTAACGGATCGCCCCAACGTCTGCACTGCTCACTCTGCGCCGTCCCCACTGTGCTCACCCTACAATCTGGTAGGGCTTGATATGTATTTATCACCTTGCTGCCTTGCGCATTAAATTCGCCATCGGTCTCATGGTGTAGCCACAGCCAAACAGCGTTCCATGTTCTCTAAAATAGGACAGCGTCCGAATTCATATTTGTAAGATCAAGGGTCGCACCAGCATAAATATTGCCGCATGGGTCGAAACCACGCCAAAGCATGCTATGACTGCCACAATACACCCCTCGACCACATGCCCGCCCTCATCTAATCTGTTCCAGCCGTATTACCAACCCCTGCGCCTCGCTGCCTCATCCATACAAGTACACCCCGCCTCCCGCGCACTTTGCTGCTGCCCGGTAGTACGCTGCTGCTCACGGTGCCCTCCCTCTATAGCTCTATTGTACACCGCGCCATGTCATCCTCAATGCCTGCGGCCTTAAAAGAGCATTTTGAAGAAGCCCTGCCAGCCCCGGGCCGCCGGGCGGGAGGGTCGGGCGGTTTGCAACGGCTGGCACACCTCAAACAGGCTGACGGCAGCAGGCCCGGCGCCAACCGAACTCTTGACAGTGGTGCTCCCGTCGCCCGGGCTGCTTTCGTCCCGCTCGCTTTCCGCCTGCATGACGGAACGGTTGGACATCCCGGCAATCGGCCTCTTCCCGCCGACGTCAGCCGGCGAACGAACCGTCGAACCGTCACCAGCAGATGCAACGTCATCCGACGACAGCTCCAGCTGCATCGAGTCTAACAGCAGGTTCAGCGGCGGCAACACCGGCGGCCGAGATTGCTTCCCCAGCACCTCCTCTTCCTCCTCCTCAGTCGTATCCTCGTTAGCGCTGCTAGACTCCACTTGGACCACGGCCTTGTCGCCGTGCCCGCCGCTCGCCGCACCGCTTGGATGGTCCACGGCGGCGGTGGTTGCGTTGCGGTTGGCAATGGGTACAAGGGAGGATTCCGCTTCCTCGCTGTGCGGCTCGGCGGGCGTGGGGCAGGTGTGCCTGCGCAGCACCTCAGCAGCCATGGTGGCCACCTGACGCATGTTGGGCCGCACGTGGTCCTCCACCAGCAAGGAACGCATGAGCCCCAGCACGTCGTCGCACAGGCTTGGCCCTGCGGCGGGAAGGAGGGCAGCAGCGGCGTCGGTGGGGATGGCACAGGAAGGGCACGGAGCAGTGGCTGTGGGCAGGGTAGGTTAAGCGGCAATGACGAGGCGAGGCCGGATGCATGAGGGTTCATGGGTTCATGGCGCAAACTAGGCTCGAGAGTGTACTCAGCTGCCGGTACTCACCGTCTGCACCGGAGAGTAGCCGTGGCTTGTACGCCTCATCTCCCGGCACCGACGCGCCGGCACCAGCGCTTGCGGCCTCGTCACGGTCGCGGTCACTCCAGCCGCCGCCGCTGCTGCTGCTGCTGGTGGCGTTGCTGCTACCAAAGTCGTCAATGTCATCGCTGTAGTCCCGGTGCTGGCGCAGACCGCTGTAGGAGGAGGCAGCAGCTGCGGCGCCAACGTTGTTAAGCGACACAAAGGATGGGGGCTCGTCGCACATGATACGCATGCGGTCAGCCTCCTCCGTGGTAAGCCAGTCGGGCCCCGCTGGGTCAGCGCATTGCGTGGCCACGGAGTGGCGCAGACGGCGGTGCGGCGGCAAGGGCATGGCAGCAGGAGCAGCACCGCCCATGCCGCTTCCATTCTCGTTGTCACAGCCGCTGCCGCCGCTGCAGCCTCGGTAGCTGGCGCCGCCGCGGGCAGACATGCCGCCTCCGCCGCCGCCATTGCAGCCGGGAGCAACCGGGGCAGCAGCAGTCACGGCTAGGGTCCATTCGCTATCGGCCACGCTGCGAGCCGACCCGGCGGAAGGAGGGGGCACGGGTGGCCAAACGGCGGCAGTGGTACTGGCGATACTTCGGGCGGTGTCGTACGGCATGAAGCTCCGCGCGGTGTTGCGAGCGGTGCTGCGGGCCGTGTTGGGCGCGGTGTTGAGAGCAAACTGCCCGGGCCACATCTCCGACATCCGGGATGACACCGGGGGCTCGTCCCCGCCATGCCTGGCCGTGGAGACGTCCTGGCTACGACATGACACAGCCATGGAAGTGGAGCGGTTGGACCGCGTCGACAGCATGGGATGCGGCGGGAGTTGTAGCGTAAGCTGCGGGACAGGTGGGTGGCTGGGCGGCGGGCCCGGTGGCTGCTGGCGCTGCGAGCGCACGGATGGCAAGGAGGGCACGGGCGGGCGGGCCAGACCCAGGGGAAGCCTCGGGACGCGAGGGCCTGGTGTCGGTGTTGGAGCCAGCGGCGGCGGCCCCTTGCCGACGATCGGCGCCTCCCATGTAGCCGCCGTGGCTGGTTCTCCGCCAGGCGGCGCCGCTTCCGTAACCTGTTGTTGCCGCTCAGCCGCAGCTGATAGCGCAGCTGCGGCAGCGGCTGGTGCGCTGGTCGCGGGATGCTGCTGCGACTGCAGCGCCTGGCGCAGACTGCCGGAACTGCTTCGGACGCCCAAGCCGCCGCCTCGGCTGCGTCTGTGGTAGTTTAGGAGCTGTCGGGCGGCTGCGGCGCTGCCAGCCGCAACGGCGCGCATGCAATCACTGTTGCCCTTGAACAGCAGCTCGCCGGTCACAATCTCGTACAGGATGCAGCCCATGGCCCAGACATCCGCCTTGCGGGCATCCACGCAGTGTCCGTGCACCATTTCCGGTGGCTGGTACGACACGGTTCCCCTACAGTGGTACAATGCAATTCACCGGTATAGCGCATGTAGCATGGCGTGCAAAGGATGAACAGGAGGGATGAGGGTGCAAACGGTACGGATGCACTGACAGCGGAGACAGGCTGCGCTCGGCAGTCCGAGGCGCCATACGCAGGCGGCCACTGCCCTGCATCTGAGCATCATACGAGGAGTTGTCGCGGTCTCGCGACGCACCTGGCCTGGTCAAGCAGCAACGGTGTTCCGTTGAAGAGCATGCTCTCCGAAAAGTCCGCCAGCAGCAGCCGCCCAGCCGAAAGCAGGACGTTGCCTGTTCAGGAGCAAGTAATGTGTGAGCACAGGATTGTGGCCCACGGCCGCAAAATCATGGACTAAACGCTGGGTTCCAGACGTCAAGATTGCAAAGAGCACGGAGCTTCACGTGTCTTCGTTAACATGAGCATAAGAATGCGACAACACAGGTATCCTAAACAGGCAAGGACGTGGTCGGTAACAACTCCATACCGGGTTTCAGGTCGCAGTGGGCCACGTGCCAGCGCTCATGTAACTCCGCAAGCAGCTGCGCCAGGGTGCACCACAGCCTTCCAAGGAACGACAAAAACAAGGATCGTTAATTGCTGGGTTTAAGACAGAAGCAGGTAAACGCTGGGTTAGAGGCAGGGTTAAGGAAAGCAGGGGTTGGGGAGGAAGGGAATGGAAGACAGAAAGGGATTTGAAAGCGTGCGCGGAGGGTCAGAGGGTGGTCCTTGTTTGCCGAACTCGCAGGGGCACCTGCACGGGCAATGGGCGCAATGGGAGCAAAGGGAGCAAAGGACAACACAGAAAAGGGCTTGCTCATTGTAACTCTGAAGGCGGGGCCCATGCCGAGGATCACAGTGGGGCTACTTTAGAGGTGGACTGACCATATGCATGTACTAGATAAGCAGCACTCCACCCTTGGCCCGCTCCGTTTCCAACTGCTCACCTAAGGCATTCCAGGATGTACTCGGGCCCTGTGGCGACATCGAAGCGCTGGCTGTCGCACCAATCCTTGAGGCTGTGGTCGCAGCTCTCCAGCATGAGCATCACCTGCATGTCATGCAATGCATGTACGGCGTGAGCCCCGTGCGGCCAAGGGTCAAACGGAAACGACGTGCATACTCGGCGGAATCGAAATCCCAGGGGCAACACATGCGGCCCCGCATCACTAGAGAAGGACCCAGGTAACCTGCCTTGTCCTCGTGGCGTCCATAGTCCAGCAGTCGTACGGCACCCTGCCATCCTGCCAGGTGGAGAAGCACGCCAATCTCGGCAAAGGCGTTGGCCAACTTGTCTCGCTCCGCCACGTCGTAGATCTAAAATGTGGTCAACGGTCAGTGAACAGTCAGTCAACGGTGAACGAAATGGGTCCAATGCATTTTGGTGGTCCGACAGTGTACCAAATTGCATCAAAACTACATGCCGATTAACGGCGGCTATAACAGGCGGGCAACAATGTGCAGGCCTGGCAGTGCACCGGTACTCCCGGCAAACGTTCGGGTCGCTGGTGGGTCCCACCTTGACCACCACGGGCTGGCCTTGGTTGCACGCCTTGTACACACTTGAGTAGGAGGTACAGGTGATGCGTTCCACGTGGGTCAAGGACTGCAGGAGAGGGAGGCGCAAAGCCGAGGATAGAGGGACGAGCAGCGGGAGGTTACTGAACGAATTGGGAGGCGGCTGCGACGATTGGAGGAGGGCTCTTTTCACGCTGCACCATTGCGATTAGCAGGGTTAACGCTTTCCCATACCCTTCCCCAAAGTCGTATGCAGAGTCCGTTAACTGGCCCGCCGCCCTGCGTGCTCAGCCCACCTCAAGGAGCCGGTACTGCCGACCCTTGGGTCCATCGCTTAGCCGCTCCCAGGCATCCCAAAGCTCCTCAGGTAGCATCAGGTCACAGCTGTCTGGGTCGTCATCGCTGTCATCTGCAGTAGCAGTGGAGCGCCGAAACCTGCCACCGCGCCCAGAACGGCGCGAGTTACGCCGACCGCTCTGCGCAACCGGCGTGCCGGTAGGAATGGGGCTGGGAAGAGCTGCGCCAGCGCGAGCTGCCACGTCCTCGCTAGCTGCCACAGCTGCAGTAGTGAAGACGTACGAGGCATCTGATGTGGCGTCCTCCAAGCCCTCATCAATAATGCCGAAACCAATGTCAGCAAGCTGATACATGTCCTCGGCAAACTCATCGTAGTCCCCGTCGGAACCCTCATAGTCGCTGTCATAGTCCTCCATATCGTCTTCTGACTCGGCCCAAAAGACTGCATGGCAAAGATGGGAGCGCAAGGGCACAATGTTAGACCTCAAGGAATGGCAGCTAATGGTGACATGCAGCCAGGATTGGACTTGGAGCGCTTAGGAGACTGCACACCGCCATTTGCTGCTGTCTGGCGGTATTCCATAACCCAAACGCCTTCAACACCAGAATAACCCTACCAGTACTGGCAAGAACGACACACTCACCCGTGCCCAGCGCGTGTGACGTCAAGCCGGATGTTGCGACAGCTGCCATGCGGCGCACTGTGAGGTTGCCAGGGCCATGGTGCCTCGCAGACGGCAGGCATGCAGACCGACGCCTTGTGCGGGCTCCCGTTGGAAGAGGGCCATGCTGCCCTGCCTGCTGACCCGCCACCGCCGGTGGTAGAGGCAGCGCGGGGACCCGGCTGGTAAGGCGTGCCGTGGTGCCGCCAACGCAACCGGGCCTAGGCCCTCCCCGGGCACTGATGCGCGGACCGGTCGACGGTGGCATGACCAGCGTGGGCAAGCGAAGTTGCGGGACCGCACGCAAACCAGGTGACTGGCGCCGCTGCTCCGTACGGCCCCCCTGCGAAGTCGCCGACACCGGCGTCAGGCTCCGGGCGGCATCGTTGGCGTGCTTCTCGTCTTGCGGCGTGCGCTGAACTGGTGTACCGCTTACGTTTACAGCAATCACAGGCGCGGCGGCTGCTCCAGCCGACGCAGCAGCCTTTCCTGGCGTGTCTTTTCGTGGCTCACAGTCTGTACGCGAGCTGTTAGCGTCGCGATCGTTATGCGCATCTGCACGACCGCCTGCTGATTGGCGGCTAGCGCTGGGCACCTCCGCAAGCGGGAAACGCTTAATGGATGAAAGCGCTGCCGGGGTGTGGACGCCTTCTGTCGCCAGCCCCTTCTCATGGCTGAGGTGGTGGTGCTGATCCTGGCGCCGACCGCGAGACCCCGGCGTCTGCCGCGTATCTGGCGTAACGACGGGGACGCCCTTGCTAGCGCTGCAGACGCTCGGTGTAGCGCAATCAACGACGCTAGGCATAGCTCTGCGGGGCCCTGTAAAAGTAGCGCAAGTAGAATAGAACAGGCAGGGAAGCAGAGGGTTTCAATCATTCGCCAAAATGACATGGCCCCGGTCAGGATTACACGGCCCATACCTAACAATTGCCTGCATCACCCCAGATTCCTGCACCGATTCTGACCCAAATCAACTTGCCAGTACCTGTTTGGAGCTGGTCCACGTCATCCATGGACACCCGAAAGCTTGGCACACGCTCATCGACCCCCAGCTGCGCGTTGGACTCGGCAGTGGTTGCTACTGCAGCCAAGCCAGCGAGTATACCAGCATGCTGAGCTTGCGCAAGAGCATAGGGCCCGCCGCAAAGGCCCCGGCCTTGCCCTCCGCCAAGAGCGCCGCCAGCGGAGCTCGCACGAGGCTTGCAGACGCTGGGCAGGAGCATGCGCAGGATCTCGGTCGGTGAGCCTCGACTGGTGTCCAGGGGTTGAGTGACTGCCTTCGCCACGGCGTCGTCAGCCTGAGCAGAGGCGGACGCTGCGGTTGCACCGGCGGCAGCGGGCCCAGCTCCCCCCTGCAGGGCAACGACCCATGAGGCCATGCGGGCCGCGACTCAGGGGATGCAAATGAGGCTGCATGAGGGCGACAACAGCCTTAGGAGGAATTGACGGGGGGAGCCTTCCATCTGGATTGATACCAACTTCCTAGCGCTCCATACCATGTTCCTGCACGACTCTGCACCCGAGACTGCATGTCTATGTGGACATTACATGCACATACCCACCCGAGAGTTGGGTGACCTCTTCTTAACGCCGAACAGGTTCAGACCAGGCACGAAAGGCCGTGATGCGGATGGCGGCGTAGCGCAGACGGAATCCGCTTTATCAGCGTCGACGGGTACGCCCAACGAAACGTTGTGCTGCTGATCCTCGTGCTGCGAAACTTCCTGCGGCTCAAAGCCTCCAGTTGAAGGCCACCGCAGCTCACGCCTAGGCCCGAGGGGCGTAGCATCTTTGGAAGATGAAACGCCCACGCCCGAAAATCGGCTTGGGCTTGGTGCTGCGCGCGGAAATGGGCTGGCGCGATGCGCCAGTTTATCCAGCAGTCGCATTGGCTGCGAGCCGCTAGAGTGGGGCGACTTGTTGGAGCCTTCATGGATGGGCTCTTCCAACAGGACAGTTGCCGGTAAGCTACAGGCTGCTTGCAACTTGTAGAGCTGCTCCATCTCGGCAGGGGGGGAGGCCTCGCGGTGGCTCATCCAACCCCCCTCAGAGCCATTGCCTGTGTCCGTTTCTGCATCAACATCCTCCATGAGTTCTAAGGCCAGCTGCCTAATGCTCGGCACATGACCGTGCACCAGGATGAAGTTCGCAATGGCAGCTTGAAGCTCCTGATGTTCAACCTCGCGGCCCAGTTTGTCTTCAAAGCGGCTGAGCACGTCGAAGTCACGATTCATATCGGCCCCATAGTTGGTTAGCCGAGTGGCACTGCAGATGCTGGCTGGGCTGCAGGGACTCGACGCTGCGCTTGAGGCACACGTCCTGAGAGTCTGACCACTGGCGCGATTGAGTGATCTTTCAGGCGACAGCAGCTGCTGCACCACGTCGCCATGCCCCTGTAAGTACACATACACCAAAACCCACAGGTTTAGCGAAGCAGTGTGTCTTAACCTTTATCACTTCTTGGCGCACAGTTAAGCGCCTTAGGCGCAAGAGCAAACTATGAGCTGGGTCCGATGGACATCCCAGGAAACCAAAACAGACGAGCCTAGGATTAAGTTGGGCAGGTGATGCGTGTTATCCAAAGCAACAAACACAGTAGCAAGGTAACCTGCCTGGCTGACAAGGCGCAGCGCTAGAGGATTATTAAAGGGCTCCATCCCTAGGTGGGCCAGCTTCAAGCCCTCCGCTGAACTACGCCCACGTAGGTTCTGTCAACGGGTTGCAGGGTGCGAACGAGCTAAGTGTACATTGTTCGCAAGCTGTTGAGCTGGGTAGCTGTCGAGGTTGCCAGATTCAAAATTGCGGTGTTGTCTTTGCATATATAAGCTGATCACGAATAATATTATTTAATTGACTACGATAAGGGCTTCTCAGCGAAGAATAGGTGGTATACAAAGATCGGTAGGCAACTTGCCGTACCTGCCTGGGGTTTTCTCAACAATGGCAACTGTGAATATTCAGCTGAATCCCCGCTTTCATTTTTTGGCACGTCTTTTTAGAGTATTTTAGGTATGCCACCTGACTTCGCGCTGGTAGTCAGACTGTTCAGTCGCGGTACCTGTTGATCACATTGTAATAAGGCATGGGTGTGACAAAGTCGCGCTAGGTATCTGGGCCGGTGCGGATGTGCAAGAGCGAGGAGTTGCAACCTAACTGGCCCCGAGTGACTCCCGCTAAGCAATTGTGGAAGGCATCCCAATCTCAGCGCTTGTTAAATTCCACAGCTGCATTAATTCTTCAGGCCTGGTTCTAGATTGGCCAACATCAGCCCTGGCATTGATGGAGCTTAAGACGCTGGCTTCGCAGCCTTTCGGCTCAGTAGTTATCAGAGAGGTGCTCGTTTCGCCTTCTGGCGTTGTGATCCTTCTCACAAATGCGGCCTCGCTCCTTATCCTAGAGTATCGTAATGGACTCCAACTTCGCCACCGCATCCAAGGACAACAGACTGGCATTACCGCTGTGGCTCTCTCTGGAAAGGGATCGGAGCTAATTGCCGGTGGTGCAGATGGATTCCTTAAATGGTGGCACGTGGTGTCAGGCGAAGAGAACTGTTCCACACAATTTCCATATATCCAAAGGAGCCGCTCGGAGTCGGTTGGCAATGGGAACATCTCGCTCGCGATCACAGCTGTTGCTTCTGTGAAGGGGACCAACCTAGTTGCAGCTGCAAGCGGCAGGTGCGTCGGGTACTGCCCGTTCCTCCGGGTAGCAACCCTGTTTCTGTTTGTAGCTTGTGCCGCCTGTAGGCTTATACTAACCGCCGATCAATACAAACAGCCACCCATGTTGTGGCGTACCCCTTTCTGGGCGCTTGTCTGTGTTTCCTCTGCCACTACACACGGCGTCCGTGGGGGTTGTTTCGCGTATGTGGGTCAGGGCCTGACGACCTGCGGAACGTTACATGCTCGCAAGAACGATTTCCAGATCGTGGCCGGTACCCATGTTTTCATGACGACCCAGATCAACGTAATGACCGCCGTACTGCAGGTCCATCTGCGTTTTCGGCCCCGGCGGCGAGCACCTGCACACGATCCCCGGGTCACCATTTCCCGTCCTCTCGTTGTCCTGGGCTGCACCGGATCTCTTGGTGGCTGCGGCGGGCCCTGTACTGCACACCTGGCAGGTACGGCCTTGCAACGGTAACATCGCGGACCTAGTTGTCCTGGAAATGTCGTACTCGCTGTTTCCTCGCAGGCTGTTGGGGTCTTGAGCTACAACTTTCACGCGTACCACTGTTGCGAGCCATGACTCGTGTTGTTCTCATGGTCTCCCCACATGCTGGCTATAAACCAGCCCGCCCTTCAGTCGTTGGCTTTGCTTTGGCTTCAGCATTTTGTGTTGTCCTTCGCCCCTCTTTCGCCGCAGGTTACCCAACCGTTGTGTGTTGCCTCTGACCAGTATACCCCTGCCACCGTGGCTGACATGCCAATCACGGCCGTGTTGCCCCTGGCTGAGGGCGCACGAGTAGCCGCCGCCTGCTGCAACCAAACGGTGAGCCCCCTTGGTCAGAATGAAGCAGAGATGACGAGGGGGGCCCAGGGTTAGGCTAACTGGGGGTGCTAGCTGGTGCGATTTGGGTCGCATGGATTTGGGTCACATGGAAAGGGGGCGGATTTTGCTTTTTGTCCATAACAGTCTTGTTTTTAGGCTGAAGGGAATGAGCTAAGGGAAGTAGCAGTTAGGAAAGGAAGAGAAGAGGGGGCCCGCTAATGGCGCAGGCTGTGTTACTGTGCATGGGCTACAAGATCCCATACACACCTCTCATGCAGCACCGCGAATTGCCCTTTACTGCTGCAGATTGTGGTTTGGACCTTGAGGCCACGGCCCACCGCGAATGGAGTCAGCGACTCGCATGACGGCGGCAACCCCGAGCCGCACCAACCGGACGAGATTGTGGCGGAGGGCATTGAAGAGGTGCGTCGGTGGGCTTGAGAATCGCATGAGGAACACGGCGTCACCTAATGCGCTGTACAGCACCCTACTGAAAAGTAACGCGCCGCATGTCAACCTCGGTATACGAAAGCATGGATGGTTCGTTGCAGCCACAGTCGTAATCTCATTAACGCATTCAAGTTCAAAAAGGTATCCAGGTCTGAAAAGGTACCCATCGACTGCGCAGGTGACGAGTCTGAGCTGGGAGAGCCAGGGCAGGTTCCTGGCGGCCACTGCAGGCGGACGTGGCCTCGTCTGGTGCGCAGGGATTGCATGGGGGTTGCATGGCTTGGCCCACCTTGACGCTAGGTGGAGGTCAAATGCATGCAGGAGGAGGAAAGAATGAATGACTGTAAATGGGTCGCGTGTTTGGCACTTGTAGAGGCAGCTTTTGCCATAACAGCTTCGTCCCAGTTGCGGTATCCAACGCCTTCCTGTCTGCTGTTGACAGGGACCTGGGATCTGCTGGGCCGTCTGCTGGTGGGAGCGCTGGTGCGGCCGGCTACGTTGCTTGCGAGCTTAAGCCCAGTAGCCACGCAGAGGCCGCGACGCCGCCGCCGCGGCTGCTGTGGTGCAAGTTCCAGCCGGGTACCTCCTTGCTGGTGGGTGGGACCCTGTACCTTCATGGGCGCTCCGGCGTATGTGCATACGCATGCCGTACCTGCACTTTTCAGGGCCCTGCTGTCGCCGCACGGCTACTGTGCCTGCCTCCTAAGCCAGCAGCACACACTTCAGAGAGCCATCCATAAGCTCAAGTTTGTAAGGTGTTCTGTCTGCTCCTCGCCCTTCCTATGTGCTGCCATGTTAGGCCGTTGGCGACGACGCTGGCGTTGTGCACCTCTTTGACCTCCGCGCACACGACGGCAGCACGACAGGTTACTTGTTGAGCGTCTCCCACAGTCCCCTGCCCGCTTCTCGGGTGGAGGGCGTGGATGGAAGCGCGGATGTGCCAGCCGGCGTTGGGGATTCTGCTGCGGAAAACACCGCGGCTGGAGGCGAGGTACCGCAGGCGACCCCAGCCGGCGGCCAGATCGCTCCCAGAGCCCCAGCGCCGTCTCTCATTGGCTGGAGCAACGGTCACCTGGTGCTGGCATCATCCGTGAATGGTGAGAGGCTGTGTTAGGCGGTTGGCGGGGTTTCAGGCATCTGGTGGAGAGCTTGGGTGCTTTGATATTTGTTCGGAAGGTATGCATGGGGCACAGAACCAACGAGGCGCAACCAGAAAGGCATTTTTGCTTAGTCCAGCTTAGGTTCGACCTCGTTCGCTTTTGCCGCTGGTCCAGCGGGACAACCTCGCTGTGTTACATGCGTGCCTAGACGACAATTGCTTGTGATGGCAGGTGAGGTGGCTATCCTAGAGCTCGGGCGGCATAACGGCCGGCACAACTGCAGCCAGAATGCTCTTGGGCAGCTGTCTCGTGCGCCGTCGGTACGGCTGCCTGCGGGCGCAGATGCCCCGCCCGCCACAGCCGCCACCGCTCCCCCTGACAGTTCAACGGTGGGATGCCAGGACGGTGCATGCGAGGTGAGTTACGCAGGCATCCAAGGGGAAAACGAGTAGTTTAGCGGGGAAGCTGGCCGTCCGCTTGCCTGAGATATTAGATCCGCTTGTTGTCAGGATTTGGATGTTGGATGGATGGTAGCACCTGTGCAGCACCTTTCTTACTGGGGAATCCCTGCCTGCATGGATGCTTACTTGGCCAGGCCGACCCACGGGTCCCATCCTCGCCCGCGGGAGGCGTCTCAAGCTTGCCGCAACCGCCAGCAAGTATGCTGCCGCCGGCCCAACAACGGCAGCCACCCGCGCTGCCATCCCAGCTGCCACCGCAGCAACAGCAGCCGCTGCCCTACCACCACAGCACCGTCGGGGGAAGGGGTCGCCGATCGGTGGGAGGCCGCGGTGGGATTCTCTATGGCAGGGGCCAAGACGGCTCATCCGATTCAGCAGCGCTTCCATATGCTGCCTACAGCGGCGGGAGCTTTGACAACCCGGAGGATACGGAGCGGGCCGCTGCCGCTGCGATGGCAGCAGTCGCTGCTGCTGCTGCCACCGTGAACCTAATGGGCGCTTCAGCGGCCGCTACGATGCCTGCGGGGGCCGGGCCGCCGCCGCGGATGATGGGCAATAACGCGGCAGCTGGCAGCGGAGCAGCAGCTGGGACGCTTAGTCGCCATGCCTCGGAGCCGTACGGTTCCCACGCGGGCGGTCGTGGCGGCCGTGGCGGAGGTCCCCGCCGCGGTGTTGGCGGCATCACCGACTTGCCGCCGCATCAGTGGGAGCAAGGGCAAGGGCAGGCTGTGCAATATCGCCGGGTGTCCACCAGCGATGCGGCGGCTGCAAGTGCGGTGACGGAGCCGGAGGCGTCGGGCTCCGACCAGGCCTACACCTCGGCTACTGCCGCCGCGGCCGCTGCAGCGGCGGCGGTTGCTGCCGGCATGCCGGCGCCCCCGCCGCCGCCCCCGCCGGTTTACCAGATCGTGCGCCGCAGCGGAGGCAACCACTCTTGGCAGGAGCAGCAGCATGGAGAGGCAGGGGCTGACGGAGTAGGTGGAGGAGGAGGCAACAGCGGTCCCGTGCAGCAGCAAAGCCGGCGTGGTAGTTCTGTTTCGACACCTAGGCAGCAGGAGCAACGTCAGGGAAGCGGCCCGCAGCAGGGGATACCGCTGTCACTCATGCCCATGATGTCGGGTGGCAGTATGAGTGGCGTCAGCAGCAGCATGGGCGGTGGACATGTTGGTGGGGAGGCTGCATACGCACAGGTACGTACGGCTGCTGTTTCTGAGCAATGTACACCCCTGCCAGGTTGGGCCTCGCTTGCATGTTTGGGTATGTAGTAGGGGGCTTGCAGGTGCTCATGTGGTTTTCGTCGTTGCTTGTCACAATAAGCTCAACGCTGGGGGCAACCTCGCGACTCCGCTAACTGTTGTCCATCTTCTATGCCGACGGCTTTTGACCCCCTTTACCTCAGATGTCTGGGCAAACTTGGGCGTGGGGCGCAATGCCTGTCTGGCCAGCGGCCCCTGGCGCCGCTGGGATGTCGCCGTACGCTGGCGGGGGCCACGTAGGCCCCGGCACCATGGCGACGGCTGCCGTACAAACGCCAGCTGGAATGCAGTACATGACGGTCATGCTGCCGACCGGACAGGCGATGGCACCCGCAGAAGCTGCGCAGTACAGCATGCCGTACTTTGTGTACCCATCCGGCGTACCGCTAATGCCGATGGGCTACGGATACTACCCGTTTGCGGGTGCTACTGGCATCAGTCCCTACGCGGGTGAGGGCTGGGGCGTTGGGTCCAATTCGGGTGGGTCCAATACAACTAGAATGTTCCTATAGCACTGCTGGGAAAGGTGGATGTTGTAAGGCATTGCATTGTCAGCTGTGACATCCTATGTACCCTCCTGTTTCATGTTCGGCTTCTTCCTTGGCTTAGCACAGGTCAAAGAGCATGGACGCAGGGCATGGCTACGTCAGTCTTGACGTATCAATTGCCCCTTCTCTAGCACCGATTACCGCATAATGGTATTTTCTAAACCGCCGGGCTGTTCACCCCGTCCTGCTGTCATGGCTGCAGGCATGCAACCGCATGGCCTGGAGGGCCCTATGAACAGCGCGGACCGAAGCGGCCTTGGTGGCAACGCCAACGCAGGTGCCCATGGCGCTGGTTTTGGCCAAAGCCAAGGCCCGCAGAGGGGCCCTCGCAGCTCTGTTGGCGCCATGTCTGCCTCTGGCCACGAGCAAGGAGGATACGGTTCTGCCGGGTACGGCGCCAGGCTCTCTGGTTACGGCTCGGGACCCGGCGGTGTTGGCACGAGCGGTGGGGCAGCTGGCGGGAGCGGCGGGGCGGCCACGGCGTTGCAGGTGACCTGGGTCGGGGAGTGGGGTGCGCGTTGGTGATTGGGATTTCAGGATGTCGAGGAGTGTCTTCAGAGAGGCAGGGAGGTATGCGCGTTCTGAATCCTGACGCAAGGACTGGTACTATATCCATGCCCAACATATACCATCTATACACCATCATCGGTGCGCCGCTTAATCGAAATACCCTTCCCTCGTCCTCTGTACCCCGCCCCCCCTCCCGCCAGGGAGCCGCGAGCGCGCCGCTGGTCCCTCGAGGCACCGGCGGCAGGCGTGGCGTGCATGACTCCCCCCAGGCGCCCCACCAGCCCTACCAATACAGCAACAACAACCAGCACCAGCAGCACCCCTCGCAGCCAAGCGCGGGTGCATCGCCCGCTGCCTCGCAGCTCCCAAGGCGAGGCATTTCCGAGGTGCACGCCCAGCAGCCAGCAACGGTCATGCCGGCCGCCACCACAGCTGCTGCCGCCCCAGAAGCCATTGCGGTGACCACAACCTCGCCACCCACGACCACAACCAGCAGCAGCCTGGCTCCGCCGGCCCCGCAGCAGCCTGCTGGGGAGGTTACCTCGCGTAACACCAGCGGCGGCAGCGGCAGCAGCTCCCAACAAGCGCTGCCGGCTACGCCAGCCTCGGTGCCGCCCCCGCGCGCAACGGCCGGGGAGACGGCGGCGTCCCCGCCGGCGCCGACGTCGTACATATCACCCCTCAGCTCCAACATCACCCACCCCACATCAGCGGTGTCTGAAGTGACCCCGGAGGCGCCGCCAGCGCAGCAGGTGCATGCGGATGTGGGAATCCGGGCTGATGGGGCTGCGCAGCCGGCACCGCAGCTGCCGCCGCAGCAGCAGCAGGGCAGCAGGCCCGCTGCTGCCGCCAGCGCCAGTAGCCGTGGTCCGGATGCGATGGAGCGTCCTAATGCCGGCCATGCCTGCAGCGGAGATGCTGTGAAGCCCTCGGCGGTGATGGGGGTGGTTGCTGCCGGTGTTTCGGCTCCGGTTGCAGCAGCACCGGTTAAGCCAGTGCAGCAGCCGCAGGAGGCTGCAGGGCCTGCAGCAGTGGCAGCACCCTCAGCCCAAGACTCGCCGGTGGTGGCGCAGCCAGCGGCTGCTGGTGCTGTCGTAGCAGTTGAGGGTGGCGTTGCAACCTCTATCCCAGAGTGCTACGTAGCGCCGTCAAGCCCTGCAGCAGCAGCTGCCGCCGGCCCTGCGGCTGGTGCGATCAGCAGCGGCTCGGAGGCTCCGCGGCCCGCTGCAGCACGCCAACCGCCTGCCATCTCAGCTTCGGCCCAGTCAACAGGCAATGTGGTGGCTCCTACCTCGGCTCAAGGAGCAGTGGTTGCAGGCAGTACGGCAGGTCCGGCATGCTCGTCCACCTCGCCGCGGGGCTTGGTACGGCGGCCCGGCGGGCCCCCTTCTTCTCCCTTTATGACCCCTGGTCCTGCCGCTACCGCCGCTGCCATCGGCACCGCCGTCTTGCCCCTGAGCTCCGCTGCGGCTGCGCCTGCGCCGACGCCGGCGCCAGTCGGAGCTGCTGCTGCTGCTGCTGCTGTGGGCCCCGCTGCTGCTGTTGGTCACGTTGCTGGTGCCACCAGCAGCAACAGCGCGGCTGGGGAGAGTGTTACGGATGACCCACGGACCATATTTGTGGGGAACCTGCCGGCCGCTGCGGAGGAGCCGGCGCTGTACAGCGCGTTTGCGTGCTTTGGCAGGATTGACAAGATCCAGGTACGGGCAACCGGCCTGCACTGCCCCCTGCCACGCTCAGTAGTGCTCGAGCGCACCGAACCGTATTTCGAGGGCGTCGACTCGTAAAAGAGGTGTCGGTGTTTGGGTGCCTTATTCTCCCAACCTGTGTCGCGTTCGCAAGCCGAAGCACGCGCTAGGCTGCTTGCATGCTTAGGAACAAATGGCCCACGCATTGAGAAACATTCTTTTCATGGCATTGCTCCTACGCAACTTCTTGCGTTGCTGCTGCTGGTGCCCCACCACTGCACGTCCTGTACACCCGCCCCATACCGCCTCTACAGATCATGCGCGACAAGGAAACTGGCGTCTTTCGGGGCTACGCCTTCTTGACGTTCGACACCGCACACGCGGCCACAGCCGCCATAAAAGGGCTCAACGGGCGGCCCCTTCCGAACCTGAGCAGCAGGCCCCTGCGGGTAGCTCGTGCGGTGAAGGTGCGGGCGGGCTGCACGGGTTCTTAGGGGGCGCTTTGCGGGATGGCTGCCGCTTTTACACAATTTATTAGGCTTAGCCTCGCCTTCAATAGCTGCCTTCTTTAGCTGCCCCGCGCTCATTCCTTCTCCTGCGCATGCAGAACTACGAGCGCCGTTCCTTCACGTCCTTCGGCAACGTTGCCGGAGGCGCAGGCGGCAGCGTAGGTGCCGCCCCTGGCATCCCCGGAGCTGGTGCCGGGCTGGTGTCTCGCCAGGCTTCATACCCCTCCCATGGCTTGTACACCCGTCATCCATATCCGCAGCTGCAGCAGAGCCGTGTCCAGGAGCACGCCTCACAACCCGCGCCAGCTGCGCACACTCGGGGGCACTCCTTTACCAATCCAACCGATAGGGTGCTGCCACCGCAGCAGGCACCGCAGCAGGCACACCCGCTTGCTGTCACCCAGGTGCCGATGCCCGGTTCACCGCAGCAAAGGCAGCAGCCCCAGCAGCAGCAACTGCAGCCGCAGCCCCTCCAAACCTCTGTAAGGCGTCAGGTGCCGGCTCCGCAGCAGCAGCCGGAAGGCGGCCAGGCGGAGCAGAAACCGCATCCGCAGCAGACTCATTACCCTTCACCTGCAGCTGTTGGAGGAGCAGCCCCTGCAACAGCACCAGCGGCAGCTTCGGGCCCTCCAGCGGTGGGACCGATCGCGGTTCTGGCCGCTGGTACGAGCGGTGGGCCGCCACCGCAGGCAATGCAGCAGCAGCAGCCGCTGCCCCCACTGCCTGCCGCTTCCGCTCAGCAGACGGTGCAAATCCACCAGCCTGACGACGCCTCGCCGCCGTCGGTGCCGTCGCAGGCGCCGCAGCCGCAGCAGCACCAACAATACCCGCCGCAACAGCAGCAGCAGCAGCGTGCATCGGCGCAGTTACCGTCCCCGCAGGCAAGCAGGAGTCATGCAAGCAGCCACCCAACATCATCCGGTGGCCGTTTCGGGGCGCCGCATTATGGAGGCCCCGCATCACGGCAGCGGTACAACCAAAACTACGGCAGCCAGAGCCACGGGTACCAGCGCCAAGCTGCTCACTTTGGCAGCGGCTCGCCGCCGCCGGCGCATTTCCAGCCCCAGCCCCAGCAAAAGGCGCCAACAGCAGCAGCACAGCCGCAACAACACTATCCACAACAGCTGCCTAAGCACCAACAGCAGCAGCAGCAGCAGCAACCCTTCCAGGCTGCAGCGCCGGCTCACAGCAGCGCTGAGGGAACCCTGGCAACTGGGCTGGCAGGGCCTCCTAGCCGGCATCCGCATCCGCAATCGCAGCTGCAGCAGCCGCATACGCAGCAGGCTCAGCCGCCGCCACCGCCGCCTATGCCGCAGCGACCTTCATACGGTGCAGGCCAGTCGCAGCAGCACCAGCAGCAGCACCAGCCGCAGCATCAACAACAGCAACAGCACCACACCGACGGCGCCACCTATGTTTTCGCGCAAGAGCAAGGACACCCGGTTTACGTCATGATGCCCAGCGGCGGTGTAGCAGCAGCAACTGCTACCCAGCCGTACTACTATGGTCATCAGGCAGTCATGTACGGCACACACCCCACGCAACACCATTCTGCAACGGTTGCTGGCATGCTACCCTCACCGTACGGCGGATACGGCATGCCGCAAATGCAGTACATGCAGCAGCCCATGACGAAGCAGGCTGCAGCTCCGCAAACGTACGTCAGGCATCAGCCGTACCAGCGTACGGCTGTTTCACCGTCAGCAGGGGGCCGTCAGCAGCAGCATTCGGGTGGCGGCGCGGCTAGCGGCGGCGGCTCCTCCTCCTCTGCTGCTGTCGGTAGCGGATCGGCGGCCTCGATGCAGCAGGGAGCGGGGGCACCTGGCACTGCGGGGCCCTCTGGTGTGTAGGCCAGGGGCTGCCTGGGTCGGCGGCCCCGGCCTCCGCGTCCTTCAAAGCCGCTTGGTGCGTCCATGTGAATAGCTGCATGGGGGGTTTGCTTGCGGAGCGGCGGGATTACTAGCTGTGGAATGGTTAGTTCGGGGGGGTTCGGACGGTGACGGGCGTGCAGATCGCCTCACCGCGCCTTGGACCCCGCGCACCATATGTGCACTGCGACGAAAAGAGGTGGATTTACGTAAAAGGAATGGTCCGAAATAGCATGTGGAGAATGATGCTCTCCGTAATAAACATGGGTATATCATCGTACATGGTGTTGTCTCGTACATGTCGTACGTGGAGTACGTGTCGTACGTGTCTACTGAGATACGTGTCACATATCCAGTGGTTGTGGCCATTGGATGGATTGGTAAAAAAGAAGAATGCTGAAGGTAACGCAGGGCCAGCGGAGCCGCAGGAGGCTTGTCGCTTGGGGCAAGATGGTGCTGTGGCTGTGCGCATGTGCGTGTTGTTTCCTTTCCTGCAAGGGATTGGTCCACGAGGCTTGCTGGCTTTGTGTGCGGTCTAGGGAAATTCTTCCGGATCAGGATGAGCATGGCTGGAAAGATTTGGGCATGCAGGGCTAGGGCGAGAGAGTCTTGGCTGCTGCAACGAAGGGGAGCCACACGCGCCTCCTTGACCGATTATAGAGAGCCGAGCCCGTACAAGAGAGAGACAACCATTCGTCATCTGTCCCGTCAATTGAATTGAGCTGATATTGCGGCTGCTGGCGGTAGTTGATTCCTAGCCGAGATGCGCGAGTTGTCAAGGGGCAGAAAAGGCTGGATTGCCGCCCCGGCCTGCTCCAGGTCTCGCTCAACTGCTGGCAAGGCAACGGACCCGATCTGCGTGGGCAGGCTGCGCAAGAATTAGGCGGAGTTGGAAGGGCAGCATGCACATGGTATTCGAGCGTGGAGTTGGTGCATCCAGCAGGGGAGCGTTGCTGGGTGAGAGTGTGGAGGGAGGAAGAACATGAGACGAAGCGTTGGATGACATCGCCGAGGATGGTAATAATAAATTCCTGCACTCCTGTCCGCGCATCACAGTAAAGGGGTATTTCAAGTGCATATGCTGTAACTACGGGCCGGCTCCTTGCAAGCTTGTACGGTGTTATACCCCGGTCGGTGACGGATTGAGATCGATCTATCAGCACACGGTACCAAATTGCCAAGTGCGCCAGGACGCAAGGCAACGCTCCGTACAGTTGTCACGGCAGGTGGCCAACGAATCCCTGCATGCGTCTCTCTCATCTTACCCCTTGTCATCATGCATGCATGCGCCATGCGCGTTCGTGCATCGCTACGGTCATTTTGAAGTCCAGTTTGGACATCACACGTCGGACCACCACAAGAACTTAAACTGCCGCACGATTCCGCATGGTTGACAACAACAACGTGGCATTACGCCCTTATGGCCGTCTGCACCATTCCACAAGGGACGGAAACAGACAAACGCACCCTCCTTCATCCCCAACGACAACGGCGTCAACGTCCTCCTTGCCAACTTTCAACCAACAGCCCTTCTATTACAACCCTTAACAAGGCTCAACGCAACCGGCACCTCCACATCCCAATCTGCTCCCTAGCTTGCCACCTAGCTTCACCACGTACAACCCAAAAGGCTAAACGTCGATCAAGCCGCCTCCCGCCCTGCACTCTTGCCCAGCCGCTCCTTCCTGTGCTCCCGAGCCACCTGATCCGCCACCACAATCAAGTGCTCATCCCTGTAGGGGTTCAGGCTGCCCTGGTGCTGCTGCGAAAGCCGCTTCCATTTTGACTCCACAGCAGCAGGCTGTCGTACGACGGAACCGTGTACGGCAGCCTTGCTCTCAATATCAGAGGCTGAGGGCAGCACCAAGGAGAAGTTGACGTTGACGCATGCCAACTCGCCTCCATCTGGGCCGCGTGCGATGACCTGGAGTCCGTAATCGCCCTGTGTTGTACGGCACGTCGGCAGTACAGAGGAGGAAAAGATGTTGCCAGTGTACAGGACGGTGTGATAGTTATGACAAAACATGAAGTGTCAAGGGTTGTAATTCGTTATGGGCCTCGGCTTGCGACTAAGGGTTGAGTGGGATTCAAGGCGCATGTGTATATGCAGTGAAGGCAGATGCCAGATAGATATCCGTACTACTTAAAGGCCTTGGCGTGAAAAGATAGCGCATTGAGCGCTAGTACGACTTACAGGGGGCGCGATAGGAGGCAACGCCTCCACTAGGGTTATGGAAATGGGACCCGGAGCCACTGGGCATGTCGTCTTGGTGCACAGGTCTAAGCTTTGAGTGAAAATTGGAATGCCAGAGAGGGACACCACCATGTCGACTGTGCCTCCTTGCACTTGCGCTTCTGCAACAACGAAAAGGCGCGACCTTGAGGTCCAGCATGACGCGGGGGCTACAAAGTAATCCGCGAAGCCGTGCCCTTGATACATACCTGTCTTCCCACTAATGACAAAGGTAGCTGGCGAGCCAATTACAGGTGGATCTGGCGTCAGAGTCACTTCATCGGGCGTAAAAGATGTAAGGCCAGCATCACAAGCAGACCAGCTCATCTTATCCGCAAAGCAGCCTATAGTGAAAGCCGCAAGCAGAATTCCCCATATGAAGAGGAACGAGGAACCGTGTGGCATGGCGATGAAGCAAGGAGGGACGGACGAAGGACTCCTATCCTAAGCGTAAGCAAACGGGGTATAATGTATACAGCTTTTTGATAGCCCTGCCTGCATATGCCGGTCTAGTAGGACATCGCGTGCAACACCGTGTACGGCTCTCGCCGTTGAGGTCCGACGACTTGGTGTAGCTTTTAGCAGTTACTGGAAGAGAGTGTTACGGCATCTAAACTTCGACTGCCCGACGCAAACAGCTACGATCAGGATGTTCAGCTATTGGGTTGCGCCACAACCTCCGTGCATTCACCGCACATAGCTGAACCGCTAGGTTATCCAAGGGGCACGGGGAATTACCAACATACTTGGTATGTAGGTAATCCCCTGCAGCGGCGTGCATACTTTCACCCTACGCACTGATACCACTGCACGGCTGGGGTGGTCGGGGTTGCGCTGGGGATAACTAGGAAGGGGGCGTTAGGGCGTGTAGCATGAAGGTGCCCAGGCAGGTTGTAAGCTTACCACCAGTCATGCCGGTTACAGTGGACGCCGTTCCTGGGTATGTAAGACTGGGGCAGTCTTACGCTTTCCGCGTCAGCGAAGCAAACCTGAGGTCGTTAGGTCCGTACGTACACGCTGTCGCTAATATCACGTCCAAGTGAAGCGTTGTCCTGAAAAATAGGAAAGCAGTAATAAGCGCTTCTACTGATTGGCATAGCTTTGGCCCTTATCGCCCCGAAGCCGACTCGTTGAACCATGCTATCCTTGCACCAAGGCGACGTCGCAAATGTCCGGCAATCATCTCGAGGTTGGTATCATTTTATCTTACAGTAGGTACACCTAAGGGGGCTTCTGGGTTAAAAACAGCGAGTGTAGAAGAGTGGTAGCTTGCACATGCTCCCCCTTAAGTTTCCAAGTCCAAGGCTAATACTCTACTTCAGGAGCGTCAAAGTTTCCTAAAACCAACAGAGCATGGCACTTTAAATATTCCAGCGCTATTGCTCCTTGGCTGGCCAGCAAGCATGCCGCCCCTTACCGCCCCTTTGCAACGCCCCCTGAACCGCAAACGTTCACCCCTGCAGGCATTCCTTACGCCTTCCCGATCCGCTTCTGCAGAAACCTCCATAGACGCGCAACAGCACGAAGCGCCCCTGAAAAGTCCTCCCTCAGGGTCGCCGACACAGCCACAGAGAATAGCAGTACAGATGTAAACGCTGGTGATACGGCAAAGCCGACACTACCTCAGCAAGCCCCGGTCGCGGCTAGGGCAACATCTGGGGCTGGTACGGAGGTCACAACTGCAGCTGCACGCAAACAGCAGCAGCAGCGGTCAGTTCGTAGAGCCGAGTCCACGGACGCGGTTGCAACCTTCCTGACGCGGCGATTCGGGTAGGCGATTTGGGGCGCATGAGCAGCTCGTCTGTGAGTCTGCGTGTCTTGTCTGCGGGTGTTAGCTCCCGCAGGGATTGTGCTGATAGTAGTAGACCAGCATGGCAAGGGCACATTAAGTCATAGACATACGGGGGCGGTGGTGTGACGAACGAGGGAATACCGGTAGGCGCCTTAGTGGCGGGTCAATACGAAACAGCTGCTGCACCTCCGGCATGCGTAAAGCAGCAGCCATTGGCCTGTACCGCTAATGCACCCGTCAGCCAACCTACACGAGGCACAAGCACATTCCGCCTTTTTATGTCCGGCCATTTCAACGCAACCCCCGTAACAACAGATGAGTACCCGATCCCCGGTTGTCTACACGCCCATTGCAGAATTGCGGGCGGTCTAGCATGGCTGGGTTTCTTGGCAGTGGGAACGCTAGGGGAGCAGGTGAGGGCAAAGAGGCTTGCAAATAATACCGGATTACGACACCTCCTATCTTGCCACGGCGGTGACCGTTTGATGGGTCTCCTTGTGTGCACGGTTTGCAACTGCTGTCGTCACGGTCGCTACATGGTTTCGGGGTGTAGAATGTGTATCCTGCTGTTGTTAGCGGCTGCCGGCGGATGAGCAAAAGGGCTGCTAAAGGCACCCCACCCCGCTGGTTTGTACCGGTACCGCAGATTAAGACGCGCATGGAGGTGGCGAATGAAGTTAACGGCACCAAGGAGGTCCAGGATGCACCGGAGGTAAGCGGTGGGGGGGTTTGGTCCCGGTCGAACTGAGTACGCGTGGGTACTGGGCAGGATAGAGGAAAGTTGCGTGCTATTTCGCCGGTTCCCTTGCCGTACTCCGCCGTTTGTGCCATGGTAGCATCCAGGCCCTGTCGCAACTGCTGCCGTAGCCATTCGTGGCATGTTCTTTTGAAGTACCCTGAGCAGCTGAGCTCCTTGTTTCCTGATGTGCTTCATTCCTGTCACGCACATGCAGGTGGTACTCCCAAGCGGGGTTCGATACCGGGATCTGCGGGTGGGCGGCGGCCAGAGCCCCCTCAAGGGCTACCTGGTAGTGCTCGACTACACGTAAGCTCTGAAAGAAGCAGTCGGAGTTGGGTTGGGATTGTGGCTTGGTTTGCAGTTGGGGAAGCAACGGTGTTCGGTTCCGCATGAGAGGCCGAATAACGAACCACTATGTTAAGAAAGCCGTGTGATGTAAGGGCGCTCTCCATGCCCAAGGAAGGGTACATTGTGGAGAGAAGAGATGCCCACCTCAATACCTCTTGTTGACGGTCACAGGTGGGAGGATGGCAGGCACATTAGAGGAGGTTGACAGTAGCAGGGCCTTCAGCCAAAGAATCTTCCGCACGGCGCGGAGTGCTTGACACACTCGCCTTGCAACCAACGTCCTTATCATCACTCTCACCACGATGCCTCATTAAGCACATACGGTATGTCCGTTTCGTACCCTTCCTTATTGCGACATTCCCCCAACAGTGCCACCACGGACGGAGTACAGTTTGAGTCCACACGTGCACGCGGCAAGCCTATCGTCTACTTGTACGGCAGCCGCCCCTTCACAGGCGGCATGTGTGCGGGACTGGAGCAAGCGCTTGCAACCATGCGCGCTGGCGGGCGCCGAATCGTCACGGTACCTGCAGATCTGGGTTTCGGAGAACGGGGTGCCGTACTTCGCCCCACGGAGCATGTACCGGATAAGAAGGGATTGGTGCCGCCGGGGGCAACATTGGTGTATGATGTGGAGTTGGTACGTGTGTCTATTCCGCCGTCGTGACATCAGTAAGTAGCTTGTATAGTATTAAGACGGTTACTGTCAGTAGCGGAGCGGGGGCTTGATGTCAGAGCAGGATGAGCGGTGCATTGCTTGTTTAGGGGACGCAGTTAAGCAAGGTGAGGCGTAGGCCGGAGAAGGCGAATGAAGAGATGAACGGGAGGTGCCTTACAGCAGAGCCGCATGAATGATGGACGTAGCTAGGGCGAACCCTCAGCAGCACAGTTTCTTAAAGTGATGGTTGATAACTTTGGAGAACTTGGTACCCCCTGGAAGGGTTTTCAAAAGTTCATGAGAGGCGAGCAAGCTCTGGCAACATGTCGCTGGGTTTGTGCCAATTGCGTGGCCTTTACAGTGATGACAACAGTACTGGTGACAATACTGTACAGGCCACACAACATAATACGCCAAACTGGAGGCGACCAGCTTAATCAACTACAGGCTGATGGCATTCAAGGCCTGGGGGCGAATGGTGTTGAGATTTGGTGCTTAGCGCCTGTTGGTCCAGTAGACTACTTGCCGTATACCGTAGATGTAAGGGTGCAACACCCTAGGCGGCGGAAACCCACTGACGGAGTTAATTGCGACAGATATAACTTCGCAAAGGGCTGTATGAATCCCTCTCACATTACTTGGTACAGTGCTGCAGCTGAGCGTGGCATTTCAGCATTGTTGTCACATTAGGCGGTCCTGCAGGACCTCGACTGCAAATATATAGGGCACAAAGCTTTCCCCAGCTTGTGAATTCATATGCAAAGTGTCATAGGGTACGATGTCAACGGCTCGTTCAACATTCAGGTACGCTTAAACATGCGTTTCTTGGGTTCTGAAGGAGCCGTGTTATAGGATGTGTTGAAAGGTAAGCTCAGGAGGGAACCTTAACATTCGACCAGAAAGCAAGCTTAAACGGGGCGCGCCAACATGCGTCTCCTTTCTAGGCGTCCGAAGTCACACTCGGTTGGAATTCGCCTGGAAAAAACCAAGTATATTAATAGTATAAAATAAGCTTGCTATAGAAAGACTTGGAGGTAGGATATCTGCATTCAACATCATGCCAGTACAGAAGAACGAGTCCGTTGGAAGCCCATGGATTTGAATGGCTATAGACTGTATTGCAAAATGTACTGCTTCCTTGCAAGGGTCAGCTGGAAGTACGCCGGGAAGGTGACGGGTAGCAGGGTGGTACTGCACTTGCTGCCCGTAAGGCCTTTCGTATAAATTAGAAGACGGCATTCACTGAACAACACCACTCACGCTGCCTTAAAGCATATAATCTATATAACCTTGAAACTTTCTGCTTGGGCTTCGTCAGAAGTGGAGGTCAAAGCAAGTGGTTGAAGCCAGCATTCAGGGCAAAGCGGAAACATGCCAAGAGGCATGTTTCTGCTACTGCTCACAGCCCTTGGGGCTGTGAGTGTGGCGAACTCGGCGGTCATAAGTGAGTTCGTGAGTGCAGGTGCATGTCCTATTGTCGAGTAGCTAAACGCGCGAATGGTTTGATTTTCATACGCGTCTATCATAGGTATACCATCTCGTGCCTTTGCCGCCATGTAATTGCCCACTTGCTCCTGCCTCGAGATTCTTACGTCAACATCTGCGTCGAAGCTCTACTCTAGCACACCTTGCAATCTCATGCGCAACCCTGTTTTTTCTCGAATGTGCCGACAGGTTGCCCGGCCGTGGCTGGCTACACCTTCTATCGCCTGCAAGAAGTCCCTGCCGCGTACACCATCCAGACGCTGACCGTTACAACTCCCGCCACCATTGCCACTACCTGCGCCAGCACAATGTCGTGTAATGCCTTCACGACCCTGGGCGAGCTGTTGATTGTGCCCATGAAGCCCGTGTTCACCCAAATGGATGTCGTCGATGCCACCCTTACGAACTGCGATGGCATCTACGTGGCCGCCTCCAGCACTCGATCCCTCACTGGCCTGGATCCGGTTAGTGTTTCCGGGGGTTTGGGAACTGGCATGTCTTCCCCTTTTTAGAAGTTTGCTGCCCTTGGTTTTCCTTCGTATCCTGTGACAAAGTGCAGTTACATATGCGCAGCGATTTCATTGTTGTTGCCAGCTCTAGTTGGTTTTTGAGCCAACCGTGTCTCACCTTAGCAACATTTTGACCTGTAGAATCTGTCGGTCCGATCTCCTGCGTGTTTTTTCCTGCCATTTCCCCTTTCCAGACCAAGGTGTCTCTCAGCGCCATTACCACCGCCGGCAACAAATCGGCCCGTAACATGAACGCTGCGATCGCAGCGGCCAACAATGTATGCCGGGGGTGGTTGTTAGGACTTGTTTTCATAACGGGTGTTGCAACACAAACTCTAGGGTGCGACTGCGGCCATGCTTGCGCCGTGGCTGCTTGGCTACTAAGAAACTGTTTATAAAGAGGTCGCTTTCTGCGGCGCTTCTGGCGGCAATGTGTGGGTCCTTTTGATTGCGGCAATGGTGTTTGGGCAGCAATGGTGTTGGACTCGACCATGTTACCCGAGATCAGCGTTACGTATTACCCGAACCCAATAGGTCAAGACCCAGCTGAATGGCAAGAATGTCAAGACCATGACCACGACCGACCTGGCCAGCGCTTTCAAGGCCGCTGTGGTGAGTTGTACATCCTTCAAGCGTCCTGACATGAATTGCATAGATCTCTGGAACTGCACGGCATCTTGCAGTTGTTTATTACAGATCAGGTTGTTAATATGATGACAGACGTGTTGAGAGCGTCTGCATCTTACCAAAAAGTACCAAGCTTATGGCGAATTTGCTTCCTTTCCCTCGCAGACCCCGCAAGCCCAAGCCAACGACACGATTGGCAGCTACACGTTGACTGATGTCATGGCTGCAATTACCGATCCTGCTTGGGACTCCCGCAACGTTGTGAACGGCAGCACCTACAACTTCATTAGTAGCGTGAAGGACCAGGGCAGCTGCGGCTCCTGCGTATCCTTTGCCGTGACCTCGACTGCGGAGGCGGCCGTTGCTACGGTTAGCAAGATGACAACCAACACCAACGATTACTCTGAGCAGTGGTACGTGGTGACCGTGCCATTTCAGACATGGGGTTATCCTTTTTGGATTTTGCAAGTTGCCTTTGATTCGTTCTTGATACATGTAAGTTTGTTTTACAAAGTCTGCATAACGCTATACCTTTCAGAAAACAACAACAACAACAACCCACGACTGACGCGTTCGTTCCCTCGGGTTTGGTGTGTCCCTGCTGCTGTGCAGGCTCTTCTTCTGCGGGGTGACAACCAGCGTCCCAACTTGCAACACCGGCTGGTACGGCGGCGCAGCCGTTTCGGTGATCGCATCTAAGAACATCCCGTACGAGATTAACTACCCTTACGTGCCTTCCTCAACAACTCCTTGCGCCCTGAAGTCGTCGCCTGAGATCCGCGCTGGCGGCAGCTTCTCATGGACTTCCTATGCTGATCTTACCCTGGTAAGCAGGAACCTTTAGATGCAGAGGAACTTACACCAATGCTCTGCTAAGTACCCCCCTGCAAGCTCAGAAGTATTCGTGGCATGCACCTGTAACCTCTTTCGTCGCGTCCTGCGTTGCTTCTGCTAATGCGTACACCTCAAAAAACCAGCTGGCACTACTTTGCTCCACGGTTTGCCAAATGTTTGTTAGCATCCGTAAGAAGTTCTTTGCCGTACGACTGTTATGTTGCGCAACCTAACCATCCTCGGCTCACCATTGTGCACAGGCCAAGGCGCATATCCGCAACTACGGCTCGGTGACAACCTACTTTGCTGTCTTCAACGACTTCTTCTACTGGTCTGCCACCTCTGCGTAAGTCGCACCCTCAAAATCTTGGCTGGTTTCCACTTTTTTTGGTTCTGACTTCGTGGGTCATCGAAGTCCAAAGTTTACACGCGCGGTTGGTCTTTGTGCCGGCGCTCTGCAATTATTTAACCTCGCAGATTTACTTTAGACAGCATTACCATTGAAATGTTGGAAAACGTCTGCACCCCTCTTTCTTGCCAACAGGCCCTATGCCTGGGACGGGGTCAGCCCTCTTGCCGGTTACCACCAGGTTACAGTTGTGGGCTACGATGACACAGGGTAGGTGGTTGAGTGGGGTGCCCAGTCCGTCCAGCTTAAGTTTTGGCCTGTTGCAACGTCTTGCCGATGATGATCCAAAATGCCACATTACCCGATTCCTGATGCGATTCCTCCAAGTTGCCCCCTCTGCTAAGTCGTCAACCCGTTGCAACACACAATGCAGCTCCTACTGGATCGTCAAGAACAGCTGGGGAACCGGCTGGGGTGACAAGGGCTACATCCGCATGTCGTACAGCAACGGCTGCGGTCTCATGTCGGGCGATGGCGATAACATTATCGGAATGACCTGGACACCTTCCGGTGTGTCCTCGCCACCTCCACCCCCTCCGCCCATGTCTCCTCCGCCTCCTTCTCCCCCACCGCCCAAGTCTCCACCGCCTCCGCCGCCTCCTTCTCCCTCACCCAAGTCTCCACCACCCAAGGTCTCCCCGTCGCCCCCGCCAAACGTCCGTGTGTCCCCGTCCCCACCACCTCTCAAGTCGCCTCCACCCACGCTGTCCCCGCCTCCACCCACGCTGTCCCCGCCTCCCCCGCTTCGTTCTCCACCCCCTCCACCCGTCTCGTCTCCGCCGCCTCCTGTCCCGTTCTGCGGAGATGGCATTTGCCGTGGCAATGAGACCTGCTCCAGCTGCCCTTCTGATTGCGGAACTTGCGCTGTGTGCGGAGACGGAAAATGCAATGGTAAGCGGCTGGCACAGACAACCCAAACCTTAACCAGAACAGCATTGCATAGCAAGCAGAACTTGCAGCTGCACATGTAAACCCTTTGGGGTGGGCGTAGCCGTATGTACCCTCTAGGCCCTTATCCCGTAATGCTCACATCTTCCACCGAAGCTAATTGAAAACCTCATTCACCTCCATTTGCAGGTGGCGAGACTTGCCTGACTTGCCTTAAGGATTGCGGCATCCTCCAGAGCAATGGCAACCGCACCTGCTGCGGCGATGGCATTTGCTCGGCGGGTGAGACCAACGCCCTTTGCAGCAGCGACTGTCCTCTCAATGTTTGCAAGCGCAACGGAATCTGCGAGTACAGCGCTGGCGAGCGCTGCTACAACTCCGCCACAAAGACTGGCTGCCTTGACTGCGGCTACTGCTCCTCAGCCTACTACTGCGGCGACGGAAAGTGCACACGAACCCGCTCGTACTCCGAGGGATGCTACACATGCGCCAAGGACTGCGGCGCATGCTCATCCGCTAATGGTGCCGGCAGTACTCCCAACTCAGGGCTCTACTGCGGTAAGGGGATTGGCAATGATCGGCCTTGGGAACAGGTTTTTAAGCTGGCGTAGTTTCATGCAACCTTTTGCCAAACGGGGTGCAGGAGAGCTGAGTAGTACGGCTGGGTGTTATTAACGGAAAGGGAAGGTAGAGTCCAATGTACCAACCGTATTACTCCCTTTCACACCGCAGGTGACGGCATCTGCAACAATGGCGAGACGAAGGATACATGTCCCCGAGATTGCCATGGACCTTCGGCTCTCTGTTACCCCGCGCCCGGCACTCCCTACACAAGCGAGGTCTCGGGCAACAGTGGTAATGTGAACTGCAACAGCAACGCAAGTGGCAGGCGAATGTTGTCTGTGAACGCGTAATTGGGTACCCGCTCGTATTTATGTTTAGGCCGTTAATCACCTTGATTCATGCACGCCTCCTGGTTGCATACGCTCATGCTTGGATTTAACCTGCAAGCGCTCCGACATAGCAGCTGAAGGGCCCTACATATGTGGGCAGTACCCTGGATCCAAGGCGCTTGTCGTGGACTCGTATAAAAACAAGTTAGCGCAAAGCCACAGCTGACGGGGGAGGCCAATCGTTTGCTTCTGATCCAGTTATGGATGGAATGTGTTTGGCCTCTATAGCATCAGACATGGGCGGCCCAATCGTGTTTTTCCTGTTGAAGAAGTCATGTTTGGCCTTGGCATGGTTGGAAGATTTGGACAGTGTCGTATTCATGGCAGGTGCGAGACAGTGCAATCCGATCTACAGCCGAGTTGTGCAACCCGCATTCCGGGGGTAGTTTAGCTAATAAGCGTACATGTTTCATCGCCACGTCCTTCATATATACCAGCAATTCATCTGGGTGGTGTGACATGGGCGAATCCATGCCTCGGCGCCGGTTATGCCAGAAGAAGTGCTTGTTTGCAGGTTCCTGCGGTGGATAAAGTTCGGTTGGCGGTTAGGTTTCTTTGCATAGTTTAGGCAAATTAGGACATGTTACTTGATGCCGTTATATTGAGGCATCATGGTATGGGTCTTTGTAGGTTAGTGATATTATATTAAAGAAGGCACACGTTGCTTCATTACGTTTGTAACTTCCAAATATGTTGTTTCCTGGGGACTCTTTGCTTCTTACTTAGTTGAGTAGACGGTTGCCGTTGTATGGACGCCTATTTGGCCTTGCAACGCTAGCCCGTATACGTACCAATTATGTGCTGCCAAACGCACATGCCTGTCAGTCTAGGGCATGATTGTATGTAACATGCAATTCATTGCCATATAAAATTAAGTTGAGGATGAAGCAACGCAGTTTTTGCATTTTGCGTCAAGTTGTCTCTGCAGTGAGGGAATCCAGCATACACCACGATCTTTGGAGACTACCAATGATGAGCAATACACCTCACACCCTCCCTGCACTCTTATGTCTGCTTGCACTTTGGTCTCTGGTTGTTCATGCAAGCCATGAACACCGCAGGCGTCCAGCAAAACTTTCCCGTCAGTGAGGAGCAGAGCCAGCAGCAGCCAACTGAGCGCAGTATGTAGCGCCCCACAGAAGATGTAAACGGTGGATGCTGCCCTCCAGCGTCCGCATCAACCTGTCCTTCAGTATGCGTACCAAAGCTCTGATTCCTTTGAAAGCCTTGAAACGAGTCTTCCTGGTCTTATTACCCGCGCCTGTAAGTAACTTCATGCAGGGTTACCTGTAGTAAATACTAATATATTGCCGCATTACGGGAGGACGTCGCTCTCGTTATGCCCCAGACGACAAAACTGTATGTGGCCTTTTTAGGCATGCATACTTACGCCTTCGTCTGTCAACCCAAGCAGCCATGACAAAGCCTTTCAGTTTTCATCAAAGGTATGTATGCTTTGAAGTAAAGTCTGTTAGGTGGCCCTGACAGTAATAATATCACTACTGTCAGCGCACCGCTGGTAATGAACAGAACTAACACATACACGTGCGGTGCTCCTAGAACGGCTTACAAAATATTTTTAACGTCTCATAAAACACACGACTCAAGCTGGCTGCCCGTTCCCATTCTGGAACCCGGGCTGATGCTTGCACCTTAGGAATGACTGCACGCATCAGTTTCAGAGCCATGCTTATGACATGTGCGATAGGATACCTTAACAGCAAGTCGCAGAATTGTAAAAAAACTTGCGAAGTCCAACAGCCCGGAGTATCTATTAGTACTGCAAAACGGTAGCTTTCGGACAGGGCAGTTTGCTTTACCGTCACTAGCTATAGCACTTAGTAACAGTGTAAGCAGACACCAGACACAAACACGCATAGTTATGGAATTGGGGTTTCACGAGTTCCGTTGGAATGCTACACAGCAGCAGTACAGGTATCTTCATGCTCCGCAGGAATTGTTTATTTGGTAATGACGTCCATATTAGTAAATTGAGCTTTTTGCTGCTTGGCAGCTTCTATGAAGCAGACGCGAAGCATCATGTCGAGAAGGGCGCGTGCAGCCGGCGTTTGGTCGTACGGCACACCTTCGCATTCTAACATGTCCGCTTCTGATATAGCGTTCCATAGTGCAATACATTATATATTATTACAAGCGCCATAAGTATACCGCTTACGGTGTTTAAAAAAGTTTTTATAATCCTGTCTACCGGTACTCGCAAATAACTATATTGGCGCAGACCCCAAGGCAAAACGATGCCACGCAGTATAATTTTCTTTCTGCTCGTAGCCTTGTGGGCCGTGGGCACGGTGAACTCTCAAGGTTGGCAGGATGCTGAACAGTCACCGACAGACTTTTCATATTGTCCGGTCCTTAACAACTGCTGCGTGCTAACTCGTTCCATACGCTCTTGAACAACAGCTTGCCCGAGCGTAAGTGGCTACACCTTCTATCGACTTCAGGAGGTTCCTGCAGCGTATGTCATCCGCACCTTGAGCCCCGCCGGCACGCCCTCCGACATTGCGGCCATATGTTTTAAGACGAGCGCTTGCAATGCCTTCACTACCCTGGGCGATCTCTTGGTTGTACCTATGGCGCCTGCCTTCGTGTCCATGGATACAAGCAGCGACACATCCCTCAAGGCCTGCGACGGCGTCTATGTTGTTCCATCTCGCCCGTTTACTGGATTGAGCCTCCCGGTGAGTCCTCCGTTCGGGCTGTGCTTCTACTCGCATAGCGCAGCCCCATGCAGCTACGTGCTGTTGCAAATGCCCAAGCCATGCCCTTGTAGCCGCCTCAGGACAAATTAAGAGTATACGGGAGACCATTTCCACCTTCCTCCAATACACCTGCAACGCCGTGCCTCCTCGTTGAGCCTAGCCCTAACCCAAGCCGTTTCAATCCAATGCAGGCCACATTTTCACTAAGCTCACTCACCAACAATGGCGCAAAAGTGCTACGAAACATGCAAGCAGCTGTTGCAGCGGCCAGCAGGGTAAGCGACTAAGCGTACCTTGTAGCTGTTTGCGGCTGTATGCAATATACCTTGGTTTAAATCCTCTAGGCTCTAATGGGTATCCGCTTAAAAGAAGAGGATCCCCGTATTTATCACCCCGTAATCCGGATATCCGTACATGTGTTGTACGTTTCGTGCAAGCCCATACCCCCTTTCTACTTTTTGTCCTAACCCCTGACCTTAGGTCCGGGAAAAGCTCAGTGGCAAGGACGTGAAGAGCATGGGCAGGAACGACATTGCTACAGCTTTTAAAGCTGCAGCGGTAAGATACCCGTGTGCTGTTTTTCTCGGGAGAGGCTCTTACGGATGTCCTGTTAGGCTTGACAGCGGATTTGGAAGTGATTGGCCTATGTCACGTTAATGTGCGACCCATTCCAAGCGGGGATGGCAGCTGCCATGCCAGCATAATTGCTTAGGGGATGCTGCAAGTTCTTCTTCACGGGCATATGTTTGAAGATAATCATGATTGGCTTGGCTGTTCGCAGACCCCGCAAGCCCAAGCCAGCGACACGATTGGCAACTACACGTACAATGACGTCATGGCAGCGCTCTCTGCCCCCACGTGGGACTCCCGCAACGTTGTCAACGGCAGCACCTACAGCTTCATCAGTTCGGTGAAGGACCAGGGCGGCTGCGGCTCTTGCGTGTCATTTGCCATGACATCTACTGCGGAGGCGGCTGTTGCGGCGGTTAAACAGATGACCTCCAACACCAATGATTACTCTGAGCAGTGGTACGCAGATGTCGTTGGTTGATGTCATGCCTTGCGTGGGGCCGTCGCCATAAATACTACATCCAGGAGCTCCGCAATTGTGAACGGTTATTGCGTGTCCAACGCTGCCTATCCACCGATGCCTCGAGAAACCAGTGCTCACCCTTCCTCCAATGCTGCCCTATTGCGCCTTCCTGGAGGCTCTCTCAGCCTCGTACTCATTTATCCTTCTCGTTTCCTCGCAGGCTCTTCTTCTGCAATACGCTCTACAGCCCATCCTGCAGCACTGGTTGGCATGCCGGCGGTGCTGCAGATGTGATTACAAAGCTGAACATTCCGTACGAAGTCAACTATCCGTATGCACCCTCCGCGGCGTCCTGCACACTCCAGTCACCTCCCGAGAACCGCGCCGGTGGCACCTTCGGATATGTCGCGTACAATGACTTAACACAGGTGGGCGAAGCGAAATAAAATTAAGTATGTCTGTTAGACTCTGCTGGCCTTGCTACCATGGCTGTACGGGGCAATGAAGCTTATGTATCACATGTACGACAGTTTCAACTTTCAGAATCTTTTTCTGGTGCGTGTACTGCTCCTCACAGGCCAAGGCACACATCCGGCAGTACGGCTCTGTGACAACCTACTTTGCGGTCTTCAATGACTTCTTCTACTGGACCGCTTCCTCCCCGTAAGTTGAGCTAGCTTGTTGCCTTGGTAATGTGTTGTCAAGTCAAGCGAAGCTGGCTAAAGTATTCCGCAGCCACCCAACCTGTCCAAATAAGTAAAGGTTTTATTGCTACTTGGTTTCACCAGCGGCACTGCTTGTATGGGCTGACATCTGAAGCTTGCACACAATCCGTCCTCCGCGCCCGCCAACAGGCCCTACGCCTGGGACGGGGTCAGCGGCCTGGCCGGCTACCACCAGGTCACGGTTGTGGGCTACGATGACACCAAGTGAGTGATGGATGTGTGAAGAATGGCGTACAGCAGCTAGGTACCGCGGCAGATCTGTGCACGATGTTACGACTGGACTCGATCTTCCTATCCTACCTTGCGTTCCCCCCCCCTTGGGGTGTATGATTGCAGCGGAAGTGTCCCTTAAGCTGACACTTAGCGCCCTCCACCCCGCCCTCGCCTTTCACCCTGCAACGCAGTTCCTATTGGATCGTCAAGAACAGCTGGGGAACCGGCTGGGGTGACAAGGGCTACATCCTAATTTCTTACAACAACAACTGCGGCCTCATGTCGGCTGATGGCGATAACATCATTGGTCTGACCTGGACGCCCTCTGATGTGTCCTCGCCACCCCCACCACCTCCTACGTCATCGCCTCCACCTCCGCCACCTCCCAAGGCGTCGTCTCCGCCACCCGCAGTCCGTAAATCCCCATCCCCACCACCTCCCAAGTCATCTCCGCCTCCGCCTCCCCGACCTTCTCCTGCATCTCCGCCTCCGCAGCCTCTCCAGATCTGCGGTGACAGTGTTTGCAGTGGCACCGAAACCTGCTCCACCTGCCCCGGGGACTGCGGTGCATGCGCGGTGTGTGGTGATGGCGTTTGCTCAGGTGAGGGCTGCTACCTTGCTGAGTTTGTTTGCATTGGTGCATGACCAAGAGGACACACATGCGTGGCTTGTCCTGAAACTAAGTTGTTTACTGTGCGTGCATTACTGATGTGCGATGCACGGCGGTGCATCTACTTACCGATACCTACCCGTTCTCGTCGTTGTACCTGCATGCTGTTTACCAGCCTGCCTCTGATGGTGCCTAAGGTACTGGGTATTCCGGTTACTCCGGCTGCTTCCCCACAGGTGGCGAGACGTGTGTCACGTGTCTGAAGGACTGCGGTAAGCTTCAAGCGGACGGTGTCACCCGCACCTGCTGCGGTGACGGAACCTGCACGGCCAAGTACGAGAACAGCACCACATGTGCCAGAGATTGCGCCGCTAACGTCTGCAAGCGCAATGGTGTCTGCGATTATGCCGGCGGGGAGCGCTGCTACAACAGCGCCACGAAGACCGGTTGCCTTGACTGTGGAACCTGCCCACCCAACAAGTACAGCAACTATTACTGCGGGGACGGAAAGTGCAGTCGCAAAGGTTCATACAGCGAGAGCTGCTACACATGCGCTCAGGATTGCGGTGTATGCAACAAGGCGTCTTCATCGGCCTCGGCTGCCTCCTATTGCGGTAAGGATGCGGGAGTCGTCTCTGAAGAGAGAAACGAGAGCGGGGCCCTTGGGGACGTGCTCTAGGGACGTTTGTGGTGGCAAGACTTATGTTTGCCTCATGGCGTGCCCTGCTTCCGCTGCGTGTACATGCTGATGTATCTGTCCAACCTTCTTGGTGTTCTGCCGTTTCTCTTTGTCCCTAGTGGCTAAAGAATGGATGGCCGTTACATTGTTCACCATGGTGTAAAGAGAGGACAACTGCTGACCTGAGCTGTTCTGATTGAGGTTCTCACCTGACACCTTTACCTTCGACTCATCAGGTGACGGCGTGTGCAACGGTGGAGAAACAAAGGACAGCTGCCCCCGTGACTGTAACCCGTCTTCCTTCGCTCGCGTGCCGCCGGGGATGCCCTATGAGGGTGAAGATGATATGGAGGACGACAACGACGGAAACAGCAACAGAAATGGAAACAGCAATGGGAACAGCGGAAACGGCAATGGGAACGGGAACGGCAATGGCAATGGGAATGGTAAGAATGGCAGGCGCTTGCTTCTTGGCCGCGTGTAGAGGGTGGTCTGCAGGTGGATAAAGGCCTCGCCATGCGCTGCCTGAACGTATACAATGGGTTGGCTGCTTAAGAACGGCAGCGGGCTTTGCTTGGGTTGTTGCCCTCTGCCTGCTGAGATATACATCCCATTACGCAGCTCGTAGGTAATACCTGTATTGTTATTCATTCAGGGCTTGAGCGTGCCCTGTTGCTTGCGTGCGGTATGTATGTTGGCGTTTGTTGCCAAGCACATTTCTCTCGTAGGTGAGTAGGCATAGCTGGTTGGCGCAGTTTTCTGGCCGCTTGCCTCATATTTTCTGACTTGGAAGACGTTTTAAGGAAACTGATTTGGTATAACCTGGATAAGGACAAGTGGACGTAGTACCTATGGCTGGTCTCCGCACATACAGCTTCCGTACAGTTTCCGCATGCCGTACGCTGCCTGTTTGCGGGCCTATCACCAAAGCCCGCAAAAAGGCTGGCCGTGCAAGTACAAATTCATACCTTTGGGCATAATACAGATACATACGACGGATGTTTTCAGCTTCAATTCTACACATTTTTGCAGGATGTGAGTTATGTATTTTAGTGCGGTCATACCGGTACCGGGCGGTGTCGTAGCCACTGCAGATGCGAGCGGTTGACGGTTTTCTTGGTCTTACAGGGCATTTTCTTTTCAATAGTTGCCCTCCTTGCAAGCTGACATTCAGCGTATGGTGCGTTGGAAGACATGCACCTAAAGCTGTGTTTGTCGTTCAATTGTGGCTGCTGAAGCTTTTGGCTCTTCATGGATACCATGACCATATGTCCGATTAATGCGAACGTCTATAGGAAGCCAGAGGAAGTACAAATAAAATTCTGGGGCTGTAAACTTGTCTCACGAAAATTCCGGTATCCTCCACCTAACAACCTGAAATTCCTGGTGGGATGCCCGACAACATATTCGTGCGGCATACCGGTATATTACAGCTTTCCAGCTCCTTTCCAGGATGCCCTTAACTACGGCTTGTCCTGCTTGTCAGGCAGTTGGGTATACCCCTTATTCTAACCGGTGTCAAAAGGCTCATGTGGTACATTTACAAGGTTATTGTTTTAGGTATGCGGCATGAGTGGCTAGGGCTTCAAACGCTGCGATTTCTTTGTGAACTGGAACAGGCATGCATGCTGCGGCGAGCGAAGGACTGCGCAACACTGTACGGACCAAATACTGGCACACGTAGCAGCATCCGTGCAGTAACTATAAGCCCAAAATGTTTGTGCAGCTCACCGCTGACGTTCGATGCGCGCAAGGGCGTTGGGTAGGGATGGGTACCTTTGCTTGCTAAAGGAGGGAAACCTATGTCTACAAAATACTTGCCAGCAGAGCTCAACCCTGTTTACTATCTGAAGTAAAAGGCAAAGCAGTTTGTTAGCCAAGGTAACGCTCCATGTCCAGGTCCACAGTGAGCTGCTTTTGGTCAGCAAGCTACTGAAATTGCTATTTTACCCAAGGAACGTTATCAGGCGAAAGGCATTGCTTAATTGTCAGCCAATCCTTGGTAAGGCTTAACGGGCAATTGACAGGATATGCCAGCAGCTGAACTGGAAAATGACAATTGATATTAAATTATACAAATATCAAGCAACTGCTACGGTGACAACACAACGGTGCTCCAGGAACGCAGGTGCGGGTAACCCGGCTGAGGTAGAGCTAAGGAGTCGACTTGTTCACGAGTAATTACTGTCGGTAAATGGAGGAGGTGAATGCTACATTTAATCACGTCATTATTCAACTTTAAAGCGTTCTCGCAAGTACCTCTTCGGAAGCCGACGCGAGCAGCTCGTTCTAAATCATACGACAACACCCCAGCACCCGTCTTACTTTCCATGAGACCCCTTACCCACTGTCAGACAAATACTATGCGCCATGAGAAGGGCACCTGCAGTTGACGTGGACTTGAAGATTTACCGTCGTACTGCCGCACAGTACGCCTCTCAAACCCGTATGAAAGCGCATCAGCTTGCATATAACTTTTATAAGCACCCAGTTGTGAGTGATACTTACGGGGGTCCAAAAAGGGATTCCCCAAACGCCTAGTCTGACGGGAAGTTCCGAGGAGTGCGACGGTGGTGCTCCAAGTTCCCCTGGCGCCCAAGCTGCGGGGCGAAGTAATGCCGCGAGGCATGCTTCTGCTTCTGCTCGCAGCCCTAGGGGCTGTAGGCACTGCTAGTGCTCAATGTGAGGAACGCACTATGGCTCGCCTGACGTCGACTTCGCACCTTCCACCCTCGCGTGTGCAAGCTACGTGCGAATGTGACACGTGTGTATCGACATGTCGGCTTGCCTGCATTCTTGAAAAGCTGCTGCCTTAATGTCAGTCATGCGATTAACCATTTAACTGCGAGCCTTTGCGTACAATTGTTAATGACAGCGGTGTTCCGTTTCTTGTTGCCCTCATTCCTGCATATGAATTGCAACAGCTTGCCCGACGGTGGCCGGGTACACCTTCTACCGTCTCCAGGATGTGCCTACCGCGTACACCATCAAGACACTTACCCAGCCCCCGGGTACTCCCGCCACCATCGCGTCTGCCTGCCTCGGCACGACCACTTGCAATGCCTTCACAACCCATGGCGATCTCATGATTGTCCCCATGTCGCCTGTTTTTGTCGCCATGGACACCAGCGACAGTAGCCTTACCTACTGTGATGGTGTCTACGTCTCGAGCCGCCCTTTTTCGGGTCTCAACCCGGTGAGGAGCCCTCTGTGTCAGCATTGGCCGCTTTGGTACCCCTTGTTTACTCTGAAGTGTCTTATTTTGGTCACTTGCAGCATTCTGTAGTGTCCTAACGGCCCGCATTGATGGAAGAGAGCAATCCGGGGCTATTGTTGATCACGGACTGTTACCAAGCGTTCTTCCTCCCGTTGGTTCCCTCCCCACGCAGTCTGGCATTTCCCTGAGCGACATTACCACCGCCGGAAACAAGGCATCCCTTAACATGCAAGCCGCAATTGCAGTGGCCAGCAAGGTTGGTTGGGCAGTTCGTTGCGTAGCCCTTTTGGTTTCGTAATACATGTTGGGTTAGACAAAGGAAGCGTGGATGGCACGTTTGTCTTCATAGGGAAGCCTCAGACATGTCCCCTTGAATCTTCAGGCTTGCTTTGCATGGATAACATACCCTTTCTTCCGCCCCATTCCAATTCCGCGTACCCCAACGTATACAGGTTAAAGCTCAGCTGGGTAACAAGGATATCAAGACCCTGGTCAGGGCTGACGTAGCGAAGTACTTCGCGGCTGCATTTGTAAGACACAAGGACCTGCCGTATGTGCGCCTGGTCGCATTCATGCGAGTGCACATGTATCCCCAAATCTGTGCTCGTTTCTTTCGAGTTCATGTGTCCCCAAAATTATGCCTTTGGGCCTGCAGTAGCAGTGTGCATTACATAGGGCACCTCGGCTTACTTCGTGGACTTTGCGCTTCGGACCACTTCTTCCTCTTCCGCAGACCCCGCAAGCCCAAGTCAATGACGCGCTCGGCAGCTATACCTACGACGATGTCGTGGCAGCTGTCGCAGCCCCGACTTGGGACTCCCGCAACGTTGTCAATGGCAGCACCTACAACTTCATCAGTAGCGTGAAGGACCAGGGCAGCTGCGGCTCCTGCGTATCCTTTGCCGTGACCTCTACTGCGGAGGCGGCCGTTGCTACGGGCAACAAGATGACAACCAACACCAACGATTACTCTGAGCAGTGGTAAGTGCGTGTGGGCTATGCTTGGTGAAGAACGGTGCTTCGTTGGTTGCTTTCCTGACGACTGGTTATTGCCCGGTGTGCGGCCTCACATGGTCGCTAGGGCGCTAGTACCTGTATCGTGCTCCCCTATAACTTAACCCGGCCAATCAACCGATCCGGCTCAACATCAATTCGTGGTAGCCATTCCTTGTAGAATTATTTATCGCTGGCCTGACTCTGGCACTTGTTTCAGGCTTTTCTTCTGCAACGGGCTGGGCTCTTCTGGCCCAACCTGCAACACCGGCTGGTACGGCGGCCAGGCGTGTGACATGCTTGTCAAGTACAACATCCCGTACGAGGTCAACTACCCGTACGTGCCCTCAGCGTTGTCCCCGTGCACCCTCAAGGTGTCCCCTGAAACCCGCGCCGGCGGCGCCTTTACGTACAAGTACATCACTGACCTTACGACGGTGGGTTGTTATGGCTTTTAATTTGCAATGTGGACTGTTGCAGAAAGAGGACAGACGGGCATCAGGAAAGCCCCGGGCTGTGCTGTTCATTAAACAGAGGACCGCCATTGATTTCCATGTTTTGCAGTAAACTGCTTTTTAGCAATTGCTGACCAGGGGCTGCGTTGACCCCCACAACACAGGCCAAGGCGCACATCCGGCAGTACGGCTCGGTGACAACTTATTTTGCGGTCTACAATGACTTTTTCTACTGGACCGCCTCCTCTGCGTAAGTTGCTGCCAAAGCCAGTCGCGCTTCATGTCCTATGCTGCTCGCCTATCGGCAGTCCGTCAGCGGTGCTACCTTGCAAGCTTGTTTTTCACGACGCCACAACCGCCACGTATTTGCGGCACAAATTGCTCAAACATACTGTTTTGCATCCTTTTTTCCTCAGGCCCTACGCCTGGGATAGGGTCAGCGGCCTGGCAGGCTATCACCAAGTCACGGTTGTGGGCTACGATGACACCAAGTGAGTCAAACGCTCTGCTGGCAAAGGCGAGAGCTCACACCCGTCATTTCGGGAAGCATGAGCCCATCCTTCGTTACCGCTGCCTTGCTCGATATGACCGTTTGGCAGCTCACGCCTCATGAAGTCATTGGTTACCACGTCGAGCCTTGTATCCAGAATAGGCTCACGGGTAGTGCATTCCGCCGCATGTCAATAATCATATGGGTGTCATTCAGAGCGTACCAAGCCACTGCTTGCACAACGTCTTACTGATAAGCCCTCTCCGCTGCACTTGCCTTACATAGCTCCTATTGGATCGTCAAGAACAGCTGGGGAACCGGCTGGGGTGACAACGGCTACATCCGCATGTCGTACAGCAACGGCTGCGGTCTCATGTCGGCCAGCGGCGACAACATCATTGGCATCGTTTGGACCCCGACCACTCCACCTTCCTCCTCACCACCTCCCAAGCAGTCGCCTCCACCTCCTTTGGTCTCCTCATCTCCGCCGCCACCACCAAGGTCCCCTCCGCCGCCACCACCAAGGCCCCCTCCGCCGCCGCCTCCAAGCCCTCCGCCACCGACTCTAAGCCCTCCGCCGCCGCGGCCTCCTCCTCCCCAGAACATGTGGGTTCCGCCCCCACCACCGCCGCCTCAGACCTGCGGCGACGGAATCTGCAGTGGTACAGAGACCTGCTCCACTTGCTCCAAGGACTGCGGCGCATGCGCCACTTGCGGCGATAAGCAATGCAACGGTAAATTCAGACATTATCTCTCTCATATAGTTTTCCTAAGCCTGGCGCAGGTTTAACGCAATGTATATGTGCTATAAGCCCTGCCGTAAGCAGCCCCTGGGGTATCTCCTAGGCACTAACGCGATTCCCAGCAGTCTCGCTTCCCTACCTCTTCTTTCTTGCGGAACTGTGTAGGCGTACAGTCATGCCTCATCATCTCGCTTACCATACCCTTGCCCACCTTTCCCACAGGTGCCGAGACCTGCCTGACCTGCCCCCAGGATTGCGGCACGCTGCAATCCGATGGCTATACCCGTACCTGCTGCGGCGACGGCATTTGCAGTATTTATGAGAAATACTCCTATCAGAAGAGCTATTGCCCCAGCGATTGCGGCACTGTCATCAACTGCAAGCGTAACGGTGTCTGCGACTATGCCGGCGGCGAGCGTGTCTACAACTACACCACCAAGGCCGGCTGCGCTGACTGCGGCACTTGGTACACCAGCAGCAGTCCCTATTGCGGTGACGGCATTTGTTCACGCACTTGGGGCTACATGGAGAGCTGCTACACATGCGCCCAGGATTGCGGCTCATGCAGCTCCACTTTGTACTGCGGTAAGGCTGGATGGGATGCATGGGGACCGGGAATGGGCAAATGAAATAAGGAGAGGGTCACAACCGGGCGGCTGCATGCCTATTCCATACTCCCTTGTCTTGTGGCGCCCTGTCACCTCCTATACCCTTTGTCTTGCCCTTATTTTGTGGTTTGGTATTTCTTTAACGCAGGTGATGGCAAGTGCACCCCGTCTCGCAACGAGAACAGCGTCACGTGCTCCCGTGACTGCAAGGCATCCGCCCTCGCTCGCGTCAACCCTGGCCTGGCCTACGGCACTGCAAACAACGGTTAAGCACAGGCCGTCATTTGAACATGAGCGTTAACCGTCTCGCTACTGGAGCTATCACGTGGTGTGTGATAGTCTCTATCTCTTTGAACGCCACACCACGCGGACGTAGCATCACGCCAGGGTGTTGGGTCCGTTCAGACCAGCAGCTGTTGTCGGGCCATTTTAATCTGCACGCATGAGGCATAGCCTGCATGAAGCAAAACGCCCTGGTTAGAACGCATGCTGGATGACTGTGGTTTCGAGCACCCTCATCATGCAATTCATGGCAATGGATGGCACGTCCATTTTTGCGTCGCGAGCCGTTCAGCAGTCCTTTTGTCAACGGCTATGTTCGTAATTAATGGAAGGCTAAGTAATGCACAAAGGCGATGTTAAAGCTCTTGCAGATTATGCGGTGCAGCCCCATGTTTGGGCAACTTTGAAGTAGTAAACGGTTTGTTCCTAGTGCTTGTTCATCTTCACAAACAGCAGGCATCGTGCAATCACAGGTTCATAGCGCGCGCTTTAATAGTTGACTAGTTGATGTAGAGTTATTTGCAGGCACGTCATTTGCAAGCGCACGTGCATGTTGGTTGCGGGCATGGCTGCTTTGGTATCATTGATCCTGCAGCCAATTTTGTCTAGGCCACCTTCGGTGTCGGCCGCCCTTCCGCGGCCTTAATGTTCCCGTCAAATCACCTGACGCTACACCCATCGAGGTGCCTAAATATCCAGCAGTATGTTTTATAGCACCTCTGTCCCTGGCCTTGCAAGGAAACCTTCTGTGGGCCGCGGCCAGTGATGACGTTCGCGTTCCCAAATAATAGTAAGGACGTAATTGATGTAACCACTGCTGTAGCCACTGCTTCTTTGCTGGTTGCATTTAGCATGCCACCGGATCTTGATGAATCCTCAGTATACGAAACTTCTTGGACATTTGTTGAGCTACGCCAATTCTACGGGGGGAAACGGTGATTCCAATTTGGTTGTCACTGTGGTTAGGTAGGCTGCCAACGACAGGATAGGCTGCCATACGAAGGTAAATTGCGGCATCTGCTTCTACCCTTCTAGGTGTACAGGTTTACATAGGCAACACAAATTATGACACGAAGTCAGCAACGACATAGTCCTTCTGAGCAAACGCAGCAGATCTCCGCATATCCGTCCCTATGACGCACGAAACACATGTGCTAGGCAGAGCTAACCAGGAACGGCTGGGAGCAACAGGCGACCGACCGGTATGCCCATCCCACGTGCTCAAGCGTCCTGAACATAGTGCCCGCCCAGGTTGTTCCAACAAGACACCGGTAATTTTAAGGTACACAGAGCGTGGCAGTACAAAATCGCCGTATGCAACCAAACATCCGGTCTTCCCTTGCTTTGCTTGTCCGGGGCCGGGGTTGCACGCGGGGGCCGTGCAAGCATGTTCAGTGGCGCGCACCACGCATCATGTCTGTTGCTCGAGGTGGCTGAAGGGTCCCGGGGAGCGCAGCAGGCGCATGCGCGCATGACCGACATGCACCCAGCGTATACCACCGCCAGCGAAAAACTTAGCAGGCTTCACCATGTAGCTCTGCGTGCCAGCTTATTTATTAAATAGGAACCCGCAAGCCTCCCGGTGCCGGTGCCACACCAGTTTGTCTTGGCGGCCATGTACCAGCGCGCGTACGACAAGCCTGTAGTTGCCCAGGATACTTGCACTGACGTTCCAGGGCCAGACGCGTTTAAGATACTCATGACGTCGTCTATTTAACTGGGGCATGTTAGGCTGCATGCCCCAATGACGGCCCATGGTTCATTTTGCCAAACAACAACGCAAAAGCTACGACACATTAAATAGGTGGAAATTTAATAACGATTACCGCTTTCCTTTTCAGCCTCCTTCCTCAGTTCAACCCTGTACCGTACTCGTTATGTTGCGTGTTCGCCATTGTTCCATATTCTGCAGCACTATTGATAACCATACATACAGCGCAAATGGTCATGGAAATGCCCTCTTCGGCCTTTGCTCTGGCTGTCTGGCACCTGTCTGTCTGGTGCATGTATGTCTGCCCATGTCTGCGTGTCTTGTATCCACAGCGATGTCCGTTCTAGCAGCAAAGGCAATAGCTATTTATGTATGAAAATGTACTTTTGCGGATGAAGCCAAACGATGTAAGCACTCAAGAAAGTTTCGCCAATGCACACCCGACGAGGTGCTGCGCTCAAGCTGGATGAAGATGTCAAGCAGCCCGCAGTTAAGTCGTGCGTAGTCATCGTGGGCAGCGCGTTAAACATCGACGGCTGGGATCGAGAAGACTACGAGAACGTGACGTTCGAGCCCGGCGTCGTACTACGCAAGCGTACCCGATTTTTTACATAGATGCGGCAGATCGACATCGATAGGTGTGCTCACTCATACTCTTACAGTTAGACATACTTACGAGGGATACACCCATTACGGGACAACGTCTGTTTCCATCCGGCGGCGAAGGACGTTCTTTGCATGATGGTTAACTAGCCATCATGAAGCAAAGTATCTTTCTCCTGTTGGTCATGGCCCTTGGGGCCATGAGTGTGGCGAGCGCTCAGAGTGAGTGTGTCGGAAAATGTGTGGGGCCTACTTCGCCCCTTCAAAGCGCCTTTGGATAATCTTCAACACCCATTGCACGTATTCATATGCAGAGTGCTCCAATGTAACTGGATATACCTTCTACCTAAACCAGCAAGTGAAGGGCGCGTATACATTCCCGGTTAAGAGCACAAATTTGACGGTCGCTGGCATCGCGGCCTACTGTGCAAAGACAACCCGCTGCAACGCATTCAACACATCGGGCTATATTATGACGGTTCCCTTGGTGCCAGTTTTTTCAAGCCTGTCTACCACCACTTCCTGCGCCGGCGTTTACATTGCAACGTCCCGGTCGCTGAGCGGCTTCAACCCTCCGGTAAGCCATCCATCAGTGTGACCTGAAGCGTATCAAATACAGAGTATATCGTACCGTTTCGCATGGGCTTACCGAGTTGTGAGGCAACTAACGGCTAATCACCTTACCATCTTTACTTGCTCACCTACGCAGAAAGGGGTGAATGCTTCTACGTTGCGAGCGGCGGGCAACCGGACGTATCTCAACATGCGCGCGGCCATCACGGCTGCCAGCAAGGTGGGGGTTGCACCCTCTGGTTACTGGTGCATGCATGCACGCATGCATGCGCAATCCGACCTACAAACACACTTACAAAGTACGAGGAATGTACGCTTACATGTTGCACATACACAGGATATGGCTAGGACCTCGCTCATACCTATGCTTGTCTAGGCAGCTATTGAGCCAATACTGAACTTTAGGGGTGTGCTTGTTACGAGAAGGAAAACAGCAATGTCAAATTCTTGCCCTGGTTCTGGTCACTATCGCAGGTGAAAGCTACCCTTGGCTCTGGAGTCAAAGTGAGCATGCTCACACAAAGCGCCATCACAAGCGCATTTAATGCTTCCAAGGTGGGACGGTCGCATGGCGTCTTTTGTACGACATTGTTCGAACCAAAATTAACTAGAACGGCGTTCAGTGTATCCCGTACTAACTTCTTCTGTGTCAAATGGTTGAGTTCTCCGCCCACCTGCCATCATCTGTATGTGCGTCTGGTGGTATGGCTCACTTGATGTTGTGATATCTCTTACCATGTCTCTTACCATCCAACGTCACATGTGCACAGGTTCCGCTCTCACAAGTCAGTGCCACACTTGGCAACTACACGTACAATGACGTCATGGCAGCGCTCTCTGCCCCCACGTGGGACTCCCGCAACGTTAACGGCATTAACTACATCAGTGCTGTTAAGGACCAGGGCGGCTGCGGTTCCTGCGTAGCCTTTGCCTCCGTTGCTGTAGCGGAGGCAACGGTTGCTACGGTTAGCAAGATGACAACCAACACCAACGACTTTTCGGAGCAATGGTACGTCCTACCCTTACAGAGCCTTTACCTTACCCTCACTTCTTGTGGTTTGGTGATTTTCTAACCCCTAGCTAGCACCCGTTTCCAGAGCATCCAATTATCAATCAAAGCTTGTATGCAAAAGACCCAAACCGTACCAGCTGCCTCACGTGCGTACTGCTCTTGTTGCCGTACAGGCTGTTCCTATGCAACGGCCTCTACCAGCCCTCTTGTGACACCGGGTGGTACGCCGCCCAAGCTACAGATGTCATCACCAAAGTGAACCTGCCGTACGAGGCTAACTACCCTTACACGGCTGGCGGCTACCCGTCGACGACCGGCCCTTGGTGTACCCTGAACAGCGCGCCTGAGAAGCGAGCTGGCGGCACGTTCACCGCTATCAGTTTCACGGACTTGACCCTGGTACGTTTGCTGCGGGCATCTGTTCATCTATGGCGTGTTCCAATTACCGGCACCTGTTGTGCAAACCTGTTCAGTTGTAGTGCTCTGTTAAGCGGAATGAACCTCGCTGCTACGGTATTGACACCCTTATTAGGTGTCACGGGATGGCCTTTCTACGTATCCTGCTGGCTTCACTTCACAGCAAACGTGTGTAACCCCTCACAACACAGGCCAAGGCACACATCCGACAGTACGGAGCGGTAACCAGCTTCTTTGCTGTTTACATGGACTTCTTCAACTGGAGCCCGTCCTCCGCGTAAGTGCTGTGCGTGCTGTGCGTACAGCGGGTATGTAGGATGTGAAAAGGCGCCGTGAACTACCGAGTGACGCCGGACGAGGTGGCACAGGTGGCATCATGCTATCATCCAATCATCACCACACATGCCAATGTCAAGACAGCCTATCTGCTTGAGAGGAGTTGAAATGATCCGCCGTTTAATAGCATGCAATCATTTGACTTGCGTGGATTTCCCTCCGTCCTTCTGTTGGCAGGCCATACGTTTGGGACACAACTAGCTACCTGGCCGGTTACCACCAGGTCACGGTTGTGGGCTACGATGACACCAAGTGAGTGACGGATGTGTATGTGAAGAATGGCGTACACCCCTGAGGCACGGCGGCAGATCTGAGTAATGCTGGATGAATATGTTGGGAGGCCCGCCTTTACAACCCTCAAATAGCGGGCATGCATGTATGTTCATGTATCCTCGTGCCTTACCCGTACTCACGGTGTCTAGCCGCTCTGGCCGCCATTGCTGTCCTTCTAGTACCGGGTATAGCTGACTAACAATGAACTGCTTTTTGAATTTAAACCTAACCCCTTACTGCACAGCTCCTACTGGATTGTCAAGAATAGTTGGAGCTCCGGTTGGGGTGACAGTGGCTACGTCCGCATCTCCTACAACGCCGGAGTCGGCCTTATGTCAGGCGACTGGGACAACATCTACGGCCTAACCTGGGCGCCGTCAAGTGTTACCACGTCTCCCCCGCCGCCATCCTCGCCGCCGCCACCACCTCCCTCCACTACCTCTAAGCCCCCGCCTCCTAAATCACCGCCACCATCGCCGCCGCCGCCGCCACCGCCTTCCCCTCCCCCACCACGCTCACCACCACCGCCGCCACCGCCTTCGCCTCCCCCACCACGCTCACCACCACCGCCACCACCGCCGCCACCGCCTTCGCCTCCCCCACCACGCTCACCACCACCGCCGCCACCGCCTTCGCCTCCCCCACCACGCTCACCACCACCACCGCCGCCGCCGCCACCGCCTTCCCCTCCCCCACCACGCTCGCCACCACCGCCGCCACCGCCTTCGCCTCCCCCACCACGCTCACCACCACCGCCGCCGCCACCGCCACCGCCTTCGCCTCCCCCACCACGTTCACCGCCACCGCCGCCGCCGCCTCCACCGCCTTCGCCTCCGCCTCCACCGCCTCCACCACCCATATCATCGAAGTCTCCGCCGCCGCCTATATGGTGGAGTTCCAACTCCCCTCCACCACCACCACCAATCTCCAACAAATCTCCGCCACCCCCCTTTTGGTCAGCCTTCAGCCCCCCACCTCCATCGTGGTGGAGCTTTTACTCCCCTCCACCACCCCCACCACCACCACCAATCTCCAACAAATCTCCGCCACCCCCTTTTTGGTCAATGTTCAGCCCCCCACCTCCATGGTGGTGGAGTTACAACTCCCCTCCACCGCCGGCTTTCGGAAAGAAGTCGCCGCCGCCTAACAAGAAATCTCCAAAGCCGCCACCCCCAAGCCAGCCCCTACCTCCCGACGTACCGCCTCCCGAAGTACCCCCGTCCGCCGACCAGTCCCCTCCCGATTACCCTTGGTGGTATACCTGGCATCAGAGCCCTGATGTGTTTTGGACTGACGTCGAAAACGTGAAGTCTCCGCAGGAAGCACAGTCATCACCCACAGACAAACAGCAGTCATCTGCGCCTTCGACGAGCTTCCCATCACCGAAGTTGGGAGGTCGGAGGGCCCTCAACCAAAACTAGAAGATAACAGCGATTGTCGTCATGCCCTTTGTTGTAAGGTTTGCTGGAAAGGAAATTTGTGGACGTCTGGATACGACAAACACTCGCACACATGCTGGAACTGCCTCAAAGAAGAGTATCGGAGCTCACTTTAGGAGGATGGGTGCGATTACTGCAAGTGCATGCCCACGCTCCCAGTCATCCTACTGATACATCGACATCCGTATGTATGTTATTTCGCCGTTCCTGAAGAATGGTCTACGTGCGTTGCCATGTCTTTGCTGCTCACGAGCACGATGCATGCTGTCGTGTTTTGAAGAGATAGAATTGCGTTTCGGTTCTTGGTGACAAGCAGCCGAAAGCGCGTTGTTTGGTGGTACGGCATGTGCTTGTGTTGCCTTTCTATGCAGCTTTCATTTGCTAATTTGCTTGCGATAGAGAGGCCCTGCTGCCGGTGGAGGTCTGCTAATTGGGATCCGCCGCTGTGGGCTTCTACAATCTTGCAACGTGATGTCGTGAAAGAAGTTTTCGGTTGTGTTGACCGTTGGTGTGGCATGTTCCGTTATAACTGGGACTCAGGTGCTCAGGCCTGAAGCATGCCGCCGGCGCTGTATGTGTAGATAGCTTTAGATCTAGGTAAAGTAAAAGAATTAGTTGTCAGGTTGTGGCACTTACTTGCTAGTATTGGTTGCATCTCGGAGATTAGTTCAAGCTTTAGTCAGGATGTACGCCTTATTGGCTCGGGTTTGGCGTTCTTGCACGCCTCCACCGTCGTGGTCCTTCCGTAAGGGTGTAGGATGAAGATAGTTGAGGGGCTTGGGCTTGGTGTTCGTACGCATCTCCGCGGTCGTGGCCCTTCCGGAAAAATGTAGGTTGCATCCCATCATCCGTTAATCGGGCAATTGTTGTTGCTACCTTGGAACCGAGTTCGCCCTCAAGCCTTTCTGTAACCGGTTACAGAGAGGCGTTTAGAAACTGTCTACTAGCTTTTGCCCCGCAAGATCATCATGCCCGTTCACACCGGGCTACAGGCTCCTGTACGGTTGGCGACATCAGAAAGCTAGGGAAAACCAGTGAACATAAAAACTGGTTTATGCATTGAAAAGCGTTTGAAAAGGAGTTATTGCATACCGCATAAGAGCTATAGCTATTGCAAGGTATTCTGCTTCATTTTTTCTTAGTTGAGCAAAGCGCATTTGACTTTGGTTTACGTCAAGCTTTCATGATTTGTAGCTCTACGTACAGTTATCAGGAATAAAGATTACACGCACCGGACGTTTTGAAAGCCCTTCGTGCTTATTTGTAGCTTCAGAGTTGACAATGCCAGTTGACAACGCATTTTCTAAGTCTAATCGATGGTCTCAGTTCAATGAAGTTGTCAGCATGGCGGAACAAAGCTGTCTTCGGGATGCTGTCGCACTTCAACTGCTCGGCTGTGGAATGGCAGCGCTGCGGCGCGACGCGGCAAAGTCATTCGCCAAGACTCCCTCAACATACAACCTCTACAAATTAAGGGCTTACCGTAGTCGAATTGCACGGAGCCTCCCGTCAACGTTCTCCCATGGCTTGGTGGATGACGACCAAACCACGCCCGCCGAGTCTTCACCGCAGAGGCGATGAGTATGTGATTGTGTGGGCATGTTACTTCCGTTACTGAATGACAAAGCCATTAACCCTGGTTACGGCAGTACGGTCGCTGCCAGTTGCGTGTGGATGTCCATTTGTTAACTTAGGAATCAAGAGAAGCGGAGATGGAAGCTCGGGTTTCCCCCCGACAGGCGGGAACGCCCGGACCACATAGCTATATTGGACTACGCGCGTGAGGTTCGCATGTGTTGGTCTTGATGAGGTCTACACGTGCTTTCTTGCTCCCTTCTTTCTTTTTGTATTCCTCGTGAATCTTCTGTCCTTTCGTTTCATACTCCCCTAGTTGGCATATATAACTACAGTCACGGGCGCTAAGCCGCACTCTGGACATTCATCCTTGGACGTCCTTGTGATGTTTTTGAGACTCCGAGCTTGGACTTATCTGGCCTAGTTGCCGTGTAGACACAAACAATAACGTTCGTTATGCCTGACCATTCCCCTTGAACACGTTCAGATCCATGAACGTGTTCATAGCATAGAGCGCTGGTGACGTGTCGTACAACATCGTGTGCGTTTTTCTCGGCCCTTGCACCCTGCAGATGGTGTGTATCGACGTTTGGTGTACGGCTTAGTAGCACTTTTGCCTTTGACTTCCTGGAGAGACTAGTACGACTTAATTGCCGGATGCGGCATGAGGGGGAGGGGGGGGTGGGGTTCCGCCCACCCATTTATACTTGCATGAGAAGGCTACTGAGGGGCAACTTTGATGTTTGCTGTTGCTAGCGTTCTCACTTTTGCAGTTCGGGTGTAGGATGTTTCTAACTGGAGGCCGGAACAGGACATGGGTATAATAGCGGATCGGGTCGGGTTGTGAAGTTGTAATGAAGGAACTAATTGTACCTTTGTACGGTGTACCATACGCAACAGCACATGGGCGGGGCAACACAACACAACAGGTGTTGTACACGTGAGTACATGGGCACATAAGCTTACAGCCACACAGCGCACTTCAGACTATGAAACGGCAACAGGATGTAGCCATGCGTGGTTTGCAATACACCTCTGTAGCCGACGCAACGAACAAACAGACTCGCACGCACGTCATCTACTTCACATGGCCATCTACTTCACTGCCGCCGCTATGGCAGCCCTTCTCTTACATGCACAGTGCTGCAGTTACTGTCAAAATGTTTTTCTTCACACCCCTCCTGAGTGCTGGAAGAATGTTGATGACCCACCTTTAATTGTGAGGCATCGATTGTTGATGACCCACAGAAGTCTACAGCACACATATGCAATCGTCCGTACAATTGATGGTCCTAGATTCGGTTCGTACACCCAGCTGGAAACCGCCGCACATCTTCTTTCGAATGCTGCATGCAAGCTTTCTTCCTTATAGAAGCTACAGGCCACCTTTTCTTCGTCACGCGCACAGCGTCAGCAACCCTAGACATACACAAACTCTTAACTGCACACATCCATCCATGATTTTGTCCAGGTACCCCCTCCAGGCAATACACCTCAAACCCAAGCTCACTGCACCCAAGCCACCCATCCCATCCCACTTCACCCCGTCTGGCCTATCGGCACTCATCTTAACCCCATCTTTCCCCACACACTTACCAGGGAAACCCGCCGCCCCCATCCAGCACCGCTCGCTCCCTTCCTAAACCCCTCACATCACCACACACTTGCCAGGAGCAACCTGCTGACCCCCACCACGCCTCGGCCCCAGCAGCCCCTGCTCCTCCCCCTGCTCCTTCTCCCTCGGAGTCTGCTGCAGCGGCGACGGCATGAGCGGTGACGGAGGCGCCGAAACCACCAAACCCAACCCCGGCGGCGACGGCGGCACCAACACCGACGGAGGCGGCGTCCTCGCCGCCGCCTGTCGCTCCCCCTCCCCACCTGCCGCTGCTCCTCCTGCTCCCTCCACACGCGGCCGCTTGAGCGCACGGGACGCCACACCTGCACCCACAGCACCCCCTCCTCCTGCTCCTCCATTCGCCCCCGCCCCAGCACCCGCGCCGAAACCGGCAGGGCCCGAGCTGCCGCCACCGAAACCACCACCGCCACCGCCGCCACGGGATCCGTACGGCGCTCCGCCGCCGCTGCCGTACCCAGGAATGGGCCAGGTGCCTGCCGCAAGTGCAGCGTCCTTACGGGCGCGGTAGTCCGCGTAGGGGATCACCTGGAAAGGGGCGGGGGTGAGATGAGGGACGGAGGAAGGAAAAACCATAGGTGAGGGCAAGACGACGGGGGTAGGAGGGGGAAGGGGACGGTGGTCTTCGCCGTTGTGGCGGAGGCAGGCAGGTAAGCAGGAGAGGGGCAGTTGTGTGCGACAAGGGCCCACCAGGCGCGAAACGGCTTTCAACATGTGTTGCTTGGCATCAATACGGTATGGAGGGATGCACTCACCCTACTACCCACACCCCCTCTCCTCACCTCCCCGCTCGACCCCATGCCCGCCTGCGTCCCTCTTCTTCCACCGCATCCTCGGCAGGTCACCTCTCCCCCCCCTTCCCGCCTCCTATCCCCATTGCTTTACCCTAACCTGTGATTTCCTAGGTTTTGGCATGGTCTTTGACCACCCCCCCGGTTTCGCCTCTCGCTCACCTCCCCGCTCAGCCCCTTGTCTGCTAGAGCCCCCGACAGCACCGCCGCAGCTGCCTCCGCGGAGGGCACCTCGAGGAACGCGTTGTTGCCGGGCAGGAACGTGAGGCGAACCTGGCGGGAGGCGAGCAGGACGAGATGGGGCGGGGGACGAAAAGGGAACTGCCTGCCTAACCACCATACCACGCCTAGCATCACTACAGAAACCGTCTCGTACCTTTCCTAGCCCCGCCTCTTCGCAGCGCCGGTAAATATCGTTAGCCCTGATGCCGTACAACAGCCCTCCCAGGTAAAACACCAGCGGCCGCTCCGGAACCGGATCCACGGAAGTCGAATCCCCCGGTACGACAGGCCGCAACAGCGCGTACGGCAGATCTGATCTGGTTACATTGAGCCGCCAAACGTACGGCACTACAGATGCGTACGGCTCCATTGCTGCAGCAGACCCTCCGGCTGTAGCAGTAGCAACGGCTGCGGCGGCGGCCGCCTCAGCCACTGCCGGCCCTGCCCCTGCTGCTGCCGCAGCTGCGGCTGCCTGGTTGATTTGATTGGTCAAGTTCTGCTGCTTTTGTGCGTTTTGCTGCTCTGCCAGAATGGTTTCCAAGGCTACAAACACGCATCCTGTCATGAACGCGTCGTAGCCCGCCTCGTGCGCTAGCTGCCCTGCTGCTACAGCCACGTACTTTTCAAAACCGCGGCAGTGGCTAACTGTGAAGCGGGCGGGCAGGGCGGAGAAGGCCGAGACGGAGGAGGCGGCGGGGATGGCTGCGGTGGTGGGTGAGGGGACAGGGAGATAGGGGAATTGGGGGCTAGGAAAGAAGGTTGGACTGATATGGGGAGCCCATATACCGGTATATCCTCGACCCTCTTGCCCAATCTTTTCCCAATCATGCCCATCCAAACCATCCTAGTGTAATGTAATACACCTATGCACGACAACCTCCAACCACCGCCCTAACCACCTCACCCTCGGGCGGTTGCGGAACCAGGGCACGGAACATGGTTCCCAGCATGGTATCGGAGCCAAGCAGCTCGGGCAGTTGGCGGCAGATGTGTTTTGTGTCGTACAGTCCCCCGCGGAACCAGGAGGCGGTGGCGGACTGCACGCATGCATGCAAAACACATGCACAAGGCAGGCACGCGACATTGGCACGCAAGTAACTCAGACAGGCACGCATGCAACATACCAGTAGGCAGACGGGCAGGAGGGCAGTCAGAACGCATTGCTGCATGCAGGTACCGGCTGCATGCATGGCATGGCATGAGCGCATGCATGCCAGGCAGGCAGCATATCTGTAGTAGCGTTCATACGAGCATGCACGCATGGGTTACCACACCCCGCACCACGCCCCCGTCAACCCCCCAGCAAAGGGTCATTAAACACGGCACACGGCCGCCCCCTCACCCCCTCCATGTTGATGCCTTATCACTCAGTCAGTTTGTTATTTCCCCTTTACCCTCACCCGCCCCCTCCATACCTTGAATCCCTGCCACGTTGCCGGCAGCCGCCCCTCCCCAAACTGCGCCACCCCGTAAGCCACATCGAACATGCAGTTGTGCCCCACCGCGGGCCTGCCGCAATCCCGCATCGCCTCCCACACCGCCGCGAATCCCGCTGCCGCGGCAATCTCGGCACGCCTGGCGGCACGGTCCTGCGCCTCCAGGGCTGCTGCGGCGGCTGCTGAAGAGCAACGGATGAGGCGGAGGTAGGTCAGGTTGCGATTGTCGTAGGACTGCGGGGTGGGGGAGGGGGGGTAAAAAGAAATTCCAAAGTGTGTTGTGATAATGATACAAGTTGCTGACAATCCCTGGTGGAATCAACCGGGAGTCGAGCCGAAAAGGGGGGGGTAAAAAGAAGGAAACTGCCGACATGTAGGCTTCACCCCTTGTGACGGTGGTGTACCGTATCGTCGCCGCTTGTTACCCGGTATTCCCCCTTTTGCAAGGTGTTGCAAGGTGTCGTACCTTCCGTACATAGAACCCCGGGTGCCAGCCGGGGGCGCCCCCCGCGGGCCCACCGAAGCTCTCGGGCCTGGCTAGGGCCTGGTAGGCCTGCGTGGAGTGAGGGGGGAGTGAGGGGGAGGAGAAAAGTAACTCTGAATAAAAACTAACCAAACCAATCCGCCAAACCCATGATAAGGAAGAGAGGTTTTGAGGAACGAGACAAGGTGGAGAGGAGTTTCGGTAAAGGCGGTATCTGAAACGGCTCCTGCGAAATCCGGAGAGGATGCGTCGGAAGCCCACACTCCTCCCCCGCTCCCCTCCTCCCTTTCCCCTCCCCGCCTCCCCTCCTCACCAGCAGCCTGAGGTATCTGTTGACGGGCGGCAGGTCCAGCGGTGCGGCCGAGTCGGACGCCAGCCACTCCCGAACAGTGCGCAGCAGGCCCTGATGATACAGGGGGAGGAAAAAAGGAATGTGACACAGGGGTGTGATCAAGTAAACAAACGAAAAGAATTCTTTTCACCTGTATTACTATGATAAATCAACACAGAGTTGGTAACTGAAGCGGTGAACATTCTGAACAACACATGTCGCACCTCTCCGCTCCTTACCTCCACAAACTCAATGTCCTCCTGCTTGGAGAGGACCACGTCCGACCCACGGGTCACTTCGCCGCCGTTGCCACCGCCACCACCCGCGGCACCATTGGACCCACCATTCTCACGGTCCAGCTGCATGACGGAGGTGGGCGTACGACATGTACAGGATGAGGGGGCTAGTATCTAGCAGTACACGGGGGTCACGTGGGTAGCATGAGGCTATGGTCAGGCTGTGGTCACGAGCAGGGTTAGCATGATATAAGGGTTGTACGCCACCCACCTGACGCAGGAGGTCGTCCCGCTGCCGTACCGGCATGAAGGGCACTCCGTCGTAGATGCAGCGGTTGAAGTCGAAACCCTAGAGTGCGGGGGCCCGGGGGGGGGGAAACTAACTGACCGTGTGAGAGGGGGGGGGCATGTGTGGGTAGTAGGGTTGGGGGTCAGGATGGGATGGATATTTTGAATTTTGGGTTGCTATAGTAAAGAGCAGTAGGGTTGGGGATGGGGTCGGCAGTTGCGGTTGGGAGGGAGTGGGAGGGAGGGGCGGAGACATGGGGTGTGACGTTTAGAGGCGTGAAATACTATTGTTAGGTCCGAGACTAGGCCATAAGGGGGGAGAGGGCACACCATGGGCGCTTAGCCTCGCCCTCTCTCTGGACCCCTCTACCTCGCCCCCACCTGCGCCGCTAGGAAGGCCAGAGAGCCCGCATCGCAGGTGAAACGTCGCGAAGTGACTGAGGAGGCCGCGGAGGAACCCTGGGAGGGGGTGGGAGGACAGGGCGGGGGGCCGGGTGGGTTAACCCCAGCATGCGACACGGCTCCAGGGGGGTTGGAGGGGGGGGCGGGTGAGTGATAGGGTTAGGTTGCCGGCTAGAGAGGAAGGAGTGGGCACGGAACACACAGCGCAGATGCGCTGAGGTTGATGCCCCAATCCTCGCTCTCACTCACCCCCTCTGGCGGCCTGGGGAAGAGGTAGAAGTTGAAGGTGGCTGCCCGGTAGCTGGGCGGCGCAGCAGCACCACCCGCCCCTGCTGCCTCCCCCGCTGCCGGCGTGCGTTTGAAGCAGGAGAGGCCGAACTGGGTGATGATGAAGGCGTGCGCGGCGGCGGATGTGCGCTGGTACCTGGGGGCGAGGAGCGGAGGTGGGGAGGGGAGGAGCGGAGGTGGGGAGGGGAATGGGGGCAGGAGGAGGAAGGGGTTGCAGTGGAGGAGGAATGCCTGGAAGTACCCGGGTATGGTTGAAAACGAGCGTGACATAGTCGTTGGCGATCGTGGCGGATCGGGGGGTTATCGGGAGAGCAGGAGGAGGAGGAGGAGGAGGAGAAGGCCCCTTCCCGAACCGCTAAGCTACCTGTTCTGCATGTCGTCCGAAACCCCTACTCCTCCCACCAGTCCTGCCCCCCATTCCCTTCCCCCCACCTGTCCTGCCCACCGGTTCGTCACTTTTCCACTCCTCCTCCCTTCCCCCCACCTGTCCTGCATGTCGTCCAGGTATCCCTCCGCCTGCCCCTCCAGGAACAGCCCCGTCATCTCGCAGTCGAAGGAGAAGAAGTCACATGCACCCAGGTAGCGCCGAACCACGGGGAGCATGGCCTGGGGGGAAGGGGGGAGGGAGGGACAAAATTAAAGATAAGTGAAGCAACGAGTCCCAATCCCATACCCCGACTCATGCAGTGAGCGCATTCGGAGACACTATCCGAGAAGCAAGCAGTTCACGGAGGGAGGGGGAGGCAGGAGGGGGAATGGAGGGGAAGATGGAAGGGCAGTCAAGATTACATGGCTTAAGGCTTGACACCGCGCAGCAATGCCCTTCTGCAAGCCCCTTGCACTGCCGTATACGTGGTGCCGTACGTAGTCTCACCCGAGCCACAAAGTGCACCGCCCCCTCCCCCTTTCCTCGCACCCATACCATACCCGCACAACCCATACGCTTATTCATACACACCCACCGCAAAGTTGTGCCGAGTCACGTCCACGGAAAGCTCAGCTGCTGCTGTCTTGAAGGCACTGCCGTTACCGCCAGCAGCAGCAGCACCCTCCGCGTCTGCCATCACACAATCCGCCGCATCAATCCCTTCCGCTGCTGCTGCAGCAGCCGCTGCTGCCACCTCCGCAACAGCCGCGGCCGGCGCAACAGCAGCTGCACCACCACCGGCAGCAGCCGCCGCCGCTGCGGCAACCTCCTTCAGGTCCATGTCAAAGGGATCTCCCATCGCGTTTAGCATGGCGTCCACCGCAGCCGGTGACGATGCAGCAGCTGCTTCTGCTGCAGCCGGTGATGAGGGTGTCGGTCCTGGATTCCGGTTGTCACGGGTCGGAGGCCACCAGGTGACAGCTGGGGGAACGTACAGCGGTTGCTGTTGCTGCTGGTTGTTGTGGTGGTTAGGGTACGGCGAGCGCATCATGGTGGTTGCCGTTGTCGTTATACCGGCGGGCAGGTGTTGTTCTTGTTCGGTGGTGTCGGTGTTGACGCTGTTTGGGAGGGTTGGAGTGTTAGGGGGGAGGATAGGGGTAGGAGGGCGTGTGGGTTGGCAAGAGACTGCGTTGGATTGTGGATCTGGTGGTCAACGCAAAAAGAACATGCGGGGTTTGCTGTTGGCAGATTAACCAACGGTGGCATCAGGCAAGATGGCATGGCCCCATGTAATGCCAGACATGCTTGAGAGAAACGTGGAGCCGTACGCAAGGCGTAAGGCGCAGCGCAGGTTACCTGGCGCTGTAGCTGCCAGGAGTCAAAGGCACGTAAGCGTCGTAACGTGGTAGGACGGTGTTTCCGTTGTCACAGCCGCTATTGCTGTAGCAGTAATCGCTGTTGGTGCTGCTAGTAAAGGTACGGATGAACTGTAAAAGTTGCTGCAATAAGCACTGTCGTACACCAAGAGCGCAAACAGACACAAATTGGCTTTGCTGCTTGAAGGACTGTTGTGCGACAGACGATCCGCGAGAACGGCAGTTGCTGTCAGGTGCAGGGGTTACTAGATTTTCGACCCAAATTGAGAAGACGCTGGGCCTTGTCCAGGCCTGGGTTGTCGGAGAAGTTGGGCTGCACACAGCGTTAGGACGAAGGGTCAGAGCTGCTGTCGCGATCTCCAGAGCGCAAGCTGATCGGACATGGATTGCTGTCAGGCGGAAGCAACGGACGGGGCCCAGGCTCATACCTAGCTTAACAAGGATGGCCTACTTGGACGTTGGTAGTTCTGCATCGTATTCCTAGACTCCGTGTCCTGTTAAACCTAGAAACGTTGAGGTTCAAAAGGATTGCTTTTAGAACAGTCCGCTAGCTCGACAGCTTTGAACTTCCGGTAGAAGTGCGTGGTCTAGAGTCAGGCATGTGTTGCCGTCATCTAATGTTTGGTAGAGCAGTAAGGGCAGCTAGAGCAACGCGCAAGGGCGGGAAGTCGACTTGTCGACATGCGCTTGACGCGATACGCTCCGAAACCGGCGTAGAGTACGACCTCGCAGCAAATAACTTTGGTGCTATGCCTCCACACATCCACACGCAGATTATTCTCAAGAAGGAACTCTTGACAATCCTAGCATACTCTTATCTTTCATCGTCTTCGGAGATTACGGTCCTTGCTTCGAAGTAACTCTTCCGGCATCGAAGCTGTTACTTTGTTACCTGTGTTTTAGCACATTCTAGCAAAGATGTCGATGGTAGCGGGCAAGATGGACGCGGTGTCTGTTAACAGGGGTATGTGCGGAGTCATGTCATGTCCGAAGCCTCTTCGCAGCAACCCTTTCACGCAGCTGAGGATGCGTGGTTCCTTAAACTGCAGTTTGGGAGGAGCACGTGAAGAAAGAGAACCGAACTCTGCGGCTAAACGACCAGTTCTGCATCTCCAATCCACGCAAAAGTAAGCACGAAGCTTAACATTGGAGCTTGCTTATGTATTGCGAAGTCTTCTGTATATGTACATCGTGACCTTTCGACGCCTGCTTCTGGAATCGTCGGTTAACCTTGCATGCGATGAGTAACCTTCTCCTCCTGCACCTGCAGTGGACATCCTCCCGGAGAAGCCCAACCGGACAGTTCCGACACCAAACCCCGACGAGTCCACGGTTGCAGCTGCGACAGCTACCCTACACAGCCTAGCAGCAGCCAAGGATGTTGATAAGGCCCCACAAGACCGCTATGCGCTGCCTATATCAGGCAACATGGAGTATGGCTTCTTCCACCGCGTACAGCTGGTAAGTTAACGGCCGATAGCAGAAGCTTGGGCCCCGAAGACCTGCCCTTAGCGCTTGGCGCAGCAATGCCAAGGGATGTGTCATCAGGGTCAGAAAGCTGCAGCTTCTAGCGATGCAGCTCCTAGCGATGCGCTTCGACCTGGGTGTGCCTTCCTTCCTTTTGTTTGTGTACCGCCCCTCGACTTGGGTTGAATGTAGACCCATTGACTCACCGGCACGCCTACTACCGGTATCTATGCCTCCCCCAAACACCTGCATACAACGCTCCCCTCCTCTTAGTTGCACACTCCTCCCCATTTCCACACTTTGGAATTTCTTTTTCCCCATTTCCTCTTCCTCTGCACTGCCCCTTCTCGACTCTTCCACCACCCCAACTGCCTCCTGCGCTCCCCCCTTTTCACTGCGTCCCCCCCCCCCACGACTCGTTGTTTCACATATTTAATTTTTTCCCGCCACCTCCTCCTCTCCCTGCTTCCCTCACCCGCTTCCCTCACCTGCTTCCCTCACCTGCTTCCCTCGCCCGCAGTCCCAGACTAACCCCATGTTCGACCACAAGCACCAGCCCTGCGAGCTGACCGACAACGCGCAGGAGTACCTGAAGAGCTTCAACGGAATAGGCCCCTTCACCAACCGCACGGCACATTGAGTGACCTGTATCGCGGGCTGAGTGAAGCAGCATCGTTCTGAATGGGTCTGTGTACCTTGCTCGCCAACAACGAGCGCACTAAGCGCCATGCATGCATGCGTGCAGCTGAATGGGCGGATGGGCATGTGTAGCAGTCGTAGTAGCCTTTGCTTACGGAGAGGGGTAGCCACTCTCTTATGGATGAGGCTTTCACTTGTCACTGGGTAATGGTTGTTTTCCGTGCTGCATCAAGCCGGCAAGACCTCATCGCAGTATGGATTGGACAGAGCGGGTGGTATAGGTGTATAGGGTATGGGTACGGTACGCAGTGTAAATGGCCTGCAGTTGGGGATAGCGCTGATCTTATGAGGACCAGGGGCTCATAGAGGGTGCTTCTAAAGGGTAGAAAGCGAGTGCATGGCATAGAAGTTTAGCAAACTGGTAGCTAGGAGGGTAGAATGTATGGTTGACCTGATTGCGCATGTCAGGACCTCGTTTACATGCAGCGTGCAGGGTGGGAAGGCTGCAGTCTGTTAAGAAAACTGGCCGCGAGTAGGAACGTGCAGTCTGTGTGCGTAGGTGGGCAAGGTGCAGCAATGCGCCCTGACGCGCGGGTTTCGCTGGGCTTGCGTGACCCCAGTGGTTTTGACTCTACACTGTTAACTGAAACCTGACTGAAACGTCTAAAAGTGTTTATGTGTGTCATAGGTAGGTAGCGGAGTGAATGCCTGTGAGGGCTAGGTGTGAGGGCTAGGTTGACTTGTGTGCAGCAGCAGGAATCAGCGTGTGGGAGATGGAGCAAGGGAGGAGCAGGGTTACAGGCGCCTGTGAGCCTCGTTTGCAGGTGCATGCCGTGATCTCCCCTAACCAGTATCAAATTATACCGTGCTTTATGACATGCTTGACTTCCCAGCCGTGTACCGGTATGGCTATAGCCGTATCCCACAACCTTGACAACCCCTGACTGCGGGTATACGGCGCGCCGATGCCCTCGCAGAGTACAGAACATGACCTAATAGTTACACTGCGCTGTAGGTTTCAGTGTTATATGTCCTGTAATGCCTTCTGGATTGAATGGTGCCAAACCTCCTTCGGACTGCATCGGACCAGGATCTGTTTGCCTCGGTTCAGCATCTGTGCGGCGCTTTACCTCGCGTGTATGACAGGGTTGCAAACGTGTAATGGCTGCGCATGTACGGAAGTGGTTTAGGCCGTAATGCCGTACAGCTGCCAAGACATCCGGATTCTCTTACAGAATGAGTTTGCGCTGCATAAGCAAGGGGGGTACCGGTAGGTGTTTTGCTGAAAGCGAGGTCGTCCGGTTGCAACCGTCTGTTATGGAGGTCGGCCACCTGTATGCCCGTTTACAACATGGAGTGTTAGCACACCGCTAATTTGTAGGGTCACGGTTACATCAGTAAGGGATCACGCGGCCTTAAGAGCACACGTCTACCTCACAAGAACGTGAAAGGCAGGCGATACTGACCCGGGGGTCCTAGTCGTACCCCTCACGTGCCCCTTGGATTGAAGCATCAAACTCTAGGACTACGCTTTGTCTTGGGCTCAATTATTAGACGTTGTTTCCGTTATATTAAAAGCTTGTTTGCCGTGTGACGCGGCGCTGCCATCTGAGACCACGTCATCCAGTGCTGTGCAGCTTGGTTGCTTCGCGTTACGGATATCCCCTTTGCAAACCGACAGCTGTCCGCTACCTATCAGAAGCAGTTGTAGTCTATCAGACATAAATCAGACATAAAACGGAAGTCTCCAAAGGCGCTTAGGGCGAGTTAACAAGCCTTCTTCTAACAAACCCTATCGCGAGGAACCGCAACGCAAGCGACTCGAGCGTGCTTTCAACCACAAATGCAGCCTCAACCTCAGCCTTCTTCTTCTTCTTCTTCTCCTCCTCCTTCTTCTTCCTCTCCTCCTTCTGCCTCCTCCCGTCTTCCTCCTCCTCCCGCCCAAGCCATCGCACGCCTGCGCGAGCTCCCCTCCGCCACCTTCATCCGCCTGCACACCGGTCTCAGCGAGCACCTCTCGCAGCACCTGGCAGCAGCCTGCAGGCGCCACGGCTGCGGAGCAGACCAGCTGCTGGACATCTTGAGGCGTAGGGCCCATCTGGGTCGGGAGCAGGATCGCGATCTGGGTCGGGAGCAGGATCGCGATCTGGGTCGGGAGCAGGATGGCGATCTGGGTCAGGAGCAGGATGGCGATCTGGGTCAGGAGCCGGGTGAAGGTCAGGCCCAGGGCCAGCATGGGAGTGAAAAGCATGAGGATAAACACCAGGGAGCAGCTGCAGCGGTTGCAGCTGCGGTGGAGCTGGGGTTTTCGCCGGACGTCGCTGAGGAGTTGGTATCGGCGATGGTTCGAAGCGGAGAAGCGGCGGGGCGGCCGGGGGCGGCAGTGGAATTGGGGGCGGAGGAGAAGGAGGAGAAGGAAGAGGAAGGGGGGACGGGTGAGGAGAAGCCCGTGTCAACTTCCAGCCTCAACCCAGCCGGAAAGGCGCTGCTGATCGCCGCTGCTGTGGGAGCCGCTGTTGGCGTGCTTGGCATTGCCGCATTGGTCGTCTCCGGCCTTCGATGCCAGTACTACAGCCGTCGGGAGGCCGAAGCAGCGGAGGCAATCGCCGCCGCGGCAGAAGCAGCGACGGCGGCCATGGCAGCTGCGGCGGCGGCGACGACCGCTGCCGCCGATGCAGCAGCGGCAGCAGCAGCGGCGGCGGCTTCCGCTGGCGCTGGAGCCTTGCCGGCAGCGTCAGCGGTTCGGCATGCCGCCGACAGCAGCAGCAGCGGCATCGGCAGCAGCCCGGGAATGGGGCTGGTGCGTGCAGCTGGCGGCGCCGCCGCCACTTCCGTGCAGCGTGCCGTCGCGTCCGCTGCTGACGTGGCAGGTTCATGTGAGGGTGTGCTGGAGCGAGCTGAGGTGGGGGGTGCTAGGGTGGTGGGGATGCTGCGGAGTGCGGCTAGGAGAGCCGCTAGTGGGGCTGTGAAGGCGGCGCGGGCGGTGAAGGCTGCAGTGGAGGATGGCTAGTAGTAGTTTGTAACTTCTGTCTTGCCTGTTTTCTGTTAGTTCACCCTGGTTCAGCTGCCCAGGGGCGGATTCCCTTTGCGTGCAGCACCTACAACGATAGCACCCGCGTTGAGTGTTCACACAAACATAACCGGCGTCTGCGGGGGCCGGCTTTAGCGCTGGCATGTTGCGTTGCCTGCGTGGTCTAAATTGTGTCGAGTACAAATGATATGTCCTGAGGTGCGGGTGGTACCATGCTGCGCAATGTCGTTGACTCTAACATGCCTGGACGTGTCTAGGATGCAATGATGGTTTCAGTGTGGTTCAATGGAAGGTCTTCTGGTGTGCTGTCATCCCAATCATCAAGGGCGTGTCAGCAGCAGCCGATTGCGGGGCACCCTTGTGGCATGACATCCCTGTCCAGTGGGTAACGACGCTACCGTCACGATACCTCAACTAAGGGAGCTGTCGGCAGGCTTCGTTCTATGGCGTTGGGGTCGTTCAGCGCGCGGAATAGGACCCTGCGCCGTAGACCCAACTGGACATGCCTCCGGGGATGTGCGGCTCGCGCTCCGGGTATCTGGAAGTTTGCGGTTCGGATTATGCGGGAACACGTGCATGCGTGATGTAAGCACGCGTTAGGTATGTTCCTACAAAATCCCCGTGGAGTTGCGCTGAAGTGGGAGACACGGTCGGGTTACTGAGCATGCTGTGCGCGTCGCTTCCTTAGCCGTGCATGGTATATTAAGGTCTAGAAGAAGGCTTTATGTATATGAAAGCCATCAAAGTGGTACAGGTGACTTTATCCTGGGCCGCGCATGATGCTCGGCCGTTCGCCGCCTTCACAACGCCGTAACCTCTTGGTCAAGGTTCCCAGTTAAAGAGTCCGGTTGATACTCTTTTTGCTCTGTTAACATTGCGTATAAATTTGTCCGTGTGACCTCTTCTACTGCTCTTGCACAAAGTCGATCTGTCTTTTCCCTTGACCATGTATGGGAGTGGCGGAGACGGGAGCAACATGTATGGGAACAACCAAAACATGTATCCAAACATGATGGGACAACAGGGAAGCGGCATGATGGGAAGCCAAATGGGCGGCCAAATGGCGAGCCAGTTGGGCGGTCAGATGCCCCAGACAGGACAGCAGATGCCTCAAATGTCCGGTCAAATGGGTAATCAAATGAACCAACTGGCGACCCAGCAAGCACAACCTCAGCCCGGTATGCAACAGCAGGGCGCCGGGAGCGGAATGATGTCCGCCATGCCAGGCATGACCGGGATGCCAGGCATGCCCAACATGGGCATGAACGCCATGAATACGACAGGCATGCCTATGGCTGGCCAGGCGGGCGCAGCTACCCCAGCTGCAGGTGCAACGGGTATGCAGGCCATGAACCCCGCGATGATGGGCCAGCAAGGAATGAACCCGGCAATGATGGCTCAGCAAGGCGCAAACCCAGCTATGGCAAACTGGCAGGCTATGGCGGGCCAGAATCCGCAGGCGCTAGCGATGCAGGCCTACATGCAGGTTAGTTTCTGATGCCTATCGAGCGTACGTCCGCTTCCCTACGCACAACGCGTCCACACAATCCCTATAAACAGTTGCTTACTTCCCCATCGCATCACCCATTTTCCCTTCGCAGCAATACGCTATGCGCATGGCCGCCTTCCAGCGCATGGCCGCGGCCGGGGCGATGGGCGGTATGGGCATGCCGGGCGCCATGGGCGGCATGAACCCTATGGGTGCGATGGGCCCTATGGGTGCCATGGGCCAAGGCCCCATGGGGCCTATGGGCATGGCCCCAGGCATGGCTCCAGGCATGGGCATGATGGGCGCCATGGGCGGCATGCAGCAGGGCGGCATGCGCGGGCCAGCCGGAGGGCAGTCGGACGGCCCCGAGAACATGCGCTTCTGGAAGACCCGCATCTGCAACAAGTAGGTGTTGGCAGTGGTGGTGTGGTGGCGGGGTGGTAGCGGTGTGTGTGCTTGTCTACCCGCGTATCTAGCTGCCTTCCACCCTGAACCGTGGCCGACCCACATCGTAACACCCAACGACTAACCAACCAATCGTGATCCCAACCTCCAGGTGGAAGGACGGCAACTGTCCGTACGGCGACACGTGCAAGTACGCGCATGGCGAACAGGACCTGCGGACACCCAACATGGGGGATGCCGGCAAGGCAGCGGCGGCACGTGTGGCCGCGCCCAAGAACGAGCTGGCGGTAAGTTGGAGGGACCCGCAGATGCCCCATCGCCCCATACGATCCAAACGGATTTGAAGCAGGATTGCATGCATGGGCGCCGTGAATATAGGTGTGTCCGTGGCAGGCAGCGTCTCATCCGTACAAGGGTGGGAGGTGTGTGGTCTTGATTGGGCCCTTTTGAGCACTGGACTTGAAGCTGTCTTCGCCCCGACCAATGGAACAATGTTTGCAGGACAAGCGCACCATGATTGAGCTCATGCGCAAGACGCGCATCTGTGACGAGTTCATGAAGACGGGGGCGTGCAGATACGGCGACAAGTGCACCTTTGCTCACGGGTAAGGGGCCGCGCACGGGTCACGCGTCTGCAGGTGCACCGGGGGGGTCTTGGTTGTCTTGGGAGGGGTTGCGGGACTAAATCCTGGTTCGGTATGTGGACGGCTAGGTAGCGGCGGCGTCACGGTGCTGGGAACCCTGGCTGCTATGAGACGGATCACAGTTTGTATGTATAGCTCAACTTTACCGCCTGGCCGCGTGGCCTGGGCATGACTTCAGGTTGGGGGCCGTTTAAAGAATGCTAAGGCTTGGAACCATCCCATAGGATACTGGATCCTGAACCCTCTCATCGTCGCCTGCACTGGAAGGTGTACGGCCGCTTCTTACCTCCCTGGTCCTCTCGGTGCCCCGCTCCTCCGCGTTTCTTCGCCTGCACAGGCACCACGAGCTGCGACAGGCGCCGAACGTGAAGGACGCGATCACCCAGCAGCAGCAACAGCAGCAGCAGCAGGTGGGGTACCGGGCTAATCTCTGTGCTTGCTGTGTTATTGCCCCCCGACCCAGTTCCCCCAACGAATCGGGTTGCAAACCTTCCCCACTGCCGTCATGCGGCCCCTGATGTCGTCGTTTAACCTCATTTTTCCTCCTTCCTCCTCCACCTTTTCTCGCACAGCAGGTCGTCGCTAGCGCTGGTGCGGGTGCGGGTGCGGGTGCCGGTGCGGGAGCTGCCGGCAAGGACACCATGCACAAGACGCGGCTGTGTGAGCGCTTCATGAACACCAACACCTGCCCCTACGGCGACAAGTGCACCTTTGCGCACGGGTAAGCTGAGAGAGAGGCACAGGGGATGCGCCCGGTTTTGGAAGCGTGTATCACTGCCCATCAGGCCTAATCCCTACGCAACATCCCCACATCTTCCTCTTTTTCAAACCCTCTCACTCGCTGTCTTCTCCATGTCTTCCCCTTCCGACCCCCTCCTGCCCTCCTTCCCGTGCAGCCACTATGAGCTGCGCCTAATCCCCACACGGCCCCCACACAGAGCACAGCACCTTGTTCATCCCTCTTTTCCACCCTCTCGCCCACTCTTCTCCCTGTCTTCCCCTGGCCCCCCCCTTCCCGCAGCCACCATGAGCTGCGCCAGCGCACAGCCGGTGCCCTCACGCCCCGCCCCGGCGGCCCCACCAACGCCACTCCCGGCGCCCTGCCCGGCCATCAGCAACAGCAGCAGCTGAAGCTGCAGCAGCAGCAGCAGCCCAAGCAGCCCCTGTCCCTGGGACAGTCGCAGAGTCAGCTGGGCGCTGCTGCTGCTGTCGCCGGCGCAGCAGCAGTGGGTATTAAGCGAGAGCGTGAGGAGGAGGCCACGGGCGCAGGCGGCGAGGGCCAGGGGCTGGGCGAGGAAGCGGCCAAGCGGCAGCATCTGGAGGAGAGGGCGAACGGTGAGGGCGAGCACGATGGCGGCGAGCAGGAGCAGCAGCAGCGGCACCAGGCTGGCCTGCAGACACAGGACTCGGCTGGTGGCGGGGATTGGGGCTGGGGCGTCGACGGCGATGCTGATCCGACGCAGGAGGAGCAGCTGCAGCACCATGAGGAGGAGGAGGAGGACGGTGATGGTGGGGCGGGCGGAGACGGCGGTGCGCGAGATGGTGCTGGAGGCGAGGGCGGCGAGCGGGGTGCCGGTGGCGCTTCAGGCTCCGGCGCAGCTGGGGGTGCTTCGGCGGGTGCGGCTGCGGCGGCGGGCGATGCCGGGGCCGCTGCTGGCGGGGAGGCGGGCGGCTGCAAGCTGTGTGCCCGCATGTTGAAGGCGGGGCGCGGTGAGATGCTGGCGGCGGTGCAGCAGATGCCCTCGCCCGCAGCTCAGAAGCTGGGGGCCATGATCCTGGGGTACGGCACGCCGCGGTTTGAGCAGCTGTGGCACAAACTGAGCTTCACGCAGCTGCAGGTGGGCTGGGTATGGCGGGTTGGGGATGAGGGGGCGATACGTGTCCACGCTTGTGGAGAGCGGTTCGCGCTCTTGCATGCGTGGGTTTGTAGATTGGTTTTCTGCTTAGCGACCCTAGGCTGATACACACGCCGGACCCTCGTCCCCCCAGCATCTCCCAAACGCAAAACCTTCCCGCTGCTTACGTCCTTTTCCTCGCCTCCTCTTTCTCCCTTTTCTGCCGCAGAACATGTTGGCGCGTGCCGATCTGTCCGTGGCTGACCGCATCGACCTGCTGAAGGCGGTGTGCTTCCACACGCACGCCAGCGAGGAGGAGCGCGAGCGGCTGGGCAGCCAGAAGTACATTAGCCAGGGGCTGCCGCCGGTGGTGGCGGACTTTGTGGCGATGGTGCTGGATGGCAAGGAGGGCTCAGCGCAGGTGGGGGCGCGGGAAGGCGGGGAAGGGTGTGCATGGGGGGAATGCATGTGGAGGATGTTTGACCCAGATGGAGAGGGTTGCGGACAGGGGACGGTATCAGCGGTCCTTCACGTTTCCTCCCACACTGTCCCTCCCCGCCTCTTAACGTCGTGGCATCCACCCAATGTGTGTGGCATCCAGATGACCGAGTATTTCGCGGCTCTGGAGGTGTGCAAGAGCGTGTACGGCGTAACGGAGGAGGAATACTTCAACGTGTCGAGCACCATGGCCAACCTCTTCATGAACATGTAGAGGGGGGAACAGTGAAACAGTGAAAGATAGGCAGCAGTGAAGGAGCCGTGGACTGACTTCGTGCCTCCACTTTTTGTATGCTACAATGGGCTACTCCCTTTGAAGTCCCGTGGTCTTGATGGTTCTTAGCCTTTACCATGTTTGGCTGGGTGCTGGTTGGTCCTAGGAGGTTGGCGATGAGATTGAGACATGGAGCGGATGCGGGGGTTCGTGGGCGTGTCACGAGCGTCCTTTTGTCGTGGCCCTCCAAGAGTAAGTTTGCGTCTCGCTGCGCGTGTAAAGGGGAGGTGGCAGTTTGTGTGTTTGTGGGGGGGGGGCATGTACCAGGAATATGCCTGGCGCGTGGGGTGATGGTGATGGAGGTGGTGGGTGGTGGCGCAAGCATTGTGTGTTTGGATAAAGTGTTCGTTCCTTACCCGGAGTCTTGCACGCTCGGCTGCAGCCGGGGTTGTGTGTAAGGGTGTGGCAACTTCGGCTGTGGGTTTAAGCGTGGTGTCTTAATTCCTGTCTTGACATGTGCCCTGCGTCCTTAAACGGGGGTTGTCCTGTGGCCGGCGGCAGTAGCGCCTTTGGGATTATTTGGGAAGGCCGCAAAGTCCCGTTATGAAAGACCGTGCCCGTCATTCCTTTTTGGCCTGTTTTTTCACTGCAAGGGGTTACCGTCCTGAGGAACGCTTAGTTTTGGGTTCACGTCTGGTTAAGGATGCCTCACAGGCGGTGCGCCCTGTTTTCCATGCTCCGTGTTATCGTGTAGCATGCGGGCTTGGCCGCGTGCCTTTGGGTTTCATTGTCTTCTGTGGCGTGACTTACTTCTGGCAATGGGGCATTTCTTTACGTGTCTCATGATGTTATGATTGGCCGGTGATGCGACAGTGCTGATGGCGAGTGATGGGGGTAGCTGATCTAGCGCGTTGGACAGTGCGTTTGGGAAAGAAGGTGCCTATGAGGTGCTTTTCTGGGCTTTCGGGCATTTGGCAAGTAGTCATTCTGGGGTATGTATAATGGAGTTGTCTCATCGGTCTTGAATTATGTGATGTGGTTTTGGAGCCGTAAAAGCGTGCCTGATCCGTCGTGTGTTGTTGTGTTCTCGTGTGTGGTGGAAAAGCCTTGTATGAGGCTGCATTGTTCGTGCATTCTCTCGGTTCCGCTTCGGCCCTCGTTGCCCTCTGCGGTATCCAGAGCTTAGCTCCCCTGACCTCATTTGGGTTTGAAAATTTTAAAACATATGTAATAAATGTTGCTTTAGGGGGGTAATGTACACCGGTTAGTTCAGGTCGGATTGCTCGTGTCTCCAGCAATACACGGCTTTACCTAACTACGGTGTACTAATGTGGTCCGTTACAAGGTATTTTGCGCGCGCGCTTCCTCTCGTTACGTCCATTCTTTCAATCAGCCCGTCCCTAAGGTTTTGGCATTTCTCAGGGCTCTTCCATCAGGTACATGGTTTCAAGAGTTCATCTTGAATCTTAATAGGGGTATTTCGTACGTATATGTTATTGCGATAATAAGCACGTCCATATCACAGCTAATGTGTCAGCAGGTTTTCAGCGCATATTGCGCAAACGGCACCTCCCACCATGCACGCACAGAAACTGAAGTGAAGTACGGTAGTAACGTCTCCATATACATTTATTCTCAGCCGCCTTTGGGTTGTTTCCAATTTACCATTCAGCCGCTTACGTGGTAATTCATGGTTGCATTCTCAACCCACGTTTACAACGGCTGGCGGCCCATGTATACCGCCGATTTTGATGTTCACACTAATCCGGATCCATGTGATGTGTTTGTCGTACACCGTTTAAATCACGGAATACCGCTGGGCATGTAGCGCCCGGCTTCATTTCGGCGTTTGGCATTTATGGCCGAAGACAACCGGTTAGTATTAGTACCACATTTCAATTTCCACATTTGATTGTGCATCATGGTGGTGGTGCATTTACAGTAATGCCGTACAAGAACGACAATCACGAATCCTATTTGATCACGGCGAAAGCCCATTTTCCCTTTGGACTCCGTTGCGAGAATTCTTTATGGCGAGCATGGAGCAGAAAGCCCCCTTACAGGGGCACGGGATACATATGCAGCGATGGACTGGTTTCGCACGCTGGTTTGTCGCATTTGGATGGGGGGTAACTCTCCGCGGAGACTGTCAACGAGCTACTTAATTGGGTTACAGTTTCCCTAATTAACATTGATTTACGGACCGTAAGCCGCTGCCAATTTTCTTTTGGCGAGTGGGCGACGAATACAATTCATTCCGTCAGAAGCCGAGGTGTATCGCCGTGCAGCTACGACTTACCCCCCCACATGTTGGAATGTAATGGCAATCGTCGTGTCTATCCCTGTGTGCTGTCGTCCAGAGGCGCACGTGAAAGTTCATTACATCGAGCCATTCTTGTAATATAGACTCCCGCCCAGGTGACGATACCCCCTGCAACTCCAATATGACATGATCAGCAGCTTAAGTACAAGTCGAGCTCCTATCCTCTCCATATAACCGTATATCTCATGATAAAATAATGCTACACGACAACCTTTCAACGCCAAAAACTCCACGACAGTGTTCGCACGCACACCAGCCCACACCGGAAAAGCGCACGAACACACGCACAAGGAGGACAACAGGCAACTGCAAACGGGACGATGGCCCCCCTCACCTCCTCCCATCCATCGCTCAGTTCCGCATGGGCAAAAATTGCATCGCTCAGGAAACAGGGTAGGGAACGAATTTGACACGCGCCTGCAACCCAGAGGCCCCGGGTGATTGCTCTGTGCGCGCTCCGGGACCCCGGACATGCTTCTGGGCGTTCGACAGACGGGCAGGGAGCTCTCACGACCTGCCTGTCAAGGCCGACGTGTCCTCAATAATGTCCTCAAGTTCTCCGTGCCACACACCCCCAGTTCCAACTACACCTGCAACGACACCCTCGCCAAACACTCAAACCCAACCGAATCCAGGCCTTCAGAACCCTCGTACCACGTTTGCGTCACCCGTCTACGTGAAAATTAAGACAATTGAGCTGCTGCATATATGCGTGCAGCGAGCGGGCGATGCCATATTAAACACACTTTTAGAGATCTTCCACACGGGAGGGGGGAATCGCACCTGGCAAGGAGGTACACCGTTGGATGATATGACCACCCTAACGCTTGTTTCGTGTTGGAAAACGCACACACACAGCCCACACACGAGTTGGTCGCTTGTTTCACGCACACATACGAAAGAGACTAACCCCATGCTTAAATGTGATCAACTCTGAACCCCACCCAGGCAACCCAGAAGGCTTAACTCATCGGGATCGCCCAGTGAAACAAAGCAAGAATGAAGCAAGTCTCTTCGCTGGGATCAGATTTGAGGCACGGACGCGCAGAACTGAAGGTAATACTGAAGCCCACGCACACATGACAGGTTCTTAACACTACTCAGCACAACCAAAATAAGACCATGACCGAGCCGAACCCATGCAAGCACTCGCCTATTTGCATGTTAGCAAACCCGACCTTCACGGCACACCCCACACTTCCGTCGGGCCCCCCCTCTTGTGTACTGCACCCTGGATTTGTCAGTTAGACCACTTGAGGCTTTACCACTCTTCGGATAAACCGAACATGCGGCAGAATAAAATGTACAACGTTTCCATCATACCAGCACCGCTCATCCGCTGCTGCAAACATTGCAATGCATCACTGTGCAATGCGCGCGCGGGTGTGAGTGCAGGCTAGGTGGAGACCACAAGACTCGCAAGCTTTGGGGCAGCGCGGGACAATGGGTTTCCGGCCCCGCCTCGCGCCGTTCCCCAGCCCAACACGTTTCCACCGCAGAAACACAGTGCAGAAGAGGCCAGGGGAGGAAAAGGCCGGCACCGAATGAAGGCCAAGCGGCGCCGCCAATGCAGCAAATGCCGAATAGCGCGAATGCCACATAAGGACACACACACAAGAATTCGGACTTGACTTAGGAATCAATAGAAACACGCGTACCTCCCCGTCACTCCTACCCTGCAGGCAATACGGAAATAACGGCCACTGTTCCTCCGGCGTCCTCCCCCTCCCAACTTACTTCCGCGTAGCAACATGGACCATGGTGACTTCCAGGCAGTGAAGCTGACCTACTCTGCTACAAGGACCGTCACCAACCCCATTGCCATTTAGCACTTAGCACTGAATTCATCACACCATAAACAACCACTCCTAATCACCGGATCATGAGCAACCGCACCCACATGCATTGCGCCTGACAAAGCAACCTTCCTCTCTCGTCCACTCCACAACTCCTTACCGAGAGGAGCCGTAGACTCGTACCTTCTTTCTTTAACGCATCCCAACCCGAGTCTCCAATCCTGCGGTAATAAAACCACGGCTGAGGGCTACACCAGCCCTGCAACACTTATTATTGTACAGAAAGACCACGACAACCGCCATCACTGGCTCCTCTTCCGCCGCCGCCTGCGACCCAAACGCCGATGGTAGCAAAGAGACCATCCATGCCGAAATTCCACACGGCCTCACACCCCATTAACTGCTTCTCAGGAACAGAGGAACTACAGGAAACGCGCGCATTCGGCGCTTCACAGCCCCAGCTGCAGCATGCCGCAACACCACCAGCTTTGCACCCCAGGGGGCTGCACCCCAGGAGGCTGTGCCCCAAGAGGCCGCGCCCTCCCCTCTCCAGCTCTGCGCTCCCTCCACAGCTCTGCGCTCCGCTCCCCAAGTATCGTTCCCCCTTGCCACCCCACCCCCACCGCTGCCACCCGTTACCAGTCCACGCTGCACTCCTCATCCACGTCGCTGCAGGTGGTGATACCCGCCTTGCTCATCTGCAGCTTCTTGCCCGCCAGCAGCGTGTCCATGGCGCCGCCCAGAGAGATGCGGTTGCGGGAGATGAAGTCGTACAACGCATCCACGGCGGAGGTGAAGAGCGGCAGCTCCATTAGGAACGCCAGCCAGCCCAGACCCACCACGGTGTACATGGCCCGGATGGCGTCGGTGCCCTGAGACGAAAGGGGGAGGAGAGAGAGGAAGGAAATGAAGAGGGAGAAAAGAGAAATACCCAATGCGTTGAATGAGAATGGCGAACAAGGAGGGGCGAGGAGGAGGGAGGTCAGTTGACATTAATGAACCCCATTAGACGCGCAACATCCCCTGGGTGACCCATGCCGCCAAGTTAGGATTCGTGCATGGTATGACCGCCCATTGCGCATCCACACCCCGCATGACACCAAAAAGGGAGCCCAAATAGCAAGAGGTCGTGATCCGGTTCCCGGGATCCGGGGCGCATGCCGGAGTAGGTCAGCAGCCGCCGCGCGCTCTCACCATGAGGACCGAGCCGTCGGGTCGGATGGCGTGGATGGTGGTCATGGCCTCGTCCTGGCTGATGCCCATGTTCTTAGAGGGCCGGTACTTGGGCGAGGACACATCCATGAAGATGATGCGACCCACGCCCTGCAGAGGGGTGGACGGTGGAGGGCGGGCGAGAGCATGTTGCATGAGCATGTGCATGCAGGTGGTTTGGAAGAGGCAAAGCATGCATGCGGTGGTGGTGGTGGAGGGTACAGTGAAGGGGGGTGTGCTAGCCCCCAGCAGAGCGCCAAGGAGGTGGTGTGTGCTGGCAAGGCTAGTTAGGGATTCCGGGTAGTCATACTGCACTTAGCACGGGCTGCTGCCGCCGCTGGTTGCTCCAAAGGTCGCCGAGTCTGTCACCACACCACACCTGCACCGCCAACCAGCCCACTACCCATGCCGACCCGTCCGCCCTGCCAGTAGCACCACACCACTTGCAAGCAGCATCACAACTGCCCTAGCCACCATGCCAACCCACCACCACCACAACAACACGAGCCCAGCGCCCACCAGCAGGCCCCCCCATCACGGCAACAACAGCCCCTCCCTCCCCAAGCCATCACAACACACATTGGAATTTCTTTTTTCCCCAAGCCATCCCAGCCCCCGCCCACCTTGTCCTGCCGCTCCAGAAGTTCCTTCATGGAGGAGCAGATGGGGCAGCTGCCGTCGTACAAGTACTGCAAGGCAGCGGCAAACAAGCAGGAGAGGTGTGCGAAAGGGGCACACGGAAGTGTAAGATTCCCAGGATTTCCAAATTCACCTACTAAAGGGAAAAGGGCGACAGGGATGTGGTAACGCGTGCTTGTACTGGTACATGCTTCAAGCCATGCTTGTTTGGTATGCTACGGATAGGGTGTGCGCTTTCGGAATATTTTTGTGACGGCGTGTTGTAGGACGGCAAAGGGGCTCAGTCATGTGGGTCGAGCGCCTATCCCAGTGTATTCAATTCAAGACGCCGCAGTTGACCGTTCCGCATGCTTGCTACCGGGGTATTTACGCAGCATGCACGCAGTTGCCAACTGTGCTCTGTGCATGTGTCGCAGAGGAGGGATCAGACACAAGGGGGGGCCGCGGGCGGGAACAGCGCAACGCACCCACACCTACACACACCTTGATCTGCCAGCTGCCTTTGCCCGCCATCATGGCCAGCTCCTCCTCCATCACCTTGTTGTAGTCGCCCAGGGGCTTGAAGATGTCGGTGCGCGACACCAGCCCCAGCGGGTGGCCTGTCGTGGAGTGGGGCGTGGGTGGGGGGGGAGGAGGAAGACAACTAACTGACCGTGTGATAAGGCGTCATCATGGTTGGGTAGGGGGTAAGGAGGACGAGACTCGTGCGGTTGCCAACCCGAGCCCGGGTGGGGGCCAGGAATGGAGGGTAAGAGAGGTTACCAGCGAGCGTGGAAAGGCGCCGCCATGGGGGAGGGGGTGCAGCAGGCGCAGCATGAGGCATCTGGGATAAGGTGCTAGGGTGTGGGGGAGGGGAGGTAAATGGACGGAGTTGCAGCAGTCTTACCGTCCTCGTCTACTACTGGTAGTCGCCGGATGCCATACTTGAGCATTAGGTCCGCTGCCTCTTGGACGGTGGCGCGTAGAGGGATGGTAAGCGCCGGGCTGGTCATGTGCTTCTGGACCTTTTCCGTCAAGGTGCCTCCCGACTTGCGGACGCGGATAATGTCCTTCCGGCTAATCACGCCCACAACCTTGCCGTTTCCGTCCATGACGGGCACGCCTGTCACCTTGTTAAGCAAAGGAATTACGGCTTGCAGCGTCGCATCTGGTGTTGTCGTTAGGAGGCCCTGGGAAGCTTTCCGCATAATGGCTTCCACTCCACCCATAGGGCATAACCTGGATATGGGCAAGTAGGATAAAGCCTAAGAAAGCTTGAGCCAGCCATGACGTGCTTGACCAAGCCGAATCAAGCGCAGGCAAGGTGAACAAGCTTGTAAGTCACAACTTATCCCCTCTAGTAAGTAAGCGGTATAAAAAAGTGGCTTGCGCGTTGTTCAAACTCACAACTCGCCATACACCTCATCGTGAGCGCTGGGCTGATGCTTATGCGCTTGATGCTTCGCAAGGCTACCGCTGGGGATTGGCAGCGACTCTGGCGCTGACACCCTTGTGCGAAGGCGGTGCGTACGCGTCGACGGTGAAGAGCGCAAGCCCGAGTGCCACACCGCTGTATGGTTGACATCCTCACGACCGCTGCAGCTAACTACTGAGTTTGAGGGTGATGACACGGATACATGGCAAGCCTGGCGTGGACCTGACGGGACCTTGATGCGGCCTGCACTCGGCTGGCTTGCTAGCCCAAAGGGATGGAGCTTGGTTGGTACCATAGCGTTTATATAGTGAAAGCCAAAGATTGGGACTTGGGTGTGAAAGCGAAAGAACTTGCTAAGTGGGCTTCTGCTACACAAAGTGGTAAGTTCGCCTTGTAATGCGTTCCTATTACAGGTTCTTCATTACCGCAGCAGCATAAACCCTTGGACAAAGTTCCGCCCAAAGCAAAGCAGAAGTTCAGAGAATGTAAGGCCCATGGCTGGTTGCGCAACAGTCCGTAATCGCTGCACGGGAAAGTGCAACACCTGACTTTCGACGTTCCATGACATAGCAGGCACACCTTGGCCTCACACAACGCTGTAGGTAATGAGACGGATGGCCCCAACGCAAACAAAGCAAGGGCCCTGCATAGTAAGAGGCGCGGCCAAGCGCAAGACTGATTATGCGCACCTTGCCCGTAAGTAAGTAGCCAACTTACTATGGGAACTAGCTACATGCCAGGCGAGAAAGGTTCAGTTTGCGCGAAATGCAACATGCCAGGCTCCGAAGTGAACGCGTTGGCATACCGTAATCTGGATTACCGACAACAGTTTAATCACGAAAAGGCCGTCCATGCGTTTCCTTTCAGCGAAACCGAAACCGAAAATAAGGTAGAAGTCGTGTCAGTTGCATTCTGGTTAGTGCCGTTCATCGCTCGCTTCGCACTGCCGCTGGCCGTCTTCATGAGGACAGCAGCGACCCTCACCTTTCCCTACCCAGCGGAAGTGTTCCAGTTCGGTAGCGCAATCACCACGCCCCCAAACCCATGGTCCCTCCTAAATGCGTATCGCTGTGCCTATATTTTGTGGCGTTTGTACGGCAACTGGGCCGCAGACTGGGCCGGGCACTCCGAAGGATTGCTGATGCCAGGCGTTAAGCATGTGCTGTGTAAGTCCGGCGCCACGGAAGCCGCGATGCCGCCATCTACTACGATCTATGGTCAGTATGGATGGCCCATTCTTAGTCGCCCCCATGAGCTTTTACCCAATTGCGGGGTCAAGTTGTTAGTTTCGGCCTGGGCTGCATGCAAACGGCTTGGACTGTACGTGGTTCTTCGCAGCAGGCGACTTGGTTGCCGTCATCTTTCAAGTTTGCACCCGGCTTGTTTTGCTTTTGTTATTGTGTGTTTGGGGCGGCAAGCATGGATTGATAGCGGCGGAGGTGGCGACTGCTCGTCCTATCGATTACAGATCCGATGTGGAAGCTTACACATGCGAACGGCCTGCTGGCAGACTGCTTCCGAGATACCCATACATGCCCACTGCAAGAACAGAATATCACAACGTACTACTACTTTCATAGGCAGTTTCCTAGCACCCAGCCGGCAGTGGAAAAACGCGCCAAACAGGCCACGAGACCGTCGCGAAAACGTTTACGATCCGCAACCATGTCTCACACTAGCTCGCATCGCACATGGTCTGTTGTTTGCTGGCTGCTGCTTCTGGCTTCGGCGCAAACGGCACCTAACGACGGGGCCTATCGGGGATCCTGGGCGCGTCGGCTGCTGCGAGGCCGCGACGGACCCATGGGTCAGCGACTGCAGCTTCTGGCCTTTAATGCAACTTCTGGGTGAGCCTGGTCGGGGCATGTTAGATACGTATGGAGAGGGGTCATAACCACTAGAGTAGACCCATTATACCGAGAAATCGCGCATGATAATTTTGCGTACCGGTATCTCCACCATCCTGCACTCGAAACAAACCGCGAGCATGGACCATTTTTCTTCCATCTGCGTTACTCGCCAGCAATTTATTATGACCTCAACGAGCTGATGCACTGTATCCTTCCCGCCATTTCTAATCTGGACGACAGCCCGATCCAAGCAACATATAACCGCACACTGACCGTGAAGCATCCATCTGATAAGCCGCCGTGCCTGTACATGTGGGAGGGCATGTACGGCGGGTGGGTCGTCGTACGTCTACAACTTCCTCACCAAGGCCTGTTTAAGTAAATCTTAATGCATATGCGTGAAGTGCATACGAGCGGCGGGCTTTTCTGGTGTCTACGCACGTGTGGCTGAAGAAGAAGGGGGGGGGCGTTTACCCATACCATTTCGAATCGCTGCTACATCGGTTTTGCCACTTCGTTTTAGCAGTCCTATATCGTGTGTGTTTTGCAGGGCCCGCCCTGGCCTAACGCTGGTGTTCAGGGTGTACATGTGGAATGCCGTACATGATGGGGCATCATTCCAGCAGTGCCTTCAGCTGCAGACGACTGAACCCAACCCATGCTCTAGACAGACGCACAATCCTCTTTGATTTGGTATGTACAGCAATCTACGGTATCCTCTAAACGCCACCTCTGAATGGGTTTGCCAACCGGACCCTGCCTCGCCCAACCACAGCTTGTCTTTATTTCCTTTTGCCCTTGCCCTTGCCCCTGCCTCTGTTATTATGTGCCTTGCATGCTTGGGGTCACGATGTGCGCTCGCTCCATTGGCCTTGTACTTAACTTGATGTACATACCCGCGCGCGAGAGCCCCTTTATTAATGCAGCATGCATTTCTGTACGGCATGGCCGACAATCGTACGACTATTGCCGGCCTATCCTAGTATTGGAAGAAGATAGCCTTTCTGGCATGACGCTTTTACATACCGTGTTAGTTAAGTTTTGTACGCTAAACACCAGTACGGAGATGGCCATCACTGCCTTGGGTGCCATGTACGGCAGGGCACACATTCAGCAGTTGGTTAAATAGTGACGAATGAAGGTACGATTGAACGGACGCAGGGCGCCGGCAGGATGGCGGGTATTGATTGCGGCTGCTGGGTTGCTGAGTTGATGACAGGCATGTCGCTGATGTTCTAACGTCAGCAATTGTTTCGTAGTTTGTGTTCGGAAAGGCGGGTCGCTTTGAACATTCTTTTTTTCCGATGTGGACTGTTATTCTGTATGTGCAGAAGCTGCTCATGTGCATGGCGGGCCGGGCTGTCTAACCCACCCGCTGCATGCATCATGCACTATTATAGCCAACAACAGCTGTACGCCACCATTATATGTAACCCATCCACCCATCCACATACAATCCTACTTGCTTGCTTCCCTCGGAAGACTACCCAGCAGCCAGCTGTTACGTAGCACACCGTTGGGAGCTGCTTTCTATCTAGGTGTGTATGTCCCACATGCGAAGCGGATCAGGACGCCTCCGACGCACGGACGCACACGTACGTACTCAGTACGTTCCTCCCCGCGGTCAGCTATCCTAACTCAAACACGCACATGCATACATGTGACATTCCGCAGATAGCTCATCAGTTGCTTCAAAATCCACCCCAGCAGCAAATGCGTGGACCCCATACAGGCAGGAGCATGCAGGAGCACCGCCGGCCTGGCCTGGAGTGCACATGCAAGCGCAGCAACCACCAGAAAATACACAAACACATGCGGCGTCCATTGCCGTACGCTGCAGTTTTTGGAAACCACTAATGAGGCGTTTATTTGTTTGGGAAAACCGATATCACCAGGTGCGTGAGGAGCCCAGTGCATGCGTTTGCCGGTTGCTCGCTCGCTCATCAAAGGGTTCCCGTATGCTCACTGAGGTTACGGACTCCGCAGCTGTGGCACAGGCAAAGCTTTATTTCGGGAGGATATACATGTTCTTAGGTACCGGTACCTAGCGGAAGCAACCTTGTTGGAAAACGTGAACGAAAGTTGGACGAGGAAACCTGCGTCAGCCAACGCCTCCGAGACCCTATAAAGCCACGCAGGAAGTCCTGCGACAGTACAATTTTGTTAAGCCTAGCTATCGGTATACAAGCAATACCTAACAGCCTGCGACTCCAAAAATATTCCGAACATACTTGCCAGTCTTCAGCTTATACATCTTGAACTTATCAACTTAGCTTTTGCAACCTAGTCATGAAGCGCGCCGCAACCTTTGCTTGGCTGGGCTGTCTGCTGCTGCTGTTCTGCAGTATCGCGGCGGCGTTTGATGAGCCGCAGGAGCTGGGCGGTCGCGACGGACCCGTGGGTCATCAGCTGGGCTTGTCAGAGCTCGGGACCCGCCTCGACACCAAGATGAGGTGCGGATGTGCCTGGTTGGACCGCAGTGCAAAATCCGTGCGCGCTCCGAAGCAAGTTTTGCGTTTCCGAAAGGCCCGATGCCTGCTATTTCGCCTGCGCTGCTGTGTAATCGGTTAGGGCTCAAAGATTTGCCTGGAGATTATCAGCTACACGGCCTTTAAGTAATAAGCGTATAATTTTGCACAGCATAGCATAATGATGGGTGATTGCTGCTACCGAGCGTGCCAAAAAACTCACACGTAACTGAACACCTCACCGCCTGCTGCTGCGCTTCCCCTGGCTTCCTCTTCCACCGTCAGGCTCGACAACCGCGCCGCCACGGCAGAGGAGGCATCCCTGGAGGCTTCCCCGCAGCAGCCCCAGCCTCAGCCTCAGTCTCAGCCTCAGCCTCAGCCTCAGCAGCCCCAGCACCCGGACATCCTGCTGCTGCGGTCGCTGCTGCAGTTCTATCGCCGGGCTGGAGTGAACGAGGCGCCTGATGCACATCCGGAGGACAGCGCTCCGACCTTCCGTAGGGCGGTGAGTACCGGCAGCGACTAGGACTGTTGCGCGGGTTGCCTTGGTGGCGGGTTGCCTTGTGGATGGTGTGGTGTGGTGTGGTGTGGTGTGAATGGTGGTGCGTGTGGATGGATGGTAAATAGCTGGAAGGAGAGAGATGGGCGTGCTGGCGTGTGTGTGGCGTACAGTTGGGTAGCTAGAGGTAGGGCGCTTCCGTACATGTTCCCCGTCTGCACGATGGTTACATGCCGTTTGACATGCCGCCGTTTCGCCACGCCCGCTCTTGCGTCGTCTTGATGTAACCTGTGATGTAAACCATTGCCTGCAACACGCACGTCCCGGGGAAATCCCAACCCAAGGATCGCCCCAGGTTGCGCCCAAGCCCTTGCACGGTTGTAACGTAGTTATGCATGCAACCCCTTTTCCGTCCTGTTCACCCTTTGTAACCCTACCTTCCCTTCTGCTCGCAGGGCTGTGACGCTTCCTGCCAGGACCTCTGCAGCCGTCAGCCTTCGCTCGCGATGTCGTACGGCTACAGCTGCCCTATCAAGAAGTGACCCACAACAAGCGCATGATTGCTTGTGGCTTGCGACGACACACTGGACATAG